AGAATTTTATATTTGGATCAGTGCGATCTACAAATGCAAAGATGAATAAGATTCAAAAATTCTCTATATTAATGCATTCAAGTTGAACAACTAATTGCAAGCATAATTTATCGAAAACTATAAATTTTGGAAGAGTTAATCAATTGAGTTTATTTTTAAAGACGAATTCATAAGTGAGTACCTATTTTTTAGAGATAAATAAACAATAAAAGGCTTATATATAAGTTGATAAATAAAAAAATTATAAATTATCTATATTTACTATATTAATTGACTATTTCATTTGCTGTTTTGCAATTTGACATTCTCTTATTATTATTCTAGCTTTAAAAATCTTGTAGGAGGTATTTTTAATTCATGATTAATCTAATTTAAATATAATGAGATACTTATAAATATTGATTGAGTAGATTTTTTAATTCTTCATTATGATTATGGATTTATCCTGTTTCTTCTACTAATTTAGATCTTTTTAGAAGTAATTCGTAATATTTGCTCAACTATTTGTCTAGAATCCTCCAAACTCTAAAGGTTTTCTCTGGGAGAACTTAAGTAAGTTTTTCCCAATATTTTTTGCCTTCCTTTGCTATTCGCTCTTTTTTTTATCTTTCAGTTTCTTATTTAGCGGCTCTTCTTGATGACATTTTTTCAATTTATTTCTTTCTCTATTCATTAGTTTTCATCCAATGCATTAAAAAGTTGATAATGCTATTTTAGTTAATGATAAAGGTTTCATAATTAATTTTAGGAGCTTCATCTGGAACAGTTTAAGGTTATTCAATTTACACCTTTTTAATAGCTTCAGTGACAGCTTCTTATTGAGGTTGTTCTTCTTGGACTTTTAATTCACAATTTTTGATTAATTCATCAATGAAAATTAGCATTTCATCTATCGAATCAATATTGAGACACTTCTTTATAACTCCCAATTTAACACTAGTAATCTCTTATTATTCAGCCTTCTCTAAGGTTTCTCTCATTTTATCATCAATCAGGAAATCAACTTCTTCAATTAAGATTTCAACTATTTCTTCTAATTTTTCTTCACTTAAAGGCAATTGAACTTCCTCTTCAGCCATAATTTGTGATTTTTCTTTTTTATATTAATAGAATAGAAATACCTTAGGTTTCTTTTTAATCTTATGGTTCTTCCCAATCTACACCTAATTATTAGATGTGAATGGTTTTGTCACATTTTAGAATCTTCGCCTTGAGTTTTCTGACTTCTAATTCATTCATGGAATGTATATCAGCATAAGCTTTTTAATCGGCCTTATCGAAATGCTTAAATTTTCTCTGTAACTCTTTAAATTGTCTGGTAATACGTTTGTATTCCTATGTTAATTCTTTATTTGTTTATTTAAATTTGGTATCAAATTCATTATAATCTTTGATTAGACTTCTCAATCTATTGTTTAAATTTTAGTCCTTTCTTTTTAGATCATCATGAGTGTGTGTATGCGAGATTTGTTTTTCTTTCAAAACCTTTAGATTATAATCTAATTTTTCAGTATTCAATTGGTAGAGTGCTTTCATATCTTCATAACACTTTTCCAAATTTTAGATTTCTGTCTCCATTGAGATTTTGAGTTCAGCATAAGATTTCAATCCTTAAATTCTTAACTTTTCAATGTCCTTAGTATATTCTTCCTCTTTTCTTTCTCTTTCATCCACAAATGATTTTTCCTTTTCCGTTCTTTTGTCAAATAAATTTCTTATTTCAGTTTAATAATTATTCAATAAATTGGCTCTCTAATTTGATTATTATATATTATTATACTTCTTCTATATATTCATTTTCAATGGATTCAAGATCCTCATGTATGCATTCTCTTAATTAAAAAAATTGAGATCTCATTTTCTAAATTAATGTTTGAATATCAATGGCTTGCTCTTTAATCATTTTACCAAAATCATCATCCTTCTTATTCAATTCATCTAGAAATTGTTTAATCAATTCATCTTTAGCATGCATTATTTATGCAAATTTATCTTTCTATTAGTTTATCAATTTATTAAGTTCTTCACATTCATCTTTCTCTTATAGATTGCACCATTCCTGTTCCAATTCAGCATTTTTTGAATTGGCCTTTTTGCTTTCATCTTCTATTTTATTTGCCCTTTCAGCCCTTTTGAATTCTTCTTGTGCTCTTGTTTCCTTTTATTTTTAATCATTTTTCTATTTGATTGTATATAGTTCTTCTTTTTTTGTACGAATCAACATGTCAATATTGCCTCGACTCTTTTAAACTTATTCTGATCCCTTAGCTTATTTTTTCGAATCCATCAGTTATATAAATATATTTATATATTAATGTCAATTAGATAAAAAATCAATTAAAAATTTCTTAGCTTTTTCTTTGTTTTTACATTCCTGCTTTTGACTCTCTTGTATTTTCTCTAGTATTTTAGCAAATGTTGGTCTTTAGGAAGGTTCTCTTTTAAGACAATCCTTTGCTAGAATGGCCAAAATAGGTGGATTACTGAATTGAGGGATCTCAACTTAAGTATGTCCCCATCCAACTGTTCCAATAATTTAAGTGATAGACAGATTCTCATAAGGTATTTTACCAGTAATAATTTCCCATAGAATCATACCAAATGAATACACATCAGATTTCTCAGTATAAGGTTCTCCTCTCATGATTTCAGGTGCCATCCAATGGGGTGTTCCAATCATACTTTTAGTTTTCTTGCTCTTAATCCTCGACAGTCCAAAATCACATAGTTTGACATTCCAATTCTAATCGATGAGGACGTTGGAAGATTTCAAATCACAATGCATTATTCTTCTGCCATGAAGATTATTCATTCCTAAAGTGATATCTTCAATTATTTAAATAAAATTAAGATTTTTAGTTTTCTTTTTATGAATATGATCATATAAACTCCCATTTTCCATATATCTAAAAATTAAATCGTTAATTACTCAGTAATTAAGTAAAAATTATGCCTCTTAATACAAACACCCATATACAGAACTATATTGGGATGCCTCAAATTAGAGATAACTTAAACTTCCTTAAGAAAATCAGCCATTAATTATTTATGTTTTTGCTGTTCTTTCTTTTTGCAATAAGACTTTATGGCTACATCTTAGCCAAGCCAATTTCCTTTGAAAACAATTCCATAACTCCCTTTTCCAATCTAAGGTCCTTGCTTAATTTCCTAATAATTAATTAAGAGTTTCTCATTGATTCCTAAATCCTATAACAAACTCATTAGTTTCTCCTAATGCTTTTATTACAAGTTCTTCTCTGAGAGTATGCAATGCTTGCTAGGTGAACTAGATTGATTCGTTTCCAATTGCAACTCCTATTATTTTTCATTAGAACTGGAAGAACTCTCATCAGAGGATTCTGAACCAGTTGCATTATTAATATTAAAATTGCTTACAACCTATTTAGATTCTACTTGTAAGCTCTATCCCTAATTTCCTTGTTTGGGTGAGAACTTAGCAGTCTCCTATTGCTATTCTATTTATTCAGGTGAAATCTACTTATCATCAGAACCCGATGACCGTTTACGTCTTGATTTCTTCTATTTGAGCACTTCTATCCCAGGACTTTCAACTGCCGGTTCAATCTTCTGGATAATGGAATATAATTGATCATATTTTGAAGATTAATCAGCTGAGTTCTCACTATCAGCTCTATGGAGTTATCCTGCCATTTTTTTGATATAATATTTCTTATGCATATTTATTTACTGGAGTATGAGTTTTCTATGTCCTAATATCTCAATGCCCAACTCTTCTTTCAATTCTACATCTGTTAGATCATGTAAAGTGTCTCCGATCATGTGATTTTTGATAAAATTTTCCTTATATTATGATAATCCTAAACAATCCAACCAAATACAAACCTCCTCTATATTCCAATCCTACACTATTAAATTAAAATATAATATAAGATTTAAATACTTTTCTTTTTCCCTTTGACTGTCACTGTCTCATTCATTGCCTATAAGGTGTCGAATCCATGTGCCTCCTGCTAGATTTAGTGTGTTTCCTCGACTTAAGTATTGGGTAATGGTTGAGGATGTATTATTTAATTATCTTTCACTAAAACAGCAGAAAACACATTTTCAAATTCGCAAGGAACTTAATCAACTACTTTTTACTCTTTTAATTTATCATTATCATATAATTAATAAGTCAGCTCTCTCGTACTTGAATTGTAAAAATAGCCTGGACCATGCTTCTTATTATCTTAAAATTCACCTAGACTCATACTTGAATATAAATACCTGAATAAATTGAGTTCTCAGCATAATAGATTGTTCCTCTCCCATGTTTACAATTATTCACCCATTGTCCAACATATCTATCACCATAAACTCCAAAATGTTGTCCATGTCCATTTTTCTTGTTATGTTACCACTGTCCTATGTATAATTCTCCACTATTATAAAAATATTTTCCAGTTCCATGTTTTTGATTGAATAGCCATTCCCCTTCATAACGGTTGCCATTAGCAAACTTATAAGTTCCTTTGCCATGCTTCATGTTGTCCTTCATCTCACCTTTTGAAATTTAACAAAGAAAATACCATGATATTCATCATTATTTGAGTAAATAATATGATGTTCATTACTTGTTTGTCTCTACAAAAAACCAAATAATTTCATTGCTTAAAATTATATTATTAATATTATCATCAATCTTGTCTTATGATTTCATCTATAAATATTCAATCATATATCTTTTTAATTCAACTAATATTCTGATATCTCCCAATATTATAAAATAAGTTTAACTGCATCTTAGATCGTTTTTCAATTCTTCTTAATTCCTAAATCAATTATACTCTTCTGAGAATCCCATTTATTCTTAACCTTCATATATTTTAATTCTGATCAATTATTCTCTCCTTTCCTAATTCTAAATCGCCCAATTTCTTCATCATTTAAAATTCTCTATGAGTCCGATATATCTTTTCTACAGTTGATTTTTTAATTCTGAATTTCCTATGCTATAATTTATAACAAATTATTAAGCAATGAACATAAAAGAACTAAATCAGTTTATGCTAGATTATGAACTCAAACCAACTTAAAAACTATTTAAATACCTCATAATCATTGGAATTTCATCTATGAAAACTAAAACTTAAGACATCTCAATTGAAACTATAAAACTAATTGCAAGTTATTATTCAAATTTTCATTATTTTTAGGCTCTTGCAAATAGCAAAAACTAAGAGATGGAATGGCAGAACTCAAAGAAAAGGTCATCAACATATAATAATCTTTGTCTCCATAGAAAGGAAACTTCAATTTTAATCAACCTAAAACTGTTTTGAATTCTAAGCATCAATTAATGAATTCGCAATTCTCACCAATTCTTAAGAATAAAGAAGATTTATAAATTAAATCTAAAAAAGCATAAATATAGCAAGACCTTGAATCCAATATGAAATCGTTAAATTTCAATAAAAAAGAGAATAATCAACTATCCAATTAATTTTAATAGAAAAATAAACCCTACCAATAACCGTCATTGTCAAACAATTATTTTACTTAAAAAAAAGTTAGTCTTGATCAGATTGCAAATAATTTTCTGAGTTCTCCTTTAGTAAAAAATCCTGTGTCGGCCAGAAATATTGCATAAAAAGAAAGCGAACTAAAATGTAATAATGCATTTACTATTTTAATAGATTTCTTTTAGAACTCATGGAAACTAATTTGAACTTAGGTGATTTATCTTTTATTTATATACACTTGTGTGATTATATTATTTTTGGATTTTTTAGATTTCTAGTTCCCTTTTGGATTTTATGATGTTGATGACTCTCTTTTAAATGTAAATAATCATATTTTCATTCAGTAAATTATGTTTGACTAATTTGATATTAAAATTAGTGCTATATCTTATTAAGATTTTAAACACTATTTTATTTATTTTATCATTTATAAACTAACGAAAAAATAAAGAATTTAATTCAAAATAAAAAAATGAAACAGAATAAGAGCATTTTTGAAAAAATTATATTAATTGATAATATTTATTTCTGAATTTAAAGTTAAATAATAAGTTTTACAGAATAATTTATGTTAAAATTGGAAAATATAAAGCAAAATTGTCATATAAATCAAGTTATACTAAAAAAGTCAATTTGAACTCAGCAATTTTAATAGTAATTTTAAATATAGAATATGTAATGTTATTCAATTTTTAAACTAGTATTAATAGATAATCAAAAATAAATAAGAAAAATATTTTCATTTTTATAACCTTTAATTTAACTAAAAAATAGGTAAATGTGCACATAGTATAACGCCTTATTATAAAAGTAGTTAACTTTAATTATCAGAAATATTCCATGTAGATCTACTATTGTAATTTTTATGATGTCAACTGACTAAGTTTTATTTTTGAAGTGGCATAATTTTAGATGGTATATACCTATTATGGATTATATTTGATATTATTATATTCTATAAACAGTTACCTATTTAGATAATTCTAGTATTAATAAATTTAATATATTTAATAATTTTTTTTTTGTATATTGTGAATGCAGAGTTCCAACCATCAAGGAATAAAGTAATCTAGCTATTTTGATTACATTTTTGACTCATGGAATAAATCAATTGATACATCAAGAACAAAGGAACCATAATAAACAAAATTAAAAACATCAAATAGAAGATAAAATCATTTTTAATATAAATCTATATTAGATTAGAATTAAGAATATGATCACGATTAAATAAGTACAACAAAATCTCAATTACATTAAAAAAATAAAATTGTTCCTTTAAATTCATATATCAACAATCTCAATGGTCGTAAAGATGAGCAAAAAGATGTACAAATTTTATCTATAAAGAGAATTATTAACAATAAAGTTAGAGCTCAAAAAATAAATCTACAAATAGGCAGTCTTCTCCAAATAAGAAAAATTTTAATGAAGAGGTAGAGTAGAAATCTGATTGTATTGCTAACTATTCGACAATCTTTTCTTAGCCTATTAAAAACAGTTAACCAAATTCATTGAATTATTCCTTAAATTTCAAATTAATTCTTCCAAAAATTAAGTAGACAAAAACGTAAAAAGTAGGAATAAGAAAATTTAAAGTTATTAGTAAAGTAATTGGGAAATTTATTTTATTGTTCTATCACATTTTACCTAGTACAAGTCCAAAAAGAATTCTAATGAATAATAAATTAAAATTAGCTTTGAATCTCAAGAAAACTTTTAAATTTGATAGAAATATAAATGAATCATTATCAAAATCTTTTAAGTAATGGATAGAACCCTCCTTCTAAAAGATATTTTTCTATCTACAAAATGCATTTCCTAAAATTTTTTCTGAAAAGATCTTTGATTAGAGAGAAATTCAGGATTCAGAATCACTTTGGACTTTAAACTTTGCAAAATTTTTATTTTAAAATTTAGAACTAATTACAAGAAAAGGCAACATACCAAAAGAGATAATATATGCCATGTCAAAATCTATATACAAGGAAAATAATTAATTTGTATAGTTGTTTGTGGCATAAAGAACTCATTTTTATAAAAAACCATTCAGTAATTTGGAACTCTAATTATTATGCTCTGAATATATTTTATTTAACGGAATAGTGATACAATTATTTGAATTAACGAATAATTTGAAATATCAATCATTTAATCATAATCTTAATTGCAAGATATAAATAATAAAATTGGTAAGCATCCTGAACCTATTCTACATAAGAGCCTTCTAAGATATGCCTTTGATAAATTAGAATATTTAAGAAGATCAAATATACACAAGATTGATACACATTACTCCTGATTAAGATTAACATTTATACTTGTTGGATACAAAGGAGAAAAGCAAATTGGAAAGTATGATTTTAGGATTGAAACATGAATAATATATTTAACTAGTACTTTAATAAAGAGTGAAACAGAACTAATAACTAGAATTACTATTCAAATAATTTATCCATAATTTGGGTTCTCAAGTAGTGATTTTTTGACTGATCTTATTATTTTCATCTCGTATAAACTATTACTGATCAAAATCAATTAATAATTCAATATTATATCTGGATTGCATACTAAATTTATGATTAATTGATTTATGAATGTAGATAGGTTTCAAGTCTTAATATTATTTTTATTGCGACTCCCCTTTATTGAAATTATTGCAATATAATTCTACTCAATATTATATTTTATAAATATTCGATGCTCTAATTATAAAAAAGGATTCTGGATTTTAATATGAACCCTAACAAACCTTTGTTTCTAGGATAAAATCATCGTTCCCATTTGCTCTAACCCTAAGAAATTCAGCCTAGAAGCTATAGTGTTTAAATTGCAAATAATCGAAATTCTATTGAAAACGAATTAAAACAAAGTCATTTAGCTCGATCTCATTTAGAACATCAGGAAAGGCTACAATAATTTATGGCTGCATAGAATTAGCAATTAAAATAGCAATTGATAGAAATTGAGAATAGGTAGTTGAAGCTACAAAATGAACTTCTGTCGTAATAAGTTTAAAAAATTTAAATTGATTTAGAAAATACCCTGAAAATAATCTCTAAAAAAAAAAAAAATCCATCGATTCAATAAAATATGGCCAAGTTATCTTAAAGTTCAAATTTTAGTTAAAAATACCAAAAACAACAAAGCTTATCAATAGCCTCTAGCGATACTAAAGAAGAAGAGACCTAAAGATACAATGACAAAATTCCAAATAAAAATGAAGCAATTGAATTTCAAATATCTGATAATTTTGAAAATCAAAATCCAAAGCATCACTCCAACCGACAATCTCATAAAACCTAAAAAAGTTTAAAGAAAAGGAAAAGATTAAAGAAGTATTTGATTGTTGTGTTGGCATGCATTAGGTTATTGTGGAAATAAAGAATGAAACTCAAAGAAAATAGACTAAAGTTAAAAAGGTTAAAGGAGAAATTTGAAATAGCCAAACAGAAATTGTTGGCAATCCCTGAAGACAACATCAGGAATCTACTTTCTACATGGGTCAATGATCTTTTGGAAGAAGTCATTTAAATTCTCAATAGTGAACAATTTTATGCTCATTGTGATACTCCAAATTACAATGCCAATAAAGATGAAAACATTATATACAGATAAGAATTAATAATACAAATAACATACAATTTCTTTGATCGTCTAGAATACATGACAAGAGATAAACTTCTCCCATCATTAATCATAGATCTAATGTACTTATCATTATTTTAATCATAAAATCCAAAAGTATCGTTATTTGTAGCAAAGAGAACAAATTTTTATGTGAAGAACACTCTAAAATTATCAAATCAATAAGAAATGTTAATTATTTCAGAATATTTATTTTTTCGATTAATCATTTAGTACATGTTGAAGACCTTTAATTCACTAAAGTATAAAAATGATACTCATGAAAAATTATGCAAATTTTTTGTAACAATTATTGCTAGTTTCATTCAAATTTTGTATATAGACTTTTTTGAAGATATGAAATTTGTTAAATAAATAAATGTGCAACTTTATTAGAGAAAAATAGTTCTTGATGAGAAGCTAAAAGCCTACCTTTTAGATGATGATAAAATAGATGAAGGAGAGAATTTGATTTTAGGATTGCATGATAGATCATAATTTGAATAATTATTTCAACAATAGATGGAATGGATAAATCATTTGGGCAAAACGTTTTATTAAATTCTTTAAAATCTTCATAATCAATTATGACTTAAATTTTGTAAATATTTTTTAATTTTAAATAAAACAGATTAATTCCGTTAAGGAATAGAAATTTAGAATTAATAAAAAGATTTTAGATTTATAAAAATATTTTAATGTTAACATTTGTTATTTATTGATATTTTCACAATCTGGCTTTGATATTTTTGAGCTGATTGACAATTGGTTTGAAGTCAGTTTTGTTTAATGTATTCTCATTAATAGCTGAATGATATGTTTTTTCATATGGCTATCCATCAGAGCAGCCAATGGTGCTTCTCAAAGAGGCATCATTATACCTAAAGGCCTCAACTAAGCCAATAGCCTAGATATAATTGAGAAAATACTTCAGGCTTAATGATTGTCAATTGTTAGGTATAAAACTCTCTTATTAATTTGATAGATTCCACATTAATAACACCTGTTTCTATTAACACGCTTGATCCTTCTAATAAAATGCTAGCGGCAAAAAGATCAGCTAAATCTCTCAACACTCTTTTTGTGTTGTTATTATCAGCCTATTCAATAGTTTATAAGAAACTAAGATATTTATAATATTCTATGAAATTATTGGCAGAACTCCAAAGATCAGTTCCGATTTTGTAATCCCACACTGATTTAGGATCTAATCCATTATTAATGTGAGCCATCATTTTATCATTTGTTATTTGAATTGAATGGATAACATTGGATTCTAATAATTACAGAATTTATTCCCTAGTAAATTAAGTGCATCTATAATCTGAGATGGCTTAAAGCTAAAATATAATAAAGTGACAAAATTACTCTATTAAATAATCCAAAATATGTTTCGTTGATTTTCTTTGATGCTTATTTAGCTTGATTATATAATTTTAGTAAAAATCTAGCTAATTATAAGTACATTATTTAGTTTTCACCTTCCAATGTAATATTAGGACAATTATCCTAATAAATGGCTGGTAATCCAGAATAATGGGCATAACCATGTCCACCACAAGATAATCTGCACCATTCTGCACAATTTGAAACAAAATATGTAAAATTTGCTTTGGTTCCACAAATGATTGCATGACAGATAGCCATTAAAGAAAAATCTTATTTTTGAACCTGACTGAAATTAAGATCAACCAATTAACCTACTTTCAATCCTGTAAATATTATTGAATAAAGATTAGCTAATAAAGGTAATAGTTTATGTTGCTAGGTTTAGTATTCCAATACTGAATTCTCTTAGCCTTAATCATTTGTAAATTATTGTCTAGCAATTGAGTATCTGATAGCTATTGTTAATGATGTTGCTGCTGTCCTTGGATAGACAGTGATAATTAATTTTCTCATTATCATCATAGCTGAATAAGAGACCTTAGGATCACCTTGTCTAATCACTTATCCATCTCTTGTCACCTTGATGTACTTGGCCAACATATTGAAACTAGGTATTCTGCAATGAGTAAATTTCAGATAACCATTGTCTTTAGATGTATATCCAATTTTAGGGCCAATGTCTCCTACTTCTATTCCTGGCAATGGCTTATGAGTATTAAGGTCTCTGATAGGGACCATGAAGGCTTGCACTCCGTGTGATTTGTTATTTACTATTAACTTTGCATACACTAATGCCCAATTTGCCAAGAACCCCAATTCTCCTGGCCAGACTAATATAATTCTTAATATAATACATTTTACTGCCTCCACGGAAGGTGTATGAATTATGAATTCATCTGTTTTTTGATCATATGTAGCTGTTGTTTGGAGACTTTAGACGTCCGAACCATGTGCCAATTCAGTCTAAGCATAACAACCTGCAATTTTTAAATTGAGGCAATCTGTGTACCAACTAAATTTTCAAAAACATTCATTACGCATTTATTTATTCGTCTGTTCCCAATACTTTGATTGCAGGTACAACCATTCCGAAGTATACACCATAATAATTGGTAGTAGCGGAATAAATTATAGTACCTAAATATAGAGGAATCTCATCTAATTTGAAATCAAGTAATTTTTGGAAAGCAAGAGCCTAATCACCTTTACTAAGAAATTGAATTCCTCTATTCCAATTATAATAATCAGGGCTAGTCTGTACCTCTGGAATATTCTTGCATTTCTCCAAGAATTATTTAATATGTCTAAATATGGCTAAAAATTACTCGGCTTATTCTTTAGATCCGTATAGTAATGGAGTCACAGAATCCACATCAAAAGAAACTTACTATCTTGCTTATTCGAGTATATTCATAGAAATATCTATATATATATATTTATCTCAGAAAATCTTTCATTTCTCTTTTTTTAAATTGGTTTTTTAATATTAGTGCGTATTTTTTCCCTTAATAATATTATATATCATTTAATTACTTTTATCAAATTTATTATTACTTTAAATAATAATTACTAAAATAGGATTAAAAATAAAAAGTCCCTACAAATAAATATTTCAAGCAATACTTTAACCTTTTTAGAAATACTATATTATGAATTTTACAACCTTTTTCTTAATTAAACTTTATTTCACACCAGAAATTTGTAATAAATTTTATTAAAATTACTAAACAAAATGGAAGATTGGCTTATATTCGTGATTGGTTCATCAATCGCTACGCTTCTGATTTACTATAAACACTATTATTTCTTAAGCCCTAAAAATGTAAGAACTAATCAAAGAATCCCCAATTTTACAAAAGAATAAAAAAGCTCGCAATAGTTGTCTACTTCATATCCTATTCCTCTTAAAATTGAGAATAATAATTTTTAAGATTAAAAACCTAAGTTGGATCGACAATCACCTTAGAAAGTAATTCAACCTAAAGCTTAACAAAATAATTAAGTGAAACCTCGAGTGTAATCATTAGACTTAAAATAAAATCAATTGAGGATCGGTCAGAAGGACTCTGTTGGATACAAAGTCAAATTTAAAGATGATTTTCAAGAGTCACGAATAGAGCACAGGAATCACAGGAAAGAGTAGATCAATATTGACAATGACCCTTAATATTTATCATCAGATGAATTTTCAATGAAAAACTTTAGGCCTTCCTAGTCTTAAGAAAAATAAAGACCAGATTAAGCAACTTCTATTCCAAATTAGAGCCAATTACAAATTACTAATATTGCCATTGTTTAATAGAAAATATTCAATTTATACAATATTTCATGCAGAGTAAGAAATTAGGATGCAAAATTTTTGGGTCCTGCAATCCTATCCAAAAATTATGACGATCTGTTCATAGATAAGGATACAAAATAATAACTTAATTTATTTTTAAGAGGCTACAGATAAGTTAGAGGGGATGGTAATTGTTACTTTACAGCAATTGCATTTTAATATTTCGAAATATTGCTTAAGAAATTTGGTTAATTGGAATTTGAAGAAGTCATGTCACAAATTCTAATTATGCCATTTTAGATCTAATATGGGGAATATTTTATAGAGGACCCATATTAGAGTATGTGTGCTTAGAGACTAGTCTAGTTATTATAGGGTCTGAGAAATAGGCCTTATGATTTAGAATTTGTAATGGCAGATCCAAATCAAGAGTTCTATGGGCTTGCCATTATATTTTTTAGGAATTTGGCTTAATTCCTCTATATTTAATATAATAGCCAGATAATAAATGAGTACAAGCCAGATTTAAGCAATGAATTGCTGACATGGGAATTCTAATGCAATGATTCAGAGATGATTAATTCGTCATTGGCAAAGTATTTAAACATGTATACAATTTGATATTAATCTAGAATAATTAATGTGTATTTGATCGATTAAAGAAAGAGTGAAGTAACATAATTGAACTATGGTCAATCAAAGAAAAACTAAATTCATTTAATATATATTCCAGGCCATTATGATATTGGAATACCTGTTTGATTTTTTATTTGATATTATTTTGATGTGACACCCTGACATAAATTTATTTAAAATTATTTAAGAGGGAATGTCACAACCTAGTATGTCGTTCTTTCAAACTCGTTAACGGGCTATTTACTCAGAAGTGATTAACCCTGAAAACTCAGTGTTGTACTAAGTAAATTTGAATTGTTATATAACAGGACTTGTCATATTTGCCAGATATAACTTTGAATACGACTATGAAATAAAGAGTGCCCAAGGCCTACTCGTTAAAGAAAACTACGAATACGTCTAGATTATCTGGGGCACATTCAATTTAGAAGAGTAATGGAATCAATAATTAATTAAGTCTCTGAGGAATTGGTGGTGGAGCCTAAAGTGCTTGAACCATATGAGCCGATTGGAGATAACATTCCAAGAAAAGTAGCAATCAACAGAAAACAGAAGCTTTATGCATCATTCAATATTCTGCAGTTATTAGATTAAGAAGTATGGACATCAATTTCAAATTTGTTAGGGTATCGATTTAAATATGACGAACCCGTAAGTCCAATGGCTACCACTCGAATTATTTGATGATAATTCTAATGATGATTATCCAAATGAGGATTGGATTAAAAGAAGAGTGGATGAGGAAGGTAGAAACAGAAAACTATATGCAATTTGTTTGTTGAAAGAAGATGGTATTTATGAAGCAAGAAGATGTGAAATAATTGAATACAGAGATGGATTATTTTATGGGAAATTGAAAGAGAAGGATGGAAGGGATATCAAGGCCCATAGATTGTATATTTGTTTTGATGCTGAAGACCCTCGTAAATTTGTTAAAAGATTGGGGACAGCATTGAAAAATAGAGAACTTGCAGACAGCAGAGTAAGATATAATTATTTTATCGATGGAATGCCAATCCAAGATTTAAGTGAATTGGATACAGAATAAAAAAGAAGATTGGAATAATTGGCTAAGACAAAGAAATTAGAAAACTTAGATACCACAGCTTTGATTGCAGAAGTTAATTATGATTATATGAGAACAATGAATAAAATCATTTTTGATAGATATTTAGAATATGAAGATGAAGAATTGAATTTATAAATAGATGAAGATATATCTAAATAAGTACCTTATTATGGGATGTTCCCAGTGAGTAAGGAGAAATAATTAGAGATGTATAACCCAAGGGAAATCACTTAAATTGATCCAAAGAATTTCAGAGAAACTTTCAAGGATTTTTGTTTCAGCACTCTCTTTATTAAAACTGAAGTGATAAGAGCATTATAAGAGATAAGATATGAATGCAATAAGATGTAAGAATTTGAGATCTTCAATTTCCAAATAGACAAAGTGATGGTTTTAGAAGAATTTAAACATGTGCAAGAGAGTTCAATCTCATAAATGCTTTATTCTTTAAGAGGGTCTTGGATTTAGGATTTATTAAAAATCATGAAGACCTACTTTTCGGGAGTTGGCAAAGGATGGTTTAACATGAAGGAATCAAATAAGATCACTTATGATTTTGGTAAATTGAAAAGATTCTTAACTGTTGTAAGATTGATGATGTAGGATACTGTACAGAGTTTAGTCGAAAACAATTATAATAGATTTGTTAATTATTTGAAATCATTCATTCCTGACGAGGTCAATGTGGATGATCCATCCAATATCATCAATAAATATAAAGTAATCGGAGTGAAACCAATATTTACAATTGATATGATTAAAACTAACGATGATAAAGAATTTCTTTATTCAACCTCTCCCATGAATTTTGTTAATATGATCATCCAGTTATTTGACAAGACTCTTGATGAAATTACTAAGGTACCTGATTTAGAACCTAAATTACTTACTGACCTGTATAAATAGAAAACAGATTCGTTCATTAAAACTCCAGTGAAACCAAAGGAAAGACCATAGACTCCAAATCCAAATGAAAGACCAAAGAAGTTCCCAGATGAAAATAAATGGATCTGGCTGTTGGTGGAACACATCAGGGAAGAATTGATTAGAGGAATTAAACCCTTGGAGGATTATCTAAAAATATTTGAGAAATTCAAACCCATTTTGTAGATGAATCCTGATGATGAAATTAGAAGAATTGAGATGGATGATAATCCTTGGGAAATTGATTAACTTAAAGAAGAAATATTCAAATACAATAAAATGGAAGAAGAACTCAAAACTTAAATTCCTGATATTGTAGAAGTTTCAATATTTTAAGTTTAATGTAGAGAAATTAAAATGTATTTGTGTGAGAAATACTCCATGATTAGCAAATTATTGGTTGATATGATAGCAAGGAGAGCAAGAAAGAAGACAATGGAGATCTTTTAAGAATATTAGAGAATATAGAATAAAATTAAAGAGAACCCTAATAACATTGAAAAATTAACAGATATCAAAGAGTTTATGTAAAATTTACCCAATGAAGTTGATAAATTGAAAATAGAAACTTAGAAGTGTTTTGATATCTATAAAATATTAGATGAATTTAGTTATAGAGGATTTTAGAAGGAAGATTTGGATAGAAAATGGTATGTATTTGGATGTCCCAAAGATACTTTTGATTTGGTAGCAAAAAGACAAAAAGATATGGAAAAGGAGAAAGTTAAATTTTAAGATGAAATGAAAGTTTAATAGGAAGAGTTTAAAGAGAGCATTGATAATTTGGAAAGAACCATCCAAAATTTCAGTCAACATCAAGCTTTGAAAAGTCATGCTGAAATTGCATAAACTGCATAAGATGTTAATAAATACTTAGCAGAATTCCAAGACTAAGCACGCAAGTTTAATTCTCGAGAAGCCTTATTTGATTAAGAATAAACTGATTACAATAAAATCACTCTACTTTAAAGAGAATTTCTACCCTACAGCAATCTATGGATAACCACAAATTAATGGTTTACTAATTCTGAATCTTGGATGAAAGATGAATTGCCAACAATAGATGCTGTTTCAGCTGAAAAATGGGTGGAAGAAGCCATCAGAATTTTAACTGGTGTTTGCAGGTTTTTTAAGGAAAAAGAGCTCTAAGGAGTATTAAGAATTGCTACTTCAATTAAGTAACAAATTGAAGAGTTTAAACCAAAGGTTCCATTATTGGTTGCACTTCGTAAACAAGGGATGAAGGAGAGACATTGGTTAGAATTGAAAAATAGAATTGGATTTGTTAAACCTTAACCAGAAAGCGAGTTCACATTTACAAAGGTATTAGAAATGGGATTAATGCAAAATGTTGAAGTTTGTGTGGAAGTTGGAGAAAAGGCCCAAAAGGAATACATGATTGAAACAATGTTAGATCAAATGGAAACAATGTGGGAAGGAATAAACTTCTAGTTATTGCCTTACAAAGCAATTACATTTATCATTAGAGGTTACGATGAAATTCAATAAGTACTCGATGAACATATTGTAAATACTTAAGCTATGTCTTTCTCGCCTTTCAAAGGTCCATTTGAAGATAGAATCAATAATTGGAATACAACTCTCAAAATGACCTCAGATGTATTAGAAGAATGGTGTAAATGTTAAGCCTAGTGGATGTATCTCTAACCTATTTTTGATTCACCAGATATTGCAAAATAATTACCTGCAGAAACTAAGAAATTCAAAACAGTTGATTAAACTTGGAAGCATACAATGACATAAGCAAAGACATACGCTCAAGTCTTACGAGTTTGTACTTAGGAAGGCTTACTGGAAAGATTGTAGGAAGCAAATAAAAATTTAGAAATCATTTAAAAAGAACTTAACAATTATTTGGAAAAGAAAAGAGAAAAATTTGCAAGATTCTATTTCCTATCTAATGATGATTTACTTGAAATCTTATCACAAACTAAAGAACCAACTGCAGTTTAGCCACATTTAAGAAAGGTTTTTGAAAATATCAACTCAATAGAATTTGATGATGCAAAGAAGATTCATGCAATGTATTCAGCTGAAGGTGAAAAAGTAGGATTTGTTAAAGTTTTAGACCCAAATAAAAAAAATGTTGAAGATTGGATGGGAGAAGTTGAAGATATGATGAAATTGAGTGTGAGATAGGCATTAATAAATAGTGTTTCTGATTATCAAGTGAAACTAAGACATGAGTGGGTGTAATTACATCCTGGATAGTGTGTTTTGAATGGTTCTCAGATTCTTTGGACAAAAGAAGTGGAGCAAGCTATAAAAAGCAATAGTGTTATGGAATATTGGGAGAAAACTTTGAAAGCTTAAATCAATAAACTGGTTGAATTAGTAAGAACCAAATTAACTAAGTAATAACAAACTACTATCAATGCATTAATTGTTATTGATGTTCATGCAAAGGATGTTGTGGAAAAATTATTTAAAGAAAATGTTACTGATGTCAGTGCTTTTGAATGGATTAGTTAGTTGCGATATTATTGGGAAAATGAGGATTGTTTTGTTAAATGTGTTTAAACAAATTTCCCATATGGTTATGAGTATTTGGGAAACACTCTAAGATTAGTGATCACCCCTTTAACAGATAAGTGTTATATGACTTTGATGGGTGCCTTAAAATTAAATTTGGGAGGTGCTCCTGCAGGACCAGCAGGTACTGGAAAAACAGAATCAACTAAAGATTTAGCAAAAGCATTAGCTAAATAATGTGTTGTGTTTAATTGTTCTGATTCGATGGATTATTTAATGGTTGGTAAATTCTTTAAAGGATTAGCAAGTGCAGGTGCATGGTGTTGTTTTGATGAGTTTAATAGAATTAATATTGAAGTGCTATCTGTGATTGCATAATAATTATTGGTATTGTTTGGAGAGAAGGCAAAAGGAACTCCACAAATAGAATTTGAAGGATCAATTATTAAAATCTAACCCACTTTTTCAGTTTTTATTACAATGAATCCTGGTTATGCTGGAAGAACTGAATTGCCTGATAATCTAAAAGCCTTATTCAGAGGTGTAGCTATGATGGTTCCAGATTATGCTTTGATTGGAGAAATTATGTTTTATTCATTTGGATTTGAATTGGGAAGAGAATTGGCTAAAAAGATGGTTGCAACATTTAAATTGAGTTCAGAATAATTAAGTTCTCAAGACCATTATGATTATGGAATGAGAGCTGTTAGATCAGTTATTAATGCTGCTGGTATTTTGAAATAATAAAATCCCAATATGGATGAAGAGTAACTATTATTAAGAGCATTGAGAGACGTTAATGTTCCTAAATTCTTAAAGGATGATCTTCCTTTGTTTGAGAATATTATTAATGACTTATTCCCTGGAGTTGAAAAGCCAGTGTATTCTTATGGAGATTTATTGGAAGACTTAAACATTTGTTGTTAATAGTAGAATTTATAAAATGTAAAGGTGTTTATTGATAAATGCTTATAACTATATGACACAATCTAAGTTAGACATGGGTTGATGTTGGTAGGTCCAACTGGAGGTGGTAAAACATCTACAATTACAACTTTACAAAAGGCTATGTCATGTAAACTGAAGGTACATACTCATATATTAAATCCAAAATCTATAACAATGGGTTAATTGTATGGTCAATTTAATGAATAAACTCATGAATGGACAGATGGTGTCTTAGCTTATATAGTGAGAGAAACAGTAAAAGATGAATCAGGTGAGAAACATTGGGTTGTTTTTGATGGACCTGTAGATGCCTTATGGATTGAATCCATGAATACTGTGCTAGATGATAATAAGAAATTATGTTTAAACTCTGGGTAGATCTTAACATTAACCCCATACATGACTATGATGTTTGAAGTAGAAGATTTAGCAGTAGCATCACCAGCTACAGTCAGCAGATGTGGTATGGTTTATATGGAACCAGAGGCATTAGGATATCAAGTATTGATTGATTCCTGGATCAATAGATTACCAGAAACTATCTTAGTTAAAAGTAAAATAATCAAGAACAAACTAATAAACTGCTTTAAATAGTATCTTGATCCAACGATTGAATTCTTAAGAAAATCAATTATAGAGATAGTCACATCCTCGAATAATAATTTAGTGTAATCTTTAATGAGAATTCTTGATTGCTATTTGGCCTAATATGTAGATACAGAATTAAAGAAGATAATGGTGGAGGAAATGGAATAATTGGAGGCTGCCTTAGAGAAATTGTTCTTCTTTTCACTTACTTGGTCAATTGGTGCAACTGGAAATAATAGATAAGGATTTAATGACACTTTAAAATCCTTGGCAAAATTTGATAAACCAGAAGATTTTTATGAAGTTTATCTTGACATTCCAAACAATACATTCATTCCTTGGAATCAAATGTATCAAAATTTTAGTATTGATTCTAAATTAGCATACCATGAGATCATGATTCCAACTGCAGATTCAACTAGAAATATGTACTTATTGAAATTACTATTGTCAAATAATAAAAATGTTCTTAATCCTGGACCTACAGGAACTGGAAAGACTCAGAATATCTTTAGCCTTCTAACCACTGGAATGGGAGATGATTTCTTATATATAGCTCTAACTTTCAGTGCATAAACATCAGCCAATTAAACGTAGGATACAATAGATTCCAAGTTAGAGAAAAGAAGAAAAGGTGTTTTTGGTCCTCCAATCAGACAGAGAATGATTATCTTTGTAGATGATTTAAATATGCCAAAGAAAGAATAATACGGTGCATAACCACCATTAGAATTACTTAGATAATATTTGGATTACAAAGGTTGGTATAATAGAAAAGAACTATCTTTTATGAAAATTGAAGATGTTATTATTCTTGCTGCTATGGGTCCTCCTGGAGGTGGTCGTACATTTATTAGTAATAGAGTAGTCAGACATTTTAATGTGATAGCCTATAATGAACTCAGTAATAATTATATTTCAGAGATTTTCAGTTCTCTGATTACATTCTTCTTAAAAAGATTCAATGAACCTATTAAAAACTCGATTCAAACTTTGGTTTAAAGTGTGTTAACATTTTATTAATAAGTAAGATCAACAATGTTGCCAACTCCAGCTAAATCTCATTATACCTTCAATCTAAGGGATATTTGGAGAGTGTTTCAAGGTATAAGTTCAGCTGCTCCAAAGACAACTCCAGATGTAGTGGCATTAGTTAAGATATGGTATCATGAGAATTTGAGAGTATTTCATGATAGATTGACAACCGAAGAGGATAGACAAGAACTAAAGAACATGTTAAAGATTGGATTTACATAGTTTGGAGTCACTTCTGAATAGGTATTAGATTCAGAAAGAATAATCTTCGGAGATTTCATGTAATCCCGAGATGCAGATATCAAAGTATATTAATAGATTCCAGATCTTCATTAACTAGTGAATAGAATGGACAATTATTAAGAAGATTATAATTCTGATAACACATTTATAATTGGTGGATCCAAAAAGCAAATGAGATTGGTTATGTTTGTGGATGCAACTGAACACATATCAAGAATAGCCAGAATCATAAGATAGCCCTAAGGTAATGCACTGTTACTGGGAGTTGGAGGTAGTGGTAGATAATCTCTGTCTAGAATGGCTACTTTTGTCACAAACTATAAGTTATTCTAAATTGAAGTTATCAAGAATTACTCAATGAGGAGTTGGAGAGATGATGTGAAAAAAGTATTGATGATAGCTGGTATTGAAAATAAGCCAGTAACTTTCTTGTTTTGTGATACTCAAATAATTAATGAATAGATGTTGGAAGATTTGAACAATGTCCTAAACTCTGGTGATGTTACTGGAATATATTAAGAGAAAGATTTTGAGGATATTACTTAAGCATGCAAGTAAGAATGCATTAAGAGACAAATACCCCCTACTAGAATGAATATATTTACATAGTATTTGATTAGGGTGAAGAAGAATATCCATTTAATTATTGCTATGTCACCATTGGGAAGTCAATTTACTACTAGATTGAGAATGTTCCCATCTTTGGTAAATTGCTGTACAATTGACTGGTTTACTGAATGGCCAGAAGAAGCCTTGATAGGTGTTGGAAAGGGACAATTGGCAGATTATGAATAAGAATTAGCAATCGAAGGCAAGATACCAGTTTTGGTTGAAATGTTCAAGAATCTTCATAAAAGTGTAGAGAAATTGTCTCAGAAGTTCTTGGCTGAATTGAGAAGATATAATTATGTTACTCCAACTAGTTATTTAGAATTGCTATAATTATATAGAACAATATTATCAGACAAGAGAAGAGATCTCAATCAATAGATACAGCGTCTCAAAGGAGGATTGGATAAGTTGATAGCTGCTAACGATGCAGTGGAAGAGATCAAAATAACTTTGAAGGATATGCAGCCAAAACTAGAATAAGCTAGTATTGATACAATTAAAATGATGGAGAAGTTGAAGGTGGATAAATAGGAAGCAGATGATACATAAAAGATAGTTGCCAGAGAGGAATCAGAAGCTACTAAACAATAGGAGGAAGCTACTCAATTGGCTGCATAAGCAGAAGCATCTGTGGCTGATGCAAACAAAACATTAGAATTGACAATTGCTGAAGTCTAGAAATTGAAAAAGGAACATCTAGTGGAAATTAAGAGTTTGGGATCTCCACCTAATGCTGTCAAAGTCACTTTAGCAGGTGTGGTTATATTGATGCAAGATTATATTAAATAAAATGGAGGTGAAATTATATTGACAATGAAAGAAGGATAAATTGGAGGTAAAAAAGAAGAAAACTTTTTCGAAACTGCAAGAAAGTATTTGTTAAGTGATCCACAAAAATTATTAGAATAATTATTAAAATATGATAAGGATTCTACTAATCCTGCTCATATCAAAAAGTTGGAAGAGAAAGTCATACCTCAACCAGAATTTAATATTGATGCAGTCAAGAACTGTTCTTTTGCTACCAAGTTCTTGTATATGTGGGTAAAGGCTATGTATGACTATTATCGAGTTTATACTGAAACAAAACCACTCAGAGATCAATTGGTTGCTATGAGGAAGATTGTGGAAGAAAAAACAGCAGAACTCAAAATAAAGAAAGAGGAATTAGAAAAAGTTAATGCAAAAATAAGAGAATTGGAAGAGATGTATAATCAAAAGATATTAGAAAAAGAGGATCTCTAAAATAAAATGAAAGAATGCGAAATCAAATTAGAAAGAGCCTAGAAATTAACTGAAGGATTATCAGAAGAAAAGGAAAGGTGGGGTAGAGATATTAAGTCTTTGTAAGCCAAAGTAGAATTACTCCCAGGTGATTCAATTGTAGCTGCAGGTATGGTTGCATACTCGGGTCCTTTCACTTCCCATTATAGAACATAAATGGAAGGAGATTGGGTGTTGAAATTAGGAGTTGTAGGAGTAGCACATTCTGAAGGGGTCACAATGAGACAATTCCTTGGAGATGGAGTGAAGATTTAAGCATGGAATATTGCTGGATTACCGAAAGATGATACTTCAACTGAAAACGGAATTATTATTGATAAAAGTAGAAGATGGTGTTTGATGATTGATCCTTAGAATTAAGCTAATAAATTCATCAAAAATATGGGAAGAGATAATGCTGAGGGTATTGATGTGGTTAAAATATCAGATGTTAATTTGATGAGAACTCTAGAATTAGCTATTTAATTTGGAAAATGGGTTTTATTAGAAAATGTTGGCAGAGAATTAGATCCTTCATTGGAACCTATTCTCAATCAACAACTAGTCAAATCAGGCACTTCATTTACTATTACTATAGGTGATAAATAACTAACTTACAATGAAAAATTCAAGCTATATCTTACAACAACTATTCCCAACCCTCACTACTCTCCTGAAACATTTGTTAAAGTTACTATCATCAATTTTGCCATTACAGCCAGTGGATTGGAAGAATAAATGCTTGCATAAATTGTAGCTCTTGAAAACCCTGCTTTGGAATAAAAGAAGATTGAAATTGTTAAGAAAAATGCTGCAGATAAGAAACAATTATTAGCTATTGAAGATTCCATTCTCAAATCTCTTTCAGATTAAAAAGGAGATATCTCAGAAATCCTATTAGATGAAACTCTTATTAATAAGTTGCAAACTAGTAAAAGATTTGCAGCTGAAATCAACTAAAGAGTTAAGGATTCTAAAATAACAGAAGCATAAATTGATGAAGTTAGAGAATCCTATAGACCTGTAGCATTCAGATCCTCATTGTTATTCTTCTGTATCACTGATCTAGCTAATATTGATCCTATGTATTAATATTCTCTCTAATGGTTTACTAAACTATTTGTCTTGGGAGTTGAAAATGCCTAACCATCTTCAGTAATTGAAGAAAGACTGAAGAATTTAAATGATTACTTCACTTATTCGCTTTATGAGAATATCTGCAGATCATTGTTTGAAAGACACAAGTTATTGTTTTCATTTATGCTTTGTGTTAAAATTTTATAAGGAGCATAAATGATGGATGAAAAACAATGGAGATACCTTCTAGCAGGTCCTTAAGGAGATATTAAGATTGCTCATAATCCAACTGCTTGGATTTCTGATAATTCTTGGCCTGACATATACAGATAGATGAAAGGAATGTCAACTCTTGATGCTTTCAAAGGTTTTGATCAGTTTTTCTTGGATAATTCAGATTAATTTAAAGGAATTTGGGATTCTTCTTAACCGTAAAAAGAATAGTTGCCTGAACCTTGGTAAGGATAATTGACTTAATTTGAGAAATTAATCTTCTTAAAAGCTCTAAGACCTGATAAATTAGTGCCTGCAATTTAAGATTACATAGATTAATAATTAAGTCCCAAATTTACTATTCCTCCTACTTTTGATTTGGAGAAATGTTACAAGGATTCCTCCCCAATGTCACCTCTAATTTTTGTGTTATCAGCAGGTAGTGATCCAGTTGCAGACTTTCTTAAATTTGCAGAAGAGTAAAATATGGCCAAAAGATTTGATTCCATATCTTTGGGATAAGGTCAAGGGCCAAAGGCAGAGAGAATGGTTAAAGATGCAATTCAAAGAGGAGGTTGGGTGCTCTTATAAAATTGCCATTTAGCCATATCTTGGATGAGTGATTTGGAGCGTATTTGTGAAGAATTGAATGAAAATATTCATAAAGACTTTAGATTATGGCTAACCTCAATGCCTTCTAATTCATTCCCAATTCCTGTCTTGTAGAATTCAGTTAAAATGACAATTGAACCACCATAAGGAATTAGAGCTAATTTGATGAGAACATATAAGAACTTGGATGATAAGGAATTGAGTGATTGCACAAAATAAGACATTTTTAAAAAGCTACTCTTTGGATTTTGTCTGTTCCATGCAATTATTTAAGATAGAAGAAAGTTTGGTGCAATTGGATGGAATATCCCATATGAATTTACAAATGAAGATCTAACAGTCTGCAAAAGACAACTTAAAATGCTATTAGATGAGTATGACAAGGTACCATATAAAGTAATTCAATATTTGGGTGCAGAAATCAATTATGGTGGTAGAGTTACTGATGATAAAGATGTCAGATTGATAAAGACAATTATCAAGAAATACATCTGTCATGAAGCTTTAAGAGATGGATATAAGTTTTCAGAATCAGGAATCTACGTTTCTTTAGCTTCAACCAATTAGGAAGGATATCTTAATTACATAGAGTAACTTCCTTTAAATCCTGATCCAGAGGCATTCGGAATGCACGAAAATGCTGAAATTACTAATTCTTAGAATACAACAAGAGTGCTATTAGAAACTGTACTCTCCATTTAACCAAGGCAATCATCTGGTACTGGAAAATCAAGAGAAGAAACTATCGAAGAGATTGCCACCTTTGTTTAGAGTCGCACACCAGAAGTTTTACCTTTTGATGATATTTTCAAGAAATACCCTACTTCCTATGAAGAATCCATGAACACTGTGTTGGTTCAAGAGGTTATTAGATATAATAGGTTATTGGCAACAATGAAGGAATCCTTGATCAATGTTAAAAAGGCTCTAAAAGGTCAGATTGTCATGTCAGACGAACTTGAAAGTCTTGCCAACTCACTATTTGATAATTAGGTTCCTCTAATGTGGGCTGATAAAGGATTTCTCTCTTTAAAGCCTCTTTCTAGTTGGACCAATGATCTCTCAGCAAGAATTAACTTCCTGTAATCTTGGGTTGATAATGGAACTCCAAAGGTCTTCTGGATTAGTGGTAACTCATTTGTTCATAATCTTAGGTTTCTTCTTCCCATAAGCGTTTCTCACTGGATCATTACAGAACTATGCTAGAAGACATGTGATTGCCATAGATAAACTGAATTATGAATTTAAGATCCTTGATACTCTTTCACCATAAGATATAGAAGAGAAACCAGAAGATGGATGTTATGTTTTCGGTATTTCATTGGAGGGAATAAGATGGGATTACAAGAAACACTTTATTACTCATCCTAGACCAAAGGAATTGTATTCGGAATTGCCATTAGTTTGGTTATTACCTTGTATAGAGAAGGAGTATCCAAAAGATCTAGTTATTTATTAATGTCCACTTTATAAAGTAGTTTCAAGGTATTTAAAACTCTTATTTCTTTAGAGCTGGAACCTTGAGTACCACTGGACATTCAACCAACTTTGTCACTTTTCTTGAGCTTCCATCCAAAGATTCTGAAGAGCAATGGATAAGAGCAGGTGCTGCAGCATTCTTATCATTAAGATATTGAATAATATATATAAACAGACATCAAGTTATAAAATATATTCTATTTCAATTGTTTATCAAGGCTAATTTTTAGAGAAATTGCAATTTCATTATATGCTATTCCATGACATAACATACGCAAAAAAATTATGGTCATTATAATAATTGCCTATATAATGACCATAATATTTTCTTTATAAAATAATTACTACAAACGAATAGTAGTTCCCATAATTTTGTTCGTCCTATCCTTGATTAATCATCAAAAATAGCTCCTAAAATACTATTAGAAATATTGAGCGAATAAAGGAAACCTTTAGATTCCCTTAAATTCTTCTTTATTGCAAGTTTCTGATACAAACAGTTTAGAATCTGATGAAAATTTTGGTAAAAGGAACTCTATAAAAATACATTCAATTATATTAAAACTTAAATCTTATCATCAATAAAGTAAATTTTATAAGTATTTAATCATATATCATCTATTATTTCCTGTAAAGTGTAATACATTTATTGTGGTTTCTCAAAAATTCTATAATTGTTTTAAAAACTCTACTGAATTTTGACTCAAAAGATGGTATTCTATCATCTGAGAATAGAAACAATTTAAAATCTGTTTTCAAAAGTAATACAAAAAAATGTTTTTTGCTTAGCATAAAAGTGAAGATAATTAAATGCAAAGAAAAATCAATTATTATCAAATATTCTTAGATTTATGCAAACAAAAAATAGAAGAGCATATAGATGTTAATAAAACCTATTTAAACTCAGATGATTTCATAATATAAAATTATTATTTATTATGCTTAGACAAATATATCTATTATCTATATTGATATTGATATATTAATATGATTTATCTCTCAGAAACACTTTCTGTGAACAATGGTTGGACCGCTTTCGTCGTATTCGCTTCTTGTGATCCACATGGCTTGGAATGTTGACAATGATGATAAAATTGATCCTCCGATCCAGACTGAGAATTTTCTTTCAGGTGGGGCAACAACTTTGATTTTCATTGATGATGGGGCAAGGGATGTTAATTCTTTGCTCAATCTTTCTGGGATTCCTGGGAACATGGTTGTACCTCCGGACATGACAACGTTTCCGTAACTAAAATATAAGTTTAAAATTCATACAGGTCCTTTCTGACATCAATATCGCACTTCATAATTGATTTGAATGTTAATTCGTGGATACCTGCGACTTCAAGACCAATGAAGTTTGGTTTGAAGAGTAATTCAGGACATCTGAATCTTTGATTTTAGATGACAACAACGTTTCCATCTGGTAATTCATAGGGTCTGTTGTTGGCAGCACTCTCCTTGTATTTCTTCATTTCCTCTTCGTAGTCAAGAGCAACGTAGCACAATTTCTCTTTCATGTCTCTAACAATTTCCATTTCAGCTGATGATGTGAATGAAACACCCAATTCATTCAAGATGTTAACCAAATATTGGGTGCAGGCTCTTCCTGCCAAGTCAATTCTGAGAACAGCATGTGGAAGGGCATAACCTTCGTAGATTGGGACTGTGTGTGAGACACCATCTCCAGAATCAACAACGATACCAGTTGTTCTTCCTGAAGCATAGAGTGAGAGCACAGCTTGAATAGCAACGTAGAATGATGGCACGTTGAATGTTTCGAATAAGATTTATGTCATCTTTTCTCTGTTGGCCTTTGGATTCATTGGAGCCTCAGTCAAGAGAGCTGGGTGGTCTTCTGGTGTGACTCTCAATTCGTTGAAGAATGCATGATGCCAAATTCTTTCCATATCTACATAATTTATAAACACATTCTATACCATCCCAATTATTGACAATACCATTATCGATTGGGTACTTGAGTGCTAAAACACCTCTCTTGGCTTAAGCCTCATCACCGACGTAGGCTTCCTTGCTGTCCATACCAACCATAATTCCTTGATGTTTGGGTCTTCCTACAACTGCAGGGAAACAGCATCTTGGAGCATCATCTCCTGCAATACCGGCCTTGCATTATCCGGATCCGTTATCAATAACAACTGCTGGGTGTTCTTCAGACATGTGTTTACAGATAAATAAAAGATATTATTGATTACGATGGCATTCCTTTCACCTTTTTCTAGAGCAAATTAAATCAATTAAATCTTGTCAAGTACCCCCATAATATTTATTTATATTAAAATATTCTGTATAATACACAACCTCCCACATCTCAGCCTTGCTAATTTGCAGAATTTAACTATATGGCACATTCCATTAAAAAATTCAGTTTATATTAAACAAAAGTATTGCTAAATGAAAATATATATTAAAATATTAATTATAATTAATATGGAATTAAGAATTTCTTTCTCATTCCTCATTAATTAAACCTAAATACATTTTCTAATGTCTTATTCCACAAAATCAATTTATATTCTCCATTGAACATTTAAATAATTGCGCACCCACCCTTATGTTCTTGATGGATATAAAAAAGTGTATAAAATGAGGAATTAAGTCTTTGTTTTATTGTTCTTCCACCATTTTATTATATGGTGTAAGTATTAAGAATTTATTTTACACAATTGATTATTATTTATTATTAAAAGTTCTTTAATTTTATGACTAATAATATAAAAATAGCAGTTTATAAAGTATGAATTTTTTATAATTAAAATATGTAATAAGCACATATTAACTTTGACAATTTCAGCAACAACTATTGCTTGCCTAAAATTAAATCATTAGATCTACTGAAACCTGTCTCTTTAAAAGTTATGAATAACTTTCATATTCCAGATCGCAAGATTTTATAACAACATATGAAACCGAAGAAATCATAATTGTAAGATGTTTTGTAATAATTGAATAATAAAAATAACTTTAATTTTAATATCCATACTTACAATAGAACACCAACTTTAGAAAAGGAAATCTCTAATAAAATACCCAAAATAAAATTGAAAATTATACCAAGAGAAGAAAATGATTCTAAATTGAGTTTGGATAAGTTTACTTTTAAAGACCCTAACACTCCCCGCCCAAATAAGATTTATATGAAACAAAAAGGATTGGATAATTAGCAAAAAAGCTTATGCTCTAATAGTAAGGTATCATTAAAATTGAAAACTTAATAAATGGAATAGTTAAGAAGCATATAATCAACTGTTCTGTATTATTTATCAAAATAAAATGATAAATTGGATCATCATTTTGATTAACTTGAAAATTAATTAGTATTTTGATTTAACTATTATTATTTTACTTTATATTTTTAATAAGAAATAAATATGTTGATTACCATTTTCGACTTATAAAACATTAATCTGAAGTGATATCGATTTCTTCTAATATTCTACAATTTAATGTTTATAAATAATCTTATAATGAAGTATCTATAATCAGAGTTAGATTTTTATTTATTGATAAATTAAAATATTGAATTTATTTATTTATCTCATCTTAATTTTTGGAAGAACAAATTATGAGATTTATGGTGATAAAATTTAAAGGGAATATTATTATTTTTCTTAATTATGGAGATTCCTTTGGCTGCCACTTTTTTAGGTATATTTGGATGGAATATCTATTAACTTGTGAAAAAGTACAATGCCAAAAGAAGATAAAGCTGTTTAGTAAAATTAATAGAGGATCAATCTAATTCTCTAATAATGACTTTATATCCCTATAAGAAAAGGAAATTAAACGAACCTTAAGAGATAGTTAAAGAGAGTCCTCAAAAAGTTGAGATTAAAGAAGATAAGGAATAGAATGAACCTAATCAATAAGAGAGAATTCAGACTGTTTTAGAATAAGTGGAGTATTAAAGATTTCAAGAACAGGATTATGTAGATAATGCCTAGACCTTTGATTCAATAGTTTCTACTAAAAATAAAGATGATATACAGAAAAACAAATAAAATCAGGATTTTTCATTCACAAGCCAAAATCAAAATTAAACTCTTGATGATTAGAATTATAATATTCATGATGTCAATAATCCTCTTAGCGAATTAATTAATTCTAATTTGGTGGACAAAGAAATCACTAATTTTACTTTTACAAATGCTAAGGATTAATGTGAATAAAGAGAAGATGATCTAAACTATAATAACACTAATGAAAAATTTGAATTAAATCCTAATGATGATGAAATTATCAGTGCTCATCAAAATTACGAATTTAATTCAATAGATAAGAATTGTGAATAATCAATTCTATTATAGGGAAATAATACAATAGGTTAATTTTAACATAAATTTCAGAATTATGATGCATATTCAAATTGTTATAATCAAAATCAAGAAGAAGCAGTATTACCTTTCTTTCCTTCAAATAATTAAGCAATCACTTCTTAATAACCCTCTCATTTCGTTTAAAATTCATATTAATCTAAATATGATGTTCCAAGTTTATAGATTGATGTTCTTAATTAATCATAGTAATAATAATAGTATTAAAATAAATTTAATTGTTAACACTTTGCCAATTGTTTTGTATCCAATTCCCAACCTATTTATTCGTTCAATCATATTTAACAATCCAGCCAAATACATAACCCTTTGCATTAAGGAACTCAAAATAATTAATTGAATATAGGTTAAATGCATAATTAAAATTCATTATATGCATAACCTAGTTTTGGTGAATAAAAATAAGATACTAGAAATTAAAATGTAACATTTTAGAATATCCAACCTAAAGAAACTACTGAAACAGCAGGGTTTGAATTTAGCTTTAAAAAGAAATAAACTAAATTTGATTAGATTAGGTTGGAATAGAATGAAAGCTAAAAGTCCTCTTTCATATAAAATCCAGAATAAAGATCAATTAAAGGATAATCAATGTTCAGTACTAGTTCGAGTGCTAATTAATCTAATTTACAGAAGGATCTAAAAGTAAATCACATAAATGACTTTTCATTTTATTTACAACTATTGGGAGGAGGAGGAGGATTCAATAGTAAAGTGACCGTTCCATCAGGAAATTTGTTATCCTTATTGCTGAATAATTGATTATGATATAGTGTATAATTTAAGATTTAATTTCTTACAATCAATCTGATAAAAAACAATAACTTAACCTTAAGAATGTTTAATACTAACAAATCATTCTTTAAAACCTTTTAGATGAACAATTATATAAATTATGGTGAATTTGACTTCCTTTATTATATTAATATATTCTGAACTCAAATTGAAGATTTTAATTCATGGTTATTTCAGAAAAAATTATTAAAACTATACGATTGGATATTTTAAGTTCTAAAAATAGGATTTAGTTTAAATTGAAAATTCAAAATCTTTTGTTGTAATGGCAATTTTGATGAATGTGAAAGAAATAAAAGCAGTATTTTCAAAGTTGAACTATAAGAGAAATGTCTAATCTTATATTTGCAACTTTAATTATATCTAAATTCAATCAAATACTGAAATAAGTAATTTACAATTTAATATCATACTAATAATCTTCAATGAATTTTTGATATTTGAATAGCTATATTACTATGATTCTATTCATAATCTATTATATTTTCAATAATTGTCACAAACCAGGAATCTTAAATTTTTGAGTTAAAATGTGAGAATATTTATTCGGATATATTTTATACAATTAATTCATAACCAAATAATGCGGTTTATTGTTAAAGTAAACACTAAGAGATTCAATGATTTTATCTCAATGCTTATATTTTATCCAAAATTATGCTCATTGTTTTAAAAAAGTTACTTGTACAGCAAAACAGTTTATTTAAATAATCAATCAGAATAATCTTTATGCATTATTTCACTTTAGTTTATGTTTTCTTAATTATTCATTATATCTATATCTAATTAGCAAATCATTATTATATCATCAAACACTTTGATAATCAAGATTATTAAATTCTATATCTCAAAGTTTCAAGTTACTTAATTTTTATCTTCTTAAAAAAAAATCAATATTTTGGATCAAATTTGGTAAATAAAATACAACTTTAATTTGGAATTATAAATTTAAATGCTGAAAGTTTATTAATTAGAAAATTATTCTGAGTGGTTTGTTAAAAATATAAAAAGCTAGTAATAGTAGATTTAGTTAATATCATTAGATAAAAATGCAAAAGAGATTACTTTTAATATAATACCTAGCTTATCAAATAAAAATTTTAAATGAAATATAAAAAGTAATTTACTCTACAAAAATAGCCTATGAATAAAGTTATCTAAATTAAAGTATTAGGCATTTAATTAATCTTAGAAATTTTAATAAAAGTAATTATGTTCAAAAAGATGGTATTTAATAATCAAAAATTTTAATATAATTTATATTTTATAAAGCTTTTTCTATGGAAAAGAGGAAATCTATTAGATTATGTATTTGATTCATCCATTTGGGATAATATTCTTGATTTAATTTCTGATTTTAATTCAACTATCTCAATGCAATTTTGCTTTTCTGATTGTTTGTATAAACCAATTTCCTTTTATATGGAATTTGATAGGTATTATTTGCTTGACTTATTATATTGCTATAATAACAACTGGAATAGATAATAATTTCAGGATTAGTTCTAGTAAATTTAGCATTGAAGTGATTTATTAATTAATTTTTATTAAAATAATTTGTATATTTATATATTTCATATTTGTATAATATTATATAATTACAAAAAGTATAGCTTATAGTTAAAAAAAAAACTCTTCATTAATTAAAACAAGCCCTTCAATCAATAGGTTATTCGAACTTTAATTTACTATAATAAGAATGGAACTATATTATTATTAATTTTTGTATTTATTTATGATTGATACAGGAAAAACAAATAAGTATTTACACACTCCATTTGAAATGTTTTTGATGGTCATAATAACTGCAGTTTCGAATGGTGTAATGATCCCCTAAATCATTTACACATACAAAATTAAGAATGTACACACATTATTCCTCTCTGTATTATTATTTGTGTCCTCATTCATGTATCATCTGTCTGAAAGTATAGGAGTTGAGCCAATTATATTAAAAGAGGTTGATTGGCATCAACTCGACAATATTGCATCAATTTGTGGATTGGTATTCAAAATGATCTAAAATTTAGATGGAATTGTTCAATTACTTAATGCAAAATAGTAGAAGCACAAGGAAATCGATTTAATGGATCAATTTTATTGTTGTTGTAATTATATAAGAATCACATGCATGGAATGTCTGGGCAACTGTAATTCCAATCTTAGTTAGTCTAGTCATTTTTATAATCAAATAAACATTTTACCCAAAGAAGGGTTAAATAGTAAATAAGGATTACCTTCATAAAGGATTATTCTACTTATTTATTGGATTTGTTGCATTTTATTTCGGTTTGGATGAATATAAAGATTATTTGAGGCTTTGGCATGGATTATGGCATTTAGCAATGAATCAGGCTTATTTTCATTTGTATCAATTATTCAATCCTAAAGTGTATACATTTTTGGAGTGCTGGGATTTAAAATAACAATATGCCAAAGAGTGATGAAAATTGATATCAATAAATAAAATTTGGTTGTTTAAAGAAACAAATTTATATATTAATTTGGTCATACATTTTTAATTTTTTTTTAATATAAATATGTGAAGTGTTGCAATAGATTAAATAGTCCTTGTTTGATATAATTAAATTAACAATATTTTATATTATTTTAGTATATAATAAATTAAACCAGATATTTAGATGTAATATGGATTGATATATATAAATAGAGTGTTTACATTTAAAGATTGAGTTCTTATGAAGTATTGTAGTAATGAAGATAAACTTATATAACAATAATTAATCTTAAAATTAATTGATAGAGTAAGTTTCAACGTACTTTGCATCTTTGTGTCCAATACCCAATTTCTTATTCTTATTGTTGTATAAGTTTATTTAAATTAACTTTGATTTCTAATCTCCTCATTGGAGAAGGAGCCATTGAAGGATTTGAAAGGGATCTAAGAAGCATAGAGGGAGAACATGTGCTAACATAAAGGGATACAATTACTTTTAGACTGTGGTTGGTGATGACATCTAAGAAGGATTTTTTTTGATTTGCTTAGGCTTCCTATTAAATTTAATAGCTTACTAAATAAACTTGATATTTTTTCTTTTTTTCGTTTTCTTTTTCAAATGTGCATGATTAGGCTGGACCTGTTTGAGGATGAGGCATCACACTTTTATAGGAAGCATGAAATTGATAATTGTCAGATTTATTTTTTGATTTCTTCATATTGGATATTAATTTGAGTAGCATTTCATCAGTAATCTATTTTTTTGATGAGCCAACATCTCCTCTATTAGTACCAATGCCACAACTGGAACCAAAAGCAGCAGCACAACGGGTTTCATTACGCTCTGTTAATATTTCCTTCACTTAAAAACGTTTTTACAATATTTAATCATATTTTTTCATTAAAGATTAAATGCTTGTTGATTTGTTGTTAGGAAGCGTTGTAGTTGAAGATTTAGCACTTTCTTGAAGTCTCAGAGGTGGAATAGGTACTTTAGGTTGGGATGGCTATTAACTTGATTGATTCTTCTTTTTGTTTGCACTAGAGGGAGGTTTCTTTTTGAGAGGTACTTTGGTAATGGATGACAACTAACGAGACGTTTAGGTATTGACTTCACAAATAAGAGTATCTATATCCTAATCATTTTCACAATTGAATAGTTTGTTATGATCGCCAGAGTTGTTAAGTATCGGATATTAGATAGGGGTTTTATTTATTGGTTGTGCCTGCTATGCTACACTTAGTGAAATCTCATAGATGTTATGCGATTTGCTGTCCCATGAAATTTGTTCCTTGGGATAGGAACTAAATAAGTATGTCGATACTACTCAGATACAGATTCAACATAGTTTTCACTAAAAATATGATCTGGAATCATCTTCTTAGTAATTGGTTGTTGATTCTAGTTATTTTATGCTTTTTATTGTAATTTTAGCAATTTATTTATTCTCTTCTCCATGAACTTATGAGCATTGACTTTGCATAAATTGGGCTAAGGGATCTTGAAATAGATTAATGAGCATAAATTAGTTACTTTATTTTACTCATAGTAGAAATTGCTAAGTAATTTAATTCTTGGGTCTTGTTCCTCTCTCTAATAGAATCGCTTAATATATTCATTTTCATCATGCAAATACAATTGGTCTTTAAATAGAATGACATGATCTACAGGAACATTTGCTAAAATTTCTGTTATGGGCTTTGCAAAATAAAAATTGAACTACTCAAAATATCTATAATTTCATATCTATCAAAATACTTCTAATGTATTTCTTTCTAGATAAACTTGTTTTGATTAATTTTGCAAAATTAACAGTTGAGATTGTTTAGTTGGTTATTCATTAAATTCAAAAATAAAATCAAATTTTATTAATTTTTCTTAACAATATATTTAATCAAAACTTGGAATATTTGAGCTTCTTCATCTCCTTGTCTTTCTGTTCTTTTTCCATCTCCAACTTCCTGGCCATTTTTTCTCTTTCCTTAATGGTTTGTCTTTCATCATTCCTATAATAGAATCAACGAATTACTCAATCATTAGCTTTCTTTGTTTTTACTCCTCTTCCATCAGTTCCTGCATTCTCCTTTTCATTTCTAATTCTGATTATATCTGATTTAATCTTTAATTGATTTCTAATTGCTTCATCAATTATTCCCCAGCCTTCTCTTCCTAATATATTCGTATTCTTCTGTCCCTCAATCTCTAAGCCTCAGCCTAACTCTGAGATTTTCTTTCAAATTAATATTTAATTAATTGTTCTCTGCTCGCATCTTCTATAGCTTTATTCTATGGTAAATAAACTTTGAATATATACAATTTAAAATTGATGAATTTTCCCCTCTTTCTCTTTGTTGATATGATTCTAGTATTCGTCAAACATCTTCTTATATTTATCCATATAAGCCAGCTTTTTCTTTTCTTTATTTTCAAACTTTTCTCTTCTTTATAGATCCTAAGAAACTAGAATTTACTTAAAATATTAAGGAACTTTACGTTAGCTCTATCAATCTTTTTTTGTTTCAATTCGTTCTATCTCTGTAACTATTACTTAGTCCATTCCTTTGATTCTTCGATGTACTTCAACTTATGTAAATTTTGCTATTCTTTCTTTTCATTTAATTCTTTTTGATGCTAATTAAACTTGTCCTTGTCATTTAATGCTGTCATTGATTTTTGTATGATCTTCAGAAAGTGTTCTTCCTTCTATTACTTCTATACTTCATGGAAATCCTTCAATAACGACATCTGTTTTTATAATTGTAATTCTTTTCTGGACATTTTCTGTTCTAAAACAGCCTATCTTTAGACTTAATCCTTTAGCACTCTTTCTTTATGCAATTAAAGTCTTTTAGAATTGCCCTCCTCTTGTTCCTTCAATACTCTTTATTGCCATAATTAGAATTCTTAGAGGTTCATCTCTGCCTTTTTTTATTTGGAATCAATTTCGTATCTGAATTTCTAAAACTCCTTTTCGCTTTCAATCAGCTTTTTCTGAATTGTATATTATTTCTCTATCCACTTTTAATTATGCGATTAAATCTGTTGATCCCTTTAAGCTCGGTAAAACTAAAAGCTACTTTGATACATTCTTGTTTGACCATCACTGGTACTTGATAACAATCCTCCTGTCTAAGCCATAGCATCAGTAGGTGCAGTTTCTGGTTTGATATTGGGTTAACTTTGAAGTCTTAAGAATCTTTATGATTTCTATTTTAATTATTCCAATTTATCTATTTCGAACATAATGGTATTGATATGCATATCAATATCTTTGATTAAACTCTAAAAATGTTCATTGGTCTTTGCATAAGGTTCTGCTTCTTTCCTTAATGTACCGAACTACATAATAAAGACTCTTACATCTTGAACCAAGGTAATTCTTTTCTCTATTTTGGATTGCGATATTTTATTGATCTTCTTTATTTTATCTAAATCATCCCACTTGAATCCTTCGATGTAGAGCAAATGAGTGATTGATTAGTCATGTTCTAATTCCTCAGTGTTGCGTTTCTCCAATTCCTTATATTGTTCGAGCAGTTGTTCCATTTGATGGCCTAATAATAATTAATATAAAATATATATATATAAATTGTGGGAACATACATAAATCACTAATCAGAACTCCTAAAATACATCTCTATAAGTTTAGAAATCCTTCTACAGACCTCATATGGATCCAAATATTCAGATGAATCTTCTTTCTTTTCCTTAAGTTCTTTATCAAGTTAGATTAGTTCTTCTGGTAAAAATCTTAATTTCTCAATATTAATTTATTGATCATCTTCAGTCTTATTATTTAAGAGTGATTTAACTTCATCCACCAATTTACACATCATTTTACTGATCTTATCTTTAAATCGATATTAGAATCTTCCTTTGATCCAATCGACTTGATTGGAATTGTTATCCATTCTTTTCGCTGTTGTTTAATTGTGTTTGTTAAAAATCTAAATATTTATAGAACTTTTACCTATTCTCGTAATTGATAATAGTGTCTCAACATTAAAATATCAATTTCACTAACTATTCGCATTCCGTCAACGGCCAAACTCTTCAAAGGCATAGCCTAGAAAGCATTGCTTTGGGGTATCATTTAAGACTGTAATAATTGATCAGCAATGGTTGTATTGAATTGATTGCTAAATAAGAAGTTTGAAAAGCTCGGCATAAGCTGAACACCGGTAGTTTGATACATATGAGGATGTGGATATCGGAGAACTTGCAATTCTAAATTATCCTTGGGATCTAGTAATCTCGATTCTCCTATGCTAAATGCTTCTGAATGCTTAGTTATTGTGCTTTCCTTCGCTAAGAATACATTTAAATTTTACCTCTTAGTGATTTAGGGCATGGTTGATTTTATTTATTATTCTACATATTATATTCAATATTTCCATAAATCCGATTTAATTTGCATTAAAATAGGTGGTATATCTTAGGTTTTTTAATAATAAAATTAAAACATTCTCAAACACAACTCTCTCATAAATTTAATATATAATAATGTATATTATTTTCTGAACTTGATTTTCATTAAAATAAATACTTGATTTTTATATAAATCATTAATAAAAAGATCATCAAATATATTAAATAAAATAATAATTTCTTTAAAATCCCCATTTTAAAGAAACATAACAAAAAAGCATCATGCATTTACATAAACACATCATATCACAATTAATTTTATAAAAGGTGAATTTTCAATACTTAAATAATTTAATATAACATCATAATCCATAAATACCAAGAAATACGGGTTTTGTTCGTTGCATTATTTTCAAACATTTTTCACCTATTAAAAAATTTAATAAAATATGAAGCTTGTAAATCAATCTTGTTCCATTAAATGAATGTCCTAATCCCCCAAGACTGCTCTAAAACTATGACAAGAGGGTTATTATTTATTTCCTTAGGATTATTATCACAATCTCGACCAACCCTATTAATTGATTAGAATTAGACTTAAATATTCCCATGCTTTTTTAATGCAATTTAGGAATCAAAACTAAGAGCGGTTTATCATAATTAATATAAATATTTGGATGTCTTCAGAAGATAGTAATTAGAAGAAGTCAAAATTTGAGTAATAATCAAAAAAATACAGAATACTTAGTATAGAAGATAAGCAAAAAATAATGAAAGTCTTGTAATATAATAATACTATTGACACACTTTCTACACTAAGCGCATAATATAAAACTTCAATTAAAAATCTTAGAAGATGGTATAATGAAGGTATAAATCGAAAACCTGGTTGTGGAAGGAAAAAATTGAATTTAGAAGCAGAAAAAAAATTATGTGTCTGGATAATTGAATAGAGTGCTAAATAAGGTAAAAGAGTAAGGAGAACTCAATTGAAAGACTAAGCAATATCTTTATTTAACGATAAATATTTTAAAGCTTCAAAAGCCTGGCAGGATGAGTTTATCAGAAACTATGATATCAAATATTAAGTTAATGAGATATTATACAAGAAAGGTATGTTAAATACTCTCTAAAAATAAAAATTCTTAGAAATGCAAGATAAAAGAAATGCAGAAACAAATGATAAGAATTCTGAAAATACTTCAAGTTCATCAAATCTTAATTAATCTCAAATACCTACATAAACAAAATCTGAAGAAAATAATAATAATTGTTAAACAAGTGCATTTTGTCAAGATGATTATCAATGGTTTTAAACACCATAATTTGATGTGAAATTTGAAGAGTCATTTAATTAATAATAATTTGAGATTTCTCCACAAGTTAATCCCCTAAACGAAGATTCATGGGATTATAAAATAAACTAAGAAGAATCATAAGCCTCTGAATTTGTTGGATTCAATTCAAAAAAATCAAAAAAATAATAAAAAAAGAAAAGAATTTATTGATTAGTATCCATTATATTAATTATTAATATTTTCCTATCCTTATAATGATATTGCAAATCTAAATCTAAATCACACTATTGAATTTAATTTAAATTATTATCATTTTAAATCTACTTCATTATTTAATATGCATTTTGTATTTAAAAATTAAGCAAATCATGCATTTCATTAGAAGATGGCATTTTATAGTGATGTTATATCTAATTCATAAATATTAATAATTGAAATAGCTTTACCCTTAACTTTATATAAAAATTTAATTCTACAACTTATTTATATCATTTTGATCATTTTTATTTAACTTAAAATTGATAGAATTACCAGTATCAGTAAGACTACATGAGAATGGTGAAACTCAAATGAAATTGTAATGAATTTCGTTAGGTTTAAAATTGTAGTCGAAAAACTAAATTTAGGCCTTCTGCAATTATGTTTGAAAACTTATGTCTAATATTCGATATCTGTAATTAAATATCGAAGTCATTATTCAATTTTTATAACAATTAGAGGTTTATTTTTAATATTAACTAAATACAGAATCTTTTCATTAACTATCTTTTTTTGGTTTAATTCAGAGATGAGGAATGACATGAAGTAAAAGGCGATATCCAAAGAAATAAAAATAATTAAACGGAATAGATTTATTAAAAATGGATCCTAAATCGCTTTCCAAAAACCTTCAAAAAAATAATAATCATCTTTAAATTTGGCTAATATTATTTTTTAATAATTAATATTTTTGATTAAAATCAATTCCTTTACAGAATTTTGGTCACTAATCAAGGTCTGTTCTTAAGAGAGATACTTGAGATCCTTAAAAATTTGAGTTTTGAAAAATAAAAGTATAAATATTTTCAATTTTCTGATTCAATAGTACCTGTTGATGAAAAATCAAACTTGGTTTAAGAATTTATAAAACTAAATTCTTAATGAAAATGCAGATATTTGCAGATAATTGATTAATTGAAAAAAGATAAGCAATCTTACTCTGGTCAGATAATTAATCACCTCAATACTGTGTATTTGCAATTTTCATTTAAGATTAGTTTCATAATAATTAAATAAGAATAATTTAAATTAGCTTAACATCTTTTTTCGATAATATAATATCCATTATTATTAAAAATCAAGTCTTTTAAATTTTCTTATATTAGAAAGAGTAATAGCTGATATTGGCAATCATTATATAGGATATATTCAGTAAAAGATTTAATTAGTAATTAATTTGTAAAGTATATAATATTACAAAACTTTTAAAGTGGATCTTAATTAATCAGATACAAGTTAGATGCTAAATATATAGGCGATTTTTCCATAGATTTTATTAATATTTCAACTTAACCTTAAGTATTTGCAGATCTTGATTTCTGACAGCTAATGTTATGGATAAAAATTAGGATTACGCATTAAAAGTAGCAAATAAATCGTTTTTGAAATTATTTATAATGCATTTGACTAAGAATGTAAATCTTCATGTAATTCAATCAATTTTCCAATTTTCTTTTATAATTTTAATATAAAGTTATTATATTTTCAATAGAATATTCTTTTTCTAAATTAAAGTATCTTTGTGACTTTTTGGTTAAATTCATCCAAAATTTTGCTGTTGATAAACTTCAAATCAATCACTTGATTTTATCGTCGTTTATTCCATTTTCATAATAAATAATAAGCAATATCTATTTATCATATTACAACTATGGACAAGAATAAAAAGTAATTTAATTAATATTTTTTTATTAAAGCAATCTTTTTGAAATTAACTATTTCCTAATCTTATTGGTCTTTCAAGTTATTATCCATTAACCTATATAAATTTCATAATTTATTTTCAAAATTAGCCATCAATTTCAAATTTCCTTAACTGTGATTAATATACGATATGTATTTCTATAATAGGATATCCTTAAAGTTAGGAATAATATCAAAGAATTCTCTAATATTTTACTTGAATACTATTCATTCTAATATAATGAATTATCTAAGTTTGAACCATCCCTCATACTTATAGAAGATAAAATAATTTAGTAGCTACAATCTATTTAATTTAGCTTAAATTAAAAATGATCCATTATATATTATAAGCCTAATTTATTTTTATTTCATTAGATAATTAATTACTTTTGCTTAATTTAAACCCTTGGGAACTTAAATTTAATCGCTTCTAATATTTTATATTTTAATTATAAATACCTTTCTCTGACTATTAGACTAAAATTTAAAGGTTGGTATTTAAATATTTAATCCTTACTTTTTAGCCTCTGGTATAACTAACAAATAATAAAAAATATCTAATACTTTAGATATATATTTTAGGTACTTTTTTTGTTATCAAAACTTATCAGTAGAATTAGATTTAAGCGCATTTATTCAAATGGCTCTCTAATCAAAGATTGTTCAGATACTTTATTAGTTCTCTCTCTGACTCTGTAAATAAAGATATGTTTTTATATGGTTAGAAGATATATTATAATTGAATTTTAAAAGTAAGACTTAGCAATGACTATTTTTTGAAATGCTTTCGCAAGAAACACTAAAGTCAATTTAATAATCTAATTAAGTTCCTTAACAGTTTAATAGAATACTTCAGAATAATATTAACACGGATCTAATTATGAAAAATGTTATATTAATTTTAATTAAATTTAGAAGATGCATTATAGAACGATATGTTTCTGCATTGTGATATTTAACGAGAAATTACAACTTCACAAGTGAAGATAAGATTACAGGCTACTTCGAGAATTATAACATTTAGGCTCCTTTGTACATCTCTAATTCTTTTATTTCAACTGATAGAATAAGGAATTTAATTTTAAAAATTGGAGGGTTCACTTCACTAAAAGGGTGAGAAAATAGATTAATGCATAAATTTTCTACCAGAGATATTTTAGAATGGAAATTAAATTAGTGTGTTTATTAGGCATTTTCTAATAATTATTTTACTTCAAAGCTCATAAAGTCTTAATTAACTGAAAATTTAGCTAAATGCAATTGGATTTCAATATTGGTATATACAATGATGAAATTAATAAGTATTTTAGTTAATGCTTGAAGTGATAGAAAAATGAAAATTCATAATTAGTTTAAATATGAGAAATACATATTTTAAAATAATATTAATTTGACATATATAATCATAAATATATGAAGATAGATAATTGAAATTTAATAGATTTATGGCACTAGGTTAATTATATCTGAAATTAAAATATATAATTATAATATTATAGGAACAATAATCAATTAATTTTTTTTCTAAGCATTAGGATATGTGGTTCTGGTTTATAATAATCATAATGAATCCATCCAGGGGATCCTTTTATACCCAGACCTCTCCATTCTTATTCAGTTAAAAGTCTTCCAATTTTTGAGATTTTTTTATATAATTCATGAGGTAGGATGACATGCCTATACTCAAATTCTCCATCAGTATATTTTTCGGAATAAACTATATCTGTAGGACAGCGAGGCATTCTAAAAATTGATAAATAAATTAGGAGAAATTAGAGCAATATCAATTTCAACGGAAGTTTTAAGTGAATTTATTTAACTTTGAGTGAAAAATAGCTGTAAATTACTAAATTAAATTTGATAATAATAAATTATAAAATACTAGAATATTTTATGTAAATAATAAGATTAATTGAATGAAATCAATAATCATCATCGGAATTAGCTTTGTCAACTTCTTGAGGTTTTTGTGAATGCTTATCCTAAAAAAATTGATCTTCAACAGCATTAAGATCATCCTTATTGTAAACAGCATATTGATTCTCTTTCAGGGTAACAAGATGATTCTTATTATTTTTTTAGACGATCTGTATTTCACAAGTTACTTTTTCCATTGTTTGTTCTTGATATTTAGGTTAGAGAGTTTAGTCCTATGATTATTGGTTATTGAGAGTATCCTATTGAATTTGCTCACAAAAAACCTTTTCTTTATTCCTATTATGTCTTGGTTCACTAGCACAACAACCCATCCAGAATTTTAATAAAAAATATATTTAAACTCATAATTCTTTAAATTAATGCTATTGTCTGATACTTGCTTCTTCTTCTCCATACAAGATAGGAAAACAAATTTTGGTATGTTTTTTGCAATAATCATGAGTGAAAGGTGAAACTGGAAATCCATATTTGTTCATTCTATCCTCCATTTACCCTAGTCTATCAGCGAATTCATAGAATTTTTCTGATTGCTTTGAGAATGGATTCCATAAACTACATAAATTTATGATAATTACGTATCTCCCAAAATGGATGATCTTATGAATAATCTTTAGAAGTGAGTATTTTCATTATTGGTTTCTCCCCAAAGAGGTGCCTCTCCTCCAATTATTTTACCCTTAAATCCTACTGGAGCTTTTGGAGTCCATTTGTAAATGTCTTTCCAAGTTTAGTAAGTTTGATAAGTATTTCCAAAAGCATTTCCAACACCAATGTCCAAATATAATGGATGATAGTCACTAAGTATGAAATCGTTAGTTCTATTTGCTACTAATTCAAGTTCATCTGTAGAACCCCACCAATGAATGATATCGTCATCTTCGGCAGGTAATTTATCGTCCTTATTATACCAATAGGCTATTCTCTATTTAGATTTGATTTCATTTTTCCATATACTTTTTTATCGTTCTCTGTAATAGGTCTGCAATTCTATATAATCTGCAATTCCATTTTTATCCATAAACTCTTTGATTGATGGTCTTTAGTTGTAGCAACTCTTGATAGCTTCATCTCCACCAAAATGAACAAACTGTACTTTGCTAAACATATCAGATAAGTCTTATAAGACTGATTTAACCACATCATAAGTTAAATCTAAAGTAGGATCGAATTGTCCATATTATTTGACTGTGCTTCCACAATTTAAAATAATATATTCTAAATCACTAATATTCCTTCCCCAAGATTACACATGGGCTGGTGAATCAATTTCAGGTATTATTTGCACTCCTCTTATTGACGCATACTCTATCAAATAGGAAACATCTGATTTAGTGTAATATTCATTTTCTGAATATTTAGATGTGTGGGTTATGCGACTATAATTTGTTAGAAGCAGAGGAAAACTTTCATCATCAGTGATATGCCAATGCATAACATTCATTTTATTGATAGCCAATGCATCAATAGTCCTCTCTAGGGTCTTAAGAGGCAAAAAGTGTCTGGCTGTATCCACCATCACACCTCTATAAGTATAGGCTGGCTCATCCTCAATTATAAGTGGTAGCTATTAAAGTTAGAGAGAGATATACGAATTCAATGCGATCATTTTCAGTTAATTAATGCACAGTGTCTAATGCTCTAGCCAAACCCCAATGATTATGAGCATCAATTTATATGTTTAAAAATTCATCAATTTTCAAAATATAAGCTTCTTATTAAGTTTTATTAACCCAATATAATTGTTCATCATTTTGAAGGGAAATATGAAATCTCAAAGCTCCTTAATTTTTGAGATTGAAATTCAAGGACTATTCAAAATTGCATTCATTTTTTGATGTCATTAATGAATGATAATGACGCAATAATTCAATTACATGTTCTGGATATTGATTACCATTTGTAAATTGTATTCCACATTTATTAATAACTTTAATGCTCTTTGACCCTTTAACAAACTATTTGGGCATAGGCATAAGCTAATATGTGCCAACGATTAAGATTGTAATTACAATGAAAAATTTCATTTATTATTATTTATAATTATGGAAATCATTTATTTTCTCTTTCATCTTTTCATTTCATTCTCATTTCAAATTGAAAATAAAGCTAAACAAATTTTACAATATCTGTGAGTAATTGGAGAGATGGAAAATCCATATTATATCATTCTGTATACCATTTCAATTCAACATTTAACAAAATTGTTAATTTCTAGTCTCCTTTATTTTTCAATTCATTAAACTAATTACTACATTTCTGCAATAACAGATATTCATTCATACTTGATTATTTCTTTCCTCACACACTGGAACTTCTTAATCAATAACAATATTCTATGAATATTTTAAAAGTGATAGCTCCAATTATAGACCTCCGTTTAAGCATGATATACAAGATTAAATATTTCTATAAACATTCAGTGATCTGACTTATATAAATAATCCATAAAAAAGTATATTAGTTTATGAGCAAAATCAGACAATTAATCATAATAATATCCATTAATGATTTATACCCTCCTTCTAAGTGATAGCTAGTTCAGTTTTAATTTTATCTTGCTCCATTACTTCTACTGTCATATGAAAATTAGATTTATACTTCATAACACTAGTGATATGATAACCTTGAATATCTCAATTAAGTTCAAGCCTATGATTTTAATTGTTTTTGCTTAATAATCTGTCAAATATTATCAAATTAAACTACCTGCCAATCAAAAGATCTATAATTCAATTTACTCTCAACTTATAAAAAAGTTGGTAAAGAACTCAAACTAAGTGTCTTAGATTTGAGTTTAAGCATCTAATTGATCCAAATAATGATCTTTATGATTTATGCTTAGCAGTATTTACCTCATAGATAGATTCTTAATCTACATGAAATTTATTAAACCTTTTTTTTTATGAAATCATCAATTATTATAATTGCATAATGAATATGATATTCGTTGATTAGATATTAAACTTAACATTAATACCAATCTGTAACCTTTTGATACTTTTCATGAAAAATTGATGCCCTTTCTCATGTGTTGCGTGCATTAATCATTAAAACGAGATTCCAGTAATTAATGAATAATTACATAATAAAGACTTAAGAATTCTATTATCTTACTATATAATTTTTATTTATATCACCTATAGAAGTCCATTTTTTAAGTTTTTCAATTAATTTAAAGAGAATTGAAACATATACTACTTTGCATCTAGTATTATTGATCAATAATTTAATCTTAATTCTGTTGATTGATTGATTTTATTGAATAATTAGAAGTTAAGTGAAAACTAGAATAATGAATAAAAGAGTTGATATTGATTCTTCATATTTTGATGTTATTGATTATTAGACAAGAAATTTAATCAAGCTTATGCATCACAAACAAAAAAATAATTTGAATCCATTTTTTATTAGTCCTTTGTCTTAATTGTAGACCATGTATAAAATGGAAGGTTTGAATGACTTGAGTGATGAAGCCATCTATAAATTTTATTCTCTTTAAAAATATAATTTAATGTTCTCAATATCATTTTATTTATATTTATAAAGTAATAATCAATTTTTAGATTGTTATAAAAAGATTATTTTTGAATTATTTACTAACTTTAGTTTACACGTTAGAATGATAGTAAATTAAAGGCATCTTATTGATGAAGTATCTTAATTCTACACTTATATATTTCTCTTATAGATATATAGTCACTTATTTTTTTCATTGTTTAATTAAGACATTAATTCTATTCTAGTAAGTTAGAATAGTTTTTGTAGAAATATTTATTTACTATATTAATCGAATTAAATTTGAGACATAATAGTCAATAAAATTCAACAATATCAAATATTTTATTGATTAGATGAGTATAATAAATGAATTAAATGAATTTAATTTAAATTATATTGGTTTCTTAAGCAGATGATTTCCCAACATAAAAGAGAGAGTAAACTTTTTAAGTATTTAAAAATGTTAATTCAATCAATAATTTAAATTGATTGCATCGTTAAGTAATAAAGATTATTAAATCATTCAAAAACTGAGAATTGTGGATTATCCAACAACATTTTGAGTAGTGTAGAAATTTGAATTTAGAACATAAGTTTTGGATTGAGTTAATTAGAGAATAGATAAAATGGAGAAATAAACAGTTAGAGGGTAGAATTTGAATAAATATTATATAAAATAAAAAATACAAAAAAAATTTAAAATGGCAGAAGCTACACCTGAAATCACGTTATAGATATATGCCTAAGCACTTGAAAATTTGGAGAAAGCATACGACATCTTGCATACTCCTTATTCCAATTTTATGGTTGAGAGCACAAAAATCTTGGTATCTCCTGATTATCCAGTTGAAATAAGAATCAATATTGGAGTGATGCTGAGGAATATTTTGATCGAATAATGGGAATTGATATAGCCTTCTCGTAAAATAATACGTGAACTCCTTTTAAATGGGTTAGTTATGAATGTGTCAAACATGCCTATCATAGAATTGATTGTAATCAATAATTAATACTTATAAGTCATCAATAATCGTATCGATAATTGTATTGGACCCAAGTCACATATGGCCAAGTCCATTGATGGAGCTTTTAAATTGGATGGACGATATAAACGCAGTTGAATCTAGTTTAGAGCTGTTCTTATAATTGTTTGGCAAATTGAGTGAGACAAATGGAGAGCATTAGAATTTGTTGAAAGAGATAGTGCCTTCAGTGCTTGAGAAGGGATTTGGAATATTTGCATAGCCAGAATTGAATGAGATGCTGAGAGAGAAAATATTATTGATGGTGTACCTGGTATTGAGATCAATTTCATTTGCTGATGGAACTGACAATTCCTTGGTTAATAAATGTATGGACAATACATTCTAAATATGGATGGTATCATATACAAATATAATAATAGTCATTATTTTTGTCAGCCTTGCAAACATCACCAAAATCACATATCTTTATAAAGAAGTTGGTTTTGAAGATTCTGATAGTGATATTCAGAGATTTCGGAGTCTACAGTAGGAAATCCCTGGCTCTCTCTTTAATCCCAATTTGGAAGTTCTTCAACTCCATAACTCAATTATACATTGGACACATAGTGTATTAGATAGATGTGGAACATATAGACGGATTGTTTGTGGAGGAATCAAAAGAGTTGCCAATTAGTAATTAAAGAATAATAAATTTAAGAAATGGTAAATCTAAGTTGTAATTATGTTAGACATTGAGTACAAATATCTGAATGAGGATGACGATTACGAGAATCACATCGAAGGATTGTGTGCATATTCTATAGAGTTGATTACCATCTTAGTTACAAAACCAGCTCTTTATAATTTAATTAAGTTTGGAACCTTCCCATTGTTGAATACTCTCTCAACATTTTTGACTGCCACCAAAGAATAAGAGAAGCAATGGGTTAAGGATCCTAGTTACTTCATACTGAATGACGAAGAAGAATTGCTTTAAAAGAGTGTGAGAACCTTGGCCTTGAAATTGATTAATGATATGATTGAGAAATACGGGGATCAGTTCATTCAATAAATACTAATTGTTGGAGAGAAGTTAATACTTAATAGAGATGAGAAAGAGTTCATCGATTTGGCTCAATCCATCATATCCAAATTGAATTTCCAGGAATTAAAAGGACAATAATCTAAAGATTTTGATTAAGATAGTGTTATGCAATTTATGAAGGGTTCAATCATTACTATCAACAATAACCATTATCTCAGATCATTTATACAAAAGAGAAAGGAAACTGGTTACTTATTATTGGGTAGTTTCTCAGAAGACATTATTGTGTTTTAGCAAAAACATCAGAGCACTTTCGATATCAAAAAGTGCATGTAGAACATTCTGTATGAATTGGAGAAATAGAGTAAAATTTCATAATACCCTATTATTAGATTCACATAGTTTATAAGCTAGAGCTATTTGGAGTACTACCAGATATTCAGATTTGATTAGTCACTAATTCAAAGAACTATTTGTGCCTCTTTTTGAATCAGTTATAGTGTATTTGGATTCCAAATATCCAATTACTCTGAGAATTATCTCAGTCAAGGCATTAGGAAAGTAAATTTATACAATAAATGAAGTTATGCTTCCAAGATTCATAAATATAGCATTCCTTTTGAATATAAACAAGAGTTTATGGAATCAGTGTTGACTGTGTTATAAGAGGCAACTCAAGACTAAATGATTTCTATTTTAGAATCTACAATCCATCTAGTTAAATTCTCACCTAATTTGGCTACTACTTTAGCAAAGAATGGATCGAAGGTTTTATTATAGTTTTTCAGTGTTTTCCATTCAGAATAAGTTGTTATTAAACCATTTAATGAATTGATAGTGAGAATCTGCTAATGTAAGGAGGCATACCCTTATATCTTTGAAGTAATCGCAATTATTTATTCAAGGTGTTCTGTCCATTCATTTTGGATTGTTTTTAGGTGTTCTACGAGGATGTCCACAAAATACAAGACAAGAGCAAGATCAAACAAAGTGATATTTCATTGATGAGTGCCATCATGAACATTACATCAACCTTTATCAAATTCTGTTCAGATAGTAAGGCATAAGATGCTTTTATTAATTTGTTACCTTCGATGGTTAATTTGATTCTGATTAATGAAGACCCATAATTATAGGTTCACACTAGTTAATGTCTCAAGAACTTTATTATCATAGAGACAGGATAAATTTTGAAGATGTATATATGTATTTACATATCAAATTAGGAATTTGGTTCAAGATGTCATGAAAGTCAACTTAAAATTATTGGAAGTCCCTTAGAATTCAGCCAATGAATCAGCCTCCTTATTTGCAGGTAATTTAGTTATGATTACAATCAACAATCTCTTGGATGGGAATCCTGATCTGAATCTTTTGAAGGCAGTTGTGTTTAAGATTTACAGATCTAGGATGCCATCGACAGTCCAATCTTTAGTTTTAGTCTATGCTAGAATGATAATTGAAAAACCAAAAGAATCAATAGCATTCTTAACCTCTTGGAGCATTGACAATAGAATGGCTCTTAAAGTGCTGATTGACAAATGGTTATTGTAATAGCCCCTGTTTAGAGGAAAGGGAACTAAGAATGCCACTTTCTCAGCCTTAATGAAATTGTTTTTAGTTAAAGATAAAACTCTAGAGAACCTATTAGTTATTGGGTATAATCCAAGTCATCAGAATATCAATAGTGGTAATAATAACATACAATAACATATAAGATGTATATGCACCATTCAAAATCTTGTCTCTGCTTATACGATGTCTAGATAATGAAATTGTGCCTTCAAAACAGGACAATGTCGATTAATAATAAGAAGATGATCGTTTGGAAGTGGACAATGACGAAGATGATTTTAATGATAAGAGGTATCAAGATCAAGTTGATGTGGATTTAGAAAAAATTAAAGATGATGAAGATTAAGACATTGCAGACAGATTTGCTGTATTTTTTAGATATCTATCTATTTAGTTGTTGGATCCAAAAGAAAAGAAAGACAAAGGATTGGCAGATTTGGAGACAGGATCAACGTTGTATATGAGTGAATTCTTAGATTTTAATCAAGAAGTTGGAGAAGAATGTGATGAAACGACTGAAGAGGACTTAACTTATCTGAAAGATCCATGTTTAAATATCAATCTTGTGGTAATACTGATCAATATATAACCAAGGATACTCTTAAAGAGTTTTTCACAAATTTATAAAAAAATGACCAAGAATATTTCAAGTTTTGTTTACGCCATTTACTTAAAGAGGACATTCTCTTATTATAGAAGCATATTAAACTAAACTCCTGATTAGTTTCATTAATAAATATAATAAAAATGTAAATCATAAATTTTCAGAGAGGACCTTTTCGATCAATCTTTTTGATTATACAGTTTTAATCTTTTAGCTTAGTAGATCTGACTGCTTTTCTACTTTGTCAATTAGATAAGTAACAAATTTCTTCTTGAATAGACGTTACTTCTTAAATCTCTCGAAATCTTGATTTGGTTCTTTTTCCTCTTACGGTTTATCATCTTCTAAATATTGACATGCTTTATCCATCATTTTATCCAACTACTGAAATCTCTCATTTAATTTCGTATTGCTTTGTTGAAAAGTCTGTTCTACAACATTGCATTACTTGATAAACTTATTGAATTCGATATCAGATCTATGCAAGACTCTATGCGATCTACTAACACTGGTGGTTGGTCTGGTGGATCTGAGAGTACTCTCGACCTTAGATTTAGGTGTTGTATAATCAAACTTCTTTCTCAGGAAATCTTCCTTTCCGAATGTATTTTTATTGGTATCTGTTTAAACAAAGAACTTGTGATATTGAGTATCTTATGCTTCGTTGACTCTTTTCATGGTTTTGCCTTTAACTTTCTTCTTAAAAAAATCGGGATCGAATTGATCAATCCTTGTATCTTTGAAAATTTGAACTAGTTGTTTATTTTATTTCATCTCTTCGTCAGCTAATATCTTTTGCATCTATTCTTGTGTAATACGCTTCTATACGATGTTCCTCCATCTCTCCACTTCATCACAGGCATCTTCCTTAAATTTGATATTTTCTATAATATTTAGATAGGATCATACCATTTTTTATTTCCAAAACTGAACATGCATCTAATTTTTATTCCTCACATAACTTCTTCATAAAAAAGTTAACTTATTCTTAGTCATTAAATTCGACCTTTTGAAATCCCTCTTTGCCTAATTTTTTGTAGATCAACTTGGGATCCTTGACTGACATTTTAAGTTCATCCAACTAAAATATAACATAATTTGTATGAAACTTACAGAGGATTTGAGATTTTATCTTTGATATTGATCAAAAAGCGTATCCAAATCAGTTTATTCGATTTGATCATTCATAAGTAGTGCTAATTTCTGGGGGACAGATATTGCCTTTTTTTTCCAATTTTTTTATTTGTTGGTATTATTTTAGCCCTGACATTAGGATAGAATGCCTTCTAATTCCTCTTGATCTATGACTTTTTGCATGATTTCTATAACTTTTTCATCCAATTCATAATTAGCTTTCACTTCTTTTAATCCGTCATTGGCTTTGGGTTTGATCTACAATTGTGTGCTTGTAAAAGTTTGGATTGGGAGTTCTGGTACACCGGTTCGTTCTAGATTGTTTGTTTGATAAATACAACTTTTGAGATCGGCGTATTTCTTCTGGATGTACATGGTCATATTTTTATCTCTGAATTCATTGAAATTGGCGTCGAAATAGCGCAGCGGTCGATTCTGCAGAGTTTTGATGGCTATGAAACCAGCAACTGCTTCATTGGACATAAAATTATTAAATAAATAATTTAAGTGGGTTGTCATCTAACTAATTCATTAATAAAAATAAAAATTTAAAAATTGGCTTTGCATGATGAAATAGCAAAAAAAGATCAGGTAATTGAAAAAGAATAATAATAGAAAAAGTAATCGTCGCGTGATTCAAGTAATATAAATAATAAAGGAAGACTATTTAGACTCCTGGGTGAACACGAATGAGTATCTCCTGTCCAAATTGAATATTCCAACAAGTCTAAATTCGCAAGCTCCGGGATCGATGCTCGAAATTCTCTTAGGAATGTGAATGAAATTAAGCTTTCTTCTTTTATTATAATAATTATTGGGGTGGATAATATACAGGGCAAGGGAGGGATTGTTTGGATCCATTATAAAATTCTGTTATGATATCTAAAATAAATGATATTTTAGGGTATTGTATATTTTTAAAATTTGAAATATAATAAATAAATGAATAATTTTGAAAAGGTTGAGGCTTTTGGACAATTGCCCCAAGCCAGATTTGGACACACGATAACATACATAGCGAAGGGCAAGGCAATATTATTCGGAGGTAAATGAAAATATTTAAATGACAGGGGCAACTGGAGACACAGGCAAATATAGCATTACAGGAGATACGTTCTCGTTCGACATGTAAAGCAGATAATGGAAGAGAGTAGAAGGTATACATAATAAAGAAAAGAGTAGTGTAGGGTACAGCCCCATCTCCTCGAGCAGCACATTCAGCAGTGTGCGTTGATATAAATTAAATCGTAATTTATGGAGGAGCCACAGGAGGTAATGAATGAATTAATGATGCAAGGTGGCAGTTTAGCATCAGATGACCTCTATTTATTGGACTTGAGATCGAGCGATGACTTAGGTTAATGGACTGTCGTACCAGTCGTAGGAACTACACCAGGCAGGAGGTATGGACACACTCTAACCTTTACGAAACCATTCCTAATAGTCTTTGGAGGCAACACCGGACAGGAGCCAGTCAACGATTGCTGTATGAATTCCACATTTAATTTAAAGGGTGTGTAAATGTAGAGAAGAGTCCCATCACTTGGGTAAGATTGGAATGCAAATCAGAACAGCCATTGGCAAGAGTGTATCATTCTGCTAGTATTTGCACTAATGGCAGTGCTAATGGGATGGTTGTGGCATTTGGAGGACGTTCAAACGATCAGTAAGCATTGAATGATGCTTGGGGATTGAGAAGACATCGAGATGGAAGGTGGGATTGGGTCAAGGCTCCTTATAAAATTGATAAGGATTAGCCAGTGGGTAGATATCAACACACTACATTGTTTGTTTACAGCATGCTCGTTGTTATTGGTGGTAGAACTGGAAACGTAGGAGAGACCTTAACAATTGATGTATATGATACTGAAACATCAGAATGGTCTAAATTTAATAGCATTTAGAGATTCAGACATTCATCCTGGTTAGTAGACACAAGCATCTTCGTCTACGGAGGATTTGAATTGGATTCACCTAACATCCCAACTGACATCATTTCTAAGATCAATTTAAATAGATTACTGTTGCCAAGTGAAACCCTAACCAATAAACTAGCCTAATATCAACATGCCTAAAGAAAGTACTATTATATTGTTATTAAGTGTATCCCCTCAATCATTATCACCCTAAATGGCTCCAATATCACCAGACACTTAAGCATCCCCTTTGAATAGTTCCTTGATTCAAAAGAAACCAGGTTAAACCACTTAGAATACTCAAAAGTAATAGAAACCATTTGCTTAAAACTAAACTGATAAATCACAATTCAAATTTATCAATTAAGCTGTAGTTGCTGAAGAAAGCAGAGATTCTAAAGCACCTAATAGAAAACCAAGAGTGCCCTAAACTGCACAAGAAAATAATATTGCTCATTTATTTATAAGCACCTTATTATAGCCTAAGACTTTCATCAATATCTCTGAAAATGCCAAGTTTTTATTCCAGGCTTAACATATACTTATGTTATGTGACTAAGCAGAAGCCATTCTAAAGGAACAGCCTATGGTTTTAAGATGCAAAGCTCCAATAAAGATTTTTGGAGATATTCATGGACAGTATTCAGATCTAATGAGATTCTTTGATTTGTGGGGGTCTCCATTTGTAGATGGCAAAGATAGCGATATAGAAGCATTTGATTATTTGTTTCTGGGAGATTTTGTGGATAGAGGGAATCATTCTTTGGAAACTATTTGTTTATTGCTGGCTCTAAAAGTAAGATTTCCAGAATCAATTCATTTGATTAGAGGAAATCATGAAGACAAGTGGATTAATAATGGATTTGGATTTTCAGAGGAATGTGCTTAAAGATTAGGCGAGGATCCTAATGATGAAGATTCAGTATTTGCAAGAGTGAATCGACTATTTGAATGGTTGCCGTTGGCTGCTATAGTTGAGGACAAGATCATTTGTCTTCATGGAGGAATAGGCAGTCAATTAAATTATGTAGCAGAAATAGAGAATCTGCAAAGACCTTTGGAAGTGATTCATGAAGTCACTACACCAGAACAACAATTGGTGGTTGATATTTTATGGTCAGATCCAACCGATACAGATTAAGACTTTGGAATATAACCAAATATTATTAGAGATCCTGCAGGTACTGGAAATATCGTCAAATTTGGACCAGATAGAGTTATAAATTTCCTTATCAAAAATAATCTTTCTCTTATTATTCGTGCTCATGAATGTGTTATGGATGGCTTTGAGAGATTCGCTGGTAATATTTCATTTAGATTTTTATTAGGAGGTCAATTACTAACTGTTTTTAGTGCAACAGATTACTGTGGTAGACACAAGAATGCAGGTGCCGTGCTTATTCTTAAAAGGAACTTAGAGATTGTACCAAAATTAATCTATCCTTAAAATCTGAATGCTCACAATTGGATTGAGGATGAGGAAGCATTAAAGAAGAGACCACCTACACCACCTCGTTGGAAAAATTAAGGTCAACGTAGAAGTTATGATTGATTTTTATTAATCGTTTTATTCATAAATTTTGTTAAAAAACAGTAAACACTATTTCACAAACTCATTTGGTTTTCAAAATTCCTTTCTTTGGATTACCATTAAATCTGATCACCTTCTTTATCATCATCTCAGATGGAACAAAATGATGCACCTTATTCTCAGTAAATCTGATTTTACATTCATCCATTGAAACATCATCTGCTTACCTCATCCACTTACGATTAACTAGATTCAGTATATACTTTCGATATCTGCTTATTTGTTTAGATGATAAATTAAAGTGAGTTTTACAAACAGGTTTCGTTCTTGTTTTAATCATTTACAAATTGTTACTAAATTAAATATTATTAAATTTATTGCTCAAACTCCATTTTAAATAACAAGAATGTCCTCAGCTCTCAAAAAATCAACTAAACTCAAACCAATCAACAAAATGACTAGATCTTTTAACAATATATCTATTCTCAAATAGGATTCCTCCAAAATCATTAAAACTCAAACTCTAAAGAATGATTACTATATCCAACTTTCTCCTCGTCTAGAAACCTAAAGTCTTACATTTATAAACTCAGTCAAAAAGATTAAGATCATTTAACAAAGTGATGTTTCTATTGAAAATTAATCCAAGCCCCAACTTACTTAGAGGGATAAAATCAAGAAACTAGTATCCAAAATGACCAACTCATCTGTAAATAATTAAAGTCTCTATTAAATGAAATCATCTTTCAAGAAATGAAAACAAAAAATAGTTGATTTATCATATTTATGATATACAGATAATCTAATTAGTTATATTAGGCTAATATATCTTAAACTACATCAGTTCAGTAAAGAAAATAATAAAATACAAAATTTGTCTGTCCTACATTTCCCATTAAATTTCTGTTATCAAATACTAATTATAATATAATGAATATTCCAATAAACAAAGTTCAATCATAGTTCCAGTAATAAAATTAATAAATATTAAAGTATTTATCACTTTTTCAAAAGAAGCACCATAATACCTCACATTTATTTAATTAATTCTCTTCTCTCGATAATTTGGAATTAAAAATATTAGAATGTATTTAAATCTAATTTTCTTTAGTTTCATTTTCTAAATAACCTCGCCAATTATATGATCTTCGCATGAGTCTATAATTTGATGACAGTAATCGATTTTAGATTCTTTTATGCGAACTGTTAATAAAAAAATTTGATTATAATAATTTCTTTTTGCACTATCTTAAGAAATTGTATTTTATTGTATAAATTTCAATAAATAAGGTTATTAAATAACACATATTAATAATATAAAAAGAGAACTTCTTGATTTTATTAAGTTTATATTTTTTATAACGCCTTCATGAGTCAACCACATATAATTTAAATGCATTTAAATATTCTCATAAATAATGCAGACAAAATGTTTTGATGGTCTAACTATTATTAGTGAAGAATATTGTTAAGTTATAAATTTGTTTAAAAAGTGATACAATATTAATTTAATTAATGAAGAAGCAAACTAATTATTTTAATTTTGTTTATTAATAGACTATATGGAACTAATCAAAGTATGTTGATTTGATAATTAATCACATATCTTTCAAATTGTAACATTACTTTCCTAAATTTATACCTTAATCCTCTTAAAATACATATGTAATTCTTAATCTAATCTCTATTTTAGATCTATTCAAATTAAATAACAGTATCTCTCTAAATTTAACTAACTAGTTCTATAAAATAGTTTAAATTATTAAAGTATGTCTATATATATTTAAAAAGTTTATTTATATATATTAGTCGATAATGTTGATCTTTAAATAAATCTGGTTCTCTAAAACATTAGATATACCATTTTGTTAGAATTCAATATTTAAAAACGAGAAATTCAATAGATATCTTGCTTTTGCTTTTTAAATACTGTTTTTAAATGCATATTTTGGACAGAAATGCAAATGTGATAAGATGATAAATTTAATTAATTTAAGAATTTTGTAAGATTTCAAATTCATTTAGATTCTAAAATATTTTGATATTTCTAAAATATATTAGAGACTATTTCTTCATATGAAAAAATATAATAATGTCTATATATTTTAACATGACACTCTAATAGAACTATAAAATGACATTCATTAAAGTACTTCTAGGTCTGATAAATGAATTTTCTAGAAAAAAGAGAATTTAATTCTAGCAATAATAAAGATAATCTTTCGATTCTCCATCTCTAGTAGATAAGACAACTGAGCCTATTTTCTTCTGTGATTTTCCATGATCATTCATGATTATGCCATTTAACTAATCTTATTTATGATGATATACAAATAGAGATAAAATAAAGCATCTTTTTCAATTTAGTATAATTCTAACTAGTGCTCCAAAAATAAATATCTTCTAATTATTAAGACACTTTTTATGGTTTTAATAGCTTTAAAACTAATCTTGATTTAAATTAATATCTATATATAAAAGCACAAAATAGGAATAAATTTTCTAGGATCTAAAAACCTTTAAAGATAATATTATAAGACTAATAATATAAAATGCTTTAAGTTTGAATGAATCAGATAGAGAATGTTCTCAAATTCAAAGAGATAATTAATAATGTGATGAAAGTTTCAGCATAAACATTTATAAAGGAGTGCTTTATCTTAAAGGATGGAATCTATTTATTTTCTAATTCATTGAAATGAAGATGAGTACATTTTTGTTCCAAAGCATTGTTTTTAACAATTAAATTCTAGCGAAATTGAATGCTACTTAAAAATTCTCTTATAATTCTAACAGATACTTTTTGAAAGGAATTCTTTATTTGATTTTAAAATTACTAGTTGATGGAAGTTATTTAGTATATAATTGAAAAAAAAATTTGATTATTAATCTATATATATATATTTTATTTCATTTTTGATTTAAACTAGAGACTATCTACGAAATAATTTAATTACATTCTTGAAATGAAGGATAAGATTTATATCAAACAAAATGCTTATACCAAACTAATTGAATTATCAAATTTGGCTATTTTATTAGAATTGATATAGTGGATACTATATTGTTTAAATGTAATAAATTGATATTTTAATATTGACTATTTTTATTTATATACTATGTAGATATACTTATTTACTAATGTCTATTGAATAGATTATAATGGTGGATTAGTATAATATTATAAATTATAATTATACTATTTTATTTAGTTTGTTGATATAAATTTGAGCAAAAGATATTTTAATTATATCTAAATAAGAGTCTTTTGTTCTAAAATTGTTTAATTTAATTGAAAGTAGTCCAACCTCTATTATTATTGCCTAAAATTCTTTTGTATATGAAATATAATGATTTCTCATTTGATCTCAAAAAATTTATTTTCGATATGTTTGTCGATCCTTTTAAGCCTTCTTATCATAAGTGCTATCAGATTGATTCCTTCTGGATTATCCAACAATATTGACTTTTGCATAAATACAGGGTAAAAGATAGCAGCGAAATTTTGTACTCATCTTTGAATTATGCAAAATAACCAGAATAGGCTGGTAGATGATAAGTTCGATATTGCAAGTAGTAACAAAGCTTGATAATATGAGTGTTTGAAGTCTAGATTCAATAAATCCAAAAATCCATGTGCATCAGATTGTAGCTTCACAAAGGTTAGTAGTTTTACTATCTTAAGACTTTGGAAAGTAAAGACAAATAAGTGATAATTATTTTAAGGAAATGAGAAATATGATTTAGAAGAGACCTGCAGATTAGATTTTTAAATAATAAAAAAAAAATTAAAACTTTAGAATTTGAAATGACATAAATATTGGTATTATAGTTTATATATCATAAGAATGTGTTTATGGAATTTAATCATTCCATAAATTAATTGTGAGTCTTTAAGAAGATTTTCTTTTAAATGAATTTTAATCAATTAAAATGTAAACTCCACAAATTCCAGCTGTAGTATCCATTAGACCATTCACAGTCCCAAGTAGATTCTTGGCAACAGCCACAAACAAGTCAAGAGCTCTTGGAGAAGATTTTGATGTCAGAATTGCTAACTAAGCCTCAGAAAGCACCTATTTCCTATTGGAACACGTCAATGGTGCAGTCTATAGAATCAAACCAGCTACACATCCAGATCATTTCGTTTTCTGCTCAAATGACAATGCCAGAAAATTCGGAAATGATTTCGATGTCAGAACTCACCACTTTGCAGAGCCCAGAAACAATTGGATCATCGAGAATGTTGGATGGAGTACATTCACAATCAGATCTGAAACAAATCCAAATTTCTATCTTTTCGCTGCTGATGATGGATCCAATGCCCATCAAGGTGAATTAGATGTCAGAACTCACGCTCACCATGAGGAAAGAAATCTTTGGTTCATTGTGACAATTCCAAACATTGTCCACCCATATCCTCTTTTATAACAACCACCTGTTGTTTCATTGAGACCTGTTCTCTTACCTCAACACTTCCTCACATTTGCAGAACCACATCAATAATTCCAATCTGATTTTGCAGTCAAAGCCAGAGGAGCAAAGACAGACAAGACCTAATTCTTCTTGGATAGAGTCTAAGGAAATGTATTCACAATCAGATCAGCTGCCAGTCCACTCTACTACTTGTTCTGTGCTAATGGTTAAGCCTATAACTAATGGGGAGACTTTGATGCCAGATTCCACACACACAAAGAACCAAGAAACAATTGGATCATTGAACCCGCAGGCCCAGGATTTTGGACCATTAAATCAGCTACAAATCCCAATCACTTCTTGTTTGGACTTCAAGACGAAGGAAATGGCCACGAATTCAGTGTTAGAACACATCCATTTGTCGAGGATAGAAACAGATGGGCAATCGATGGATTCAACGGATGAGTATTACATATAAGATATTAAAAATCAGTCATATCTATTCAAATTTCTTATTGCTCTTCAATATAAGAACTATTTCTGAATTTATTCCGAAATATCTTTTTTTTGTTCAGGTATTAATCAAAACAAAATCTTTTTTTTCCTTCCCTTCCTCTTTAATTCATACTATAAACAATACAAATATGTATTTCAAAGCCATCGGCTGCTTTATTTCTCAATTATGCAGTCTTTTAGCTAATTTGAAGATTAATTAATATTGAGCCACTCCTTCTTCTAAATAAATCACTAGTCTTTAATTCTTCATCACACTTACTCATATCATAACTTTAATAAGAATTATAGGATAATTCATCATTGGATTATAATAATTGAATGAATGGCAATTAGCTTAACTTTATTAATCAAAATAAATAAAAATTATCTATGGAACTTGGATCTACTCCTTTACTTGTTTCTTTTCGACCTGTAGCTGCATCAACTAGATATCTTGCAACTTGCACTAATAAATCTAGAGCTCTTAACGATGATTTTGATGTTAGATGTGTTTAAGAAAAATCAATAGACACATATTTCATTATTGAACAAGTCAAAGAGAATGTTTATACCATTAAATCAGCTTCTAAACCTAATCATTATTTATTTTGGCTCCAATGACAATACAAGAAAAATTGAGGATGATTTCGATGTTAGAACACATTCATTTCGAGAAACAAGAAATAATTGGATTATTGAATGTCATAGTTGGAGTGTATTCACTATCAGATCAGAGACTAATCCAGATCAATTTTTATTTGTAGCTTCTGATAAGTCAAATAATCATGATAAGGATTTGGATGTACGCACTTAAAATAAGGACAATCAAAATAATCATTGGTATTTTGTCACTAACCCAAACTTTTCCACTCCTTACCACATATACCCTAAAACTTTCTAACCATAGGCGATTCTCATAAATCATTCTCTGACAATTTTAGTGTCAATGTTAAATAGAATCTTGATTAACATGCCAAATTCATACTCGATAAAGTGACTGGAGATGCCTTTGCTATCAGATCATTTCTCTTCCCCTCTTTTTACTTATTTATTGACAATAAAAATGAATTAAATCAATTTCATGATTACGATGTCAGATTTCATCCTATAAAAGAACTCAGAAATATCTGGTTAATTGAATAAACAGAATCCAATTTTTGGATCATTCGATCATTAACTAACCCTAATCAATATCTATTCGCAGTCTAAGATGAACCTCAAAATAACTAAAGCTTTCCAATTAGAACTCACCCATTCCTAGAAGATAGAAATAAGAGGGTAATTGATGGATTATTATAACAATGAATACTTGTAATGAGTTACAATCTTTGCTTTCCCCTTTTTTATCTTTTTTAGAAATCTTACCATCAAATAATAGGAACCTTCTAAATCAAAGACCAATATTATTCCAAATTTATTTCATGTTATTTTAAATCTAAGTTCTATTCTAATATATATATTATATTAAATAATAATTAAGTATTATTAGACTTAAATCGAAGCAAATAAATACTTGATTAATTACAGAGGTTTATTAGAAATCAATAATATTATTAATATATACTGCATAATTGTACGTATTTCATAAACAGCCTTTGATTATAAGAAAAATGTTGATTTTATGACATATAATATGACGTAATTTTAAAACATGTTTAATTTAATTGCGCAATTTAATTATTTTGTTGTTAATTGCCCCATTTATAATGGGATACATATATCATCAAATCCCTAGTTGAGTCAAAATGATTTATTATAAATGATTTAAAATTCTGTTATATTTTTTACAAATCATGCATCAAAAATTTCATTCATTAATAAATTTATTATTCATGTCTTTACATTAATTTATCACTAGCAACAATAAAGGTTAGCCAAAATAGTTAGAGTTTAAAAATTTTATTGTGAAAAATTAGACAATAAGTGTAAGAAGACCTAAAAAATTTTTAAATCGACACAGTAGATAAATTACATTCGGATCAACAAATGATAGAGAAATTCATTAATCAAAGTTGCCAACACTCCCTTAATATGATGTTAGTTATCAACAAGTCGATAAACACTAAAGAACGGTCTCTATTAAAGCAGATCGAGAGTCTGTTATACAATTTACTTAAGAAAACACCAATACTTCTCCTATTAAATAAGAAACATGGGTTAGACGAAGAAAAGGAAGTCTTAATTTAAATGAATTAAAAGTAAAAATGCCCAAGATGAATTTATAAATGCCCTTAAATTATTTTGATTTTGAAATTTAATAGCCTTTGAGTTTAAAATAAGTGTATCATTTATTTGATATATTAAAGTAAATTATTATAAATATTTTAGAGAAAAACATTAAATAAAAACAACAAGAGAAGCATGAATTTAGAGTCTAGGAAGTGTTTATGATTTAATTTAAATTTGTTTTGGAAATTATTTGAACATCAAAAATGTTATAATTTAATTCTGATTCCAAATAATATTTGGTTTTATTATTATATATTTTTGATCATTAATATTTTAATAATGAAAATTTAGATCCTGCTATCTAAAATATATTAACAATAGATATAGAGTATATCAAATAACTTACCATTATTTCCAAATCTAATGAAGTATTAGATATTAATTGAATAAAATTCTAATAAAACTCATATATTTATTACAAATGACTTTAAAAGTTTAAATGGTTGAAGATCATAATGTCTACAATACTGTCCTTTCATCTACAGGTATTGAATTTTTCCTATTATTTTAAAATAAATAAATCTTTTTATATAAAATATATTTATAATTAATGGGAATTTCAAGAGACAGTCGACATAAGAGAAGACTTACAGGAGGTCGCATGCCAATTCATAAAAAGAAGAGAGCATTTGAGAAAGGAAGATAAGCTGCAATGACAAAATTAATTTCTGGAGAAAAAAGAGTCAGAAGAATTAGAGTTAGAGGAGGAAATTTCAAATTTAGAGCACTTCGCCTATCTGAAGGCAATTTCTCTTGGGCCAGCCAAGGTGTTGCAAAAAAAGCAAAAATAGTTGAGGTTGTTTACCATCCTTCTAACAATGAATTGGTGAGAACAAAAACTTTAACAAGAGGAGTTATTGTATAAGTAGATGCTACCCCATTCAAATAATGGTATGCTAAAAAATACAATGTTGAATTGGGACCAAAAAAGAAAGATAAAAAAGTAAATATTATATTGAAATCTTAGGATGCACCAGCAGAATAAACAAAAAAATCAAATTCTCTATAAAAAAAACTTGCATAAAGAGCAAAAGATAACGTTATTGATTAATTGGTTCAAGAGCAATTCTCTAATCAAAGGTTATTGGTTAGAATAACTTCAAGACCTGGATAATCAGGAAGAGCTGATGGCTATATTCTAGAAGGAAAAGAATTAGAATTCTATGTTAAAAAAGTTGAATAAAAGAAAAAATGATATCATTAGTACATTAAATTTGCACAGAATAATTTATTTATATTAATTCATTGCTACTTTATTGTGGTATATTGAGAATATTTAATTATTGGCTGTCTAAAAAAGCATTCAATCTATAGAATATCTAAAACAAGAAATTCTATTTAAATAATACTTAAATTGAATTGGATTCCTCTTAGACATAAAACTGGTAAGCCTTTATTTTTAAATTCATGTTCTAATTAATTGATTTATTTTGATTGAAATTAAAGATTCTAACGTAATTTTTTTCTAAAAAGATCAAAAATAAAATAGTATTTAAATAGAAATTAAGCTTGTAATTCTTGCAGAGACAGTAGATGGGATAGAAGAATTCCCAATTTAAAATGTTTTATCATATTTATATTAAAATGATAAAAAAATACAGGTTTAGAGAATACTAAATAGAAATTAAATAATTAAACTTTAACAATAGTAGAAACTCTAAATCTTACATTAAAAATCAAAAATATTATTTACTCTTTAATTAATCAAAATAATTTTTTCTTGTTTTTTTCTGATCCAAATAATGCTTAAAAGTTACTCATTTTATGTAAAGAAGAACTAGCAGTAGTTGTTTTTGGAGATGCTAAAGTACCAAATTATTCTGTTTTAACTCTTTCTGTTGCTTTTTTGTTATTTTAATCTGGCATAGTAGTAATTCTATCTGAAGTTTATAATGCTCTGGATTGATCAATTAATAATTTTATTTGCTATAAAATATTCATATATATAATACTTTAAGTTCCTAAAGCGATGATTATGCTTGCTACATGGTTTTTGAATAGGTATGACCTAGCTTAGCAGTTTGATGCTAAAGTTAGGATGATTTAGTCATAGTTTCTTGTTTTTTTGAGTTATCAAATAGATCACTTTTTCCCTTTGTTCCAAAGATTCTTTTTGAATCCTCTGGTGATTATGAAAATAATTATTCATTTGATTCTGCCTATGGTGATTGAACCTTAGTCTACTGATTAATTGAAAATGGTTCAGCAATAAGAGCTTAATTTTACAACTGATTCAAATTGAGAACATTAGTTCTTCTTGATTTTTCTTATCCATACACACTATCCCTTGAGTAATAAAAGTTATCTAATAGATAATTTGCAGTGTCAACATTCTTAGATTAATTATAACATATTATACTTGAAATTCCTTTTGTAAATTGATTTGAAATTGCTTTCTAAATTCAGTATCTCCCTTGTTGAATTCTTCTTCATCAAAATTATATTTCAGAGGATAAGGTTTATAAGGTGGTTTAACCTTTTTATTGAAAACTGCATCAAAGTCAACATCTTTGAACCACTTATGATTTAAGATTTCACTAATTCCATTGTAATGTCCAAGTCTATCTTCAGGAACCTTTTGCAATAAGGATTGAATTAAGTCTTTCAAAAGAGGAGAAATCTGGATGTAATTTGGAAATTGAATTTATTCTGTTAAAATAGAATTATAAATGTCTTGGGTATTATGTGAATAGAATGGAGGCAATCCAGTAACTAATTCATAGAGTAATGCTCCTAAACAATAACAATCAACCAAATAATTATGACCTGTTTTCATGAGCATCTCTGGAGCCATATATTCAGGTGATCCACAAAATGAATAAGCAAAATCATCTGGTGTCATCTCTGGTTTTGATAATCCGAAATCACTTAACAATAAATGACCTTATAAATCTAGGAGAATATTTTCAGGTTTGATGTCTCTATAAACGATATTTTAAGAATGCAAATAAGCCATTCCTAAACAAATTTCTGCAAAATAGATTTTAGCATCTTGTTCATTTAATCTCTTCAGTTTTCTTAGATGGTAAAATAATTCACCGCCAGCGCAATACTCTAAAACAAAAGCTATATAGTATTTTGTTTCAAATGAATAATGTAATGGTGTTACAAATTGGTTGTTCATTTTAGTCATGATATCTCTTTCATTCTATACAATGATTTCTTTTGAATTTTCAAATATAAACTTTTTGTCAATAAGTTTCAACGCATAAAACTTGCCATTGTCTCTCTTTCTTACCATATACACTCTTGAAAATCCTCCAACACCTATACATTTGACTAGTGTAAAATCTTTCAATCCAACCTTTTTAGTTTAAATAGGCTGGGAATACAAAGGCTAGATTTGTAGAGTGTTTCCTTTGAAGACATCCAAAGTCATCTCATTTAATGTCAAGTAATAATCATAGGGCACATTCTTTGATACTGTTTAGAACTAACATATTTTATTTAATTCTGATATTATTCATCTTTAAATACCTTATTGAATAGAATCTCCATCTGTTGAGCCTGTACCTCCTCCTAACTTTGTACATTATTTTTCAATACTGGCTATTTACTGTATTAAATAATTAAAGAGATCATCAGTAGTTTTAGTTTAATATTTGAATAAATAATGATATCTAAATAATTTATGTTGAGTACTTTGATTGTTTATAATAGAGGATAATCTTTAACTATTGCTCCTAGTCATAATTCAAAGTTTCATCTGCATTTTATTATTTTTATTGAACCTAGGATGAACAGGCTTCAGTTTTAAAATGAATTTAATGCGGTTTAGCTTTTTCATTCTCACATTGTTTCTGAGGAAAATGTTTTTATGTTTATACTTGATTAAAGTATTTTTTATTGTAGAGCATATCCTCTATCGATTATCTATGATATGATGGATCGTCAGATAGAATTGACTATTTATTTTATTTTATTTAAGAGTTCTGTTAATAATCATCTTAGGAGGTTTTGGTGTTTTTTAACTACATTATATTATTTCAATAGTTATACTATTTGCATATCAAATAAATATTAATCTTTTTATTTTATTATCGGTGATTTTATTTAATTTTAAGGGGATTGATTGTAAGATTATTTAGTAGTTTGCGACGATTTTAAAAGCTGATTCTATAAACAATAAATTCATTAAGCATACTTCTAATGAAATTATGGCAAGAGATAAATTTTTTTATTTGAGTATTTACCTTTTCGTATTATTGCCCTCTTCTGGCTAAACATTCAAATCCACATACTAGAATTTTCAGAAGAATAAATACATTTAATTATCCATTTTTCAAACGCTCGCTTTTCTAACTTTAAGAATGTAAAATATCAATGCTTTTGCTTCCTTGTAAAGTATTTCTTACTGAGTGAACCATTTGCGTAATCGTATTTCTTTCCTTTTTAAAATAATCTAATAGGTCATTTTTTTTAGTTTTGGATTAAGGTCTTTCTGTCTTTGCGGTTTTAACATTGCTTCTTGAAGATTTAATATCGTTGCTTAATGAAGGTTCTTAAAAGCTATTTCTATTCATAAGCGATTGAATCTGCGAACTTATTTTCTTCATTAACGATGAGAATAATAATTTAATTCAAATTATATATTTTATTATTTAGAGCCAAAGTTCAGAATCAAATACAATGCTGTCTCTTCTAAATAATGCACATCCTGACTTTTTTTATATTGAAATCGTAAGTCTAAGTTGAAATACTTAATAAACTAAAAAATTATCAAAATATCCTCCATAACAAGTTAATTATAATATGGCTTCATAAACATTTGGTCGTAACCCTTTCCTTAATTACAATTATATATTTTTATATTCAGACACACTTTCCCAATGTCTAAAATTAGTTAATTATGTGCAAATTCAATTTATAAGTGGACTCAGTAAAATTATATTTTTTTTATCTGTGATTATTTATAGTAATGATTATTTTATGCCATGATTAAGGGATTTATTTTTAGAGAACTTATAGGAAGTCTAAAGGGACTTAGGATTCCTTTAAATTCCATGAGTTATCATTGATATATAATTATAAATAATGAGTCATTTATTTACTTTTTATGGAAAATAAAATGCTTTATTAATTTTTGTGTATTTCTCAAATTCTTAATGATTAAGAATTTATATAGACTCCTCATTTCCATTTAACAATTTTATTAATTTAGTTAAAATTTTTTCTATAATGCTTGTTTCCAAAAATTCAGACACTGAAAATGAAAATAACACAAACTCGTAAACTCCAAGACACAACCTATCCTTCAATGCCATATAAAAAGAGGATTGGAATTAAATTATGGAAGAAGAATCTATAAATGATTTCAGGTCAAAGGATCTAACTTTAGCCCTGTTTTATTCGGCTCATCTTACTACCTAAGAGTACTACAACAATATATATTTAGTCATATCAATTTAATCCACATATTCTCTTAATTCAAGGACTTTGAAATGCCTAACCCCCAAGAACCCAGTGCATATTATGCAGAATTGATTGATAGAGATGTTGGCAGAACTTATTAATGGATTCCATATTTTAAAGATAAATAAAACTAGGACCAATTAAGAAAGCTCCTCCTCAATTATGCAGATTATGATCCAGATGTTGGTTATGCTCAAGGAATGAACTTCATAGCTGGAACCTTAGTTTACTTTTAAGTTCCTTAACCTTAAAAAATATTTAATGAATTAATCTAGAATCATCGAAACAATTATATCGCTGGAACTCCAGGATTATTTGAAAATTTGGCGAAACTGAAATTTAAATTGAAGACTTCCATTCCAAAATTATTTAAGCATCTTCAAGAAATTGGACTAAATGATTTGGGCATTTGCTTCAGTCCATATTATTTAACTTTAATGTTGTAAAATACACCATTTTAGTACCATATGCTCATCCTGAATATTTATTAACTCATGGGTTAAAAATACATTACAAAATTGCTAATGGCAATGCTGAAGCTTTCTAAAAATACTATTATGAAAATAAAGGATGTGGAAAAAGTTAACAAGTACATAAGAACCGAATTGGCAGTTAACTTTTTCTAAGAAATTGAAATCTGCAGAAAAGAATAAAGACTTATTCAACTACTATTTAATATTGGATTAATTAAGCGTGTTAATCAATATTGAATCTTAATTTTGAGAATATACTTTAATATTTAATTAACTCTAATGAAATTATACCATCAATCATTTCATTTGGAATGTCTCCATTCTTAAGTGAGCATCTCAAATATTGCATCATATTTTCAAATACATTTCATTGTACATGTTAAAGAATGGATACAGAATATTTATTTATTCATTATTTAATGTTATAAAAGGCTTATTAAAAGAGCCTTGTTGATTAATAAACGCCTTAATTTATAAAATTGTCTAATACTTTCTAAAATCTCAGAAAATAAGCATTCCAAGTATAGATGACTGTGTGCAATTTAATCAAGGAAAGGGGGAATGCATTTTATAAATTGAGTAAACTCATATATATAATGAAAAGATGATTTTTAGACTGCTTGCTAAATTTATGAAGAGCTTTATTAATTTTTGGAGTTCAAAGAATGCAAAAGTAGCACTCTGTTTTTGGTACAATACAATGGGAAAACTCCAGAAGAATCGACTCTCCTAAATTGTAACAGAATATTAGTAATATAGAACTCAAAATAGCCATTTTGAATAACTTGTCAGCCACTCTTCTCAAACTTAAATTGTATTAATAAACTATAGAAATCACAACTTATGTGTTGCACTTCGATCCCAACTCAGCAAAAGCTTTATTTCGAAGAGGAAAAGTAATTATACCTTTATTTACCAGGCTCTATTATCACTCACTCCTCTGAGCAATGAAAATCTCAAGGCCTCTATTGAAGATCTCAAGAAAGCCTCACAAATTCAAGAAGATGAGTTAATTCAAAGCACATATTAATAAGCCATAGAAACCATGAATAATAGATAATTAAACCCTATAAATTTAATTGAAAATGCTAATTTAAACTATGAAATAGATTATTCGAAGGAAGTGCCAGAAGAGATTAACGAAGTCAAATAGTTTACAGAGAAAAAGGGAATGGAAATGCTGAAAGATCTGTAGAAATAAGGAAAGATAAAGGAGGCAAATGAATTCTTATAAGAATTGAATCAGATTCAGGAAGCCAAAAAGTAATTGGAAAGAATAAGCAGACTCAATTTCGATAAACCAAAGCCAGTAAATTTTGATTATTAAGATCTTAGTATCTTTATGAGACTATCAAAAGATTGGGTGTAAATTCTTTGTAATTGTAACAAGAATTCAAGAATATTCAATATCAACAGCTTTAGGACATAAGAAATAAATTGAAATAATGGAATTATTGTTATTCAAAAGATCTTAATATAAATAATTAAGGACTTTAAGGAGAGTAATAAGAGTATCCTTCAGAGAATAAAGCTTAAAATATCTTACTAATTATAGGAGGACTTGTTTTATTTATTTTAATAGGTGTATTTGCAGCTGGAACATGATATATTTTATTATTCAATTCCATTATTCATTTTACAATAAATACAATAATCAATACTATAATTACAACAATAAGGCCGCCTATCACATATTTATACTTTTGCATAGACTGTTTTTAGTTTTCCTCAGCTCCAACTAACTCATTCGATGCTCCAATGACATTAGCTTTGGCTTAATTTAAGTTTTGTTATCCAAAGTCTAATTCCTAGCCTTGTTGATCTGTTAACTCGCCCATTTGATTGACAATTAAATTTAATTACAAAGCCTCCTTTTCAATTAAGTCTAATTCACGTTGTCTCTCATCAATTAACATATTTTCTAAGTCGATCATATCGGTTTCTACAAAATCTTCATCGATTGAAACTGTTTTTATTCTAGTAGCTTCTTCAGCATGCACTTGAGATAAATTGCTTCTTTCATTGTTGGACACTCTTTGATCTTTTGAAACGACTTTCACATAATTTTGATCAACAAAATATTTCAATTGTTCTTATGCAGTTTCTTATCCGTAAGCTTTAGATTATCTGATCACTGAAATTTTTGAGAATTTTTGTTCGAATGATGAATTCACAAAACTCTTCATGATCCTTTTTTGTCTATCTACTTCCTTCAAATATTATTATTTGAGTTTGTTGGCTATATTGTTTTATTCATTTCCTCTCGCTATTTTATCGAGTTGGGTGATTAATTCTTTAGTTTTATCTGCCTTTATTTTGAACTGTTTCCTTGATCCCTGTAAATCATTATATTATCTAAGTAAGGAAATAAGAATACAGATTTGCAATCTATAAAGATTATTACTAGTCATTGTAAACTTTTAATTCTTCAACAAAGTTCTATACTTTCTTGATTATTACTAGATCTTAATACCTCCTAAAGAGCCTAAAATTAGGTTTTAATAGCCTCAGGTTTTTAAAAGAGGTTTTCTTCTAGATCAGTCATCAAAATTACTTAATAAAAATAATATCTAATTTAATATGCTCTTATTTATCAAATAATTGAGGACATCATTTTTGAGATAACAAAGAAAAGGAGAATTCATATAATTTTTTAGTACATCACTTAATACGCAACAAAGATTATGTTTAATATAATTATATTGTTAATATAATCTTATATATATATACTCATTAAAGAATTTTAAAATTTTAATAATATTTAATTGTGCTCATGAATCACCACGGCTTCATAATTTTGTTTAGTTTGATATCTACCGTATTTGGAGCACCAACAAGCTCAGAAAGATGGGGCTATGGAATATTAGCCTCGTTTGGTGTAAGTATGATTGGATTTGTTGTTTCCATTTTTATCATCATATTGAAAAAGTTTAGTAAAGGAGAAACAGCAAAATAAGTGATGAAAGTTTTAATTGGATTTGCAATAGGAGCATTATTAGGTAAATAATAATCTAATTTTAGGCGACGCATTTATTCATTTAATTCCTCACTCATTCTCATCACATGAGCATCATGACGAGGAGGATCATAATGAAGAATTAGAGGATAATAGATTATTGGATGAAGAAGAAATTGTTGAAGAGGAGGAGGAAGATATCTCCAAGGAGTTTTTGACATCTTTATTGCTATTATTGGGTGTACTGAGCTTTTTTTTAATAGAAAAAGGCATGATAATCTTATAATCTTATGTTATGAATTAAAAAGTTTAACCTGAAGATTAAAATCTTGAAATTGGCCAACAAGAAACTAACATGGATAATAAAAATACTGCTGATTCTCCTGATATTATTGATAAGGTAGCAAAGATTCAAGAATTACACTTCGAAAAAGTATAATAACTACCAATTTCAGAATAATTATTCTCTTATGAGAGTTGGAAATATAAACCAACTTTGGGGTATCTCAACCTAGTTTCAGACTTTCTTCATAATATTATGGATGGTTTAGCATTAGGAGTAATCTTTGCAACAGCCAATGATGATAACTTTGACAGTACAATAGCAACATTAATAGCAATAATAATACATGAAACAGCATAGGAAATAGGTGATACAAGTATTCTGCTCGAAAATAAATTTACAAATTCATAAGCATTATTCTCAAATGGATTAATTAATTGCAGTGCCTTAATAGGAGCTTTAATAGGATTAGGAGTATCATCTATGGATAACGATACGCTCGTTTTGGCCTTTGTTGCTGGTAATTTCATATATATCAGCTGTGTTGATATGCTACCAGAAGTCCTAAAAGAAGAAAATATTAAGATATCAATTCTCTAGTTCTTTGCATTCGGTGCAGCTGTAGCCATTATGTATGGAATTGCTTATTATGAGCATTCTTAAGAATGAACTCTATATAATTTATATTTTTATTATATAAAATTTAATGAGTAAACTTACCAAGGCAGTATTTGAGAGAAATTACATCTTGAAAGGAGACTATTATATTATAGATTTAAATACAAGAAATCTTGTGAGCATTAAAAACATAGACCAATATTGTCGAGTGGATAAAATCTAGGAGATGATTCTTGAATAGAATAGTCTGAGTTAAATAGAAGATGTCATTAGACACATGTAATTAAATTATGCAAGTCTAGGATTCAACTTAAGTTATTGGAGTTGTAATTGAATCAAATCCAGATCATAGAAAATTTAGAACTTCCCAATTTAGAATAGCTTAATCTCAATACTAATTTCATCAAAGAAGTTCCTCAATTACAATTGCCCAGATTAAAAGTACTGAATCTATCCTTTAATAAAATCACTTATGTGGCCGATTAGAATCTCCCATCTTTGGAATAACTTAATTTATCTGGAAATTAACTCATATATCTCCCTAAATTAAATTAATCACCAAGACTCAGAGTTCTAGATGTTCAAAAGAATAATCTAATTTCAATTACGAGGTTAATGGGTACTTGTTAATACTTACAGGATCTTAAGATGGGATATAATTAAGTTCCTGGGGAGTATATTGATGAATTATGTGCAGTTATTCAAACATTGCCAAGTCTTGACAAAATCGATTTCAAAGGAAATCCAGTTTCTTAAGTTAATGGCTATGAGATTAGACTATTGAAAGCAAAGCCAGGTTTGAAATATATTGACAATATTCATTTATCTGAAAATATCATTCAAAATCTTTAGGTTTTGATTCATCTCTATTTTAGAATATGGATAAAACTAGGACATTTAATGAGTTGGTGGAATTAACAAAAGAATAATATTATAAATGGATATAGGAAAGAGAAGAGGTGAGGAGAGTGATGCAGAAATAACTAAATTAGTAGAAGCTTAGATTGGACTTTCAATTTGAGGACAAAGAAGAAGACAACATCGAGGAAATGAAGGAATTTTTTGAATTTATTAAAGAAATAGAAGCTAAAAAGAAAAAAGGTGAAAAAATAAATATGGATGATTAAAATATTTAATTATGGAGATAGAGATTATAATAGTCTGAGAACTAAAGAATCTAAGCCTAATAACTAGTTAGGTAACAGCAAATAAAAAACAATGAATAATAAATCAATAATTATATTTCTACTAAAACTATGATGGTATTTTTCATTATTACATGGTTAGCAAAAACTATTCGAAATTGCCATTAATGAACCTGAAATGTGGAAGGAAATCAAGAGGAAGGAACTAGTTTAAATACCTTAGGAACAAAGTGATGAACCCTCTTCTGGCATGAGATCAATGAATAGTATTGAAACACCTTAGGAATCTGGGAGTAGAAGTGGAAATTATAGTGTGAGGAGTGGCAAGTCAAGATTTTGAATGGTTATTTCATTTGATATATTTAAAATATGAATAAAAATAAAATTTTTAAAGTGGTCTTAGTAGATTAAAATAACCATTAAACTATTATGGAGATGCCTAAGGAATATCGAAAAGGAAATTTATTTTATGATCAGAAAGAAAGAGATAAGAATTGAAAAAGAAGAGGTGCAGCCACCCAAAAAAAAGTATCGATATATTCTACATTGAAGAGATGCTGATTAATATAATACAAAGGAGTATTACTAATAGAGAAAGAAAACCGGATAAATAAGTAAGTTAAGTTAGGCTAATAATTCGAGATGATTGAGAAAAATAACCTTATTAAAGTTAAAAAATTCTAGATGATTTTCCTCTAGCTTAAAGTTTGATACTATTTAAATGTAAGAATAAATACTCATTTTCTTTTGTTTCTTAAAAGTCAGAAGTTTATAAGCATATATTTTAGTTAATATAATTAAAGATGTCGGAAGAGTTCTAAAACTACATTTTTAAAGATATTGATAAGGGATTGCATGCAAGGAAAAATTAAGTAAACAGAGATAAGGTGGATGTTAGGGAGAAGAAATAAATTGCAGAATATAAAAATGATCTAACAGATTCGGAAGAGGAAGGTTCATTTTCAAATAAAAAAAACAAGGTCGAAAATAAAAAAAGGAAAAAAAATCACACAAACTTGATTATTCTTCTGATGGAGAGAAACCTAAAAAGAAAGTTAAAAAGAACGAATCTTCTGGGGATGATTAATCACCTGATTCAGTGGTTGAGTCAAGTGCTTCTTTTTGATGAAACTATATTGAGATAAATGTGAGTATATGTCATAATATTTTTATTAATTTAATTATTTAGTGACGTTTTTGGTTAATTTAATTCTAATTTGGGGGTTTTGAAAAATGTTTTGGGTATTAATAAGTGAGTTTAAGATCATTTTAAATGAATATTATTTAAAATATACATAATATATGGATTATATTAGAACAATAGTTTCAGGAAAAAAAAAGAGATTCATCTCAGAAGGTTATAACTTAGATTTGACTTATGTTTGCGATAGGATAATAGCTATGGCTTTCCCTGCTGATGGATTTGAAAGCTGTTATAGAAATCCCATTGATAAGGTATTATTTATATAGAATTTTAGGTTGTTCAATTTTTAGAGAACAGACATGGCAATAATTACTTAATTATGAATCTATCATCACGCACTTATGATTATTCTAAATTTAAAAATCAGGTTAAAAATTATCAGTGGAACAATCATCATGCTCCCCAATTACATTTACTCTTTAATATGTGTAAATCTATGCAAGAGTTCTTTAATTAGAAATAAGAAAATGTTGTCGTTGTACATTGTCTGGCAGGAAAGGGCAGAACGGGTACGTTAATTTGCTGTTACCTTTTATATTGTGGAATGTTTAACACCGTAAATGATGTTCTATAATATTATGAAAAATCCAGATTCAATGACGAAGGCTTGGGAGTTAATTAACCATGCCAAATTCGTTATATCGAATATTTCAATCAATTATTATAAGGAGAAGCCATTTACCCAAGTCTTAAATATTTGAGCTCAATTATTATAGAAGGAGTACCAAAACTAAATATTGATGATGGCAGCAAGATATCCGCTAAAATCTATCAGAACCAACAACTTATCAAAGACACCTAAATACTTAAAATCATTTAAGAAAATTAGACAAATTGTATAATAATGACACCCAATCCTATTGTCATTCATGGCGACATTTTAATTGAATTTTATAATTCCAACCTTGTGAAAACCAAGTTAATAATGAGAATATCATTTAATACTTCATTTAATACAATCACTTTCACAAAGGATTAGATTGATCCATTTAAAATTAAAAACGATACAAGAATACCTGATAATTTTAAACTTCATGTTTGCCAATCAGAATATTGCAATAATTGTGATTAGACGACCAGTTTTCATGACAAGTGTCCTGATTGTAAACAAACATTAAATCAAGAAAGACAGAATTGGCACCAAATTAAAGAAGCTTTGAAGTTGAAAGGGGTCAATGTTATTAGACATTTCCCTTAAAACTTTTGATATCGAATATTAAATGTTTGTAGAATAGACATCTTCATCAGAGTTAAAATACTAATCAAATAAGCCTTACTTTTTTTGTAAATATATAATAAATATGTCTATTCATAACTTAGTTAAAAATTATAAAATAAATATTTTATTCTCTTGAGTGATAGATATATCATCTAGATAGTGTGATTATTAAGTATATCAATATTTAATAAGATATGCCATTCAATTCTCATTGAGGTCTTTCCAATATTTATCTTATTTTAACTGAATTGAACTTCGCCCAATAAGAAAAGGTGTACCTACCTGCTTGGTCCATTTTTTATTGAAAAGATTTTGGGTATTTCTTAAACTGCTTTTCATACTCTTTAACCATATTATCTATATTATTATTTTACTTATACACAGTAAAACAATAATATTAGTCAATTTCTGCAGTGACATTTAAATTTTTACTTTTAAACTCATCTAACATCATTTGCTAATTATCTGTATTATTGCATTCATCGATAATCTAGCATGAATTAGATGGTTTATCGATGATATGTTTTTATGAAGATATTTTCTAACTTTTATGATCCAACTTAGATTCATATAAAGTATACGAATTTCTTTAATCGTCTTAACTTAGTATTTTGATAGATTCGTTGTCGTCAAATAATTAAGCACAATTTTGTATTTCTTCTTGGGCAAGCAGAGTATTGAATTATCTTCGAGATTATCTTTTAATATTTCTCACTCTTCTTTACTACTAATTGAAATATTCTTATTTTATTATTCTTTCAATGTCTGGTTAATAGAAATTATTGGGACAATTTAAACTAATGTGATGATATTGATGGCAGAATCTGCATTTTAAGTTGATTTACTAGAGATTTGAATCGAATATAATTTCATCCTTGATTTAATGAAATTTTTCAAAATCCCTTTGATTAAATTTGAGTATTTCTAGAAATTTCGATCTTTCAATTTTATATACTTTGCAAAGTGTGTTTGCTTTAACCTTTATATTCACATGGAAACCTGTAAAAAAACTGTATTCTCCAAAGGTGTCACCCTCATTGAGTATTTCTATTTATGAATTGCTTTGTTTTTCCATGACTGTTGCAGTACCTGAATGAAAAAAGTAGCTTAAATTATCAAATTTTATACAGCGAAGAATCAAAATCATGAATAAAATCACCGGGAAGATATGTCTACAATTCACTTTCTTAACCTATGAATTGCTATGTTTACAAAGAAAACAGTTGTAGTGGTTTAATTTTTTTCATTATTGTCATTTTGATATCAACAGTGAGTTGAGTTTTGAGACTTGAAGGGAGATAAGCATATATTTTATCTATCTTTTATCTAAATAATTTTGCATACATCTTCTTAACTCCCAAAAACATCCTCTTGATAATGAAATTGCAAATAATTCCGTATTCTACTTTATAATTCCGGTTCAATATTGTTATTCCGCATGTGTTAATTTATTAGAATTAGAGATTTTCTAAGATTTAATTTCAATAATTACTTATATCGTTATTTTTGATCATAAATTAGCTTCAAAATATACCCAATGGAATTCATTGAATAAGCAAAGGTGCAACTACTAATGAACATCATTATAATTGAAGATACAACCTCGTAATGATTTTATGCCGTGATATCTCCATATCCAACTGTTGCCATCGTCATGGTTGCCCAATACAAAGAATAGGCATACCTCAACCAAAGCGTTTCATCTAGAAGATGCTCCTTAATGAGCCAAGAGTGACCAAATTTATGACTAGTAAGTTCTCCCATATAATACCAAAAACATGCCATTGTGTGAGCAACAAAATAGACACTTAGAATTACATTTATTAGATCTAAGATTTAACTCAGTCCTCCTCTCAAATAGAATTATTCATATTAAATAGTAATTTTCTTTCTGATTTGTTTAAAAATGATGAGCATTTAAATGATAGTAATAAACTCATTTACTTAATAATCGAAGTAAAAGAGAGACCACATAATCAGATTTAATATCTCTGTAAAGAAAGTATATTAGAAATAGTTCTTAATAATTTACAGTCTGTCATAGATTACCTACATAAGGATTAGAGTCTTACCTCTCCTTTTTAAATGAACCCTCGATTTAAACTAATTATAAAGTCAAACACTGCATACAATGCAATTATGGCAACTAAATATTTGAAAATCTCTTCATCCATTTATCTCTCTGTATGTTACTGTAAAAAGCATGCTAGAAACGGACACAGCCATAAACTTAAAGCTATTACACTGATTCCAACCAGATCCCAAAATATTAAAAAGAAAGATCCAGGTTAAATAACATAGCTGTTATCCTTCGGCGATAATTCCTCTATAAATTATGTAACTATAAATACAATCGTTTTTGTTTTTTAGATTTATAGATAAGTAATTTTCCTACAGATAATCATTATTGCTCTATTTAACATAGGCTCGTTAGTAGAGATTCTAAAAAAATCTGGAAATGAATTATTTTTATTGTATGAATTTCAAAAATTTTGGTTTCAAGTGCAATTTAAAAATAGAGGAACGAGATATATATGTTTGTTGTAATTTCGTTCTAGAAGTGTGTCTTTAAGGACTAGCCTATCTTTATTGTCCTTCATTTAAACAGTTGATCAAGCTTTCCTCTGATTGTATGAAAGATGGCATTTTTTCTTTCTGATAAATTTACTTGATAACATCAAAAGGTCCTATTGAGGCTCTTGGACTTCTCTGACTAGGAGTGATAAACACTTAATCCATTATTAAATTCAAGAATAATATAAATATATATAATTTTTATAATTGAAAATCTACAAACTGAATTTAAATTTTATTATCTAGATCATTTTTCTCTCATCACCAAGCTGTATCTCATACTATTCTTATGACATTTCTTGACAATCAAATAAATAATTATTAAAAAGCCAAAAGAAACTAATAACGAAGCAATAACATAGACAACCCTCATTAAAACATCAAAAGGACACTTCACTTTACCTTCCAGACTTTTCAAATTATCATCACATGTATTGTAAAAGAAGAGTTAACTAGTTTTTTCAAAAGCTCTAATAATAATGCAGGTTCTTAATTGAGAATCTTAAATCTCAATATTGGTGTAGTGATTCTTTCCCAACCAAGGTCCAAATGTTAATGGCTAAGTCTTGCAAGAACCTGACTTATCCAATGATCCACACATAGTTTCTTAGAGTCCATACTTGTATTTGAGGCCTAAATTTTGAATATAAGAATTATATCCATTTTTCATGGCAGTCATATGAGAATCACTACTGACAATCAAAACTTATTTCTCTAAAACCTCCTGAATATTTTATAACTTATCAGCTATTAAGAGTTATTCATGAGGAAACATGTCCCAAGTATCCCCATGGAAGTTAACGGAAGAGATGAAAATAACTGCTTAAATCCAATCTGTAATAGCCACTTTATCTAGTATTGTTATTAGCCATTATCTTTATTATTTACCTAAAATCGACCTTGCATTTGAGAAGTTTCCAAATTGATCTCCTAAGACCTCTAAGTTTTGGAAGGTTCTTAAATCAACAGTGATTATTATGGTTCTTCCAATAATTTGATATCTATAAGTTCCAATATTTTCTTCATTTATTGAGTCTATGTTCTTCACTTCTTATGGGAATTGTGCCAACTCTTCATCCTGGATTAGAGGTTGATAATTATGTAGATTCCCATGAGGAACGTATTTCCAATATAATAAATTGGCAATATTTCTGGTAGGACTGTTTCCATCGGCATCATTCTTCCCAAAATCATGGTCATCAAATTGATATTCGATTGGTACTTATTGATATCTACATAATTAATGCAATGAAATACAAGTATCGCTATGTAGTGGAACCGAAGACTTGTTTGTAAGCAAAGTCAAATTCATCAATAGAATCGGTGTTTATATCTCTGTAATGCAAATCACCTAACATGAAAAAGAATTGGGGATAGGTATTTTAATATATATCAAGAAAAATATTACTGATTGAGGCAGTTCTTGCACAACCTGAAGCACTAAAATTAAAAGTGTATGGTTGTCCGATCAATCCAAAGGTTTTGAATGAAAACATTGGTTAATCAAACTCAGTTGTAAATTCATAATCTTTTTCTTTATTGTACACAGTTCTCAGATATTTTGATGTGATGTTCTCAATATCATAGAACTCAAATATATAGAAATACTAAGTATTAGGTTTAAGATTCTGAAATTAAAGTATAATGGGTGATTCATTGCTTTAATTGACATTAAGTCTGTTCATAATTCATTTATATACAATGAAAAGTTTTCAATATTTTTCAGATCCCAAGAAATAATCCTAAAGTTCAGCATTGATTCCTGTCGTGTAAACACTTTCATTGTTATGGAATTTGATGTTAAATTACCTTTCCAGTGAAACAATATAGCATCTTCATATTGCAATGCTGCAACCATCTCAAATATAAAAAAGAAAAACATTTATAATAATTTTAATATCATATATATATATTTCAGTTACTATTGATGGTATTCTCTTCTTCAATATAATAAGGATCGGGTGTTTGTTTTTTTCTGAGAAACATGTCCTTAGGAAACTCTCTTAGATTCTTGCTTTTCCCATTAATGAAGCTTTAAACTAATTACTCCTATTACTCTTCAGATGACTAGATGGAGTTGTGACATACTTTTGAGATTGACTTCCTTCTGTTCTTATCATAGAGTTAATAATTGAAGTCGGTTGAATCCTCTAATTCTTCTTCTTAAGTGTTGTTACTTAACTCAGAGGATGAGTGGGTTGGTTTGGATTCATCCTCCCACTCATATTGTTGTCTTACTCTTTCCTAATTCTTAACATCTCTCAATATTTTATCACATAATTGATTTCCCTTTTGACATTTGCATTTTATTTATAACATCTCTACAGTCTTCTTAACAGCCAATAATGAATTTTGATTGTCTATCTTCTATTTGGCTAGTAATTCTTCAAGCCAAGCATTTTGTTGAACTAGTTTTTAATATTAAATTGTAAATTCCTTTTGCATCATTTTGATCTTACTTTTGAGATCAATCTCCTTCTACTTGTATTAGTTTAATTAATTAGCCAACAGTCTGTTTGATAATGTAGTTTCTTTTAATTTTTATTCCAACTGAGATTATTTATTAACTGAAACTCTGAAAAATCTCACATCTGAATGTTTGTGATATTCAATAGCATTCTCAACAAATTTAAGAAAGTCACTTTCATTATTCTTATTCACACTGTCTCTTTGTATGGATTCCTTCATAAAGTCACTGTCACTCCTAGAGTTGTTTAATTTAAAAAACTAATCAAATAGTTTTTCTCCTTCCAATTCCTCCATGTCATTGATGGGAGTACCATGTCTGTATGAATGTTACTTGTTGTCGAGAGTTGATTTGGCTCTTTGATGCTTCAGATCCACACTAGGTTTGCGTTTCTAGATTAAAGATTCAATGTATTGTAAGTTGTTTCTGTTCATGTCTTCAAATAACCCAAATGACTATTAATCATTTGGAGACTTTTTATGTCTGAGTTCTCTTGAACTTATTAAAAAAACATCTTACTTGCATAATTTATGCCCTGCTTTCCTGACAGTTAACTAAGTGACATTTAATTAAATTTTATTTTATAAAACCAAAAAACCCATCACTACACTTTAATTTATATAACAAACATACCATCCATTCGAATATTTCAGTTTCCCATTGTCAACAAAAACAAAACTTTTGGGGTTCTATGCAAATATTAATTAATTTTTTATTATTTCTTATTTAATGATGCCAAAACTAAGTCGAGAGAATACAATTAGCAATGCAAGTTGTCTCCCGAGACATCTAAACATACAAGGGTTCCAAAAGTTCAACATCAAGTCGAATTCTCCAAGAACATTGTAGGCTTGCTAAGAATTGGGCATTGATCCGATTGTTTTAGAATTAAAGTAAGCAAAATGATGTATACAAGAGAAGAGTCAGATTTCAAATAAAATGATTTAGATGAGGAAATCATTTAACTCAGATACTAACATTACTTAAACAGAGTTCATTGTATATGATCAATAATAATTATTATAGAACTGTTCACTGAAATAACTCAAAGAAGGAAAGAGATAATCTAGAGACAGAGACAAAAACTATTAAATAATAATGCCTCAATTGAATCACTAGATAGATCGAAGACAATCAAGTTGTAATAATCACTAGATTAATCCGAGTAATTCTCTACATTCAATTTAGGGTTCGTCGATAAATTGATACAATCTATAACAGAACAGTGTCCTTCTTGCATTAGAAGAGTGAATCTCCAACTAAGGATCAATTTGTAGGAGATGTTTATGATCTCAATTAATTGGAAGGGGGAATCGAAAAAGAGATTGATAGATACAATAAACATAAAAAATAAAAAATAGTAAATTATTCAAACTTATATCTTAATATAGAGAGAGGCACAACTCAAATTGCAAGAAGATGCAAAAAGGTTATAATTGATAGACAAGTGGAAATAAAAGGACTCACAAATTTTAGATTAGATTTTAAAGAGACAATATGCATTTAAATAAAAGATGAAGGCTTCAAGTAGTGGAAGAAAAACTCCCTTGCAAAAAATTCCCTAATTTACAGATCCTAAATCATTCAAAAGGGACAGTGAAACTAAAATTGACAAGTAAATAACCATTTTAAATTAAGAGGAGATACATCATTGCAAAAAACTATGTACAGAACTAGAATTGATGATTCTAAGATTAAATTAAGAAGGGAGATGGTCATTTAAAGAAAGGAGGTACTCAACAAACTTGAAGATTTGGAATTATAAAAGGACCTTGAGAAATTGTAAATGAAATTAACCTAAAGCGAAAAATTATCTAAATAATAAGCACAAATCAAAGTCGAAAGAATCAAGGAGTAATATTTTAGAGAATAATAATTAATTTAATAATAAAAGGAAATTAATGTTGTTTAATCTCAAGAACACTTGAGTGCTATGATTAGTAAAATGATCAATAAGGAACAAGAATTCAGAGGACTCCTTTAATCTTAATTAATGTCAGAACTAGAAAAAAAATAATTATAAAAAGAAAAATAGAAGAAAATTAAGTAGAATCAAAATGATCTTTTTAAGGATCATGAGTATTTATATGTAATTTTCTTAGCAAAAAATTGAAATAATTAAATGATAAATTTTGTAAAATTGAAGAATAGAATAAATTAAGAAAATAAGAATTAGACCATAAAGTACTTTTAAAATAGGAATTAAGAAAGTTAAAAGAATAGGATAAATTAGACAATAACGAGAGATAGAAAAGACAAAATGATTATAAAATGATGACTCTTTATATGAAATCAAAATTTATTGAGGAAAAAAATCAACTCAAATAATATCAAAATGTATTGATCTCAATTAAACATAGGAAGTCATTCAAAAAACTTCTATGGAAATAAACAAGTAGGAAATACAAGAACGATAAAGAATATACTCACAACTTTAGGAATTAAGCGACAATTTATTGAACTATAAAGTAAACAATTTTAATTATCCTTAGAGTGTTTCATAACATGAATCGAGATAAAAATAGGACCAAGCAAAATTCAAAAGCGTAAAGTAATTCATTTATCTCCTATTTCTAGATTACTTAAGAAGTTTGCTAAATTAGAAGATCCCAACATTGAGTAGCACACTAAAGTACTCTTAACAATGCTTCAACCTAAGCCTGTAGAAACTAATAATTCTAATAGAAAATTAAGTGTTCACAAAAAATGACGATATCTTATTTTAGTAAATTTATTTAAAATTTTATCAATAAAAATTACCCAAATATTTCCTTTTTAATTTATTTAAATCATTTATCATTCTGAAATAGTCAATTTTATTATTCGAACAGAATTTATTAGCAAAATACTTTATATTTATTTTCCTTTGTTATCTATTCATTTGAATAATAAATGGATAATGAAATCCAAATCTAAAACAAAGTCAAACGAATAAAAGAAAGATATGTGCATGAAGCTATGTTTTTGGTTGAGTAATGGAGGTATATATTAAATTTATTTAAGTAGAAGCTTATACCAGCAAACCTATATCGAAAATGGGAGATAATTAAAACTTACTTTAGATAAAGCTGCTGAGATCGTAGGAGTCCCTAGAAAAACCTTGGAAGATTACTATTATCAATTGAAGAAAGCAGAGACTCTAAGTAATACTTCATAATATAGTTAGTTGACCTTTAAAATTTTAAGAATTGCAAAATAGGTGTGATTCGAAGAATTGTTAAAGAGAGCAAAAAATAGCAAGAAACCGCAACTCATTTGATTGATACAAATGATTTTTTTATATAAGAAAATGAAACTAATAACTATAGAAAAAACAGTTTTGAATATGATGATTGATTTTACTAAAAATAGTGTTTACTGGAGCCACAATGATTATAAATGTCGTATATATTCTATCACTTATCATCCAGTATAATTTCTTAATCTTCCACCATTCAAATTAACTTTTACATGCTCGTTTTTCTAAATTATGATTGTGGAGATATTATACTTTCTATATACTTACATAAGCAAAATACACACAACACTTTAAGATGTATTTAATTTCTTATGCACCCATTTTAATAGGATTTATAATCAGAAAATAGATATAAAGAGATCATCTAATATGCATTTATGTTCATAATATAGTTCAATCTGCCTTTTTGTTTGCTTTTATCTAAATTAGACAATCTAGAAAAGAAATGATTTAATACATACATGAAAATGAAAATAAACTCATAGATGTCATAAGAATCCTAGATTATAAAAGAAACAGAGTTAAAGATTTTGTATATTCGTTAATATAAAAATAACTCTTATCTTTATTTCTTAAATTGCCTTCCATCGTAACAAAATTTGAAAGCCTTGAATACTATTGGTATCTGGATAATAATTAAACCTCTAATATGTTTAGTTCCTAAATAAATCTAAATGCAAGAAAATATTTTTGTCTGATTGCAGATTAAAAATTGCACTTGCGTATTCTTTTGGAATTGTCTTTTGAGATTCATTTTTAATAACTCATATAAATTAAAGTTCTTCATTTCTGGAATTTAAGAATAGATTTGCAAAGAACTTTGATGATCGAGAATTATATTTTAATACAAAAAAAATATGTTAGTGATTGAAAACAGATGAGAAATATAAATAGGACGTAAAAGTAAATATATGCAAATAATATAGTACTCTATATCATCGATTTGAAATGTGTTAAATAGAAAAAATTGTTAGTTAAATTTATATTATATATAAATTTATAAGTTGATGAAAAAAATAATAAGTTCAATAGGTAATTAATGTTCATATTAAGAATTCAGGTGATTATCCTCCTTTTGAATTTAATGGGAAAAGAATTCCAATCACAGCTTTAATATCTAATGAACCTCTATTGAAAAAGGAGAAATAATCAAATTATAAAATGACGATGTACTCAAATTAATGTCGGTAAGACAAAAGCAGATCAAAATCTACTCCACCTTCTTTGAGAGAGTTGTTGACTGATACATTTACTATCTCACTGACAGAAAGGACATTGCCTACAAAAAAACTTTCGATTTTACTTCCATTTAAAAATGCAGTTGAAAAGATCAGATCAAAAAATAGAGAAATCTTTACTCGAAGAAAATCTTGCTATGGAACTTTATTTGGAAACAACTAACAAAAATAAATGATAAATTTTCCTACTTCGATTGAAATGCATAAGAAAATTAATGGGAAAGAATTTGCACTCTCAAGTTTTGCTGAATTATTAAAAAAAAATCAAAGGAAGAGCACTAAACGTCCTAGTCTTGCTCGTAAACTCTCGAAATAAATGTCCTTAGTTGGTAAAGTTTATAAATGTAATTTCAAGAATATGATAATATGGAAAGGCCTCCTTCTTGTAAAACCCCTCGAGAATCTAAGGTTATTTTATTTAAAAAGAAGAATTCAACAACCTAAATTAAGGAGAAATACATCTAAGGATAAAAGTTAAAATTGTTTCATTTCATGAATGATTCTAGGTCTAGAAAAATACAATTAAATACGATTCCCTTCAAAAATTCAATTAAATCCAGAGGAGAAACTATGAAACTGAAAACCTGCATGACAGAATTATTCAGTACTTAAAGAAGTCCAACATCAAGTAATAGAACCACTACTTATACCAGACCTTATTAAAAATAGAATGAATTACTCTCAAAATTAATAAGAACTGAGCACAAAAGCAGATCCAATTACTTCCCTAAATCCCCTATTAATGCATTCGGTTTTTGATTTATATGAAAATTTTCCTATTAATTTACAGTTAAAATTTAAAATAAAAATTACATGTAGGATTATAGAGGCAATTTCAAGAGAATTGAATTTGGAGTGCAATAGACTCCTGTTAAATCTACGACCAATATGAATGATTTTCAGTCTTCTTAAAAATTAAAATATGAGCAAATGAGCAATAAACCCTAATCAGTCAATGTTAGTTTTGTTAATGCTCCTGTAACGATGGTGTCGAAAGAGCTATTCACATTATAAATACCAGTTAAAGTTAAATAATTGACTGATGATTGGAATACATAATTAACTTTGAAAATGATTATGCAATCAAATCAATAAGCACATGGATAAACATTAAGAATTGAATTGACAGATGATACAAACTTGTCATTTTTACAAATATTGGATTTAAATGAGGGGGAGTTTTTGGCATTGAAAAACGAATAAAGTTTGCATGTAGACTTTGCAACATTTCCTATGAAATTAGCAGACCTATTATAATTATGCATAAATAGTTAAAGAGATGAAAAAGTAAAGTATATAATTAAAGAGATTATTTTAGCTTCTACGTTTCTTTGGAAACCAAGAATGGAGAATCAAACCTTGCAGTAATTGAAAATAACGAATTCAAGAAATTAACTCATTTATCATTGAGATTAAGAAGTGCTACAGATGATATACTAAAATACTTCTTAGCAAATAAATTGGCAATAGAAAAATAGGAGAATGAAGAATTGCACAAAAAAACCAAGAAATTAACAGAGCAATTAGATGAGAAATAATGGGAACTAGAGAATTTGAAATCAGAAGTCAGAAAATTTACAGAGGATAACAATGCTGTTCTTCAATAAGTATAATTGGATGAACAAAAGAAGTTAAATGACTTTAGAGAGTAAGCTTTAAGTAAGGAAACAAATTTTAAAAGAGAAAGTGAAAATGAAAAGCAATTTATAATAGAAAAATATGAAAAAATTGTGTTAGAATTATAAAATAAATACATTTAATTGCAATAAATAAATTAAGATTTATCAGAATAAAAGATACAACTTACTTAATAAGAAAAAGAGTTGAAGAATAGATTTGCAATAATTTAATAAGAATCTTAATAATTATAAAAGGAGAATTCAGAGTTTAGAATAATAAATAAAGAACTGGATACTCTTAAGTTTACTTAAGAAAGATAAATCATAGAGTTGAGAATCTAGAAGGAAGGATTAGAAAAATTATTACGTGATAAGGAGGATTTCTTGAGCAATAAATAATAATTAGTAGATAATGAAAAAAAGTAAAATGTAAATAACTATATTAAATTTTTAGGTTATTTTAGAAGAGTAAGCAAATAATTAAAAGAAACAAATTGATAAACTTGAATAGAGAATAGCAGTGATGAGTGACGAAGTCATTAAGGGAAATTAAATCATTGAAAAATTAGAAAATGAGTTAAGCAAACAAAAGGAAAAAATTAAATTAAAAAATGCAGTTGTTCTTCAATAAGAGTAAACTGTATAATAGTTATAAGATGCTAATGATTAAAGCAGCAAACAAATTAATGAATGTAATAATCTTATCGATTATAATTATAGTGAGAAGAGAAAAAGACAGTTTAGAGTTGAAATACAAAGATTAAGAAAATACTAATTTAGATCTGAAAAACAAATTGGCGGAAAGTTAGAAACTGCTTGAATCCAATAATTAAATGATATAGTATTTAAATAAATGCTTGAATGAAACCAAAGTTTAAGCACCAGCTTAGATGCCTGGTTTTTCAACATTAAAAAGCCAAACCTTTACAAAGTATACCTCTCCAATTCCTTTATAAGAAGATGTATAAATTCAAGTTTATATTTTTAGAGAAGCTTCAGAAATTAAAGTGTAACTTATTAACAGAATCTAAATAATGTATCTTAGATATCGAATGCAACGATATAAAATAAGTTTAATTTCTGAAGATTATTTTAAAATAACCTAAATTAATGAAAGAAACTTATATATACTTAATTTCATTGTTATATATTCAAATTCAGATCCCTAATAATTCACATAATATAGATATATAATAATAAATAAAATTATAGTTAATTTATAAAATGGACTAGGGCACCTTTAAAGCACCAAAAGTAAAATTAACTGATTACGAAATTCTTTAAACTTTGGGAACAGGGTCTTTTGGAAGAGTGAGATTGGCAAAGCATAAATAGAATGCTGAATATGTAGCTCTAAAAATGCTGAAAAAAGCTGAAATTTTAAGACTTAAGTAAGTAGATCACATAATATCAGAAAATACTATACTTTCAAATATCACCCATCCATTTTTAGTATGATTACATTATAGATTAGATAAAAATGCTCGGATTTACTCAAGATGAGAGATATCTCTATTTTCTTTTAGAATATGTTTAAGGAGGAGAGCTATTTACCTATCTCAGAAATAAGGGCAAACTTGAAAACGAAGAAGCTTAGTATATATTCAATAAAACTAGATTTTACGCATCATAAGTTGTTTTGATGTTTGAATATCTCCATACAAAAAATATTGTATATAGAGATCTTAAACCTGAAAATCTTCTCATAGGTGCTGATGGTTATCTCAAATTAACTGATTTTGGATTTGCTAAATTTATTGATTCTAGAACTTATACTCTGTGTGGAACACCAGAATACTTGGCTCCTGAAATCCTCCTCAATAAAGGTATATATGAATTTAATCTCTAAAAAGGACATGGGAAACCAGTGGATTGGTGGTGTCTGGGCATTTTAATATATGAAATGTTGGCTGGAATTGATCCATTTAATGATGAAGATCCTATGGCAATATATTAAAAGATATTGAAAGGAAAGGTCAAGTTTCCCAGAAATTTTGATAAGTAAAACTTATATAAATCTTTAGGGATGCAAAAAGTCTTGTCAAACATTTTTTGGTTGCAGATTTGACAAAACGATATGGAAATCTAAAAGGGGGAACACATGATATCAAGGCTCATAGATGGTTTTAAAGTTTAGATTGGGAATTTTTAATTTAAAAAAAATTGCAGCCAAAATATAAACCTGTTGTAAAGTACATATTTTCCCTCTATTTAAAAGAAACAAGGGTGACACTTCAAATTATTCAACTTATCCTGATAGTACAGAACTACCTAAGCCAGTAAAACCAACTGATGATCCATTTATTAATTGGTGAAAATTCCATTATTATATTAAAATATATACTCATTTTTAATCCCTTTTTAAACAAAATTTATCATTTTGTTACTATGTTTTTAAGAATTCCATATCTAAACAATCTTATGGTACGAAGATGAAAAAGATATTTAATTAGAATTGCACTCAAAGTAATATTTATAATTCAAAATTATTAATTTTATTACTACTTGTCTCTATTCAAACATCCTAAAGCTTAAAACACTCTATCCATAAACCCAAGGTCACTATTGGTTTGTCTCAATGATCCTATTTCTCTTTATTATTAAGCCATCTGTTGCCTTTACGAAACTCGACTGACTCTGGCTTTTAAATCATCGTCTTGAGAATACTATATCTAAATATGTTAAATACAGTTGATATTGATGTATTTGTTCCAGTAGTTGGTTAATTTACACTTTTATAATTTGGTACAATTGAAGCTTTTTATTAAATTGAAAATGTATGTGATAATGAAGGATGATTTAATTCATGTGAAGAATTATGTTATGGCAAGGTGAAATTTCTAGAATAGTTATTAATCTTAATGATACCTGGCTTTTAATTATTCCTATACTGGAGACAAAGATCGGTTTTCAATTTTCTCTTCTTTATTAAGGTATTGATTTAAATCAATTCCATAACTCTCATAGTTTCTCCTCATAAAGGGATGTTCAAATATTTGAAGCAACGATAATCTATCCTCTGGATTAGTTTTAAGGATATTGCTAATTAGATCTTTAACTTCGAAGGAACAAGTTTGATTAAATTCAATAGTTTACAAATTAATGATATTCTAACCTTTTTCTTGATTGGTTTTTCCTTTAAAAGGAGCAAATCCATGAATTAGTTCATATAATAAGATTCCTAAACACCATATATCTAATTTAAAATCATAAGGTTTATTTAGTAGCATTTCTGGAGCCATATAATCTAGAGTACCACAAAATGTTGTTCTTTTTGACTATTGATTAGCCTCAGCAGACCAACCAAAATCACAAACTTTGATATTTCCTTATTTATCCAACAAAAGATTTTCTGGTTTTAGATCTCTGTGTAAGATATTTTTCTTATGCAGATATTCAATTCCTAGACAGGTCTAAAAGAAATAAACAAAGGCTTCTTTTTCTGGTAACCTTTTTCTTCTTCTAACATAGACAAATAAACTTCCATTTTCTGCCAATTCAAGAATCAAATAGACATTCTCCTTATCTTCAAAGTAATGGTATAGTTTAACAATATGGGGATGAGTTAATCTCCTTTAAATTTTAATCTCTCTCTTTAGGTTTTCTGTTGACCAATACTCAAATATTCTCTTTTTGTTTAACTATTTTTATAAAACATTTAATTACTATTTTCATTGCATACAACTACCCATTTTAGCGATCTTTAACTAGTTTGACTTAACCATAACTACCTTTTCCTAATTCAGACTTACCATCTTTAACTATAATTTCGAAATCATCAATATTTTTGCCAATGGATTTGAGAGTGGATTGAGTATCATTTACATCTGTCTATCTCACTTATTATTATTTTCCTTTGCAATTAAGTTTATGTGAAATAGTCCTAAAATTAACAACACTCAATACCAATCGAGATCCTTACATCTTGATGAGCAATATCGTGTTTAATAGCATAGAGGACATGCAATAACCCCATCAGATTAGGCTTTATTTGATAAACCACAATATTTATAAGAGCAAAGCATAATTTTTAATATAATTAATAAATGAACTTTAAATAACGCCTAAACATAAACCTCATTTGAAAAGACTGCTCTAGCCTAATTAAGCCAGTTTCGATTAACTTTAATGAGGTGATTAGATATGATTTGATTTATTGAGTCCAATTTATCTTAAAATATATGGATTCTAAATCTGATTTGGATTTGGATTTGTAAGTGGATTATAAACCTACGACTACGATAAGCTGATATTATCAATTATTTTATCTTGTTGATTTTAGCCACTTCCCTAAATTGATAGAATATAATTTACTTATACTAGACCTGCTAATTAGTCGTAATACTAAGATTAAAACTCTCTCTTCTTTCTTCTTTCTTACTGTTGTTCATCATTAAAGCTTTCAGCTGCCTTTCGAATTTCTTATTGATTTTGAGCAGTCAATATATCTTGATTTTTTCTCCTTTCTTCTTTTTCTTTTAACTATAAGGATAAGGTATTTTAGTATTGATCTTTAAGATTCTTATCGTATTACCTTTTAGTCTTCAGTTCTTCTTATTCTCTTTCCATCTTTTCTTTGATTTGTCTATTTATAATATAATCTAACGAAGACTTGGGATCATCAACATTTTTCCTATAAATATCCTGCAAATGCTCACTTCTTTCAGCCAATCTTTGATAAAACTAATCATAGGAGAAACGAGTACTTTTTTATAATTCTCTTCTTGCTGAATAATTCTTTCTTAATCTTTAATTGCCTAATCTTAGAATAGTATTCTTTCTTAGACTTTATTCATTCTCTCTCTCTGTTTCTTTTCTTCTATCAGTTTCATTTATTCATCATAAATTTATTTTTACAATTGCTTTTTTTGATATTGGATTTATCTTTCTTCTTACAATGCTTTTTATGCATTATCGATGAGTTAATTCTCAATGTTTAAGTCGTCCTTTCTCTACAAAAATAGATATTGTCTTTACTTTTTAATTTATAATAGAATTCCTTTAATCTATAATTTCCGAATATTTTTTAGATAAGGACTCTTAGGTTTAAAGTTTCTTTTGCTTTTACTGATCAGATAATTCTTTATTCATCATTTATATTCTCTGAATTTAATCGTTATCTTCTTTTTATTAGAGCTCTAAATTCCTTCTTTTCATATCTTCTTACAATTATCTTTGTTCTTCGAGTGAAGTCTTCATAACTTCGTACTTCATCTACTTAATTTAGAACTCTTCTTGTTTCATTGTTTTGTGAATGTTGTATTATTAAAAATCATCATAGCTTTATTTTGATAATAACATTTATTAATGAAGTAAATATTGTGTTAAAAATTAATATATGAAATTCAGTTTAACAAAATCATATGATGAAGTACTTATTTGTTAGATAATTAGAATGAAAAGGTTCCATTTAGGAGATCCATAGAAAAACTTTAAATTAAACCAGAAAGTCATGTCCAATTTTGCAATTTTGATTGGATTGCCATATAAAAAGACTCTGATTTAACACTCTACAAAGAAGGACTGCAAGATGTAATTCTTAATCACTAACTTAGGCTAATGAAATTGACCTCACTTAATTGTTTGGTAAAAATCAAAGCGGCAAAGTTTAAATTTACTTTTTCAAATTTGCGAATGAATAATTTGATCAAAAGCAAATGATCTTAATTGGAAACAGTATTTATTACTCATTAATTCAAGATTTCATAATTGGCTATGACGTTATAGAATAATAAAAAACTTGTAAATTTTAGATGAATGATGATTATAGACTTAGAAAAAAATTACAATTTCAAGAGGTTCAAATACTTGAACATGACCTAAATTTGTATATACTGACTGATCATTTCGACTTAATAACATTGAACCTATCCAACAAAAATAATAGATTCAATCATTAACCTTTACTAAAAAGAGGAAACTTTATATCTAATCTATTGTTCTAAAATAACTTCGACTTCTATATCAAAGGGGCCAACTTTAAGTTTACAGTTTTTGAAGACACACTCCTTATCTTATAATAAACATAGCCGAATCAAATAAAATCTTATTAGTGTAGTCTGAACCCATATAATTTGATTGTATAAATTGATTTCAATTCTAATAGTCTCAATCCCAAAGAATTTTTGTTTGTGATGCAGTCAACTCAAATAGCTAAGTGAATATTAGCAATTTTCATCTATCAAGGACTTCTAGAGGAATTAATTTGATATTTCTTGCTATAGTAGAAAACAAAGATTAAATTGATTCATTCAGCCTACTTAAATTGATTACAAAAGAGGTGGAAATTGTTGATTAAAGGTCTGAATTTTCAAATCTAGATAAATTAATATATGATGATTTGAATGAATTGCAACTGCATGGTAATAAAATTCAGTCTTACTTCTTTTAAAGTGCTTCCGATGTAGTAGTCCTCTACTCGGTCTTGGATACTAATTATTATCATAAAAATTTATCTTAATCCCTTAAAGAACATTAACTATTCACTGGAAATCTATAAGGTATAGGAATCTCTATAAATAATGGATTATCTTATTTGAAAGTGTGTTCCAATGGGAAAATATATATCCTTTAAGAAAATTTTCATGAGAGCACTGAGCAATTGTAAAATTATAAAATCTATCATTTTTATTAGAGTTACTCATTTTTAAGGAAGATGTATGCATGAAATCATCTTTAATTTATTAAAGGAAGGCTTTAAAGATTTCGCTGCTCATTTAAATACTAATTCGGCTTTCTTAAAACTAGAATTTTAGGCATTTCCAGAATAAATAATTTGTTAAGTAATAAATCAAATTGTTTGGGATTTCATGGAAACTCCAATTTCAAAATATTCAGATGTCCGGACATAATTGAAAGAAAACTAATACAAATTAGAGTGCTGGAAATAATACACAAAAACTATAGTTAAAAATTAATAAATTATCTTAAATTTAATCAGGTCAAAGATTTGCTTAAAAATTGGTGAGTACATTAGTTGGAATGAAGATAGCTTAAAGTAATTAATAAGGGAATGCTTAAATAAATGGTTAGTGTTTTCTTAGTATGAATAATAATTTTATTCCAAATTAGAAGATCTTTAAACAATAATTGAATAATTATTGAGGCTCTAAGGTTAAGAACACCATTTGTTTAATATTTTGGAAATTATTTACACAAGTATTAATGAAGAGATGGATATCAATAAGATATAATTCCCTAAATTTTGGACTAATGAACCAGAATGGTTAAATTTAATCATTTAGGCCTTATCTAAATTGAGTTAAATAAAAAATATTGAATTCTTTTCATTATTTAAATTTCTCATTACTGACATATCAATAGTTTTTAAGTTTGAAAGAAATATATCCCCATTATAATTTTAGGTAATTCAAAAATTCTCTAATTAAATTTCAGAAGAATAATTTTAGGATATTTTAATACAAAATTAATTATATGATATTTTGTTTTAATGCTATTTGTAAACTAGCTTGAGATTAGACAAGGTATTTGATTTAATTTCTAAAGATGAAAAACTATGTTAAAATTTTATTGATTTATGTTTTGAGCATGAGAAAAATTTAAATTATTAGGATTAAAACGATTAAAATAATATGTTACATTAAAATAAACCAAAATAATTTCATTAGATTTTAGATTAAATTGAAGAAATGAGTAAATATATTATTTAATTATTAGAATGTGTTGATTAAGTATTGATGTGTGTAAAAAAATATCCAAAACTTTATAATATTCTTTTAATTCGATCAATGAGGCTGGAAGAGATTAAAGATTTTGCAATATAATAATAAGGAAATGATTCAAATGCTAAATACTACAGATTCCTAGTTGATAGAGGACAATATATAGTTGAAAAATAAAGATAATAAATAGATATTGAATAATGAAGTTTGTTTAAACATTAAATTAATAATTATCTTAATTTGTAAGTTTATAATTATTTTGATAAAGTAGTAGTAATATTGATTGAAAAAGAAGTAATTTAATTTCTCAATGAATAGTATGCTCTAAACATTATGATATTGTTCAATAATAATAATATGAAGTCTTATATGTAATATTCATTAATTGATTCAATAAATTGTTGTTTATTTCATGATGCTCAGGAACTCATCAATGTTGATTTATCCATCCCCATCTTTATCAAATTCATCTATCATAGCTTATAATTCTTAATCACTCAAACTTTCTCCTAATTCTTTTGATACTTTTTTTAATTTCCTCAATGTTATTTTACCTGAGTTGTCATCATCAAATAATTTAAATGCTCTGAATATTTCATCTTAAGGATCTCTTTCACAATATTTTCTAGTCACTAAAATTTGAATTATTTATGTTACTTAGTTCTATATAATCACTATATTCAATTCTGCCAGTTTCATCTCTATCATATTCCTTCATCAATGCTTATACTTCCTACTTTTTAACTTCGAATCCTAGAGCTCTGAGGATAACTTTAATTTCATGGCAATCTATTGCTCCAGAACGATCAGTATCAAATAAATCAAATGCTTCTTTAATTTCTTGTTTTTAATCATCAGTCAATTCGCTCTTGACCTTCTTTTTTTAGGGTGCTTGAGTCTTTTATTATTATTTTTTAAATGAAGCCATGGTTTATAAATTTAACTATATAATTTAAAAATAAATGATTAATTGAAGCATTAGAGTTTATATACTCTAAATAAATAACTAACCGTCAATCAAAAGAACACACCTTTTGTATATACTCATATATTCACAATAAATTTAAATAGTAAATAAATTAAAGATTTTAAATTTTATTTGAAATGACAAAGAAGACAAAGAAGGTTGGAATCACAGGAAAATATGGAACCAGATATGGTGCTTCTCTAAGAAAGATTATCAAGAAATTCGAAATTTCCCAACATCAAAGATATTTCAATACTTTCACAGGAGCTGTATCAAATGAAATTATCTATTTTTTAGCATTCATTAAAACGATAAGCTATTGGTATTTGGAGATGCACTCAGACAGGTTTGTAAATTGCTGGTGGAGCTTGGGAAGTCAAGTATATAATAATTGCTATTAATTTAGCACACCTGCTGGCTTATCTGCAAAATAAGGTATGTTGAGAATCAAGAAATTAAAAGACGATGCTGAGGTTGAAGTTAAAGAAGAAAAGAAAGAAAAGAAATAATAACCTAAAGAAGAAAAATCTAAAGAGTAGCCAAAAGAAACTAAGAAACCTTAAACCAAGAAACCCTAAGCAAAGAAATAATGATCACGTATATTAATTACATAAAATATAATAAGAATACATTTTATCAATTATTCATGCTTATTAATATTGATTCATCAATCCTATGCAGTTAAACTAATATCTAGTATGTATTGCAACATATAAATAAACTATTTGAAAATATCTCATCTATGATCGTTTTATGTACACTAATTAATTCAAGAATATATTCATTAATGAATCTATTATCTTGTTATAGAAAATTATCGAATAATTATAAAATGATTTAGTTTATCTTTATTTTTGTTGTTAGATTATCTAAATCATTAGATTCTTTGTGCAAAATTAATAATATAAAATAATGTATAAATTGATATCTAATTTTGCTAAAGGATTATCAACTTAAGTCCCTGTGTATTCATATCATTTTCCTAATGGTTCAGTCTACAATAATGTAATAATCTATTAATTTCAAAGCCAGCTGTAACAGCAAAAAGAATCATAAAAGTAGTTGGAGAGAGATTGAGAAAAATTGACCCAGAAAGAGTATGAAAATATAATAAATTAGTGGGAATCAACTCCAATCACATTTAATACAAATTGGAATGATGCAGCAGGTTATGTTGATGTGGCAACATGCATTCACATTCATGATGCGCTCGAAAAAGAATTCGGAATTGAAATTAAAGATAGAGCATTTTTAGTGTCAAGTATTGAAACAGCTTTTTACATCGTTAATATCCATCATGATAGTCATTGAAAGTGATAAATATTATGATATAATAATAAAGATTATAATAATAGTATTAAAATTCAATAATGATTAAATCTATAACAATTAACTAATCATATCATAAATTTTCTTAGCAAATGGAGTATAAAATTATTAATAATTTATAAATTCATTATTTTTTGAATTGTTATACTCTTTAAAATGTAACTAACATTTATATGATATTAAAATTAGACGTCTAATCTAATAATAATTTGGGAATTAAAATTGACATAGAATATTAAATACAATAGTTAATCGAACTTTATTGTAAATTATCTAATAATAATTCAATCAAGATTTTTAACTACCTTTGTTTGATTCAATTATTTTTATTTTCTTTTAACTTATTCTCGTTTTTCTTCTAAATCTTTGCATACTCTTTAAAATTTGTAGTAGATTATTATGTCTCATATATTTTTGATAGTTACAGAATGAATCAATTTTAAGATCCGTTTCTACTTAAAGAAATTAATCTAATTAATTGTTAGCAAATCTGTTATACTCAGTATTAAGTGATTAAATATTCTACAATTTGCTTGCCCTTTTAACAGTCATATTATTTCCTTCAACTGAAATGCTTCCAATTCGAATTTTGGAAACTTTTTAAGGAGCATTATCACATTCCTCCTTGAAATTTTTTTCAAGAGATAATAATTCATGATTTGGAGATTCAGAAATTAGTTCATCTTTAATTTATTTTCCTGAATTCTTATCAATATTTTTCTCACTCAAAATTTAATCAGAAAAGTAGTAATCTCGAGCATAAGATATTGTATTTTTAATTTCCATAAACTTGATTCTGGATGGAACATAGTGATAATGCCTTTTAAAACTTTTTCTTTCTTAATTTTGAGATGATTTAAATTATCTTTTTATACATTTTAGCTTATTAGGTTAATAAGTTAAAAGAGGACAATTAATACTTTCATGTTTAATCAACCCACAATAATAACATTTTTTTTAAAAATGAGAATAGTCATTATATAGTAGTATTGTATCTTTGATATTATAAAATTATTCTAGATCTTTTTAACAATCTTTTAATATTTTTAAAAAGGTTTTTCTATTAATTTTAATAATTTATGTAAATCCTAAGCTTTATGCATTTGTTTTTGTTTACTATTCTGTAAAAAAAGCATACTCATTGAAAGTACAATTTTATTTCAAAATTTGAATTTAAGTTTATGACTATTCTTCATTAATTTATACTTATCCATAATTAATATAACAAAGAAAATGTTATTATTCATTCTGATGATAAATATATTCACCTGGCGCATAATTTTAAATTTTTAGATGGTGAATTAATGCATTGAGAGTAGAATGAGAAAAATTAGATTAGAGAATCTTAATTTTTTAGATCAACTTTTATGCTATATCTCTTTTCATTTCATTTTTCAATCCTTTAGGCAAGTATTTAAGGGAATTCTCTGAATCTTCAAATGAGTCTTATTCTTTTTAGTGCAGGTATTTGATATAGTTTCTAACCTTTTCGGAGATAGATTAATCTACCTAATTTTGTTGCATATAACTATTTATACTTGTAATAGTTCTCCTATTGTTACTAATAAACAAATACCTATAGTTTAATTTGCTATCATTAATACTTTTCAAAATAATCCCAATTGAATTCATTGAATATGCGAATATGCAACTCGAGAAAATCATCATAATATTGGATGTCAAAATTTCATATTTGTTTCTAGCAGTTATATCGCCATACCCAACAGTGACCATAGTCATAGTTGCCCAATAAAAAGAATAATTATATTTAATACTAATAGACTCATTTATGAAACCATATTCTGTTAACCAAGTAGATTCTTCTAAATAAGTACCTAGATCCCCAACGAAATGCCAAATACATGCCATGTAATGAGCAACATAGTAAATTTAGATGATGAGTATAAATAAGTCTAAAAAGTTACTGAGATTGCCTTTATTATAATAACTATCTATATAATACTCTGTTTTCCTTAGAAGAGAAATTATACAAGAAAAAACTAAAAATATCCCAAGAATCACCATATAGATTTAATCTTCTAATTTTTATTCTAAAAATATGAGGCTTATCCAGGTTATCAACTGAATCAAATCCCCCATCAATCCTGATTTTACATACTGTCTGACAATTTTCTATCTACTTGCTATATATTCTCCTTTATGGAAGATCTGTCGATTTAAAGTTATAGCTATGTTAAGTAGTGTAAAAATGGACAAAATCTCTTTGAGATAAATGATATTATAATTTAATCGATAAAAGCTAATGCTGAATGGAAGGAACCACAATGATAGAAGATATTGTACAATCATTAAGAAATCCCAGGTTTTCATCTAAGGGCTAAAAGCTTCAAACACGGGGATGATTGATTGATGCGATTTATCTTAAAAATTATCAAGATTTTTATTTGATAAGAATTATTCAAATTGCATGATTTTGTCGCTAATTGTTGATAATATTATTTTACTAATAATCCTTGGATAGAATGTAGGAATTCATAAATAAACTCTATTTAAATTGTTTGACAAGAGTGTTTTTAGTAGCCAACTGATGTAATTTTTGCAATGGATTTAATGGAGTCTTAGTTTTATGGCCTTCTAATTAGGTATCAGAATTTAAAATAATGGATTGCTATTACTGATTATTCTTCAAATTTTTTTCTATGGCTTCATTTCCTTCAGAATAAAGAGAGCAAACTTGAGAATCTGGTTAATTTATTCCGATATTATTTTTTAATGATATTTATGGCCCTTTAGGTGAAGCTAAATTCTAAGGATTGGAATAATAATCTTCGCTATTTGAATGAAAGGACATGAGCAAAAATAGATTAATTAATTACGAATTTAATTATTATATTTTAATGAAATAATAATCAATATTTGTCACAGTTGGCAGCACCAACTTTGATGAATTGATAAAAGCAATTGATAATTAAGAAGCTTAAAACTAATTGAAATAGTTGGGTTATAACAAAGTCGTTTGTCAAATTGGAAGGTTTATGATTCAGATTAATATTTTATAGTGGTAATTATGAACCTAAAACCGAGTTTTTTAGATTCAAATCATCTTTGAGTGAGGACTATCAAAAGGCGGATTTGATCATCTGTCATTGTGGAGCAGGCACAATTTTAGAGTGCCTAAAATTGAAAAAAAAGATTATCGTAGTAAATAATGACACCCTGATGAATAATCATCAAATGGAGTTGTTTAATGCTTTAACCAAATAGTAATTGGTGTGTGGAATTAAATCGACTAAGTAAATATAAAGTGAAGTATTTTTGTAAAAATATACAAGCTAATTGATAAAATTAAAGAATCCTCTTAATTGAAAGCGTATCCATTACCAGAACCTAATAAAATTGATAGTATTATTGATTCCATGTTTTGATATTATATATATATAAATAAATACAATTAGAGGAGATCGCTATTTAAATGTGTAATTGATCCCCCGTTATTTTAATTTATAAAAGGGGGTAACATTATATATAAAAAAGACCTTATGGATTAAAAAACTAAAGTAGAAGTACATTAATAAAATAATTAAGCAGGCTGATCAATGTGATCATCAACATAAGTATTTTAAATAGAGTGTGCCCTTACAATTGAGTTAAATTATCAATATTCGATTAAACTAGCCTCGCTAAGAAGAACGTAGATATCATTCAGAAACACTTAAATAAGTATGAAATCTTAAGAAAAGTTATTTAGTAAGCTAAAGCTTTTAACATAAACAAATGGCAAGAAATGGTAGATAAGGAAGAATTATACTAAATGTCGTTGACTGGCCATTTGATCAAGGCAATTCAGTTATAAGATGGGAATGCCACCTTAAATAATCTAATAAACGTTACAGAACCTTATCTTCCATTCTTGAGAAAGTAGAACGGAAAAAATTTTACAGGAATGGCTACTCGAACTGTGAAAGGATGCCTGTCTGCTGTAGTTTTTAAAAGAAATGATGAATCAACTTGGTCAGTAGATGAAACTAAAGTAGAGGAATTTATTAGTTAAGCTAATAAAAAGCTATTTTAATTCTTCGAGAAACTCAAGAAAAATTTTCCAATTTATGATATTATCAAATCAGAAAGCAATGGTAGGAAAACAAAAAAAAGAATCAAAATAGAGTAGAGAAGAGATGATGATTAATTCAATGAAAGATTTCAACCTGACTTTAATTAAAAATTAGATCCTCAAGACAATATTAAAATTGAGAATCACTATTAGAATTTTGATTAAAATGCTAATTCTAAAATAAACTCAGAGTGGCACTATTCAATTAGTGATAATATTTTTAAAAGTTTATATTGTTTGAGATAAGGAGAAAAAATAGATGATCAATTCTTAGGTAATTTGATAGGATTCTACAATATAAAACATTAATTAGATAGAATGTCTGAATGCTAAAGATATATTGATTGATATCATTAACATGTATTATATTATATAATTAAATTGGGAAGTAATCAAAACAATTAAGATCACAGTAAAGTTAATAATTTGAATATGCAACACTTAACCAAAGACCCTAATTGTAAAAAGTTCTCCCATATTTAACGATATCTCATAGTAAATAGGATGTTGTTACATAATATCTATAAAATCATGATTGGCATAAAACTAGAATTAAAATTAATGTCAAAGAGAAAATTTTATCCTTAAACAAGATAATGCTTAAATTAAAAAGAATTCCTTCTCCAAATAGAATAGATGATTTCGAAAAGAAATAATGTTAATACATACAGTTTAGAATTTGTCTTACAATCTCTAGAGCCTATTAAATTAAAAATTTACTTATTGGCTGAAGAAATAATTGATCAAGAATGATTCTGCAAAATAGATGAGATAAATTTAACATTTGAATTACTTTAAATCGAACTATAAAGTTTAGAATACAAAAATTATGAAAAATATATTATTGCTGATCAATATTAATATTCTTGCCATTTAGTGTAAGTATGTTTATGGTGCATAAATTAATTAAGAAAGATTGTGTTATTTGGTTAAGTAATAAAGTATATTGATTTCGCCATGCAAATAAAAAAAGGGTGGAAGGAGAGATGTTCTAAATATCCATTTATAGAAATAGGATTAACAGCATTAGAATATTAATGAGAGGGCAATGAAAATAATTAATTATACCAAAATCATTTCTTTTACTTTTATTTAGATAACTTTTAAATGGCATTTAAAGCTTCTTTTTATTTTTTTTCAGCTTCATCATCATTTTTCTGAGATTATTTAGATTATGATTATTATTATTATGAAGTCTGTATTTGAGACAGTCGCTTTATGTGATCTTCTGCATAATAATACATCTCAGTTTAATTTTATTGAATTTAAAATTTTGAACCTTTCTTTTTATGTACTTTAAATCCAAATATTTTTGACACATACTCATTTGCTGGCTATGTGGGATTTAATTCCGAAAATACAGATAAAAAGATATGAGGGAATACGGAACCAAAAAATGAACCGTCAACATCACTCATTTATTTTTTTGGAGAATAAACATCCTAACACCTTGGACAAAATATCTAATTTAAATACTAGGATTGTTTACTTTAACTCGAGAAGTTCTTAGATCATGGCTTAGACCTATTGGTAATACATTCTATCTCTCACACAAGACTCGAGGACATACACCAAATCTCCCTTATAAATATTTGGATTTCATTAATGTTAAGCCTTAAGGAGTGATTATGAATCTTGCATGCAATAAACCATATAATTCTGATGCTTCATTATAGAGTTCTAAAAATCTTAATTATAATTTTTCATTTAATACTAATCATCCTCTAAATCTTCATCTGTTGGTGTATTTGGTGATAAAATCATTTATAATGCTTCTCTAATATATTAATTATTGATTTACTCAAAATGATCAAACAACTACTTTAATCCATAAAGATTAAATTAATCCGCTATAAAAAATTCATCAATTTCACAAAAAAAGTGATGGTCTTCCAAATTGCAATACCATTTAATCCACCCATTCTCATTTACAGAGATATCTATTGGAAATGAAAATGAAACATTTACTGCTTTGAGACATTTTGAATTTAAAATTAATAATAAATAAACATTCATCTATAATAAATAACTAAATTATCAACTCAAAAACCTGTTCACAATCACTATTTAATATTAATTCTTAGCTCCAGTTCATTACGAATATAATCTAATATTTCCATTTGTTTTCTATAATCTAGAAGATACATATTTAATTATCTTCAAATCTAAACTTAAACAGAAATTATTCCATTTTCAAATTTTTCTTTTCAAATCAAATGTATATATACCCTATTAATGAATAACCGAGACTTAAATTTTCAATATTAGCATTTTATATCTAATGATATTCTTAAGACTATTTTTCACATTGGTTTTTGTATTGTAAACAATAACGAAACATCAAAACATAGATAATTACTTGTCTATTTGATTTATTGGTTTAAAGATTTCAACTTTTAGTAAATTAAAAATTAAAACATTTTGTTTCACATTTTTGATTTAAATTATGTTATAAATCTATCTCTCTTTATCCCAATATTTCATCAGAAATGGAATTTACTAGCTTACCTTTTTCCATTAACAAATTATGGCGTTTTTAATTAACTGAATTTTTTATTCTTTTTCCCTCTTTATTTGTCTGAACATTTTTCTAGGCTTAAAGTTTAAATTAATTTAGTTATTATTACTATCATTTTAGTTGTATTATTATCAAACAAACAATAATTAAATGTAGAGGACTAGAATAAATAAGGGCAAATGCTTGATTAATTTAAATTTATATATATAACCAAATATCCTAATCATGAAGAGGGATTTATTTATGGTAAAAAATATAGATTTTATCAAATTGATAGGATTTAAATATCGAATAATTCATTTTACCCAAAATTATATTATATTATAACAATTTATGAGCGCAAGAACTCCCATACCAACATTCATTCTGAAAACCTATCAAATGCTTGAAGTAAAGCTTATTAAATAGTTTTAAGGAACAAAAACATGCTCACATTGTCAGTTGGACTGCTTAGGGCACAGCCTTTATTGTATATAATCAGTAGAAATTGGAGAAGGAGCTTTTATAAAATTTCTTTAAGCACAGCAATTATTCAAGTTTTGTCAGGTACTATCTTATTTAAGGGTATTTTAGACAGTTAAACTTATATAATTTCAAGAAAGTTCGATCAAATGACGGATAAATTTTTAAACACAAATGCTTTAGAAAAGGAATGAAGTATATTCTTTTTTCTTAACTTTATTAGATCTATGTTATAATTTATTAAGAGGAGAAATCAAGAAGATCTTGTTACTCCCGCTATCTAGGAAGAACCAAGTATTTAATTTTTCGTTATTTGATAGCAATTTAAATTAAGGAAGAATAGAACTTATTTAAGGAATGTGCCATAGACATCAAGGAGACAAATAATAAGTTGAAAGAAGATATGAAACTCCTATAAGAAACATCTTCCTATCTAATTGACCAGATGCAGAACTTAAATCACGTAAGAAATCATGACTATTATCAGTTTGTCTACAATTAAAGTGTTGACATTGAAGTCAAATTTAAATAAGTAGGCCAAATGCTGCATGCCATAAACGAAGAATTAAGATAAGAAAGTATCATTATTTCAAATATTTAGATAAAAGTGATACATAAACTAACAAGTTTTTGGGCGAATTCAAATAAATCAAGGAGGACGATTTTCAAGAATCTAAAGTCGGATCTCCTAATCCCTATGTGGATTATAACAGTACAGCACTTAATCCATTGGATTATGAGTGTTTCATAGACTCCTTTTTATGATCATCTTATAACTACAATTATATTTATAAATTTGATAATAATAATATACACTATAATTTCTCACACTTATCCACTGAAATCCTTGTCTTTAAAATAATTATAAACAATATAGATTTGTGCCGAGCTGATTACAATGAGTACTCCAACCTTAATAAGTGCATACCATTAAACTGATTTCTCAGTCTAATCTAATACCAAAGCATGTGTATTCTCCCTGTCAGATATCCAATGTTGATTTCTATAAATGTTTTAGAAATTCTTCTAAGTATTCTATAACTCTTTTGACATTTCATCGAATTGTTCAGATTATGCATATTCTTTATCAACTCCTTCAATATCAAAATCGAAGCTCACCATTTTATAACTCTTATCCCTACTTTAGAAGCAAACATAATAGTTATCTTTATCTTTTAAGAGCTCTCTAATCCTTCCATCCCTTGAATTTTACACTTTTATTAGTATTTCTCCATCCATCTTCCTTATAAAGATATCTGTCTAATTTTCATCCAAACCTGAAACAATATAATTAACTGTTAAATTTGAATTTTCTTCAGGTGAATTTACCAAAAAGCAACTTGGCTTTTATGAAAGTTGTGTTGACAATGACTAACCTAACACTATTAAAGTTGATATAATTAATAAATATTTCATTTTTTTTATTTCAATTATTGTACAAAAAAAAAGATTATCTTTAAAACGTGATTTCCTCTTCAGGTAATTCCTTTTTTAAAAATCTTAATATCAAATTATACATTTTTATTCATTTTATTTAATATTATGGAGTAACCCTAATTCTTAATTTAAATAAAATATGCATAAAATATGTGTATTCTATCATGGCATTTAATAATCATAATTCTTAATAAGATTAAAAAATATCTCTTTAATTAATAAGCTATTCATTAAATCTTGAATTAAAAGGAGAATAGAAACAAAAATCAATAAATTCATTTATATAATTAATATTAAAAAGTAGCTTATTTTTATTTAATTGTCTTCCAAAAAGTTGATTAAGGAATTTAATGAATATTTAATTAATATGAAAATGTCAGAGTGTATATATCTAGCCATTTTATTATATTACAATGAAATCTTTGCTTTTTTAAAGAGAATTAAAAATTAATAGTAGATTTTAATCAAAATTTGTAACTTAGAGAGAGTAATTTATGGATTAACTTGTGTATTTGCATTAACGTTTCATTTATAGAGAGCATAAATTTATTCTAAATTGATCTCTACTTTTGCACATCATTAAAAGAATTACATAAATAAATATGTGATTAAATCTAGAATTTAATCATGTTCTAATATTGATACTATAAATAGGAAAAATAAGATACACTAAATTTTTTATAATATTTAAACATATTATGCATATTTTCTCAAGCAATTTTATGAAAACAGTTGAATTGGATTGAAAGTTAATACAAATTTTTAGTTATATGGTTAAAGAACAATTTAAAAAAGTAAAGATGGAAATATTTTAAAAACAAGAATCATTCATTTCCAAATAAATGATTATCATTAAAGACATTTACTTGTATAAAGTTATTCTTGTGTTTTGATTCTTTCAAAAAAGTTATAGGCTTAAATAAATGAGTGTTTAAGCCAAACTTCTATTTTTAGATTATTATGTTCATTCTAGTAATTTTGCATACTTTTGTAGAGGCATGGTTTTTTTCCATTTAGTACATCTGCCACTTAGAAAGGAACAGGTCTTTTATTGTATTTATAATAATGTATTAAGGATTTAGCACTAGAATAGTTGAGTTTTAAATCATCAGCAACCTGATGTGATATTTTATTACTTTTACTTATTTGATTTATTTACCTTCCTAAAAAACTTAGACGAATAATAATTATTAGGTTCTTATTGGTATTTTGTGTATTTGTCTTGATGATTTTTTTGTATTCTTTCTCTTCAAACCATAATTTGGTTATTCTGGATCTCTTGAAATCGAATTATCAATAGAAGATTCTGGATCGATGTTTTACATATTAAAGAAAGTTTAAGAAAGCAAATTTAAAAATAACTAAAATAATTATTATCAAATAATGTAAATAATTACAACAATAATATTTATTTTGTCACCATGATTTAGAATTTTGACTTTTTTTTGATTTATGCTAAAATCAAAATTTTAGTAGGTTGAATAATGGATATAGGATTATATTTCAAATTATCACTCATTTTTTTTTAATTAAATTTAAGATTTAAATTTTTATATTTTTTATATTCATATACAGAATTTTTCTCTTAATGAAAAGCGTTATATACAAATAATTGATAACTCAAGTTTAAACCATGGAAATCTAAATACTTCACAAAGATTTACTTATTGAAATGATTGCTTAAAGAATTTGGATTTTAGATATTTTAATATTCTATAAGTGACCTTCCTAGTTAAAAAATGTTAATTGAATTTAAATTATATAAATAGAATCATGGTTTTATTCTTCAGATATTCTAAAGTGATTGTTATATTTTAAGTAACTAGTAGTAATTGTATTTGTGAATGGTGCTCTTTTAAACTTGAACGGAAACCAACATTTTGTCATTTCCACTTTTTGTTTTTCTGACACCACAAGCCTTATTTTAGTTCAAAATACTTGAAATAGCGGCTGGAATTGGCCTTTTGTTATTTTTATAATAATGAATTAGTGATTTTGCGCTTGAGTAATTCATACCCAAAGATTTGGCAACCTAATATTATAAACATTATTATACTTGCTTAATACGTCTTCCATTTATAAAAACCATTTAGAATAGTATAATTTAGGTTTTTAAAGGGATTTTATGGTAACGTTTAGCGTCAGCAGTGGCCGTCTGATTCCCCCTTTGTTTTTTTAATTCAACTTTATATTCGGATGATTGGGATTCATTGTCCTCGCTTATTTCTGATTCAAGGAAATTTTCAAATGAAGTTTTACTCATTTCAAAATATATAAGATAATTTTATTATTATATGATATGTCGTTGCCATAGATGCTTAAATATTATATAAATATAGTATAGAATAAATTCAAATTATATGCTCTTAAAAAAATCATAAAGCTTTTAANGTGATATTTTATTACTTTTACTTATTTGATTTATTTACCTTCCTAAAAAACTTAGACGAATAATAATTATTAGGTTCTTATTGGTATTTTGTGTATTTGTCTTGATGATTTTTTTGTATTCTTTCTCTTCAAACCATAATTTGGTTATTCTGGATCTCTTGAAATCGAATTATCAATAGAAGATTCTGGATCGATGTTTTACATATTAAAGAAAGTTTAAGAAAGCAAATTTAAAAATAACTAAAATAATTATTATCAAATAATGTAAATAATTACAACAATAATATTTATTTTGTCACCATGATTTAGAATTTTGACTTTTTTTTGATTTATGCTAAAATCAAAATTTTAGTAGGTTGAATAATGGATATAGGATTATATTTCAAATTATCACTCATTTTTTTTTAATTAAATTTAAGATTTAAATTTTTATATTTTTTATATTCATATACAGAATTTTTCTCTTAATGAAAAGCGTTATATACAAATAATTGATAACTCAAGTTTAAACCATGGAAATCTAAATACTTCACAAAGATTTACTTATTGAAATGATTGCTTAAAGAATTTGGATTTTAGATATTTTAATATTCTATAAGTGACCTTCCTAGTTAAAAAATGTTAATTGAATTTAAATTATATAAATAGAATCATGGTTTTATTCTTCAGATATTCTAAAGTGATTGTTATATTTTAAGTAACTAGTAGTAATTGTATTTGTGAATGGTGCTCTTTTAAACTTGAACGGAAACCAACATTTTGTCATTTCCACTTTTTGTTTTTCTGACACCACAAGCCTTATTTTAGTTCAAAATACTTGAAATAGCGGCTGGAATTGGCCTTTTGTTATTTTTATAATAATGAATTAGTGATTTTGCGCTTGAGTAATTCATACCCAAAGATTTGGCAACCTAATATTATAAACATTATTATACTTGCTTAATACGTCTTCCATTTATAAAAACCATTTAGAATAGTATAATTTAGGTTTTTAAAGGGATTTTATGGTAACGTTTAGCGTCAGCAGTGGCCGTCTGATTCCCCCTTTGTTTTTTTAATTCAACTTTATATTCGGATGATTGGGATTCATTGTCCTCGCTTATTTCTGATTCAAGGAAATTTTCAAATGAAGTTTTACTCATTTCAAAATATATAAGATAATTTTATTATTATATGATATGTCGTTGCCATAGATGCTTAAATATTATATAAATATAGTATAGAATAAATTCAAATTATATGCTCTTAAAAAAATCATAAAGCTTTTAACATCTAGAAAATAATTTATACTGATGTAAAATTATGAAAGTTACGAAAATAATTTCACAATTACAATTATAAATATGCTTGGACAAGTTAATTGCTATAACGCTAACATTAATGAATTATAAATTATTTTTTATATAATTAAATATATTGTACTATTTAATATAGACAATATAATGCGAATAAATATTAATTAGATTAAGTTAATTTCATTAAAAGGATGCACTTATAACTCTCGTTTTTTATCCTTATTATAAAGTTTAGAGTAGTGCTTCAAATAATGCTTAAAATTTCTAAATTTGTATGAATATTGATTTATATCAAACATAATATATATTTATTTTAATATATGAATGTTTAATTCATTACATTATTGCTTTGAAGGCATTAAAATCCATATCTTTTTCAAGAATATTTTTAATATTAATTTGTTATTCATGTTGGTTGACTATTGCCAAATGATTCTTTGTATCTGAGATGCTGTCCCACTTATTATTGAAGTTAGCATTTTAATCGAAAATAGATTTGATACTCTTTTGTGAAATTACCTTATCTTATTAACTTAAAAAGTCGAACATAAATTGCAATTATTTTTAATATTCTTATTATGTAAGTGTCATTGCTACAAACTCAAAATAATCCAAATAGCCGTTGCTATTACAATCAATATATGGCCACAATTTCTGAACATCCTATTTATTTACCTTTAAATAATTCGATAGCTCTTATTGAGTAATTAATCCAGTTTGAGAAGTATTTATAAAGAAAAAACAGTTTTTCTAATTGACTAACTCACTTGAATCAAGTTAGGTTGCCAAATAAAAGAGAGCTAATCTTCTAATTGGATGATATTTGACCCATTAATTGAGTGTCAGCATAGATATTAATTTATTATCCTAAACAAACTTTTGATTGTATTGAGTAATAATCTTATGACTTAACAAATCCTTTGGTAGCAATCTCTTTTCAGCAGAACAGACTTGAGATCGAATGAAATCTTTAATTTCTTATGATATTCCTTACCATTCATCACCTATTTATAATTAATTAATTATTACCATCAAATTATAAGGTACCAGTTTTGATTTCAGTAAGTATTTCTTTTTCATTTTCTCCATAGAAAGGAGGATATCCACATAATATCACATAAAGAACAACACCAGCAGACCACACATCGCATTTATGATCGTATAAACCATCTAAAACTTCAGGTGCCACATAATATGCCTCGATTATATGTAAATTATTACTGTGCCACTTTTTGTTTTTAATTTATCAATACATCTCTTAGCAATACCAAAATCAATCAATGTTAAGGATGATAACTCATTTTTTTTCTAAAATAAAAAATTTTCTGGTTTTAAATCTCTAATTAATTATGGTGTATATTACCTATGCACTATTTTAAACCCTTGATAATAGTTAACAGCTCGCATATATTAAATATATATTTTAAAAGCATCTTCTACTGGTAGACATCCCTTTTCTAGAACTTTGTCAAACACATCTCCTCCTTGGCAGATTCTTTAATTTATTATTAAATTTACTCCAAAACCATGTACAAGTATTCTGCATCCTCAAATGTTTCATATAATCTCAATATGCTGGGGTGATCCTAAATAATAATTTATTATTATACCAATAATTCCATTATTGTTATCTCGCTTAAAAGTCTCTCCTTATGTTTAATGTTAAGCTTATTTATCACTTTAACAGCTCTAACCTGCTTGCTTACTTTATGAATTGCTTTGTAGACACTACCATAAGCACCCTACCCAATTTTCTACACAGATTAAAACAAAATAATTACATCCTTTTATTCATAACTATAGATTTGTCCAATAGGTTTAGTGTTCTTTCTAATTAGTGTCTATTTGTAGAGATGGAATGCAGTCGATTTGGCGTCCATTTTTATTTGATAAATTTATATTAGATATAAAATAAACTTTATTTAGTTCTAATTTCTTATTTTTTTATCTCTTTAATCAGAAACAGTTTCTAAAACTCAATTCTTATAATATAAAGTAAATCTAACAGATTTGTATGATGAGCCTTAAGATTGTTATTAAATTCATAGTAAGATCATCATTATTCTTATTATTCAAAATTGTGAAAAAGAACTCTAATATTTTCAAATTGTTGTTCAATAATCAAATTTATAAGTATTTTTAAATATTTTGTGTTAAATTTTGTATTAGTTGATTCATACATTATATAAGTGTTACTTTATTCGAATAATTTTTATTATTATTTATATAATAAATTTAAATGAACAAAATAATTATTTTGTCATTGATGACAGCATATGTTGTTGCAAATAACCAAAGCTATTATAGAAGATGTTCAAAAGCTGTTTGTGCTGTTCCCTTTTAAACTTGCTAAAATGATATTGCTTGCTAATAAACCTTCGCAATCTGTGAAGAATGTACGTAGTTAATTAAAAGTTTTTAGAATGTTCTTCTGGATAAGAGAATTGCATTGAATCATGCCTATTGAGTTCAAATTCCTTAACTGTTTAGAGATTAGCCCTTTGTTCATTGAACAATATGTGTATGAATTCAATGTAGTGTAACGCTGATATTACTTGTCCAGCTACTTGCAAGGAACCAATAAAATTGGGAAATGATAAATGCAGCACTTCAGCAGCTTATGCAACTTAAGAATGCATATCCGAATTCTTAATTTAAATTGGTAGAGAGGAATGCGCAGATAGACTTTGTGTTTGCAAAACAGGAGGATCTTTGGACATTTTTATAGTTGGATGTTATTGCTGATTATTATAAATATAAAATAACAAAATGCTAAACTATCCTAAATCTGATTGTGTGTCTGATCACTGTAATAATATATTTGATAAGGCGAAAATCATTATATTAAAAGACAGTGATAAGATGAAAAGAGGAAAAAGAATAATTACCCTAAAATCAATCCTTTTTAATTGAATTAAATAAAATATATTAAGAATAGTACTAGAGGGTAATAAGTAATTTGAAAATGATACGTAAACATTGTTCTTTTTGAAGAATTAAGGCATAGAATTATGATTTTAGTTAGAAAATATAGAAACTGTTCCTTTGTAATATAATCCTAAAGCAATATAAATAGTTAAATTGTAATAACTGAAGGGAAAATATATGAATAGTTGTAAATCATGATAAAATCAATAAGCAATTGGATATATTAGAGAAATAAATATTTTAATTAACATTTAAGAATAATTAAGCATTTCTTAACAAAAAATATTGATTTAATGTATTTCATTTGCTATAATAATATTTTATAAAGTCAATTAATTATAATAGAGAAGCTGTGCAAAGCAATAAAGTAAGCAAATATATGATTAAATAATTAAAAAATATTTTGGAATTAAGAACGATATACAGATATAAAATAATTGAACAAGTTCATTTGAAAACCTATAATTTGAGTTCACTTTTGATTTCAAAATACAATAACACATGGTGTGGACTTTTAGAGCTGGAAACTTCAGTAAAATGATAAAAGTAGAGGAGTATGCGATTACTGATCAACATGTTAAGGATGATTAGCATTTTATGTTAAACTGTTTAAAAGTTAAGAAACTGGAAGGATTAGACCTCAGAAAGATTTTAAAATCACGAAAGTAATCATATTAAGTATGCTTACAGATTATTTTTAATTCAATCTAAAAATCAATTATAATGCATTTAAAAAGGAATGAAATAAATAAATTTATATTTTATATTTTTGCATATTTAAAAATCATATATAATGTTAATGGAAGGATGCATATAGAATTAGAAATAATTTAGGTTTATTTCTTATAATTGAGATATTGATAATGATAATCTATGTTATTTTTTAATTAAAAAACTAAAAATAGTATGTCATGTGAAATATAAGCAAATTAATAATACGTAATTGTTTGATAAATTTAATTAAATATCTTATAATGGATACACATCGCAATTACGAAAACTTAGATTATGCTATAGGATTTGGCAATCATGTTGAAACAGAAGCATTAAAGGGAGCAGTGCCAAAAGGATAGAATAGTCCTCAAAAGTGTGCTTACAATTTGATAGCCGAATAATTTTCAGGCACAGCCTTCACATTGACCAGAGCAAGCAACCAAAAGACCTGGCTATATAAAATTAGGCCCAGTGCTGCTCACAGTCCCTTTGTAGAAGCTCCTGAATTTGGAAAATACGTAAAAAACGATTTTATGAATGATCATGGACTGACCATCACTCCTAATTAACTAAGGTAAATATCAAAAATATAATTATCAGATGGAAACGATTACCCCTGCCAGAAAAACCTACAACATTTGCTGAAGGTTTGGTCACTGTTTGTGGAGCAGGTGATCCTTCCATCAAACAAGGAATAGCAATATATTTATATGCTGCCAATAAGAGTATGACTAACTCTAGTATGTTTAACAGTGACGGAGACTTCTTAATAGGTATATATTCTCATTAAATCTAGTGCCTTGGGAAGGAGAAATGTTAATAACCACAGAAATGGGAAAATTGACTGTGAAACCAAGAGAAATCTGTGTCATTCCTCGTGGAATCAAGTTTAGTGTAGAAATGACTAAACCAATAAGAGGATACATATGTGAAGTCTTCAAAGGTCATTTCAAAATCCCAGATTTGGGACCTATTGGAGCAAATGGTTTAGCCAATCCAAGAGATTTCTTGGTTCCAGTTGCTTTCTATGAGAATACTGAGGAAGAATTCTAAATTATCAATAAATATTTGGGAAAATTCTATAAATGTACAAAGAAAGGATCTCCTTATGATGTTGTCGGATGGCATGGAAATTATTACCCATACAAATATAATCTAGATCTTTTCAACGCTATGGGAACTGTTACTTTCGATCATCCTGATCCCTCTATATTCACAGTCATTACATGCTAAACTGATGAACCAGGGTACTAATATACATATTTTTCAAAGAGTTGCAGTGTGCGACTTTGCTATTTTTCCACCAAGATGGATGGTTGCAGAACACACCTTCAGACCACCCTATTATCATAGAAACATTATGAGCGAATACATGGGAAACATTTCTGGTTAATATGATGCCAAAGAAGATGGTTTCCAACCTGGATATGGCTCACTACATAGTCTTTTGTAAGGTCATGGTCCTGATCATGAATCATTTGAAAAATGGTCAAACGTCGATTTACAAGTACTTATACTCCAATATTTCTATAGCCAATAAGATATCCATATGAAAATTTGGCATTTATGTTTGAAAGTACCTACATGTTTAAGACATGTTCATTTGTCATGGATGATCAAGTCAGCTTGGATCATGACTATTTCCACGTAATTTATTTATCAATATTGATTTAAGTGTTGGGATAAATTGGCACATAACAAATTAGGAGATAAACCTTGATAATTATAAATATATATATATCATTGATTATTCCAATTCAATTATAAATTTCCCTTATATCTAATTTTATAGATATCATCTTAATTAAATAAATAATATTATCATCATCAATATATATTATATCATTGTAAATTGATGAGTCTTTCACTTCAATAAATCTTATGATGTATAAATTTATGTTTGTTTTTATACTTTGAAAATTACTTAATAACTTAAACGTTTACGCTTATATAGGTCTTCAATATAAAAAGTTCATCACTTAAAAAGAATAAAAACATGAAGACAATGGACAAATATCTATATTTATTTAGATCGATAATGATATATATTCGCATAATCATTTATTTTTATTTTTCTTTTTCTTTTTTGATTATTTAGATTCTTATTCAGCATTTTATTTTTCTTATTAATGGTGATTTTCTTTTTCAACTATTCCATTAGTTTGTTAAGTAATAATCTATTGCTATTACTATGGTTATTATTATTGTAACTATGTAGATGGTTATTAGATTTGTCTTTCATCTCTAACTTTGAATCCATAAAGAGTGGGTTGGAAGGGGGTGAATAGCTCAGTGCCCAATTAGATTGTGAATTTTGGGTGGATATCAGGATAAGTCTAAAATTAAATGATGAGATGTACCAACAAGAGCAACATTGGGAAACTGCGACCAAAATATGCTCCATCAAAGTCAGCTTAACTTTTGCGTGGGGCATATGCTTCTTTACATCTTGGACAATATACTTTAATTCTGCTAGTTTTGAGACTCTCACTCAAACCAATGGGAATGGTATTTTGTTTATCGCAAAGGACTCTGGGACAATGACCAAATCTGCCATTCAAAAATCTCTCTCTCATAATTGCTAAACCTTTTGGTGTTTAAATAAAAGCCTAATGTAGCAATCCATAGATATCGCTGGCTTCAGTATATAATTCAAGGAACCTATGGAGTGGTTGTGATAAAATACTTGTCATTTTCTAGATCCAAAGTATCTGGCTATTCTGAGGACAATATCATTTGTAGAGCTTATTAAAAGAGATTGAATTGTTTAATGAGGTGGCCATAATTGTTTGGATCTTGAATGAATTCTGAATCCACTTCAGTCAGATACTGATTTTAAGGCAATTGACAAAACCATTCAATCCACCCGCCTGGATGTTCGGAATATTGTGATTCCTCTATTATAGATATGGAGTGATACCTGACATTTGAAATTCAAAAAAATTAATATTATAATCACATAACAAAAAGGGCTTTCAATTATTGAATTGAGGAGAGGGATCAAATTGAATGGAGATAATTACACTTCTGTTTCAACATGTGAAAATCAAACATGAAATCAGAAATCAGAATATTTAATATATATAATAATTATTTAATGATTTTAAGCGGATTGGTGATCACACTCAACACTTTAACTCAAAATTACATAGTTTATAAAGATCAAATACTGAATCCTGAATTTTAACTGGGAAATTACGACATCAACAGTTGTGGAGTACCCTAATTACAATAAGTATATAATGACAATCCAAAATCAAATAACTTATTTATTCAGGAGTTGGTGATTAGAGCAAACTAATAATTCAAGTTGGAATATTCGGTCGAGAATATTATTGATAATGATTTTGCTTTGAATTAAAGTATGAATTGACCCAAATAACAATATTAGGTGGAATCATCAATTTAACTCTGTCTGACCAATAAGTTATTTACATAACACATGAATGTCCAGAGGATCTTGAGAATTACAATTACTGGGGTCTAATAAGAGTAGATCTATCAATAAATGATGAATCGATGAAAATATACTATGAAAGTATATGTAGCAATCAATATGAACCAAAAAAGTACTTTACATCAACAACAGTTAAGATTTGATTTCAGCTATTTGATAATAGTAATCACAGGCGTTTTATTTGTGTTTCTAACATCCAGATTTGGTCAAATTGCATCGTTATAGAAGGCAAATAAAAAGTTTCAAGGAGTTTTAATCAACTACTGGTATTTCATAGTGTTCATCTTTACGTTATTTGCCTTGGTGGGATTCAGTTATATAAATGTGGATGTGGAAGTCTACATTTTAGCTTGCATATCTTATTTGTCTAACATATTTTTTTTGATTGACACTTGCTGCTTTTTAAAAATTCATTATTGGAACCATTTGCAAGATATTTTATTTTATATAATAGGATGGTTTTTGGGTAGCATCCCAATGATCACTTTTTTTGTTTTTGGATTTAGTTGGATTGTCAATGATGTGATATTTGTACTCAATTTGGGAACTTTTTTTAAGCTCTTTAAGGTAAAATCATTCAAGGATTGTATAACTATTTATGTGCCATTTCTGTTATTTTATTGTCTACTAAATTATGCAGTCTATCTCAAGTGGGAATATGGACATAAAGTATCCCTCATCCTTAATTTAACTTAATTTTTCTCTCTACAAGCTCCAATGTTCAACTACATTCCAACAAGAAAATGTGCATTCATTGAAATCAATACACTGTTCCTGCCTGGTTTAATGATAGCCTATACTGTACGATACGCAAAAGCATCACAATCATACGTTTATTTTATCATTTATTTTTTGGGTTTATTCTTGGGATTAATTTGTTGGCTGTCTATCACTTTTCTAAACAGTAAATATTAAATAACTAGGTATAGGATTATTCTAATGATATTAGTTTATTATTCACAGTGATTCCCAGTTCAATACTAGCAGCAATACTCTGCTATTATAGAAATGAGTTATCAGTCTTTTATAAAGGATAATTTTATGATCAGATTCTTGAAGATCCATTTGTTGCATCTAAAAGTATTAAGGCTTCCCAATAAACGAATACTGATTTAATTAATCAGAGCAACCAAGAAATGCCTGTTATAAACCCTACATTATTTTCAGGATTGTATGAATTATGATGCAAATATATTTTAAATCTTAATGGTTTATAAATAATTTAAATATCCTTTAAACATAAAAACATAACAAATTATTCAATAAGGAATTTATTTACTGCTAAACTCTTATTATTTATATTCTAAATAGTATTGCATCTAAATTCTTTCAACTGTTTGAATTGCCCTAATCCATTTGTTATATTTACTCATTCATTCTGTTGTTCAAATTTTCAGTGTTCTATGAACTCATTAATTGAGAATGAAATCTTTAAGCATCATTTTTATATCAATTACATTCATTATCCTTGACCAAAATAAGACTGTTCAATCATTTGACTTTTTCACTCAATTATTTGGTCTAATGATCTTGTTCTTTATTCTTCCATGCTTGATTTAAGAATCAGCCTCTTAAACTTGATCTGCAATATTCTTCAACTCATCTGCTCTTTCTCTCTGAGCTGCATTTTCACTTTTTGATGTTCCAGTATTCATTATCTCCCTTGTTCTAATTTATAAGTTAGGCTCTCAATTTGAATTTAGTTTTAATTTGATACATGGATTTTTATTGGGGAATATTATTTTAGCTTGTAATTTGCTGCTATGTATTATCATTTTGCTTTTGATAGATGCATTTTATAAAGGGATTTCACTCTATGGAAATATACTTCTCTCAAAAGGGGCATCTTTATATGATTTTTCTTCTTTTCTTTATAAATTGGTTGACTTGCTATCACATCAGTTGGAGCTTAAACTGGAGGAGACACTTGAGATTATTTAACAAATTCTGATTAAGGTCTCAGCATTGGGGCAGGATTAGGGATGCTCTTTTATGTGAGATAATCTCCCTTAGATATAGCATTGTATTGTAAAGCTTTACTCTTAGATTATAAATAAAATTAATTATTAATTATAAAATGCTTACTCTTATGACTTTTTAAAATCGAGGAAGTGTAGGAATGTGATAAATAATTTATTTTTCCGCTTCAATAATTTAAGTAAAGATGGAGTGTTATATATTTGGACACGACTTTTAAACTCATATGAATTTTCATACTAATTTTTAATTGGCACAACAAGAGGAGATGTAAGACTTAGTAATAATGATCAATAAGAGTATTGTTTTACAGGGTTTATCAAAGAATGATATAGTTTTATTATAGTTATAATGATAATTTTTTAGTTGTTATTTATTAAATAAATAATTTATAGAAATTTTGAATATTAACAATGGAAACTGACATAAACATTCCAAAAACAAAAGCTGTTAATGTTTTCTTTTAGTTTGCTAGAATGCAATTCTACTTAACTGTTTTTTCTAATTTGTTACCTATTATAATAAGTTAGACAAATTAAGTTTGTTCAAGTAAGTCAAATATTTTTAATAAGATGAGGGAATAAAATTGATTGCTTTAAGTTACAAGGGTGACATAGTTCTGTTAATTCTAAATTTAATATCACTTCTATTTATTTGGCTTAAAGAACCATTTGCAAGGTATTGTATTAATTAATGCACCAGACTTGAATTTTTCGTAATGTATGCAATTAACATCTGTTGGAGCGGGATTATGATTGGCTAGACATATTTAGATGTAACGACGCAGCCTAATGAATGTGAAGGTGTTATCCTATCACAAAAATTGATACTGTTTTTCCACCTGAAAACCCATCTAGAAGTATTACTGAATACATGATTAATAGGTTTTATTCACTTTATTGTCTCCAATACTGTTTGCTTTCAGAATAACTAATTTACCGAATTCATTTTATGCAATTTATCTAATATTGACAGCAAATTAATAATAATAATTGTGTTCAAGAGATGTACCTAATATTGAATTCGGATTAATATTTGTAGCATTAATTTCTTGTTTAATTGGTTTACCTCTAAATATTGGATTGTTTTGTACAAAAAAAGTGACTATTCCAAACTTGTTTCGATTTTTATTAATGTTGACAATAATAGGTTAGAGTGGGCTAATAGGTTTTAAATATTTATAATGATTAGCCCTTATTTATCAGGCTGATGCTGATCTTAGATCTGAATGCAGTCCAACTCATTTGCTGTTTAGGTCTTATTTCTATATTATTCCGATTACAATTTTGAGTGCATTAAGCTTATTGTTCTCAATGCCCGTCCAGGATCATGATGAAATAAGATAACTACTAATTCAAGCTAGATTGAAACCTTTAAAAGCACAGCTACCTGTTTAATAGGATGTTACTAAACCACAAGTCTAATAATAATAGGATGAAATCTTAAATAGATCTGCAATAGATGGAGGAAAATCCCAAATTGGGGCTAAGTCCCAAGTTGGAGCTAAATCATAATATGGAACTATAAGTAGAAGAGGATGAATATAGAATATATTTTATAATAATCATGCTCTAAAGTAATTGTGTTGATTTCTAGATGTTTTATTTTTTTCGGTTTATAAGATCTTTGCAAATTTTTCAGAGATTATATGTTTAACCTCATGATGTATTCCTTCATTTTCTAATTCTAGGCCAAAGGTTTTAAGTCTTTATTTGACATAATTCAGATTTTGAATGTCCTCAAGCATAATTTCACCGGTTCCATCACCTTTGTTATTGATTTTATTATAGTTTTATCTACAATAAACGATTCCAACTCCTTGATGTCTCAAAGTTCTTTTTAGTTATATTTCATTAAATTTTTCACTGAGTCCTTTTACTTTGATTTGTTGAGGTTTTGAAGAGGGTGTTAGGGATCTTTTAGATTATAGATTAATCAATTCTGTTTTTTCAGGGTATAATCTTAATGGCGATGTTTGAGTAGTATTGTCTAATCTGAAAGTATTAGTAAAATTGAATTAAGATTATAAAGGACGTCTATTTGGAGTTGCTTGCTTATTTTTTTAATATATTTGATAAATGTTTGTATTGGTTATTGTCTTTGAGGCTGAAAGATCTGGTTCAATAGGAAATAAGAATTCTTTTGGATGATCGATAGTGCTAATAGATCGTAATTTCATTTATTAACAGATAAATTTTGTTTAATATTGATTTGTGAAAATGGGGAATAAGAAGGATAAAATAGATGAACTATAATTTCAAAGAAATAACTACTTTATGATGTGGAGTGTGATTATAAGAATTTAAGTTTATCTAAATACTTGTATGTACGAAGGATATCTTTGTATCCATAATTTAATAATATTATTTTGAGTCTTCAAAAAAGTCAACTTTTTGGGTTATCTTAGGATTACTTTAATATAGGTATTATATTAATGTTTATACTATGAATCAATTTTCAAAATATTCCTATGTAACTGAAAAATGAAATAGAACCTATCTACTTTTTAATTATTTATCTTTAAACATAGTCATTACGATTCAGAAAATTTTTAACAAAATTAAATTTGAGAAAATATGAGGCCCAACCTTCAATACTTATGCAATTTAATTGTTCTAATTAGCCTGCTTTCTTTGAGATCCTGAATTTTGTAAGTGTTTCCTTTATAAAAGAGGTTATATTTATTTAAGACATTATTTGAAAAATTTAAGGAAAATGTCTACATATCATTGAGAATATCATATTTTCAAAAAGCTTTGAATTCCATTTGAATGAAAAATATAATATAATTAATTACCAATTTTATCAGATACTAATATATTTTGATAAGAAATATACTTCCCATCAACTGATTTTATTAAGAATTGAATAATCATTGCAATAAGATTTATAAAATATTTAAAACAAAATAAGAGTAAATCAATACTAATGGCTATTATTATACGCTTCGTACGTATTTCTTTCTAGTGCTAAAGAGTTGTTTTCTGTTATTTGACATCTTGCCCGAAAAATCAAAAAGTTATCCTCATCATCCTGTTTTATTTTCATTAGATAGACATCTTCTCCCATTTCAAAGTTGTGATCTCGACTAGCTGGCACGTGATCTGTTTCATCATTTACAAAATATATATTATCAGCATTTTCTGCTTTGACAATATTTAAAAAGTTTTAACACTCCTTGTCTTTGCCGGTACAATTATAAAATAAAGTTTAATTTTAAAAGGTATGAGAAGGAATAGCAAAATTGGATTCTTCACTGAATAAAGAGGTTTGATTTCTTTAAGAGTATTTTGGAGCTAAAAAGTCATACCTCTAATTTGAGAGTTATGACAAAGCAATAGGTTTTGGATTGTATTGATAATCATTATTTATTATTGACAATATGCAAGTTATAGCTAAAAGAGAAAGTAATCCATAGTTCATCATCTTTGATTTTGTTATTACATTCACTCTAGATATTTACTCGATTTCTTCTTCTCCTTGTACACTCTAAGTACCATTAAAGGGTTAGCTAAGATTATTATTTGTGATTTACTTGTTTTCTTCTAAATATCGAACTCTTAATCTTAAATGATTGTTTTCTAGTTGTAATGATTCAATCTACTCATCCTTCTTCTTTAAAAGTATAGAGTAATTCTTGTTTTCTTGAACTAGATTGTCAAATATGACTTTTTTCTTATCTCTTGACAACTGAGCAGAATTTCTGTTTCTTAATTTTCTTAATTCTTCTTTGGACATCATTTAAATGGCTTCATTCTTCATTTTTTATTTTTTTTCGATTCTTTTTTTGAGTATCCTTTATTTCCTTTCCTCCTTGAACTTTTATTCTAAATCTTCAGTGGATTTGCTATGTTCTGGTGTTGGGAGGTTATTAAAAATGTTGGATTGGAACAATAGATCATCACATTCCATAGGCATATCGTATTCTTCTGAATCAATAAAATTCATTAATATACTGCTAATATCCGAATAATTTAAAAAAAACAGAGAGAAAACATAATAATTTATTAATAAGACTTATGACGTGGAGACGAGTAAATTAATTTTTTTAGTGTTCATATTAATATAGATTTCACACTGTAATGAGTGGAATTGGATTTTCCAATTTTAGAGAGTCTCTTAAATTATTACATAATACTCTTTCTGTGGAATTCACTATCAATCAATTTATTTATAACTAAATTAGGTCTTAAATTGTAAATGTTGCATAGATTTTCCTTTTCTGTATTTGGCTAAGGACTTGTTATTAATTTATCAATTTTGTATTTGGATTCGACAAATTGCTTTCGCTAAAATATTTATTTAATTCCTTCATAGGAACTATGTCTAGACGAAAGTGATTAGATTTTAATCTCATGATTATGCAGTATCAACTGTCTTTAACAAGGCCTGAAGTTGGCTTCTGGTTATTTTTAACAGGAGGATAAAATTGTATTCTTTCTATTTCAAAGTTATGGCAAATTACTTTCTTAGTTAAAGAGCAAGTCTTTCCATCTTTTTTCTTTCGTGCTCTCTTATCTTGTCCAACTGATGTTATTTCACAACAGTATTTGGATATAGAACATTGAGAGTCTTAAGTTTTTAACCATCCCCTTCATTGAAACTGTGTCGTCTAGCTTTGTTCATTTATTAAATTTAACTGAAACATATTAATTATGGGAACCTCACAATCAACAATGATGTTGGGTTAGCCTCTTAAGTAAACCAAAGTAGGAACACACTATCCTGGAGGCATTTTGGAGAGAAAAATATAGTTAACAGACGAGCAAGTCAGCACACTAACCAATTTTATTAGACTCAAAGAAAAGAACATGAGAGAACCAATTTTCCTTAAAATTCATGCTGTCTAGAAAGATGACTCTGGAATCTTTTGCAATTCCAATAATACAATTAAAATCTATACACAATTTAGTGAGATTGACTTATCAAATGAAATACGAAGAAGACGCATCGCCTCTCAACATTTTACCAACCAAGAACTGGTGTACAACTTAAAACTATTAATTGAAGCCATGGCAATCTATCAAAACTTCAATATTCATTATAACTTGTCCTCAAACACATTACTTTTTGATACCATCATCAAAATCATGGATCCATACATATTCGATCTTAAATCACCCCAATTACCGCATTACAAAGATCAATCCGGCTCTGTGTATTCCTCATGGCCTATAGGTATCATCCTATTGGAAATGATCACACTCAATTTAATGACAAACCTAGTTAACATAGACGGAACTTTAAACACTTACCTATTTAGCAATTTGTTAGAATAAATCAATGAACCTTATCTCAAGCAATGTCTACTCTACATCTTCGGAGGAATCTAAAGACCTGATTACATACAATTACGAGATGAATTAAATGGATAAATTATAAGATTGGTGCCAGCCTTCCAAATGCAACCAGAAAACATGCAGCATCCTACTAATTTCTCTATTCAAGAACAATCTAAATATTATGAAGCTATCTCTTAACAATAATAAATAATCAAAACACAATCTAAACAACCACTTCCACTCATTCCATTAGCTCAATCTAATTTAATTATCAATTCAAATACCGTATCCTAAAAAAAAGAGAATATTACTCCCATCTCTACTACCAGATCCAATAATTAAAGTGTGTTACAAGAAAAAATAGAATAAATCAGAGCCACCTATTTCAATCACAAACATTAATAGTAACCTTCATCGATGTATTTGTATCGCAAAAGTCCTGAAAAACAGTCAGAAACCTCTTCAACAGGATCTGAGGATCTCAAATCCTTCTCCAACGGATTGCAAATTGATCTATAATCTGATCCATTCTGTAGAGAACGAGAATCTGATGTTAATACCTTATCTAAACAATTTAACTTCCAAAATGAAGAATATATCTGTGAAACCTATCTAGATGGCTCAATTTATGAAGGATTTAAAAAGAATCAAAAAAAGAATGGACAAGGAAGTTTGTATTATAGTGACGGAGGCTTTTACATAGGATAATGGCAAAATGACGTGATGAATGGATATGGTTCTTTATATTATCCTTCAGGCAAACTAGCATATTAAGGATGCTGGGTCAATGGAAAATTTCAAGGCAAAGGAATGCTATTTAATGAAAATCCCAAAGACTGCCAAGATATTAATTATGAAGATTTTGACTCTATTAGTGATTGCTGGATCAGCTATTCAGGAGATTTTGTCCTTGATAAGAAACAAGGTAAAGGTGTATTAATTTTCACAAATGGAGACAGGTATATATCTATGATATTTATTGTAGATTTGAAGGCCAATTTAAAGAAAATATGATCAATGGCCCAGGCACATTTAAATCAGGCAACAAAGTTATTTCTAGCATTTGGTCAAAGAATGTGATTATGTGACTTCTAACATCAATATAGTTTATAAAATAAAATTTATATAAATTATTAATAAAGATATAGATTGAGATTATATAGATTTATCATTTTCTATTAAAAGTTCCTATTGGATGATTACGAATTAATATACCAATACAATCAGATAGGTCTATATAATCTATTACGAGACTCTAAACATGCTAGATGAAGAAGTTTTAAGAATAACTGAAATTAAATTAAATCTTATTGACGTTCTCAAATTTTATTAAAGCATCACATCCTTTCCTTTGTAATATAATTTTGATTTCTGTCCTATCATAATATTAAATTTTTGAAATAATCTCAAAAATCTAAATCAAAAAAATCTTCAATTGATTCTTAAACGAGTAAATATGTAAATTTTAATCAAAACATACTATATCTATATTTAAATTGGTAAACAAGTATTTTTTATATATATGTATTAATTTAGATATGGCTAACCTTAAATCTATTTTCTAAATTATTTTATTATTTATCATCAAAATAGAAAGAGCTCCCCAATTAAAAAATTTTTTATGTTAAAAATCTTGATTGGACTTTAAGAAATACTCAAGTTTTGATTATTCTTTTTCGATATCTATTTACTTCTTATCTTAAATATCTATATCTTATAAAATAATCAAGTAATTCTACTGTTAGAGATCTACTTTGCAATATTTTATTTAAAAAGTTTGCTTTTTAAAAGTTATGATCCAATATCCATTATTTTCTAATTTTTGAGATAATAGTAGTGATTCAATAGATTATTTGTTTTCGTTTGTATATGATCTCATTAAATTTCTTGCATTGCATCCATCGCAATAGTATTCATCAAAACCAGGAAATTCTTCAATTTAATGCTTTGTATTTAAATTAAACAACATTCTACTCTCTGATAATGAAATTTTAAAATATGGTCTCTAAATGATAAAAGAATAGGCATCCTCAAGCTTATTTTCTTATAAATTTTAAATAAAATTTATTCGAGATCTAGATTCATAATAGTGAACAGTAATCAGAATCATCAATCCTCCAGAAATTCCCATTCCAACTAGTAAAAAATCAACTTCCTATTTTGATTAATATGTAGTAATTATTAATCGTAAAATTAAATGAACGATAACCTAAAATATCGCATGATTAAAGCTTGATATAAAGTATAGAACTGCCTATAATTGCATGATTACATTTCCATATGCATAATATTCACCTTTTGTTGTAGAAGAAGAATCTCCATCCAACTATGCAAATCCTATCATAATATTTGTAAATGTTATTCCTAATTGCAAAAATTGTATTTTATTCATCAAAACAATCGTAATATATTCTAAAATTGTGATGAATGTAAAGATAATATATATGTATTAGCTTTCTATTGCACGGAAAGTTGATTAAATTATTATTGTAGCTAAATTGCAAACGAAGGTTAGAAAGATCGAACAAATAAACACAGGTTTTTTAATAGATAAAGATCTTCCTAATTAATACTAATTCTCAAGTTCTGAATTCTCAAAAATCATGAAACACTTTTGCATTATTTTCATTTTAATAATTAATGCTGGAATAATTATCTATTGACAAAGATTTATAAATAAATGATATTGCATTTATTTTCTTCGTATAACATTGAAATGTTTGGATGAAATTATTCTAGAGTACTCTTAGGTTAATTTAACGAAAACAAATAAATAAAACATGTTATATATAGAATTAAATAAAAATAAATATAAATTTTTTTTCAAGTAGTATAATCCTCCATTATTTATAAGATTAAAATAATCATGGAATGCCATTTTTTTTATCTTCAGAATTTAAATAACCATCTATTATTGATCTAAAAATTAAATTATCAGCAGACTTTTGTGAAGGCCTCATTTTTACAGATAATAAGTGTTCATATTAGAAATTCCTTTTTATTCTTGATAATATTTCATATATAATTATTATTAATATAATAAAATTATTATATAAATGAAAAATCAATGTAAAATCATAATGTTTTTTGTTTCCGTATTGTTCTTAAGGTAAATTTTCTTGTAGCTGTCAAAAAATATTGTTTCAAAAATAGTTGCCTAATATTGTGAAGAACTTAAAATTAAAAATTATAAAATTGATTTTATATTCAAAAATGGCTTCTTAATATACACAATATTATTCATTTAGACTCTTCTAGAAAGATTTTAAAGGCTATAAGAAGGGGCTTTTTACTACTGTATTCAGAAGCTATTTTTCTGTTCAAAACATTGAGTATTTTTTACCATTTTTACTTATCAATTTCATCCATTTTTATTTCATTTAATCTTTTCAATTATTCAGTATAAACTTATATCCAGTTTTCCTTTAATTATTCATAATTTTATTCAGCATCTGTATTATCTAATTAATTAAGATATCATAAATACTTTTCACTTTTAGGAACTTATTTTATTAAGCATCACTGAAAAGCTCGTGTTCCATACATAAGATAGAGAATCTGTCAAAAGAAAGATTTTTTTCATCATCCTCTACTAAATCAGCATAATCTTCAAAAATTTCTTCAAATTTTTCTTCTTCAAACTTGTCTGGTTCAATATGTCTAATCAAAAGAAGCCATTCATCTAAATTACACATTCCATTTCCATCAAGATCGCAAGCAGCAAACGCATTAATAACATATAATTTAGTTTTTTCTACATTGTTTCTAAATATGGTTAATACTCTTATCATAAGCAGATCAAAATCTACAATCCCTGCTTTATTGATATTTTTTGGATCATGTTCTTTTTAATTTTCTAAATCTTATTTTAAATAATTTAATTCCTCTTAAGTAAAATTAAAATTTTGTAGCTACCCCAAATAAGCTAAGGCTCGAACATAAGGGATGTAATGCTTTTATTCCTGTTCATTATCTTTAATAGTAATCCCAAGATTTTAAATACTATGAACATATTCTAAGGCTTCCAAATATCTTTATAGTTCCTCAACTCTATAGTTTGATTTTTCCTCTAATATATTCATAAATTTAGCAAACATATTAACTCTGACGATTTGCACGTACTTCTTAATTGACAGCACAAGTATCATAAATCTTTGTTCAGTAACCTTAGTGTATCCAAATTGTTGTAAATAATAATTATAAATATATGCTGCCATATCTTAATCTCTTAATAGTTTGTTCTCTTTTTAATTTGCTATTTTTTCCAAGTAAAAGGTAGATATCATTTTGAGGACAAGCTTAAGAGGCAGGTAGTTATTGAATTTCCCAATTGACTTAGATTTAATTTTTTCAATAAGCAACTTTGATTAATTTTTTTAGAAATCATAACTGATTGTCACCTAATATTATTTATATTCAGTTTACTTTTTATCCTAATTATGGGGCAATTTTTTTAATTTTCCTCTAAGCCAATGTGTTTAATTTTTAATTTTATGGTTTCTTCTCTTATTAAGCAAGGACTTAATTGAGATCCATAGCGTCTGACATAATTTAATTTTCAAAATCTGAAACTTTAATATGTAGATTAGTTATTTAATCAATAAATTTAGAATTTTGTTCTTTGAGCTCTTTATTTTAATTCTCTAATTTATCTTTAATGGTTTTTAATTCTTCTATTGCTGAATTGCTGTCTTTAATAGTATTTTCTAGTTAAATTAATTTTGTTCCCTATAATTTAATAAATGTGATCATATTTTTAACTTTGATATTATTTATAGATGTTTATTAAGGTTATTTTTCAATAATTATGGAGGTTCTCTTCATATTTGTTCTAATGGATGTTTACCTTACAAGCGAGGGTGTATTGTTTTGTATTCCAGATTGAGACATCTAACTATCTACAAACTTAACTATCTCTTCTTCGTTTAATTTATCAATTGCATTGATGTTCAAAAAAGAAATATTTGTTTAAGACAAATCATTTTCTGTTCTATCTTTTGGAATATTAAAGAATTCAATAAAATTAATAGCTTGATCACAAATATCTTAAGTCAGATCATCAAACTTTTTATCTATCAAATTTAAATGCGTTTAAACTTCTTTGGTTGTTATGTAATTGAGAATGAGATCTAATCCTACTTATGATTCCTTTTCCCTTGTTTCAACAATCCTTTCAGTATTAAACTCGATTTAATTCAATTCTTTTTCTTCTTCATCCTCTTCTTCTGTAATTGATGGAGAAGAGTCTTCTTATTGCTCTTCAATCAAGGAAGAAAATTTGTTTTCTTTATTTGAAGTAGTGTTGCCTTATTAACTTATGTTAGTATTGGATCCAATTTATTAGCTTTAATATACTGAATATCTTATTTATTAATTAGACTATCTATGATCTTTATGTGCCTTATTTTCTAAGTAGTCAATTTTTCTTTGTAATTAAAGAATTTCAAATCCTAATTCTTTGATCTTCCTATTTTTAATAAGAATTTCATTTTGTTTTAACTCTAATTATTGTTTTTACTAATTAATTTTAGCTCTTAAATCTTTCATGTCGTTTTCGTTTTGTTAAATTTGCATTAATTGATTTGCGTTTTAAGACTTAAGGGACATCAACTATTTTTCCATATCTTCATGTGCCCAAACATGATTGGTGTTCATTCTAATTATTTCATCTATTTTTTATATTTCTAACTGTTTTTCATGTAATGTTAATTAATATTTTTGATCTGATATTTGCTAATTAAACTCTCTCATAAATGTGTCAAATAAATTAGCCATTTCTTTGCATTCTTCAGTGAAAAAATTTCTTATATATTATTCTATCTTCTATAATAATTCTGCTCTATTATTTTAATTTATTTATTGTAAAAGAAGTTTCTCAGCTTATTTAGTTTATATTCGTTTAGAGCCATTACTTTTCTGATGTAAAACCTTTTCGCAAGTATTAAATAGGAAGTATTTATCAGGAGGTGAACTCTAAGTAGTCTTGATTTAATTTCTGAATGAGAGACAACTATCAATTGAATGCATTAAAGAATCACTTTACAACTATTAAGACTTATTCCTTTCATGCATAAAATTTTGAGTTCCTTCTTAATATAATAGTATTTACTTAATCTATTTTTGCATTTATCATAAAAGTCATTCATAATTTTTTATGTGTCCACTGATTTGATTAGATCAGTCTGAGATGTTTTTATTCTTTTCTCTGATTTGATAGAATGTTATTTGCTCAAACTTTTAGTATGCAAAGACGGCTGCAAAGCCTTTTGGTTAAAATTATTTCTAGCTTCCATGAAAAGTAATAATTTAAATAGTTTAATAATCAAGTAACACTAAAAAGGAGAATATTATTTAAATGAAAAATAAGAATAATTCATTTTTTCAGAAGCAAATCGCACCAAAAGCATCTATATTGTGTCTATTACTATTTATAAAGTGAGCAGCAAACTTTAAACTTATCTTTGATAAAACTCTTTGTATTTGATTAAATACTTAAAAGATCAATAATCCTTTATTTAGTAAGAATTGTTTGAAATTAACTTTGAAGTTTATTAAGGTGTATTTATTTTATGTATATGTCTTACTCTAAAAAGGACTTTGGACAATAAGGAAAGCACTTCTTTAATTAATTGTGTACATGTTATAAAACATATATTGCAAAACTTATTTAACTTAAGAATTGCAATAGTTCAGATAATTAATACATCGAATTTTCGATTTTATACCTCTAAAATCAAAAGCCTTCCCAAAATTATAATAAGAGTATATGAAAAATTTAATAATTGCATTTTTTTGGATTCTATATTATATGTTCTTTGATAATAAAATTAATCAATCAAACAATTTTTGGAAGATAATTATATTAAGAGATGATTTAAATAAAAATTCTGTTTAAAGTTTTTACATATTTAATAAAATTATACACTATAAGTTTATATCTAATTTTCAGTATGTAAACCTTAAAAACAATTAAAATATTTTACAATAGAATGCAATCGCTTTGTGTTATCTTGATCATTTATTTTAAATGCTTACCAAATAAATTAAACATTTTTAATAAACTTAGAACAGACTTGTCTAAAGTAATAGAATATGTTCTAATTTAGTCAATAAAATAAGAAATAGAAATTAATATTTATATTCAGTAAGTGATTTATTATTGGGATTCAAGAAATTATTTTCATTGAGAAATAGAATATTAAGTTTCATTCAATATTTAGTTGCATCTTTATACCTTTTAATTTTTATTATTACTGAGATGTTAAGGTCTATTTTATTTTAGGATCTATACATCATCAATATAGAATACATTTTAAGTATTTGTATTATCATAAAGGGTATGATATAAATCAGGGTAGCGTACTTAAAAGAAAAAGAAAATAATAAATAGATACAAGCTCAAGGACAAATAAGCTAAAAGATATAGCAATTAAAAAATTTCTTCTTCTTAAGATTTGATTATTTTTAATTTATTATCCTAGATTATTTTTTAATTAATCAAATTTTGTCTATGAATTGATTTACTCTATAATAATCATAAAATAGATTTGGGGTATTTATAACTCATCTAGCACAGTGGATGTTGCTCATGTAGTTTGGATTATAATGGAACTTTGTAGATATGCGTCTGCTTCGACAGTATGTATGGGGTAGTAATTCTTATTTAAAGTGGAAAAGCATTTAATGTTTAGAATATATAAAATATTAATAATTATAAGATTATCATCAAAATGCAGTAAAGGACATCATCTAACTAAAAGATCTTTAATAACCAATACTAAATAATCAAAAAGCTATCTTCAGGTTCTTTTGGAGTAGTTTTTTTGGGAATTGACCTCTTAACAAAATAAGAGGTAGCTATTAAGGTTGAAAAAGAAGAAAATGAGGAAGTGCGTTCATTAGAAAGGGAAGTTTAGATACTTAAGAAATTGGACGGTGCTGATGGGTTCCCAAAATATTTTTGGTCAGGGGAAGATCAAGGCTACAACATTCTGGTTATTTAATTGTTGGGAAAGGATTTGTCCTATCATTTTAAGCAATTAAAAAAATTCTCCCTTAAAACTGTCCTCACTCTAGGGATTCAAGCGGTATAGATTTTGGAGAGATCTCATCAAAAAGGTGTCATTCACAGAGATTTGAAACCTGAAAATATGATATTAGGAATTGGGAGAGAGATATCAAAGTTATATTTAATAGACTTCGGAATAAGTAAAATATATAGAGATTCAAATGGCAAACACATGTATCGAACATATTTGATTTTATAATTTAAGATCGTTTAAAGATCAAAAATCTTTCTTAGGTACGACTCGATATGCATCAATAGCGGCACATTTAGGACATGAACTGGGTCGTAAAGACGATTTAGAATCTTTAATGTATATTCTCTTGTATTTTTTACGAGGGTAGTAAATTATTTATTAAATAAGATAGTTGCCTTGGTAAAATATGGTTAATGTTACTGATGATGAACGAACAAAGAAGGTGGGAGAGATGAAATTATCAATGGAACGTGAAGTTTTTAAAGATTAGCCGGGTGAGCTACAACGCAATTTTGAGTACTCATCAAATTTCACATTTAAGTTACATCAGAAAACTTTAATTTAAATAGGAACCAAATTACAAAATGATAGTGTAAGAATTTAGAAGAGCAGCTGAATCTTCAAATATAACAATTGATGGTAATTTTGATTGGACAGAAATTAAATAATCCACGCATTATTAGACAGACTCTAATTAAAATTAAAGCAGAAACAACATACCTATGAATTCTAATGAAATGAAAAAATCTATTGAAAAGCAACTCTCAGTAATTTAACATAGGTATATATTATTTGTTATTATTTCTAAGCTCTAATAATTTATTGGCACCTCCTCCTTTAGGTTCTGCTCGAGGGACCTTTTAAAGAGACGATATCAGAAAGAACTCCAGTCTTACTCAATAAAGCAGTATTAATTATTGCTAATCTCTCAATCCAAATTACTAAAAATCCATATGTGAAGAGCCTCTTTAAGAGGATAATCATTATTATGATTTTGATAGTGTTGAAATAAGCGAAAATTATAAGGCAGACTCTAGTTTGCACAACAAATATCATAAAATAAAACTGGGAATTTTTGTGTAAATTTATTTTTAATTAAATTAGACATTTTCTCCCAAAACAAATCAAACTTAAATGAATTTTATCTATTTATATAACTTAATTAGATAATCTTAAGTATATGTATATCTATTTTTACATATTTGTATAATATTTAAAGTCTTCAAGATGATTGAGTGATTTAAGATCTAGTTTATTATGTATTCTCAAAATAAATTTATTTATAAGTTAAAAATATAATATAATTCATTATAAATTATAATAAATTACATGATTTATCACTTTTTTTCAATTAATGGTAAACTCAATTAATTACGAGCACTTTTTGGTGATAATTGTCTTGCTTTCTTTATATTATCCACAACAAAGTTTCTACTCAAAGTCATCGACATTTGAACTTATGATTATTATAATTATTTATTATCAACTAATGATTACTTAATCTGAGGAGGGACGTACCTTGGTAATACACCTCTAATAGAATATGACCTAAATTTAACAAAAAAAGAATTACCAATACATATCTTCAGTCTAAATTATCAATTTACCTTTTCTAATCTTGCCATATTCAACTGGTGTAAAACTAATGATAAACGTAGTTCCCTCTCTTCCATAAGGTTCTAAGTCTCCAATTTTAGGGATGACAGAAAATTCAGCATCTGACTCAGGAGAAAAGGCTGCTGTAAATTTACTATAGTTTTTAGTTTTATTCGTTAATTTAAATGAAACACTGGTTGTTTTATTTAGTGGAGAACTAATTAAAATTGTATCATCTTCTTCGGGTTCAGTAGCTTCAAGCTATATTTTGTACTTCCATCTTCCACCTGATTGTCTAAGCACTATAAACTCCATAGATGTCTTGAAGGGTTTCATGGGTTGAAACCTTACAAAATAAAGCAAATTATCATGAGGACTGTCAAGGTGATTCTTTAGACACTTGATTGTAAAGCATTTCTAAATCATAGTCTATAAATCCAAAGGCATTCCACCTAATTCATAGTCAAACTTATCGTCTGCTTACAAACTCTATGCAATTCCTTGTAACCCTACTTTGATTTCATCTTCCCATTTTTCTCTACATTTAGCTTTGAAGTGAAATAGAGTCTAAGTCGAGACAGATTCAGTAACTCCCTTAACTGGGAAATGCCATTAGATCTTCTCATTCATAGAGATGACTACTTCACAATAATAGCTTGTAATTTCTCTGGGTACAAATGAGAATGGGACTTGAAGAACATTCATTCCTGGAACAAGAGTTTTATCGTTCTTTTGATTTCTGACAAGCAACAACTTAAAGACTTCTTGGTTATGACCTTCAGCATCCAATGAAATGGAAACTTAAATAGGTTCTTTGAATGGATTTTTAAAATGAATGACTGAACTATAGTCTTTGTTTAATCCAATACTAACAGTGGTTGCTGGGAATTTAGTGGGAGGCAATCCACTTCCGAAGACTAAATAATGCCATTTGCCAATTGGTGAAGTAAAAATGATATCTGATTATTCGATGATATCTAATGAGGATGGAGTATATCTCAAGGCAACCTTTAAAGAATCATATGGTTGTATTTGTAGTTCATCAGGATATATATCAAAATTCGTAGGATTGGTGATTCTGCATTAGACTTATATCTTTTAATCAGAAGGATTTTCAAGAACGACAACCTATTGTTCAACTTTACCCAACGAGGCTTTTAATACATTCAATCTAACAATGGGTTAGTCTTCACAAGTAAGGATGAATTCATACCAGACTTCACCTAAAAGTCTATTTACAAATGCAACACTGCCTCTCCATCTTCCAATTTTTAAAGGAGCAAAGGTTAATTCATATGCAGCCTCTTTTCTAGCTCCGATTGCAAATTGCTCTTCTCCAATTAAACCTTCTCCATTAATCATAACTTCATAAATTGCAGTTTCTGTAAGAGGATTAGCAAGTGTTAATTGAATAACAGTGGCTTATCTAATCAAACAAGACACCTCAAGGGTTTGAACAGATTTTGGAGACTCAGTATTCATGAATACTGTGTACCATAAATAATGTCCTTGTTCATCAGTAAATGTGATTGATCCTGTATATTAACCACTTAAAACTGGCTGTACTTACAAGACATAAGTGGCTTTCTTTTATGGTTAAATAACTATTTAGGATGGTCCTGTTGCATAGATCAAATCTGTTTCTACAGCATAAGTGATTGCTCTATCTGTTGGATTCTTCAATTCAATTTCTTTCTTCGTAACTTTTCTTGCTTAACAATTCAGAATTATATGTTCCTCCGCTACTGGTTCTTCCCCATAGCCTTTAAGATCATACTCGAAAACATCATTGGTCGTTGGATTTGTTAATACCAATTTAGCTTCACTCTCTTACAACCAAGATGGACTAAAAGAAATTGGGAAGTTGCTGGTGGCTTTTTTTTTGACAAAGAAGTCTCTCTAAGGACAGGAGAATAGCCCCTTGGACTCTGATAATTAAACTTTTATTTACCAATCCCTATCTGTCTGATTTACTATAGGGATTTCTTAGGTTACAGATTATCGTGCAGGTACTCTAAATTCTAACATTGCCTTAACAATCTTAGGTAATACTATTGCTGACAATTTATATCTTCTGATATCGAATTTATTTCTTAGAGTTAGGATTACACTAAAATCTTTTGTAGCATTTTTGAATGCATATAGAATTGGTAACTTACAATCAATGTTCTCAGTTCCTGGCTTCTTTGTTTGTTTATTTAAATCAGTTATTTGTAATGTAGGAGGAAGATTCAAGTATTATGTTGGTGGATAGATTTCTACTTCGAATGTTATGATATCCAAATTAGAACCCGGGAAGTTGAGCTTAGATGCAGTTAATGTTGAGGCCTATTTGTCTCCTTTCAAATATCTATCTTTTTATTTCATCTAAACCAATTATTGAATTTAGCTACGAGCTCGAGCCAACTATTCATTTCTAAAGGGAATCGTGTATGAAATCGTTTAGGTACTATCGACATACAATGATTTGTCTGGCTTGAATTCTCCTATTATATTAGGCAATTCAACTGTGCCTTATAAATCATGTTGGAATTCACCTACATTTGGATCTGTAAAAATGAGTGAACATTTGTGCGTATCTATTGTTAATGGAATATAGGTCAATGAAAAGTTTATTGTTTAATTCTTTCTAATTCTTTGTCTATCAATTGTACAGAAGAACGAAGGGAATTCTTCTTCAGGAGGAGCATCTTTTGCTGGAGGAGCTTTCTTCTTCTTCCCCCTCTGTTCAAGTTACTTCTTCTCATGCAATACCTAAATCTAGAACTCTCCATCTTGTGGAAACTTATTAGTAATTTAAATCTGGAAGTCAAATATCTCATACAAGATTGAACTTACATTCCATTACTTTTCAGACTTCCTTCCTGTGATATTACTTTTCAAATCAAATACTAATGCTGCTGCCTAAACATTTGTCTCCTTTTTGTTTGTGAAAATCACTCTTCCAGTAACAGGCAGAGAAATACGAGAAGTGAATTTAACCTTGTAATTGTAAGGTATGTCTGGTTCGATTTTGATGCTTTCGTCACCCTCTAATTAAAAGTCAGGATGACCCTCGTATTTAACAAAGTAGCTTATGGGTTTTGGAGTCGGATTTCTTAATTCAATTGATTTTATTACTTCTTCTCCCAATATACATTAAAAGATGATGGGTTCCTTCTAAGCTACATAATGAGGAAGAGAAAAGAATAGTTGGACTAACATCATTAACATTTCTCGAGGGTAAGGTTTATGGTAGATGTCTCTGGCTTGGACATGCGATTGTAAACCATAATCACTCAAAGCAGGCATTAATTTATCTGCATTGTGTCGATAATCATCCTCACTCTATAGATTAGTCCTTAAATTGCTAAAGAACTTCTGCATACTAGAACCAATAAATTAAGTCACTGCATCTGCTATAAGTAAGCTGTCTCTGAATTCAGATGCAAAATTGCTTATCCTTCTTACCTGTCCTGTATGTTGTTGCTCGTAACAAACTTCATAGAACCAAAGAATAACACCTTCCGCATGAGAAATTATATTGGATCCATCTAAATAGTAATCTGGAATGTTCAATCTCTCGGCTGGAATTCCAGGTAGTTATTTGAATGACTTTGCTGTTATTCTATTGAGATAATATATTTTAATTATTTGATAGAATGTCGAAATCCATGCATCATAGTGTAAATAGTTGTATTTAGCTTAACTTAGTTATAGCCTATTATCTGGTACAAACTCATATTTCTCTTTAGGCAGTGTCTTTAACCAAGCATTATAATCATTATGTCCTAATAGATATTCTGATCTTATGTGATTCAGAAGGGCTCCCTCAATTTTTAGTTGTCTTACTAATTCATCATATTATTTAAATTAAGCTTCTGCCTTTTGTTGGCGTTTCCAGTTTTGATCTATCTATGCTTTATACTGGAAATTGATTTTGCCTGTTAGAAAAGTTAATAATTCAAATATTTGTTAACCGAAACTTGTCACAATGTCTTCAGGAAATTTGTTAATCGGTTGTGTAAGAACATGATAATTCATCCATCTCATTATATAATCACAAGCTTCATTCTAGGTTTCAGCATCTAAAGGTCGATAACCTAAATGTGATGTCCCTTTTGAACTAGTTGTACTTTTTACAGACATAGTGTGATTTCGTTTCATTTTCTCATTATCACTGTCCGCACCATCATCTTCTTAAAACAGCAATGGCTTTTTTTCATCTGCTACCATTTGATACTTTTGTATTCTCTACAAGTATATCTAATTAGTCAATAAACAATTATCTGTTGTCCCAGAAACATATATGGAGTAGACTCTGCCTTCATCTTAGAATTCTGCTCGCGTAGTAAATGATATTGGTTTTTTATGAGAAAAATACACATCTACTTTTAATTTACTTTTTGCAACTCCCAAAGTTTGACCTTCTGGAAATTTTAGTTCCAAGTAAAAATTACTTGTCTCGCTTGACCAATTATGTTTTAAATTCAAATTCTCATAGCCGTCGTTAATTATTTTGAATGAGCATTTTGAAACTACATTCAAAGGTACCACTGGCAAAATGACTTCTTTTTTATCAAATAATAATCTGGGATATGCTCCTGATCCTTGAATAAGCAAATCAACATATGGCAATGTCTTTGGTATGTCAGGATCAGATTCTATGTAGAGTGAAACAGTTGATTAAAATACTCCTGGCCCATATGGATTGAATTTAACTCTAATTCTTACCTATTATCCAGACCCAACTATTCCTTCACTAGGCTCTATAGTAAATATTTTTTCAATTTTCAATGGTGAAGTATCTATACGCCATTTTACATCCTTCCTATCTGGGTTTGATAATTTAATCTCTTCAACTGTAGGATAACATTTATCAGGAGACGTGATTATCTTCTTTTTAAACTCAATTGATTGGGGTTCAACTAAAAATTTAGGTTTCAGACCTTTGCAAGATACTCTTCTAGTTAAGGAAGGTAAATTCTGATTAAATCTTGCTAAGGTAATTGGCATATCAAATTGATAATGTTTAACATCTTTAGGAGAAAATTTCATCAAGAAAACCTATGTTTTGCCAGGCAAGATAGTTAAATTGTAGGATCTGTATTCCTTAGTTTCCAAATCAATTTATTCAGATTTTTCAGATTGGTTGTCCAACGACTCATCTAATTTTGGAGCTGGTTCATCTTCATTCTCAGGGTGAATTGAATGTAAAATAGTGTCATCTTCATCTTATGGTTTTACTTCTAAACAATCAATTCCATCAGGGGCTCTAGGATTCTCGTTCTAATGTCTTAAATCCAAGACCAAATCAACTGGAATGGTGGAATTATTGACCAAAGTCATAGTCAATTAATTACTTGTTCCCAAAGTAGTTATATTACCAAAATCAAACTCTTCCTCCACAATTTCAATTTTTGGTATTATAGCTGACCCAACAACAGGTACTTGTAGTTACTTTCCTCCTCTTATTAAGATTATAATATCTCCTTTTATTATTCTTTCATCTTTAGAAAGGAATTTAACTTATAAATCTCTGGAGTCTTCTGAACTTATTTTTCCTTTGATAGGGTAAACCTCAATTCCTTCTGGAAGCTTAGAGGTTTGAACCTAAAAAACTGCAGAACTTTTAGATAGATTTTTTAAAGTTAACACCTTTGTTTCCTACTTACAAACAACTATTTCCTTAAAATCTATAACAGCTTATTTTATAGCACATTTAGGTTCAGAAACAACTCCAGTACATTTAATGTTCTAATCCAATCCATCTTCTGTTTTTAATAATAATTTTTCTTCCTCGTTCCTAATAGTGGCAACAGTCGCTTACTATTAAGGTATTATTGATTGTTATTGTTATTATTATTATTACTATTATTGTTATTATTAACCTTAAGTATTTTTGTCTTATTATTATTACTATTGTGAGGTGACTGGTTACTTAACTTCGGGTAGAGGTTATAACTAACTTGGTTTGTAAATCACTTAACATTCCAGATATTTACCACTCTGTACAACTCCTGATTCAGGCTGGACATAGAAAATCTTTTTTTCAGTAGTTATCCACCTAAATTTGGCTTCTGCATTTCCATTATTTGTTAAACGAACAATTTCAGCAGTTTCCATTTCATTGTTATCTTCATTAAAACCAAATTTGATTTGAGTTCTATTCATCTCTAAGTACACTCTCTCAATATTTGCTTAGACCAAAAATTCAAAAATATGATTCTCATTTATCACATATTTTAGATGTGTTTTGATCTATCCTAGTTATTTTGAACAAAGTATGACATCAAATTATGCAGTCTAACCACTAGGAATGATCTATGGTTTAATGTAAGATTAATTGAAATCTTCCTTGTCAGTATGTAATCTTACGCTAATAGAATTCCTGAGATCATTTCTCACATAAAAGTATTTAATTACAGTACTTTTTATGTAAACATTCCCAAATTCTATTTTAACAGGCCCAGCTTATATTTTTTATAATTAATCTGCATTTAATTCAGCACTTGTATCCCTGATTTCACTGTGAGTTTTAGGTTCAAAAGGGAATTTTTTTTTTTATATGTTTTTAAGGTCAGGTTCAAAAGGCTTAAGCTGTTTTCCTTCTTTTAATTAATTTTAATTAAGTGGTTCATAATGGAAGATTGGTTTAGTCACGAATAGAGTTTCATTGGCTTCTGGTAATGGTAATTCTTGTTCGTATCCATCATCTTGCATGCCAACTGCAAATTCATAATCAATAGGTGGTTCTGGCTTAGGTTCTTCTTCTTGTTCTTATTTTTTAGTGCCTCCAGAGGGTTTTACAGTTTCTTATTTGATTTCCTTCAAACGTTCATTCATTTAAGTAAATTTCTGTTTTATTTTCTTATCCTTAACCTTCTTAAGCCTTTATTCCCTATGCATTTTTAAATATTCATTATATATCTCTTTATTTAATGACTTTTGCTTTAACTCTTCAATTTTGTCTAATGAAATTCCTTGTTGAACCAGTGACTAAACTGATTGTGAAATATCTAAAGTCTAAACCTTCTCAATTGATTTAATATTGCTTATACTTTATTCTTTAGTTATAGTGTGCTTCATTTCAAAATCCTCAGGGAGTGATTCTGGACCCCTTTTAACTTATTGTTTATTTGTAAATTATTAACTCACACCTGCTAACCTCACAGGAATTTTGAAGATTCCCCCAAGCAATTCAGCATTAATAACAGTTGTGAAGTTCCCAGTGTGCTTAGGTTTGAAACTGACCCAAAAGTTTTATTTTTCTTCTGGTTACAAAATTGACAAAGTTGGATTAACTTAGAAATAAGGAACAACAGGCCAATGAATTTGAATTGGCAGATCTGTCTATTTATTAGTAACTTCAAAAACAATCTCTTTGTTTTAGTTAGCAGGACACAATCCAAATTATAAAATTGGGGTTGGTGGAAATTTAATTGTAGGACAAATGCATCTTACCTGCAAATGATTCATCAATGGCTCATTGTCTTAAAAGTCAAAAATTGCTGAATAATGATATTCATCATAATCTGGTTTCAATTGTTCAGGAGATAATGCAAATGATCTTGTCCATACTTATTGCTCTTCTGAAACTTTAGGTTTGCATTTAAAAACTATCGCAACCTATGAATAGCTTTCCAAAACTCCTTCTTCTGGATAGCATTCCATAATTCTTTCTGTCTATTCAAGACCTAGTTCAGCAGGAGTCTACAGTTTAAGGGCATCTTCTTATTAATGCAAACCCTTCTTCAGTTTCACCTTAAATTTTTATTACTTGGGAGTGTTATTGACTAAATATGTTTCAATCTGCTTGAATTATCCGTAGTAAATCTAACCAAAATCAAAGAAATTGTTTTGAACTCCAGTATCGTCGATCAAAAAACGAGTAAACTCTATTGATGTTGCATTAATGTCTATAGTTTTCTGGAGACTTTAACCATCTGCAATTACTTCTACTAAACCTCTGAAAATACCAGCATCTTTAGGTTTATAAAATACCTTAACCGCATATTCTTGTCCTGCTCCCAAACTAAATGAAGTTGGCTCTATTCTGAAATCAGGCAAACGATCAATTTTTAGTTCTACTTTACCTGTCGATCGACCTTCATTCTTAAAGTATATATTATCCACTTTCTCCTTTCCTACACGAACAAATCCCAAATTTATAAATGGCTCAAAAACTATGCTATATTGAATTAAATGTTAAAAATACGCAGCTTGAGGAGGGAAGGCAAAAAGAGGCACATCAATAGTATAGTTACCATCTGACACAATTTTCAAACTGTCTTAATACTACTCTAAACTGGCTGTTTCAAATGTTACTATCAGTTTCATTGAAAGTCCAGCTGCTATGGCACTATAAATCTACATCATAAACACATACCCCTGCATTTCATAATCGCATCTGAAGTTAGAATGAGGTTGAAATACACGAATTCTCCGAGCAGTCTATGTTAAGTTTCTCACGAACACAGTAATTTCATAAGTCTAATTAATCTATATATCTTTAAATATGATCTCGCTTGGCACTACTTCAATAGGTGGACCTGTTGACAATTGCTTAATACGAGTCATCGTACTGTTGAGACTTTTGTTGCTCTAATTCATTATTAATAATAATATTTTGTTTATTCTAAGAATGTGGATAAAAGAAAACCAACGTCAAACGATTTTCTACTTTCAAAACCAAGAATAAAATCAAGATTCCTCCCTAACCAATTAGTAAGTAGTCTATAATAATATGATTATGGAATTATAAGAAAAATTACTTATTATAAGTATCCTTTCTCAATTTAATCAACTAATATTAATTGAAATATGAACTAATTCATTGGAAATAGATAATATATTTTACTTTTTGAATTGATTTTTGGATAACCTTAAATACTATGTTTGAGAATGCTAAATACAAAATAATAACTGAATGAACAATGTAAACTATACTGTTCTTTTTAATTTATTTCATAAATATCAAGAATTAAATTGTAAGTTAACATCAATAATCTATTAAATTTTTTATTGATAGAACAATTATACTATCCTTAACTATTATTTTCCTTTGTTTTTCAGCTTATCAATCAAAAATTCCAAATAGGATATTTAAATAAATGGTCTTGATTAAATTTGGATAATTAGAAGTTATATTTGTAATAATTTAAATTCTACCACTATTAGGTATTATTTTTTATAGCTGAAATTTAAAATACATATTTTCAATCATGGATTCAAATAAGTTATTCAAGACAAATTATAATATAAGGATTTTGAATTCGGATTTTGGTGACCTATTTCATCCAATATATAGATAAACTATGCCTTTATGATTCTATTTGTATTATTATTGCTAAAATATTGATATAAATAGATTTATCTTATTATAATGATTACAAAATTATACTTCCAGTGAATTATAAAATAGTAAATTTCTAATTTTGGGAATAACAAGATAAATGAAAATTCAAAGTTGTTCTGAGAAAAATGTAGAAATTAAATATTGATTTATGCTTCATCATTAAATATGATTTATGAGCGATGCATTAAATAAGTAAATATATATAAAAATAGAATTAAGCTTTTATATTCATTATTTAGTTCTAAATGATAACTGAAATAGATTTCCAACTTCTTATTCTTTATAAGAATTTATTTTTAAAGGATAATAGATGTCAGAGATTTTGTCTTATTGTTTAATACTTTTCTCGCTGGAGTTTAATGTATTTCTATGGGAATGTTGTTATTAAAATCCTTAATAGTCATCATTATTGAGCTTAAATCTATAGCTATTTTATGGAGATTGTCGATGTTAGTTATTCTAAGTATTTGAAAATTCTAGTTTAAAAGTAAATTAAGGTGTGATGTCATTGAGATTTCTAGTTTTCTACGAGGATCTATCATTTTATTTATGCTAGGTCTGGGTTAATGGAGTTTATTTAGTAAATAGTTTATAGATCTTCTAAATTATTTATAAATATAATTTTACTTATTGTATTAGTTATTGTGATTGTTGTTAGTTAGTGAAGGAATGTTAGGATTTTTAGGACTCACTAGTTTAGAAATGGGGTTTTGATTTGAATTTGAGTGAATCTATTGTTTTGATTTGTTTTTTGTTATTTTTAAAATAGTATTAATTTTATTATTATTGACCGTAGAACTCTTAACTTAACTATCTATAAAATTCATCGTCATTATTAATTTTTAATTTATTTTCAGTAGGTTAAAATTAATAAGAATCATCTTTTTCTAGCATAAAGCTAACAAATCCATTTTAGTTCATTAAAATTAAATATTATTATTATATATATATTAAACTCATCATTACTCATTAAGAATAGATAAATGTTTAACCTATTATTACTTAAGCAACATTTCTAATTAGTTAATTTAATCAAATGTCTTGGCATTCTCTAATAACTTTTTGATGTGTTCCTTATCTAGAGTAGCATCTTTCAAATTAATCAAATTCATATAATCAGTCAACTCGTCAGATTTGAAGGATTCCTCAGCTTTTTGTCTTTCCTAATTTGAGTTTAATAATTTAATTACTGATTGAGTAACTTTATTGAAATCAAGAATTTTTAAATTAGGTAAAATAGCAATTACTTTATATCTATAATCAGGTTATTAAGTTATAAGATTTCCATGTAAGATCAATCTTTTGAGTTTTTTGCAATATCTCAATTGATACAATTCTTTGAAATCAGTTAACCTATTATTCATCAAGATCAAATTTTCAATATTGGGTAGTGAATCAGATATATTTGTCAATATAGTGATTCTATTGTTCGATAAATTTAAAGTCTTAAGTCTTAGGATAAACTAATACAGCATACCTCTTTAAGAGAGTAAGATTTCCTAGCTTTTTGATATCATTATCCCCTAAATCAATGTGATCAAAAAAATCCTACATAAAAGAATCTTGATACCAATGTAGCTCCTAAATTTTCTATGGCTGTAATTTTCTTCGCTAAGGTATTTAATATATAGACTAATACCTCGTAGATCAAGCTGTCTTTCATTTAATGGATTAATAAAATGATGTGATCCCTATATTAATTCAGAGTTAATTTTCATTAATATATTTATATAATTTATTCATCCTCTTAATCGAAAACAAAAAAAGCAAAATGTCGATTAGTTACCTCCAACATCCACTTGCCAAGCATATTAAAAGTCACAATGAGGACAATTGCCGAATGACCCTAAAAACAGGAATTTTTCAACGATTTGCATTCGAATTAAAAATGAATGTGCTACATCACTCTATCTCATTGTTGACTATATATGTTCCATTATAAAATTATTTTAATGATCCTATCTTTATAAAAGTGAATACTCCTAATTTGCGTGTGCAATTGAATGGACATATACTTCCCATGCAATAATTTGATTTATGAATGTCTTAAAATAATTGTTCTACTTTTTCATGACAATCTTGGCATTCAACTAGTTATTCACAACCTTTTTAAATATACATAAATCAAATACACTTTCGATAATGATTCTAAACAAAATCTGGATACTTAACTACCTATTTGCAATTATCATTCGGGCATTTTACACTCAAATTCTTTATTAACACTTATGCTCTTAAACTATTTGGAGGTGATGACAATAAGTCTTATTTACAAATTGGACACACCTCTCTCACATCATCTATATTTCTAATATTATAATAGCAATCTTTGCAAATTTCGTGTCCTTATAAACAAACTATTATTGGAATTTAATTAAATTCTCTACAAACTGGACATATTAATTCCTGCTTTTGTATTTCTTCATGAAGTTCTTTTTGTGATTCCAAATTGATTAGAGTGTCAAATTTTAGTAATTTTGAATAGTAATTAATTTTTGCAATCTCTTCTATTTCTTTTACTATGCATCGTCCACATGTATAGGGTTGTTCTAAATTACAGCGTTTACATGTATTAGGCAATGTCAAATATTTTAAGAGTTCTTTTAAATCTATTTGTTATTTGCATGAATCGATTGGACACTTAATTTAAAATTTGGATTTCTTTGATTAAATAGTATTACTTAAAATCTACTTGAAACAAGTTTAACATAGATGATGATCGCATTCTATTAATAAATGAAATATGAACTTCCCAATTAATATTGTGGGTCCATGGCATCACATTAAGCACACTATTTAGTCTATTTAATTTTATGCATTATTAATAATTAATAATTAATTAAAATTAATAAATTCCTTTCATGTATTTAAAGTATTATCTTGACTTTACCATAGTTTTGGTCGATTCTTTGGATTTGGATCATAATCTAAATTTGACATTTTGCTAAAACAAGATAATTTAACCTTAGAAACCATTTTGAATGAGGAAGACATTTTGTCTGAATTAAAAAATTCGAGTTCAGGCAAATTTGCTGATTTGTAAGTTTTAATTTTAACTACATTCTAGCATAACACAACATCCATAGGAATATTATAAAATGATTTATTACATTATTAAAGATGTAACCGATCAAGAGTATAATTCTAAATATCCATTTTTGATAAGTGAAATATTAGGTTCAGAAAATGATAAATTGATTAATTTCCTATTTGAAAAACAAGGAGACACATCCTAAGAAGAAGTTTAAAATCCTCTAGATGAACAGCTAACACAGAGTTAACCCTAAGAAGTCCATTAAGAGAACGAAAAATTAAGATAGAATTTACTACCTGATCTATTTTCTCTATTAGAAAATGATTCCCTCTTAATCACGTTAGCTGGATATTTTACCAAGATTATTTCAGCAATTATTCATAAAAGAGGAAATGATGTATTTCTATTAATAAATTAAGTTTTGGGAATACTTAAAAAATCATCCACGAATAGTCTCTAATCTATTCAAGCATTTATACATAAGACATATTACTGAAATATTTGAAAAACTGATTATTTTAGATTTAGGCTAAGAAGAAACTCATGAAAGTTTCTATATTGAAGAGAGACAAAATTTAATTGCCAGAATGCTCAAATTCCTTAAAGGAGAATCATATTCAAATACGATTATTACTAATATTTGCGAATCCCTTACTGAAGTATATAGACGAGCATTGATATCTCTTGAATCGATGGTAGTTTTGAGAGAAATTCTATTAAAAATAGAAAAGCCAATATTCTTCATGAGTTTGGCACTACAAACTTAAAATAGTTCTATATATACTTTACTCAATGTTCAATACGAATTTTATAACAAAATGTCATAGTTGTAAGATAAACACTACGAAATAGATTTTTCTGTTCTTTATAAACCAATTTTAGATGAATCACTCAAGGCTCTAACTTAATAGGACCTCTTCAGAGTATCTTTTTAAACTACTTATGGAAATACCATTAGACCATTAGGTGATTCAAAATTGCTACTAATATAATTGATTATACAATTAATTTAGAAAAAAGAATTAGCTCTTGTTATTGAGAATGGAGAAATATTTTAATAAATAATAAATTTAGTATTTGAATATCAAACAAACAATTAATTACATATTTTATTTGAAAAATTGATTGTTGCCATTTTAGATTCATAAAATGATCACCTGCACGAACTCTTTTTTGAAGATACCAATTTTCTGAATTTACTCATAAAAATTAATGGATCTGAAGAAAGAAAAAAGAAACATGGATGTTAAGGTATATTAACTAAAATAACCAATTATATTAATTCTCCAAGTGTCCTTAAAAAAAGTTAAATAGTATAAGATGCAATCTGCAGCATCTAAGATGAATGGCTAAAATATCTTGAAGAATTAAAAGTAGTTAATGAGGTTGAATAATCGTGGTTATTAGGAGTTAATCCAAGATTCAGAGAACAAATAAATGTAGATCCAGATAGTCCCCTTATTTTTGAGTCTAACAATTCATGCTCTAATTAAAATAACTCCACTGATAATTCTAATTCATAAACAAATGAAAATCAAGATTAATCTTAAGAAGAAACTAATATTAACAATGAAAAACAAGAAGCTGATCAAAAAGCAAATGAATTTGATTCAGAAGAAGTTTAATTAGAATAATAAACAGCTGTTGAGGTTGTACAAGTGAAAGAAGAAAATATTGAATCTTAGGATGAGTAACAGCCTGAAAAGTATGAATAAAAGATAATTGATTCTCCAGTCTATGTTGATAGTGAAGAATAAATAAAGGAGATTCCAGTATAAATAACAGAGTTTTAGGAAGAGCCCAAAAAATTAATATAAGAAGAATAAGTCGATGTCTAACAAGATGAATAACCAAATGATTAGAAACAAGATTAATAGATTTTACTTTAAAAATAGCCACAATAGGAAGAAGAATAGAATATACAAGAATAACCAATACAAGTTGAATAATAGGATTAGATTCAAGAATAACCAGAACAGGAAGAATAACAATAACCTTAAGTTGAATAAGAACCATAGACAGAAAATCATGCAAGCCAAGAATCGTTGGAGCAAGATCTATAACTTAAAGATGATGTTTGATATAATATTATTATTAATATTATATTTTAGATGCATCTATAAAATTACTAAGATATAATTTATCCTATATATTATTTATAAAATTAAGCTATAACATTATATTTCAATAGTTTATTAATGTTTTTACTTAAAAAACTTTGAATCTTCTTTTTGCAAACACTCCAAAATAACTCTAATAATCGAGTTCCTTTAGATTTGATATATATAATTTAAAAGATAATTAAACTGAAGCTAAATTAAAAGAATAATAAAAATTTCTCTTTATAGTAATTAGCTAAACTATTGATAAAATAACTTTATCAAATCATATATATTTAATCATTATTCTGTCTTTTAAGTTCTTTTCTTTTTTATCAATTTGTTTTACTTTAAATGTTTAGTTCTGAGAGCTGCTGCTTTTCTTGCTTCATTCATAATGGCAAGATATCTTTATTTAAGTTCTGATTGATATTGATTAAAAAGCCTTGACCATTCGCTCTATGTTAATCTCAATTTCAATTTTGGTCTTATGTCAGAACACATATTTTCTGCTAATTTTAGTATCAAATTGGGAAATGGTTATTAATCTTGTGGTAATTATCGAATTTTATTAAAAATTATATCTTTAAAAACTACTGAGTTTTATCCGTTTCTTCTTCTTGAGAATTCTCTTTTTTGTAAGATTTATTTAATTTCTTAATCATCCTTAGCCTTTAATTGCTTAATTTCAGGTCCATCAGCTTTAAATCTAATCATTAATTTCCCTCTATCTGTATTTATCTATTGCTTATGAGTTTCTTTATAATCATTTAATTTTGTATAAAACTTAATTAATAAATAGATAGATTACTTCTCTCATTTGTAAGGTATATTCTCTTCTAATTTTTTGGAGGTGTTCTTTCAGAATTTCATATTTGACTACTAATTCTTCCATGAATACTTTTTCATGGACCTACAATTATATCATCATTTGATAGTCAAATCTTATCTTAGCTGCTACACTAAGTGCAATGTTATCGATGTATTTAGTATATGGTAATAGAACTCTTCCTAAAATTTTAGGATCTATATCTTTAATATCTTCATCTATTTATACAAAGGTTTTGACTTTTCTTAATAAATTTGTTCTCAATTCAGTTGCTTTAAATACTGGATTGAGTTTAAACTTTAGATCATTCCAATTTTATGATTTTTGAGGTGTAATTAGTCTCTATACAATATGTTGCTACTTTTCCAAAAGATGCGGTAATTCGTGCAATTTTAATTCTTCTCTATCTTTTTCTGTCATTTGACCTTTAAAACTTTGTTTTAAATACTCATCCCATTTATAATTAAGATAACTTAATTGAACTTGGAAATTATGATTGTACCATTTCCAAAATCTTTAAATTGTTAATGTTTTGGTTGAGATAGTCTTTAAATTGACTCTAAATTTAACAAATAAGGAGCTTCTCAAATGATATAAGTTGATTTTTCTGATATGAGTATATTTAGATTTGATTCTAAAATGAATTTTGAATCTAAATATAAATGATAATAAAATTTTCTTTTATCTTAACCCCAGTTTGGATTTAATTTTTTTGATGATATTCCTTTTTCTGATTGTATTTTGAATGATTCTAGCTTTCATATGTTCTTTAAACATTAATCGCTTCAATTCTAAGCCTCTTTGAGATGTATCCTACATCATTTGAAGTATATTTTCCATATTACAGTAAGTCAAAATCATCCTAAAAAATTACATGTTTTGCTATTATCTAATAATTTCTAGTCTCTTTTTGTATCTAAATTCTGGGGATTTCTCTTGGATTTATTATTGGATGTGATGAATTTTCTCTACAAAGTTATCTTACTTTTTTTATTGTACAATTCGCAACTTCATTTCTCTTTCATAGGCTTAGGTTTAAATGGCTTTAATGATGTCTTCTTTATTTTAAATGGGAACCTTTTTTAACTGCATTTTCTCAGTGATTTCCTTATTGAGTTCTTCTCTTAATTTTTATTTCTTCAAAAAGACTTCTTTTCTCTTTTATGATAGTTGTTTGAGATCTCTTTTGACGTTATGAAGGAAATAGGGATCAAATTGATCAAATTTATCATGATACTTTTTCTTATCACTTTGATTGAGGTCATCACTTTTATTTTTGGAAGACTTAGAATGAGTTTATAAATTATTTTGGTTTTCAAATGATTGCTTATTGTTATCGTTTAATAAAGTCTTCATAAATTTAGATTCATCTTAAGACTTAACCATTAGGATGTATTAATACTTCAAAACATCATTTTCATGACTTAACAGTTAATCTATGTCCTAGTGCTATTCCCAAGTTTGTGATGTTGGAGTAGAAGTATTGCACACAGGTATGTATAGGTAATTTTGATATTCTAATTATTTTAATTTGGATTACACATCATCATAGTCCTGATTTACTTGAGTATGATAATTAATTATATCAGTGTCCAATCTTAAAGATTTCGTATTCCATTTATTTTTTGGTGCACCCTTCAGAGAATCAACTTGGCTCTTCATCTTCCTCAACAACCCGGCAGTTTATTCATATTACGTATTTTTCAAGGGGGATTCGACGGTATCACAAAATTATTGAATCGAAGTTTGCACCTAAATTTGATCAATCTTATTTTTTTTATCAGCAAAATCCTTCATAAAGGCAGCCTCCTCTTTGACCCTCCTCTATTAATGCGAAGTGTACTAGTCAACATTCAAACTTGGCAGTTTGTACTTCGAATTAGCTGGAACAATGAGTACAGTAAAAGTGCTACCCATAGCAGCATCAATTACTTTAACATTCTTCAATTCTAACATCTAGGGATACCTGACTTTATCACCCAGATCCCCTAAACAATTTTTAATATTTATTCCCCATCCAAACAATTAACCTGATAAATCCAGTGCTCCAAAGTGAGAATCCCCAGCCATTATCTTAATGAACGGTTTCTATTTTTAGCATAATTTAGCTGGTATCACAGCCTTAGATAAATCCATTTAAAAAGGACCTTTGCCCCATCCATAGATGTCTCCCTTCACATCAAGGGCAATGCTATAATTGGAACCACATGCACAAGATACTATTTTGGTTGAGAAATCTTCGATTAATTTTGGAACCAATTGTTCCTTCTAGATAAAATCCATATAACCTAACTTCCCATCTGCAAACTCCCCCCAACTCCACACTTTACCCTAATCATCCCAAGCCAGTACATGCTTCTAACCACAAGCAATTCCTATAAATTATACTGCAAATTGCTATTGCAATCCCAAACAAAACAATTTATTTGGAGTCAAAAGGTATGTTGTCGTGCCTACACATTTCAGTGCTACAACTTCAGCTTAGTGAACTGGCAAATGACTGGATCTTCTCTCGAATTCATTGTATCTATTGATCGAAAAATTATAAGTAATGTCAAGACTGCTTATCTAATAAAAAGTGTCAATTTATTCGGTGAAGCCTTGTTTCTCTGAAAGTTTCAAGACCTCTCCGTAATTCAATTAATGCCAATTGCCCCAGACGTAGATCTTTTTGTTTGTCGAGTAGGCAACCACAAAGCCAGTTCCAGCATTTACTAATTTATAAGAATTTTGGGTTATTTGTGATATGTTGACAGGCATACTAACAGAGGGTTGTTATAAACCTAATTATGCGAATTGGGAATTTCCAAACCCCCAGAGATCGTATTAAGCTATTTAATTTCATAAACGTACTATCTATCAGGAATGTATTTTATTCACAACATATGACACTGATAAAACACAACTCCTGCTCTCCCTTTTTTGATGTCTTAGCAGGATCTCGAGAATATTTGTTCTATGGGAACACAATCCTTTGCAATCTGAATAACTAATAAAAAATTACTTCTAGTTGTCATTCATTATGGTCTACATCTATAAGGCAAAATCACCTACTCCAAAGTAAAGCACTAAATTTACTAAATCAAAATACCATGAGTCATTATTTAACAAAAACTGAATTATAATTGCAATTTTATTTATAAATTTTGTCTTAATCAAGAAATAATAGTCTTAAGGAAATATAATATTATACTAATTAAGCCTAATTTCAAGATTGATGTAGATTTGTCTAATCCTAATCCTGCTGATGGATAGGATCAATTGGTAGTAAATAAATTCAAAAATCATCGTTACATAATTAATGAAGAATGATATCATATAAATGTAAATGTAAAGAATGCATTTAATAATATATATGTCTTTTCAAGCTATGATTATAATCAATGAAAGGAACAGAGTAAACGTGATTCCTATTCCAACAAAAATATATGTTTGTGCATCCTAGAGCATTGGTTTAAATTTTGCTAATTCTTCTAGTTCTCTTTTTGCATTGATTTCAAGTGTGTCATATAAGTTCTTACCACTCTCTTGTATTTCTGGTGGATTGTAGCTATCACTTTCTTTAATCGCACTTGGAGGGTTCAATTTAGATGTTTATGTTTATGCGATTTGATTGGATGTTATGAAGTCTCTCCTGATTTCAGATTACTCATTATCACTAGCCACTCCTTCGTTACCATTTAAGTTGAAGTATTTAATCTCAAGGTTATCAATTTGCTTTTACACATCTAATTTGACTCTTCTCTCCAGGTCATTTGGTTGAATGGCGTCATAATTCGGAATTTGAATAAAGGTCTTTTTCAAATCTTCCAAAGCCTCTATTACATTCTTCTTAGTTGTTGATGGAAAAGTCATCATCAGAAAGTAGCATGCTTTGAATATTAATTACATTTTACATTTTTTTTCATCTAATATTCCATGCCATTCGCATCTTTAATTTCCTTAAGCAAATACTTCAAATTTGGTGGTTTCATACAGTTGTTTCTTTATTTAATTTATAATCGATCCTTTCGTATCATCAAAGGATTTTGAGGTTCCTCTTTTTAAACAGAAAAGGGTTTTGTTGCCAACTACATTGTAGATCATAAAGCATCTGTAGACAGAGTATTTTCTATATTACTCTTAAATCTTGGATTATTAAGCAGGCTGTCTAATTGAATTAATTCTAAGGATTTTAATAATAAAAAGTACTAAGGAGTGCTTACGAGGAACTAATTGCTAGCTGTCTTCTACTCTTATTGGATTCCCCTTTCAGATTCGTCAGGTTGTCCTTCTGGTCCGATGTCTTTCACATATTTTTATTCAAGTTCATCTAACTTAGCCAGGAGATCATTTCTTTTTGTTGGTGGAAAATTTGATTCATTCAACTAAGATTAGTAATATATATATTTATACATTCTAGTAGTTGGGTACATAGAGGATGATTTGTTATAATTCTAGTAAGGATTGCAGGATGGCACTTTGATGTGATCCAGGGAAAGTCATCATTAAAAAATAACAGTCTTAACTTATATGAGAAATTGTAAACTTGTCTTTTCGTCTAATATTCCATGCCACTCACATCTCGATCCACCAGCAATGTTTACTTAATTGCGTTGGGAATCGTAGAGATTTTATTTAACATATTCTTTGACTTTCAGTATGGTTTCTGTAAATAGGTTGCCACAGTGACGTTTAATAGAAATTAACACTTATTGTTTATTACAATCATAAACGGCAAAGCATCTAAACACCCTTCCTTCATAATCTAAGGCTGATTTGGATTGCATATTGTAGATCTAAATTATTTTTATTATTAATTTATATTTGTTATATTGTTTCATATCTTTTAATTCTATTTTGATAAAACCAAGCCTCTTCAAACTTTCCTTCTGAACTGCAATAATTTAATGTTATTATCAAAATACTCAATTGTTTATTAAACCAAAAAGTATTGAAAAATTAGAAACTATAATCATATTATAATTGTAATGCTTGATTTTCTATATAAAAATGTCAACTAATATATAAATCATGCTACCAAGTGCCTGAATAGCATTCTTTATTTTTATATTCAAATTGACCCTTCCCATGAGCTTAATCACATGAAAAAACTCCCATAAACTTAGAACCATCGGCAAAATAGAGAACTCCGATGCCATGTTTTTAACCATGTTTGACCTGTCCCTTGTATTGAATCCAATCCTTCCTTGCTAAATTTTTATGTGATTTCTCCAACTCCTATTTTGGTTTATTATAAAAGGTAACTTCACCATCAGGGACGTCAAAAACCCACATCCCCTCTGTTACCTTCTCGTTTTCAGAATCATAATGCGTGCCTTATCCATGTCTTCTTCGATTACAAATCTATCCAATGTAATAGAAACCATTTGAATAATGTAATTTCCCTTATGTGATAGCATTTTCAAAAGTATTTTTTGTCTCCTAGGTTCTGCCATAGTCTTTGATCGAGGCCTGACTCATGTCCTGTTGTTTGTTCCTTTGTTACTCTGCCTATTAGTTTTTAGACAAATGCTAACTAGATCTAATCATAATTGGAGATGTGGCTTAACCAGAGGGATGCTTTGATTGAAAGATATTTTATTGCAATAGATTGTCAAAGGAGGAAGGCTTGTTATAACCAGCAATAAAGAATTCTTAAGGCTGATGCTATTCTAATAGGCGATGCTTTTTTAGATCCAGGAACAATTTATTGACCATTTCATCCAACTGTATGAAATCAGGTCTTTCACTTTCCCCTAATTTTAACATCAACTCAATCAAGTGTAATATTTATTCATTAAAGTTGGTGGTTATGAGATCGTCTTAAACCTTCCTCAATTGAAATTCATCTATCGTCCATCTCTTCCAATCATACACTTCTGGCTTCTTGGCTTGAATTAAATAGATTATCATCAATCCGAAATTGAAAACATCCGATTTATACCGATTGTGTTTTAAATACTAGAGTATTAATAAAATATAGGCAATACTTTGTCTTTCTTTGGGATAGCCTCAATCTGTGCTGGAGAAAGAAAGGCTGTCTTTTTCATTTCGCTCAAAGCTTGAAATATCTTAATATATATACTTTGCTTATCATCATAAAAGGAGATGAACTCTTGAAATAGATTTTACCTAATCGGTTTTTAATACCTATCCACTAATTTGAAGACGTCGACGTTGAAAGGTGTTTTAACCATCACGATATCATCAATATCAAAGCCTGATGGGTATATTTTATTTGCTTGTTGAAATGAAAATGCCGAAACTACGCAATCCAAAAGAAATAGGATTTCGTTTTGAGTGAATTGCTATTTCATTATGACCTTCTTGTGTCGAGATAAAGGTTCTATTGGTTAATCGATGAGAAGTGTTATTTCAGTGTATGGGATGAATAGTTTCATTGATTCTATTATGGAAATATTGTGAATTGATAATAAATTAGGGTGGTTGTGCTATTCATTCTTTGTTCTCCACTTCCTCACAAACTCTTTTAGCTTATTCTGGGAATCTGTCGCTTTTGAATAGATCAATCCAAAATTTGGTATACTATTATGTTGTACTCTATGATTTAATGTTTGATTACATTTCCACCCATTCCAAGGTTTGAAATATTTTATACTCGTCCGTATAAGGCATTGGAACCTAAAATTGCGACATTATTTCCCTCATTCGTAAATCTTGCTCGATATCTTAAGTTGTCCCTTAACAAGAACCCATTATTCCAAAACTTTATATTAATATTTTATAAACTATCTGTTTTTTTAAACTATCAATAAACAAAAAAAGATCTGTTAGCAAATATAACTTTATTTTTAAACGAAGACATTTCCATTGCATCTTGAATACTTAATACAATAAAAATTTGTGAAATCTCCTTAGATGACGTAATTTTCTCAAGATTTTAATTTTCTGAATATGATGATGTTATCTAAAATTTTAAATTAGAAATCTCTCATTAGTACATTCTCTTATTAATACGAATTTTAATGTTAATTCTGTACCAACTCCTTCATCAAGACCTTTCTAACTCTAAATTTATTTAAAGAATATGAAATATGAATTCTCATACTCTATGGTTGAAATAGATTTAAGTTGGGGTTCCTCTCAATTAATCTACTAATCTTTCGTTAGATCTTCAGTTGTGTAATAATGAGTTTTTTAATATTTATTAAATTACATTTTAGAATTATTTAGCTAAAATATTTGTTGTTGAAATTTCTACTTAGAAATAAGATGGATTTATACTAATTCTTATTGTTTGTTTATCATATTTTTAATTCAAGTGATGTAGATGGTTTTGATTATTAAATAATGCTGAGTTAGTTTATTATACTTATTCATCAATGATTTATAAAAAGGTTTACTATAAAAATGTAACTTAACAAATTTATGTATTTAATAGATATCTACTCATTATTATATTCAGTCTATTTTTAATTTATGTAAGGCTTTAAACATAAATAATAATTCATAAAATATTTGCGAAAATCAATATACTTGAAATTTGGAATACAAATAAACTGAATATAAAGACATAAAAGTATCGCTTATTGTGTCTGCCAACACATTTGCCAATCCATGGACAGTGATGATCATGACCTTCGATACAGACTCCGCAAGAGTCACAGTGTTCTGTATATTTTTGTTATCTTTGGTCACAAATTTCACAATATTTAGTTGGTTATTGATAATATTGATAATTATAATTGCTAACTCCTTGATTCATGAAGGCTGCCAGAAAGTAGTTTGTTAAGGTTGAAGCATAGGAGACTACGCTTAAAGATAGTCTGTAGAATCCGAACTCCCTTGAAAATAGCAAAATCAATAAGATGAAGCCATAAATTGCATAAGCGATATAGGCCCACAAAAACTGTAGAACTAATGGTTAAGCCTCTTTTACAATTAGGTCCGAGGACGATTACTGGAATGCTTTCATCCATATACAAATAAGGTTTGCATTTGCCCCAATTCATTTATTATTACATCATATTAATAATGAAAAATTATAATTATCTCTTTAAGTATATTATTGTGGGAAGCACTAGTGAGTAATTTTATTATTGATGAAGGTGTAGGAAAAAGTTGTTTGCTTCTACAATATGTTGAACAAAAATTTAGAAATGCTTACCAAGTCACGATGGGAGTAGAATTCGGAACCAATCTTATCAAATCTAATGGTCATGTTATTAAGTTATATATATGGGACACTGTAAGTTAGTTATAGCTTATAATAGGCTGGATAGGAATCCTTCTCTTCCATGATTCGATCATATTATAGAAAGTATATTTAGATTAAAATTAGTGCTATTGGATGTGTATTGGTCTTTGATTTGACAGACAGAAAATCATTCGAGTCCTTAGTCAAATGGCACAATGAAGTGTTGAGTTGCACTGGCAATGACATTCAAATAATTATTGTCGGAAATAAAAGTGATTTACAGAATAAGTATGTTCTTTCCATATTAAAGTCAGTCGGGAAGTTCAAGAAAGAGAAGCTTTGGATCTTGCCAAAAGGTTCAATGGAAAATATGTAGAATCATCTGCATTAACAGGATCTAATGTTGCCCAGATATTTGAAATTCTGACGGAATAGATACTTTTGGAAATCTAAAGTGGTAAAATTGATCCACAAAATGAAGTATAACAAATCTCTATCAAAGATTTATGGGATAAAAATAGGTGATTTTGAAAAGAGAAGAAATTCAGAATTTGTCCCTAAAACCTAAAGGCAGTCGGTTTAAGTGAGTTATCCAATTCAATCGCAAAAGTGGGAGTGTTGTTGAATAGTTGATATCATAAATTTAATTTAAATGCTTTAAATTTAATTTATAAAAATTTATCCCTCAAAAACAAAGTTTGGAATTCCCTAACAACCCTATTTATAAAACATTTAGAAAGCCTATTTGACTAAACACATATACGAATTTATTTAATATTTTCATTATGAATGCTTGATCACAAACTCCTTCATTAATTTAAAATTCTCCATCATCATAGCATGTTCAATACCCTTTAGTTTGATTAAATGGAATTCATTTTCTATTTTTGCTAAGGGTTCCAAGGATTTCTCAGCAAATTAATATGGAATAACTTCATCCTCCTCGCCATGCAATATTTATATAGGAGTCTTGTTATTGATTTCTGTGAATGGGAACAAAAACCCTGAGTTTCCAAGTATGCCACCTAGGGATTCTCTAAGTTAATTTAAGACCATAAATAAACTTGTATCCTAATCCTGCCAATAATGACATACAGCATCCTTAGGAAAATCCTCCAATAAAGATATTCTTTTTTGGGACTGGTTCCTAATCAATCAAACTCCAGATGAAATTTCTTGACTCTATAGCTTAATCTACACCCCACAATTCCTTGTCAGATTTGATTCCCCAATACTATTTCCAACTTGGGATCATTATGTCGTACCATGATGTCATCTCTTCCCCTTAATTTTTGGTTAATGGTCTAACAGGAGCACATAGTAAAATGACCTTTGTTGTTTAATTATCAAATGGGTTCAATTCTGGATTGTTGAAACCTGCCAGGAAACTTTCAGGGACATCTTCCAATCCATGCATCTAATTTTAAAGGGGATGGTATTACCCAAATGAAAGTGTATTTATGTTCTTTTTTAGGATGTATATAGATATGCTAATCTACTCTGGTTATTCCTTAGGTAAAATCTTTAGTAAGGGCTGGAATGAGTTCTTTGAGAGATAACATTATAAAATTATTAATTAAGTAAAATGGGAACTTGCTCGAATAGACCAGAGCAAAAATAGATTTCAGAAAATCTAAGACTAAAAGCAATAATGATATTTCAAAAAATTGATGTTCAAAATAAGGGTTATATTGATAAAGAAAGGACATTATAATTTTGGAAATCGAATTTTGCAAAAATAAACACAGATGCTTTATTTTCATAGGTTGATTATCATAAAAGTGGGAACATAACAGTTTAGGAGTGGCTGGCCTTTTGGGATATTGTAAAATAGTAGGGTTATACTGAATAGGAGATATCAGATGAAGTAAATATGAATAAGAATTTATAACTGTTTAGCTTGATGAATTGCAATAAGGGAAGGCTTGGGTGCAATTCTAAAAGGTGGAGGCATTTATAAGGGCGGATACTCAGAGACACAAAACATAAATTGATTAAATAGTGCAGATGGAGAAAAAATCATTACTTAAATCAAAGTCCTTTAATTAGAATTGATATTATATAAAGATGGCTTAAAATCTTTATTATAAAATTTATAATTCCAGATTTGATAGGATTCCTTAAGTTGTAATAAATCTGATTTGGCAATTCCAAATCCAAATTAGAACAATTCTTTTATAGAAAGAAGAAGATAAATCAAGAGTAAGAGATATTGTAATTATATATATCTACTCAATTGAAATTTTTAGGGTACACATTCAATAAAAATTCAATCATTTTCGCTTTATTACTAATTCCAATTACATATAATTGATTTCTTCTTCGCTCATAGGTCTTAAATTTTCAAGTAATAATTTCAAATTCCTATTTACTTCACTTTACTCAGATTTTATTAAGTATGTAATAATGGCTTGACTGACTAACTTTACTTTCTAAATTGGTTTATCCTTTCCCCAACTTTGTTATAATGTTTAATAAATTAATTCTTCTAGATCATTAGGATTCACTTATTTTTACAAAACCAATACTAAAATCTATACTACTTAAAACACAATTGCAGGATTTATGTCACTAATGGACATAAATAGAGTCTTAATAATCTTGAGCACCAAAGGATTGAAGTATTCTTAACTATTCTCTACACACTAAAATAAAATTCTAACTTATTAAATTTATATGATACTTAAAAAAATGTAGAATTTCTCTTTGCATTTCATATGAATTAAGTGTTAAAAATGCATCACAAATCACATCAATTATTTATTACAAATAAGGTGATTCAAATAGTACTGATTGACAACATCTTATGCATTCCTTGACATATTCAACATAGACCTTCATTAAATCTGGATCCTTCCAACATTTGAATTATTCTATACAAAATAAATGAATTTAATAATCGTTTACTTTGGCCCACTGAGCAACAAATTAATGATCAGCAGATCTACCAATAGCTTAAGTTATTAATTATAACCAATTATGTTTTTAAATTGGATCTGAATGAAATACTTAATAGGAAATTTACAACAGATGAATTACCTATTATTAATTTTAGTAGTTTGACACTTTCAATATAATTCGAATTAATTTGAAAAATTCATCATATAAAGCACAATTTTACTACCCTTGTAAGACAACAATCAACGGTTCAAATATTGATTGGCATAATAGATCTAATAATTACTTTATTTATTCATTCTCTCTGGCATTCAAATTCATCCATTAAATTATGGTAATGACTAAAGTGTTATTGTAATTAAATTCCTTTTCAGTTACTTAAGGATTCTTGACTTGTTAAAATTGATGATTTGCAAAATTGAATAACTATAATTACTCTCATTTTTACCTATATTAAACACTCAGTGCTTCCTTATGTAAATAATCTGTAACACAACTTTATTATTCCCTCAATGTAGTTACTCACTTGGGATTGATTGATGAACTCACTAAAATGCAACTCTAAGAATTTGACACTTTCAGATATTAATTAAATATTATTCAAAGTGCTTAAATTGCAAATCTATTCAAATGCTCTAAAATCATATATTAATATATAAGTACACTCCTGCCAAAGGTCCCAATAATGGATGAAGCATGTATTTGAAGAAGTATTAAGTAATTTGAAGCAAAATCTCACTATTCAATTACAATTGATTGGTGAACTCACTAAACATTTATAAGGATGTTTTAACGATGATGTCAAAGTTTGGATGAACTGGTAATGACAAAATAAATTGAACTATTTGCAATATGAGTTGATTGTTGATTTAAATGTCTGCCTCATCTATGATTGAGCATAATGAAAACAATGCTGACTCACTTTGAATTATTTGCATTTAAGAATCAGGACTTGAAATAACCAAATTAGTCAACACGATCTGAAAGTATTAGTCTGATTGCATATTCATTTCAGCACTTTTATAGATGCTATAAAAAATATCCTTAGAATGTTCTCTGAAATCAGAGGTCGATATAAAATGTTAACCTCCTTCATAATACTTAACATTATAATCAGCATCCTCTTCCTCGGGCTCTCCTAATAGAAATTCCTTTGTCAATTTGATTGTCTTCATTCTACATTTATCGATCATTGTTTATAATATATTCAAACCAAACCCTTGTAATTTGTTATATTCTCTCATCTAGCTCCAAAATTCGAATGTTTAAAACGCAATCTTCCTCGATGGATTACTCACAATGTTACCCATCAAATTAAACACTGCCTGTTCATATTTGGAGTTGAAAACTATCGCATAGAAATCACAGATAAATTTAGTTACAAATGAGGCATATCCCTTTGACATTTGAGGACTGTAGATTTTTATGATGAATTCAAGAATCAAATTTAAGTTTTATAACACTGGAGCATCAATCGAATTTACATTCTATTATCTATTGTACTATGAGAAGATGACACCTTCATTTAATAAGGCAAATAATTTATCACTATACTCGGTAGCATTTGTTGAAAGTGTTTGATGTATTAAACTTAGTATTTATTGAGTTAATTTCAAGTCTTTGAATATATTAAATGAGAATTGCACCCAACATTCAATACAATACACTGTTTAGTTAAATACGCTCAAGTCTTACACCCAGAGCAAATTCAGGAATATCTCAGACAACGTATTTTCTTAAGTAATGAATTCCTATTACAATCTTAACTATTCGCTTTTTTTATACCATTCTTTGCCCTATATTGCAATTTATGTTAAAATTTCAATTCCTATTGTCATTTTGGCTTTCATCAACTAAATCAACTCTTGTAATATTCTAGTTTTATTTTAAATTATACCCTCCCCATAGTGATCGATTACCAACTATGATCACCGCCAAAGAAGAACAGACCTAATTCATAGCAACAGTTGGTAAGGGTCTTGCTAATAATTCTAGAAGATAGGGTTGGATAGCAATATTGCATTCTTCTTTCAATCTTCTGTATATCATCTAGCATGCTATGAATTAATATTCTTATTGTATATTCGGTTGATCTAACAATTCTTTTGCAATTGCGAATGCCTCATTGCTTTGTTGTAGTTTGAGAATGTATTGATTTGCTTGATGACTAATGGTTTTATCAGCATTAGCTAGGTTTTAATATTGTCGAATAAATTCCTCTGTACTAAACATTTTAGTTAATTAATAATTAAAATTAATCATTTTTTTACACATTTTTATCCTACAAATTTTAGTGACCATTTGATTGCCAACAATGCTCTAATTTTAAGCTAATTTTGGAAACACAACACTATCCAAAAATTTTGATTTACAAACATTATTAGAAAATATGGAAAAGTTTTGATTTAAATTTAAACACATATTGATATGTTAGGGAGGAGTAAATGTAAAATGTTATGAATATCATAATTTATTAAAATTGATTTTTTTTTGTAATTAAAGCATTTATAAATTAATTTCTTGATTAAAATTATAAACTTATTAAAATATCTATCGGAAAACCACATCTTTCCTTTTTGACATTTTGAAAGTACATTTTATTTAATTTGTAAGGTCACTCTAAGAATGAGGCTGATTTGTAATCGTATATCATAATTATTGATTTCTTGTTTAATATTCTAACTATTATATAACTGGCAAGAATGAAATATTTAATTTATTAGCCAAGTCTTTCAAAAATTTTCTTTTCTCAATCTAAATTACATTTGAGCGTTCTAAATTTCTCACATTAGTTTAATCTTTGATGCAAAATTCAGAATATATACGATATAAGGAGCATATTTTAAATATAAAAAAGATTTAATATGGGGAATGCTTGTTAAAATCAACTCTAAAATGCCACATAAATGCAGACTTATGAGGAAGAAAGCTTTGTAAAAGAAGAAAATTTAAAGGTTATTCAAAACATGAGTCCAATTATTAAAAAACATGAATACTAACTCGAAAATTTGAATGAGGGCATTGGAGTGGGCACAATCACCGCAATAATCATTAAACCTAAAGATTAGAGTTAAGTACTAGAAATATTAAGGGGGATAAAAAACACAAACACAGAAATCAGATATAATAATCGACAAGATTACAATTTCGGCACTCCGTCTTCAAAAAATGATTCAAAAAGAAGCACTATGGGAAAATGTTAAAGTGAAAAGCACGTACATTTTTAGGTTCCTAAAATGTAGATAGCAAAGCATGAACATAAAAATTTGAAACATTGTGTTCAGAAATGAATAATTAAGCTTTATATATAAATATTTAATTGACATTGACAATATTGAGTGTAAATTGTTAAATATTTTGTGCATCCTAAAAGTATTCTTCAGGTCTATGTTTGATTTTGATTTTGCTCTTAGGGTAAGTTTTAGTGATATGAATGAAAATATATTGTTATATTGAAATAAGTATTATGTAAATGCATTAAGATTTATTTAAATTAATTTCAAATCATGGATTAACCTTAGAAGGAAGCTCTCTGTATTCATGTGCATTATTCATAGAGTGGGATCAAATTTAAGATGAGGAATCCCAGCCCCAATAGCGTGAGTAAAAACATTACACAAGTAACAAACCGAAACCCAAAATGCAATCCAGAGGGGAGATCGAGAGATTAATTGATGAATGTCCTGATGAGGAAATCCTACTCAACATTGTGAAATGCCATTTCGATGCAACTCTTGAAGAAGTGAAACTGGCATTTCCAAATTTCGAATTCCTCAAAGTTGAAAATTACAATCCAGGCAGTTTTAGTTTGCTCTTCAAGAATAAGGAATAGGCCAAAGAATTCCTGTTCACAACCAAGGAAACTGTATAAACTCATCTCCTATCATCAGAAAATTAGAGACAGAGGCTTCTGGATTAAATTCCCCCCTAGGTTTTAGAAGTCCTCTTAGAAATTACCAGATAATCCAAATAAACAAAATCCATTACCCCAAACAGGCACCAAATTTGTCGATGCCCCATAGAAGAATAAGGATCAATATAACAGAAAAGGTACACTTGATTTAAAATTGTAGAGCATGATGGAAAGCAATTCAATAGAAGTGATGGTTAGAAGAATTACAAAAAGAAGGACGAGGAGGATGATGTAATAGTTTTATAAATATAATAAGGGTTGGGAAACAGTTATGCCTCACAGAATGCCAAAGCAATATAAGCCATAAAGAAAGCCTTAATAATAATAATAATAATAATAATAATAATAATAATAACAGGGTGCTAAGAAAAATTGAGAAAATATATATCTTTTAACAAGTAAATTTATTAAAATAATTAATGGGAGTACCCAATTTCTATTCTTGGTTATCTAAACGATATCCTATGTGCAAATACCCTTTCACCAAACATCATGGTCATCAAATAGATTTCCTCTATCTTGACATGAATTAAGTCATCTATAAGTGCGCAACAAATTAAACCATTTTAAAAGACTATATGATTGAAAAGAGCATCGAATCCCTTTGGACATCCATCTTAAATTACATTGACACCATAATTAATTTGGTGGATCCAAAATTACTCATTTATTTGACCTTTGATGGAGTTGCACCAAGAGCTAAGGCTAATTAGTAAAGATAGCGCCGATTTGCATCTTCAAAAGGGGATGCCAAAATCAGATAATTGCTCAAGTAGTTGGATTTAGAGTAATAAAACCACACCTTTAAAAACAATTAGATAACTGCAGGAACAGAATTTATGTATGAATTAAATGAACAAGTCAAATTTTTTATCAATCGTAAATTCAAAGAAGATGAAAGATACGCTAACTTATAAGTTATTTTCTCAGGCAGTGATGTTCCTGGAGAAGGTGAACACAAGATACTAGAATTCATGAGAGGTATCAAAAACCAATAAAATTTCAACCCAGATTGGACTCATTGCATTTATAGTGCTGATGCAGATCTAATTATGCTTGGACTAGGAATCCATCTCAAATATGTGTCCATCATAAGAGAACAAAGCAATATGGATTAAATTAAAACCTAAATAGCTTGTAGGAGAACCGTTGAAACTGTTAAGTTTGAGTTGATTAACCTTCAAATTGTTAAAGAATATTTGGACTTAGAATACAAGACAATCTAAATGAAGATTCCTTACAACATAGATAGGGTAATAGATGATTTTCTTTTACTGTTCTTTTTGATTGGAAATGATTTCTTACCACGTGTCTATTGCTTCGATATTAAGTAAGGTACTGTAGAATTGTTAATTGATACCTTTAAATAATTCCTGGAACAATGCGATGATTACGTAACTTAAGATGGATGGATCAATTGGAAATCAATGTCCTTATTAGTTTAAGTGTTATCTAAATTTGAAATTAAGGCCATTGAAAAAAGAGTCGAAGAATTGAAAAAATAAATTAAAGATGTTGACAATCCAGAATATTTAGATTATAAAATTCAATGGGAAAGTGAATTGAAGATCCTCGATGCCTTAAACATCCAATTCTCGAATAATAACTCTGTTGTTGCTAGAAAATTGTTTTACGAAAGCAAATGTTAAATCGATATAGACACTGAAGAAGGGAAGAAAGAATTAGATAAGATAATTCTAAAATATTTGGAAGGATTTTAATTTGTTTTAAGTTATTATTATCATGGAGTACCATCATGGGAATGGTATTATAGCTATTATTATTCACCAATGTGTTTCGACTTATGTGTGTATTTGAGTAAGAATTAAATAGAAAAAATGTAACTTATTTCCTTAATATAATTAGTTAATTTGGACAAAGCCAACCTTATGATCCATTTTAGTAGTTGCTCCTAATCTTACCTCCTCATAATGCTAATTTACTGCCTGCTCCTTTTAGAGGACTTTATGATTTGGAATCCCCATTAAGGAAACCCTTTGATTATTACCCGGATGAATACGAGATAGACCCATTTGGAGCCATATGGGAACATCAATTTATATGCAAGGTTCCATTTATGAATTCTGATTTGTTAATTTCAGAATATAAAAAAATTGATCAAAGTCAATTGAATGAATTAGAAAAGCAAAGAAGCAAATTTGGTCATGCATATCTGTTTGCCCAAACTAAAAACAAAGGAGATTCTATTTAATCTAAATTGCCAAAAATATTTAAAAACAAGAAGTATAGAACAGAATAAATTTAATTAAATGGAAATATACATTAGGATGCTTAAGAAGTATTATCAAGAATCAAAAATTAATAAGTTAAACAAAATCATCTACCTATTCTACCTTCCTTACATGCTATAAAGGTTAATAAAACATGGTTATAAAATAAAAAAGATAAATACAAAAATCAAAGAGTATTAAAGGTAGAGTTGGCTTCAAAGAATTTGGACTTCTTAGATAAGATTGAAAGTGCCAGTGATCAAACCTAAACATTCCATTGTTACTGTGGATATCCTTAAAACTATTATGGAGAAGTGGCTCTGGTAGTCAGTAAATAATCATTTTTGTTTCTTAAAAATTATTAACTTAAAAATATTCAAATACTGTCTGAATTCAGAGATGACATTTTAAATGAAGTTAAGGATGATATTTATGATCATTTGAAATATACATTGTAAACTAGATTAGAGAATTAGGGGATTTATTTAGAGTCAATTAATGCTATAGCAGTTGTTTATTTTTATAAGGAAATCGTAAGAAATCCAGATAGAACATTTGGTTATAATATGTTGAATATTAGAGAAGAGGTGATGCCATTAGAATGGATTTCAGATCAGAAGATTGTTGAATTGGTGGATTATAGATTAGAGAATCAAATTGATTTAATAAATTAAAAAGTCATTGTTGTTAATAATGATAAGAATTAAATATGTGGGTCGATTGGTTGTGTTGAAAAGAAGATTAATTAAGATTAATATATCGTAAAGATTCTTAGATAACCAAATTTACAAACAGACGATAATAAAATCAAAGTTTAAAAGTTTTTCGATATTGGATTTGTGTCTGAAAAGTTAAATTTATCTCCAGAAATTATTCATTATATTTTAGGATGCATTAAAATCTACATTGGGGATAAGAAAAAATAAACTGACATTATAGTTTAATAAATTGATATAGGTTTTAATGCAGTACATAAAGGTAAAAATCATTTAGTTCCTGAACTACTGAGAATACATGAAGCTCAATTTGATTCAGAAGGATATGAAAAATTCAAACAGTTCGAAAAAGCTTAGCTTTCGGAAACCTTAGTAAATGATTTGGAAGAGTATGTTAAAAGGTTGCCAGAGTTGATTTAATTTCTAAAATCTGTTGTATGGTTATTAGATATATATTTAAGGGTAAAGAGAAGTTAAGGTCTCTACAGCAGATTAAAATTTCAGACATTTTCAAAGACGATGTTCAAACCGGTATTAATGTTGTTTTGAAGCATTACACTTGGCTTCTTATGCTCCCAACTTCACAATATACTTTATGTAATGTAGCTTCATCAACATATTCGAGCCAAACCATTAAAGCCTTAGAAGAATCAAAGTAATCCTAAAAGGTTCAGAGGACTTTGTTTACTCATAAGTTTTGGTTATTAAATGAAGAAAAGTTTTATGTTCCACCATTAATGACTGAACATCCCAAAATCCATAAATTAGGGGATAGAGTAGTGGCATTAAATGTAAAAACTTAGTTAACAAATAGAATAATTATGCAAATTTTGGTGCTTATGGAGTTGTAGTTGGCGTAATTGATAATGGAGAAATAATGATTGAAGTTCTATGGGATAAGCCTCGTTTTGGATAAACAGATTTAGGAGGGAGATGTTCTCCTTTGAGAGGATCTTTGGTTCACTTTTTAGATGTTTTTAATATTACACAATAGTGGCAAGAATAATTAAACACATATAGTGGAGGAGCCAAAGGACATTAAGTTGAGAGCTGGACTTATAAGTAAAAAGTATTTGTTCCTTCTCATGATAAACCTGATTATAAAAAAAAGAAATAACAACGACCAAAATAAGGGGAGACTTAATGAATAAATACAAAATTAAAGCAATATTCTATTATTTTCTAGTTTCAATGGTTCATTCAAAAAAGACCATAAACAATTTTTAAATTAAAATATTGATTAAAATAACATATTTCTTTTATAATTTATGAAAATGAAGTGATTGATAATAAATTCTTATGTAACAAACTTATATGAATTTTCATGCTTATTAGGTGAGGGTTTGTAGTTCAACTACTTTATTGGCTTCAGACGATCCTTTCTTTAGTAATTTCTAAGTCTTGTTCTCTTATTGATTCAGATACTTAATTATCAATATTGAGCACAAGCTTTACACTCCAATTCCGCAAAGCTGTCCAAATGAAGGGATTTATACTTTATATTTATATACATTTATACATCCAAAAAGAAACTTAAAAAATATGTAAAAGGGAAAACACCAACCCAATTATGCTAAAGTAATAGTTGCAGTCTCAATTGCAAATGTCCTTATCATTATTGGAAGTCCCACTATCAGGAGAGCACCCACAATTGCAAAAAATATCCACTCCTTCAAACCTGGTTATAAAAGACTATTGATTATTTCAATCTTAATACCCTTCGATTGGGAAGAATAAAGGAACAAAAATCACTGTCATCAATCCTATAACATGAGTAATTGTAAAAAGATTTTCACTATCCACTTTCTTAAAACAATCTGCTGAGTAGCATAAGAACAATCCCCCTACAATAGAATATATTATTCCATTAAGTTATAAGACCTCCGGATTAGAAGCCAATTTTTAAAGGGTCTCCGTTGAGAATGCAGCTCCAATAAATATACCACAAAAAGGTAAAAGAAGTTCTTTTCTTAATTCCTATTTATATCTAAGGTTTTCATAAACGTAATTCAAAGGCCACACACTTACAAAGAAGAAGACGGAGACAAATCTATCATTCTATTTCAAAGAACAGATCAATAGGACTAAAGCAATGATTAAAGAGAGTGCTTAAAATATTTTGAATTCTTCTTACATGCATGTTTCACTTTCCAATTTAAACCATTTTCTTATATGTATGGAAGTATGTTGCTTTGACTAATCATTTTAAAATTCGCACAAAACATGAGCAATACAGAAATAAATATTAGCTCCAAGTTTGGTAATGTACTTAAAATAATTTAAAAAAACAAGCTACCTAAAATGCTTATCTCTCATTGTCAATATGAATGTAAGAACGGCTGAAACTATAATTACATATAAACAGCCTGCTATTTTGTAATATTTATATTCAAAGTTTTCAATAGCATCAAAAATTAGCAATAAAACTCTTGAAGATTAACTAGACTCAGTGTTTTCATTTTCGTTGTTGAGTTAGTTTAACTTTTAAGTTAACTCCTGATTATCCATAATTTAGGAAATTAAAAATTTTAATTTATTTATGAAATAACAAAAGCCTTAATAAAGGAGAATTCATTATATAAAATTATTTCCTTATTCTATTGAAAATTATTGATTAAATACGATCAGACAATTATTTATATTATAAAAAATTAATAATAATTTAAATTGATTATCAATATTTTCTAGGTCTTCTTTTTGTAGTTTTTCTCCTTGACTTTTTTGGTTATTATGCCTCTTCTTCAGGTTCTTCAACTACTTCTTCCTATAACTTAGTTTCAGCTCGTTCCTCTACCTCCTCAAAGATACCCAATTCATCAAACAACTTAAACATACTTTGTGAATCTCCTAATTAAAAATCTAACAATTCATCAATCAATTCTAACTCTTATTTGTATTTATTCTCCTTTCCAACACTCTACCTTTTGTCTTACTCACTATCGGATAGATCACTATCCTGAATTTAGAGATTCATCTCGCTTGAATTCACATATTAATTAAACTTATTTATATGTTTTGGACATATTTCAAAACATAGGATCTCCTTTTCTACTTTCTTACTTAACCTTTTCTAAGATTTTCGTTTCATCACTTTCATTTGGTAAATCTATCTCAAAGTCTAACTACTCTCACCAAAAATCTACTCTGGTTTAACCACAAGTTAATAAGCATAAAATAATTTTAGAAGTATAGCTTTGATAATCTGATAATCTTTTTCAACACTTAATTGTTACAACTTTTTCTCTATTCTGCTTAAGAAATCGTCAAATCTGTTTAGCAAAGCCTTTAAAATTAGCTTAATCTCTTGTTTAGATAAGTACTATAAATGTATTATTTAATATAAAATAAATTGAGCTTGATTAAAGTATGTTCTGCTATCAATCTTATTTAAAAAATATGATTCATCCAAATATAACAAAAAATCACTAAACTTTTGAGCACATACATCATAATAAATTGAATGACATAGCACCTAATTATTTGAAATTGTATAATTCTTTAACAAATTATCCAAACCTGTAAAATAGGGTTTAAGCGAAGCGTAATTCTGTATCATCAACTTAATTCCTTTTGGAAATTATAATAACATATGCTCAGGTCTAACTTCAATACACTTTTTCAAAATTGGTTCAGCAATGTCAGCATCATTCATTAATGCTACTATCAAATAATCTCCAAATTAAAGGGCAATAGAGAGTTGGTTATCAAATAGCAACTCTATCAATTTTAAAACTAAGACTCTTATGTTTTTATTTGGATGTAAAATATGCTATTAAAACACTACATTAAATATGTCCTTGATCATAAATGCCAGCTAACTTTTATCAACTATCTAACTGAATTATTGTTTCTGTGCTTAGCTATTTGCCTCTAAAATTGATTCATAAAAGATTTAATAGATTGCAATTATTATAGGTTCTTAAAATGTATTTTCTTTCAAGTTTTCTTTCAAAAATTCGCTACTTTCAAACATTAATTAAGGCAGTTTCTCCCACATCTTAGATAAAGTGAAAATGATCTCCTCCTAAGCTGCCTTTTCTTTAGAAAATTCAAGTAAACTATTGTATAAGGTCTACATAGACTCTAAGAAGGATTCTATATCTTTAGTAGTTTTCGTTATAAAATATTCAAAATATTCAAAAATCTAACAAAATCCTATTAAACCAAACTAAAAGCTTACAGGATTCTCTTCAGCTTTTACTAAAATTAATTTCATTACTATTTCAAATTTTGAATAAATGTTCTCATATTTTTTTGTATACCTCAAATCCAATAAAGTCGAAAGAGTAAAAATTGTCTTAACAAAAGCTGTTTTCGGATGAATTTTATATATTATCTTTTCTATAAAAATAATTAAGTAATCAAGTTAATTAGTTAACTTCTTTGTTAACTAAAAAGGTATTTTATCATAATTTCTTCTACCAGTAGAATTAAGATCTTCAAGACAAAACACTAAAATCTTAAACAGTCCATTTAGTATATTGACAAAAGGAGTATCGAGAAATTCTTCCTATTTATTCAAAAAATAGGATGTAATTTACATTATATTATCAATTTATTTAATGAAGGTTTATTGTTGGGCCTAGTTCTTTTAATTTATTATGATTTATATCAATTTTAATACATTCTCTATTTGGTTAATTTATTACTTAGTTTCCTTAACATCAATACAACTATTCGAAAGTTGAATAAGTCTCAAAATAAAAGAATGCAAAATTCCCTATTTATCAATGATTTTATTGTTGTCAGACAGCTTATCAATTAAACTTTATATACGGTCGTAGTCTATTTTATAATTATTGGTTTCAATAGTTAATTCTAACAGTTTATCTGCGATTTCCTAATCTCTATTTTTTGAATCTGTGGCTAAAAGTAAAAGAATCAATTAGGCTGATATTTCTCCAATTTCTCCTCTTTCTTCCAACCTTTTGGAGACCTCTTCAAAAAATCTGATTTGATCATTTGACTGCAACTCCTTAAATAAGTCAATAAACTCTAAACAATATTTAATAGTTTTATTCCTAACAAATATTTCGATGTCTTGCATCCTATTAATAATAATATCTAGGCATGTTATTTTACATTCCTTCCATAATTTCAACAATGTTTGCACTATCATTGCTCTTATTTGCTTAGATATATCCTGTGCCCTTAGCTTTATCCTTTCAATTATGTTCTGAGTATTAAATAAACTGAATTCTAGTATTTAAAATAAAAATTACAATAATTCTTTGGAATTTGCATTTTAGCTACTTTAAGACAATAATTTTCAAATTGATGAAGCACTTTTGCTCTAACTTAAATAGAATTGTCTTCAAAAAAAGCTAATAAGATCAATTCAATATTTTAATATGTTTAAAATAACTACTGGAATAACAGACTCATATATGAGAAGTACCATAAATACATGTGTATATCTGATAATCTGCTATAATCAATGCACATTTATTCTAGAGATTAAGCAATTTCATCTAATTTTTATATGCTGATGGATTTTGATTTTTTATTTTATTTCCCACTATTGACACTTTGAGTGATAAGATAATTTTCATAATAGAGTTTCATCCAATTACACTTAGTTTTGCATGCATGACCATATGTGATAGTTGGCAAATATACTTAATCTTCATAATTATTGCTTAATTGTAATTGGGTACAAAAACATCCTTTGCAGCACTCAATTAACTTTTCTTTCTTTTCAGTTTCAATTTCAATAAGTTGATACATTTTTTAATCCTTATATTAACATAAATAGCAATCTCCATCAGGCAATTATTTGATATCGTAAAAATTGAAATAAAAATTAATCATATATAATCTATCTCCATTATATAAGTTTATTACTAAATCTAATAGTTTTAACTTCTATTGAGACATTAACTTTTTCTCGTATTATAAATAACTAATAGTATTGGCTATTTCATTTACTAATAATGTAATTAATTAAGTAGCACAAAATATGGAATCTATTTTCTCTGGAAGTTGAGCACTAAATTAAATTAGAAAATCTCCTACAGCTGAAGCTTGCGATTAGGCTACGTAATTTCTTAGTAAATCCCTAAAAAAATGTCTATAAGCAGCCAAAATTAAATTGTATGTTTATTAGACTTGCTCCAAAGATGGAGAGAATACTGATACTATTTTAGTAATTAAATTCAAAAGGGGGTGCATATCATCAATCTTTTGATAAGATTTCTTTGGTTTAGCTAATTTTAATGTAGTTGTTATATGTTTTAAGATTAATTCCAAATTGAAGTTCGTATTTTTCAAAATAAACACAATTATTTCTATCATATCACTCACATGATAGTCTTTCATGATATATTCAATTAATTTGGGAACAGTCCCTTCAGCCCAATCTTCATTAAACTAATATTCTTTAGAGATTTCATCCATCACAAATGATAATATTTCTGGATTATTGATGTGACTGATGAAACATTATAAAGCATTATTGAATATTTGATGGGAGCTATCTAGTTTATATAGTTTCATATAAGATAATAAGAAATCTTCATCATTTGTTAATTCTTGAAACTAATTTTTTTGTAATTTGAATTTCATTTTGGACAAAACAAGAGGAAATTTCTCTTTAAAATACTGCTATGCTTCAGAACTATACTCGATGTTTTCTTTGGGGTATTTAACTCCTTCCTCCCCTTTTATTTTTGAACAAAGAAAATTGATATGCTTATCAATATTTTACATAAATTTATGTATTATTAAATATAAGTATTTATAAATGGGAATTGAGATCTCATAAACATACCAGAAAATCAAAATCATTCAGACTTAAGGGAATACGCAATCGAATAATACACAAACCACTATTAAATATTTCTAGAATATCAAAAAATATATTTATTTTCATACTCTAATTAGCATAATTATAATTTGAATCATTAACAATTATTTGAGTCACAAATCTGACAATAGGACTCCAAATTATTTGCAAGCGGTGTTCTAATCCAAAAAAAGAAACATTTTTTGCATTTCTCAAATTTAACTGTGTTATGATATCTTTGAACAATGAATTTAATTTAATTTAAGAAGTATAATTCAATAATACTTCTATTTAATATATTTCTTAATACATTGTTTTTTATTCTTTCATTGCAACTAATACAGTTTAAATAGTATTATCCTTAGTTTATTTATTATTAGAGTTATTCTCTTAAACAATCTTTATGATAACTGTGTTTACAATTCAATTTATAATTATCATAATCAATATATGTAAAACATATTTTACATTTAATTATATCCTAAACTGATTATCTTACTTGTATTCTATATGAATTACTATTACTAACATTTTGATTGATATATCTTGAAGACACATTTGGTAGTTTATAAGAATTTATTGAACAGTTCTCGCTGTTATGCAATCTAAAGTTCTCCTTTTTCTTTTATTTCTTAAAGTTAATAGGTTTTAATAATTCCAGTAATTTAGTTTGAGAATTCTATACTTATTGATACTCCCATTATTGTTTTTGTGGATTTTAGATTATTAATTCATTTATTGAATAAACATTTGATGCTTTATCTTTTTATTTTATTGATGATTCTTTTGGTTAAATCTTGTATTCTAAAGATTATATTATTGGTGCTGATTTCTTCAAATTTGATTTCATATTGATTTTCGGAACATTCTAAGGTAAAGTCTTCTATTTTTAATAGCATTCATCAAAGAGTAGATCGATTAGGGTCATCCTATCCCTTGAACTATTTGGAAGTTATTTTGCCATATTTATTGATCTAAACAAAATATATTATTATATTTTCTTATTATTTAAGCAAAATAGAAACTATATTTTTAATTTTTAATTAACATTATGAAAGTGTAGTTATTTCATTATAAGATTGACTTATTAACAAATATATTGTTTAAGGTTCTAACTATTTTATTTAAAATATATATGACAAAAAATGTTTCAAAATAAGTTTTAAGTTAGAAAATCGTGTTATTTATTAAAGTATGTATCCAAATAATCTTAGCCTTAATTTTAATTATCACTCTACTTTAAGACAAATGCAATAAATTTTGTTGGAATGACTTTATTGCATAAACAATAAATCTGTAATTTATCACCTTTGATTTGTTAAGTAATTAATTCTGATAAGCAATTTTAATGATAATTGTGCAAACATTCTGGTTGGAAGATATTAGTTTAAATCTTTGTCTGACAAGAGTAACAAATTATATCAATCTCAGAAAGCGAACACTGACTTTCGCTATTCTTTCTTGAATACTGAGCAACTACTTCTTGTTCTTGAAAGGGCTCTATTATCATCTATTAGGATATTTGTGTTTGATTATTTTCTAAATTATTTTGTTGCTATTCTTATATATGCTTATTAATTCTATCTTTCATCCTATTTCTATTAATTTCTCTATATTTTTAGTAATATAACTTGTTTTTTGGTATGTAGTTTCCTTCAATACATTTTTACGAAGAAGATCTTTTTAAATCATTTTACTTTTATTCTTGAGTTCTTTTGGGAGAGAAATCACGATGGATATTTTTTTTTAATATCTTAGGTTTTGCCTGGTTTTTGAAAAAGTTTTTTTTAATTTATTCATCGAAATGACTCATAGGTGAATTACTGCTATTATCCTCATCAATTGAAATAGAAGGCTCAATAACTACCTTCTTCTACATATCTTCGAGTGACTAACTTTCAAAGTCTTTCTTTATTTTTGGATCTATCGCTTCACCATCAGACAATTAAGGTTGTTCTGTATTTTGATTTGACAATTCTTTTGATTTATCCCGCGATTAAAGGCACCCCATACTTGGAAAAGATTTTATAAATTAATTTAATCAATAAATATTTTTTTTTAATAAAGTTATTCTTGAATATCTAGAATATATAAATTACAAACTATTAAATATAATTTATTATCTCATAAATATTTAGCCAGATCAGAGAATACCAATAAATAAATGAAATAATTAATTATGAAAACACAAATTTAAAGTAATTTCTTAATTATTTATTTTTGCTTTTATTATACTCATCTAATTTTAGCTCTTAAGGCTTCTATTTCAGCACACATAAGAACTATTAATGATTACAAATCTTATATTTATCTTTTTAACATTCTATCATCAAATGGTTTAGCATTTCTAAGTTTTTCCAATTCCTTCAATAATTCCTAAATTTGTCTTTCATAATCAGCAATAATATCTGAAGCATTCACTTATTGTTATTTAATATTATTATTAGCATTGTTCATTTAAGATTATAATAATTATTAAGCTTTTAGCCTATCCTAAGCCAATTAATTCTATGCTTCCAGATCCTTGAGTTGTCTTTCTAATTGCTTAATTCTATTTTCAGCATCTCGAAGTTTATTGAGAGTATCTTGTAAATTGTCCTCTGTTTCTCTTAATTATTTTTAAAGACTTTAAATTAAATCTTACATCTAATCAACTTTTTTTTAATCAACTCCTTATGGTGCTGCTTAAACTGCTTGTTTAGCATTTTGTGCATCAATCAACTATTTTTTTAATTTCTCAATTTCCTCCAAAGCCTTCTAAAGGTCAAGTTCAGCCTTCTTTGCTTTTTTTTCATTAGCTTCTGCTGATGTTCTCAAATCATCATTAGCCCTTAATTAATTGTTATATTTAATGTTTAATTCATCAATTTCCTATTGCTATAATTAAATTTTATTATTCAAACTTTAAATTATTTACTGTAATCTTATGATTTCTGTTTTTTGAATCAAGATCTATTTAAGAGCTTTTTCAGTGGGAGTTTCTGATTCCAATTCAGCTAATCTATCTTCGAGTAATTTCACCTTATTTCTTTCATCTTCTAATTCTTGTTATGTTTAACTTAGTTCTATTTAGAGTTATTGGTAGTCAAGCTATTTTTTTGTTAATAAATCTTTCAATCTTTCTACTTCCTCGGCCAATCTGGTTGCCTTAAGAACCATATCTCTATTGCTAAGTTCGAATTGTTTGTATTCTTGTAAAGCTAAATCCAATCGTTGAGCCTTGTTTTTCCATTCCTCTACTTCATTTCCTTATTGAAAAACGATAATATTTAATCTTTCGATTTCTGCTATCAAAATATCATTTCTATGATTTGCATCTCTGAGCAACACTTCTGCTTATGTAAATTAATTCATTCTATTCTCCATTTGATTTATTTATGTTTTATAACTTGAAATCACTTATTTGTATTGGTATATCTCCTCCTATTAGTCTTCAATATTAATGATAAGATTACGTTTAATTATTTAGTTTTAATCGTCTATTTGAGCTTAAAGATCAATCCATTTTTCATTGTCAAGAGTTTCCATTTAATTGAAATAATAAATTTTATTTAATATTTATTGTAAAATTTTTACATAATCATCATCTTCTTTAATAAGATACATGTGCTTATGGGATGTACATAGGTTGTTGCTATTATGGATATTAAGGTTAACCTTGATAAACTTACTTTTATTAATTGCCAATGTGCTTTGATTGTGAAGATTACTATTGTTGTGGTGGCTACTGCTATTATTGATGTTATTATAAGTAAGGAGCCTATTATTGCTAATGACCTGGGTATGATTTAATTGTTGGGTTTCCTTTTATTGGTACATTTTGCATAACAGTTTAAACCTGAGGTTTTGAATTTGGTTATTATTTTAATAATTACTAGAGCGATTTTGCATCAATAGGCTAAGATTTCACGTCCTTGGGTTATTATAATTATTTAGAGGCACTATTAAGTTATTTTTAAAGATGTTCATTTTTTTATCTTTCTTAGTTTAATTCTTGAGTCAGCTAGTCTAATTTTTTATCCTTAACTTCCAAAGCTTCTTTAAGTTTTCTTATTTAATTTTCATATTCTTTAATTTAGTGATTATCCTTATTAGATGTATTGTTATTATTCTTCGAAAGTTCTTCTTTTGATTTGATAATCTACCTTTCATATGCCATTCTATTTAATTCCATTGTCAACAATAGCATCTTAGGGTCTTCTGGTATTTATTCTGGTTATTCCATTATAATAATAATTTATTTATTGTAATAAATGATCACGTTAAAAATGATTTATTATTCATAACAATTTTCAATTGATCTATTGAATTCACATTCTAATTTAATTTAATTTGGTAATTGGACAGACAATTACTAATATCTGTAAAAATAAAGTTTAGATATTTATATTAATATAAAAATTGAGATTTAATAGAATTTGGACATGAATATGTAATTTAAACTCTTATCTTTGTTCATAATTCGAAAATGGATCAAGGGTGTCTAAATATGAATAGAATTTTTTAATTATTGATAAAGAGAAAGTGAAAATATTAAAAAAACTTTTCATTTTACCAAGATTTTTCAATGAATATCAAATCATTTATAAGAAGCTCTATTTATAGGAATAATTATTAGATAGTAAAAAATAGATTCAATATTTAGTAGATTTTATATTATTTTGAGATAAATTCGACTAAATTTAGATTAGTTTAAGTTCATCCACTCTAAAGTTGTATTTAAATTTGAATCTATGATGAAATTACTATTTTTTAGAGTTTTCGCTTTAACTTGTCATATTCAACGCCCTAATAATAGGATATTTTTTTTTCAATCAGATAGTAAATAACTACTAAGCCATTTCATTTATATAGATAGCAATGCTTAAGTAATTTTAGTGTAATAGGGAATCAATTGTTTGATTTTGGAGGAGAATTTGTTATGAAAAGATTTGCTTATTTGGATTCTAAAATGAAATTTATTGTTTAAACTTTGATTGATTTTCGAATAATAAAACTGGAAATTTTTGCATAATAGATTTTATAGATTGATTAAGACCAGATAAGGAGACCAACGAGAAAGGTTCATTGAGGAATAGGTATAATTTATGAGTTTGTTTGAAAAATATTTGAATATATTTAAGTAAATATTGAGTTTCTATTTTTTTAAAATATATTTTATACAACAACACAATTATCTATCATAACATTTAATCTATTAAATATTCCACAAATATCTTTGCATTAGGAGTCGAAGCGCGCTGTGCTATTGAATTTACAAGATCATTTCTCTCCTAATGCAATAGACTACTGATTTTTTTTTATTTTTCACATAATATTTCATAAGACTCATTAGAATGGTGGTTTTGCTTGTTTGTTTCTTTATTTTATTCAGTTATATTATTTTGTTAATCAAGTACTTCCCACCTATATCTTAAATATTTATAATATCGGTTCTTAACCATAGCCAAAGTTTTGCCAGGGAAATGCTTATGAATTTTTTGGAATTTTGGCCCAATACTTTGAACCAATTCTAAAATTAATCTGTCCTCTTCTGGTGTGAATTTTTATCCTGGCTTCCTATTGCTAAGACCTTCAGTAATTCTTCTATTATAATTTTATGATTGAATACTCATATTTTTTTGGTTATTTCTTTTTTCCAGATAAGGTTCTATCTTGTTCCTCTTAATCTTCTTAATCGCCCCCATTCTCCTATTCTTAATCTAATTCTTTGTCTATTTCTTATTCTTGACTAGACATAAAAATTAAATAAATTTGTTTATTATTCAAACGCAATTATTTATTAGAAACTAATATTATTGAACAAGTTCTCAAACCTACTCCCTAATTTTCTGATCAATTAAGAGAGTTATTAAATAATTTAATTTGACATTTATTTTATATAAAAATCATTTGTTTCCTAATACTTTAACCATTAATTCTCCTAATCTCTAAAATTCTGTTCTGCTTATCTTACTGTCATTGTTTGTATCCAAATAAGATAACATGTAATCAATTTCCTTTTTTGTTGGTTACTAACTTATTTTAGAATACAAACCTGGGAATTCAATTCGATTGCCAAATTATACAACAATGCATTTAATTCATCTTTTTCAATAAATCCTGAATGATTTTTGTCATAGCGATCAAAAACACGGTTTGAGAATTCAGATACTTATAAACTGTTCATACTAAATTGTTATATTATTTTATTAAATACACTTAATATAATATTAGTTTAAAATTTAGTGTTTTCTCATATTTTAAATGTCTAAATCTTAGTATCAAATCTCATATGCATTTCTTATATAAATGTCTTGCTGATTTTGACATTAAGGGAAGCATCAAGCAACTCATCCCAATCCACCTCCAACTCATTATCATCGATTCTGTAATTCTATTGGCTAAGAATGCAGATAATTCCAGTCATATCTTCACTCATCAAAATCTCTTAATGATAAAGGAGGAAACCAATAATCAATTGATAGATGTATGTCCAACCATACCTGAAGATACAATCGAACAATTTCACTTGTTTCTGGATTGGGATCATCATTCCAAATAGTGAAAATAACCACGAGGCACAAAACATGTCCACTTTCACACCGTTGATACAGAAATGTTAGTATAAGTCTGGCATCTTGGTTAGGATGAGATAATCAATCAATTAGATATGTTTCGATAAACCAGGAGACCTACTATTATATAAACTTACATAGGCGAATAAAGGTCATTCATTTATAGTTAATCAATGAGTTTTCTGAGTAATTCAAAGGCAACGTAATTGTCAGAATGATAAATCAATCCAGCAGCAACAAAGTTCATTCCTTACATGTAACCAACAATTTTGTTGTATTTGGAATATGCAATCAAAACCTATTGTAAATCAGATAATTTTTAGGGGTAATTCTTAAGTGGATGAGTTCTTTCAACATCAAGATTTATTTGTTTGATGATCTTTGGTTCACACTTACTTTCCAATAAATTAGAATATTTGGACTTTAATTTTTCAGTGTCGTAGTTTCCTAACCACTCCTTAGCCTTGATGCAAGTATTATTTTAATAAGGCAAGCATTTACAAGGATCAACTTCCCGAGTAAATAGTCTCATTATTTTATTTATTACACTTTCCTCTTTCTCTTTTGGTCTAATATCATCATATGTTAATGTACTAAATCCTTAAACTGAACACACAGTTTAATTACTTCCACATCTTTATGGAACCTTGATTATTTATATCTGCTAAATGAACTCAAGTTAAATACCTTAGGTTATTTTGGATAATGAATAGTTTTGGAATCCCTATTTACCCCTGTCACATTTATATTTCTAGTTTGTTGGGTAGGCTTTGGGTTCTCGATAGCCGGTTCGAATTTCCTTTCCAATTATCCATGGGAGGACCTACCTTAAAATTGCTCGGACATTCGTTAAAATATTAATTAATTATAATATAATGCATACAAGTCGATCAGCTCCCTCATGTAACTTATGATTTAATCTAGTAATGACTATTGAATAAATGTACAGTGTTGTTAGAGGTGAAACAGGCGCTTGGGGTATTGAAGGATACGAAGTCCCCAAGAAGTATTGTGACCCTCTAAAACAAGTCTAAGAAAGAGACTTCTTTGCAGGCAAATTAAAGAAACCTCCCACAATTACAAAAAGAGGACATTTTTTGGATGACATAGCCAAACCATTTAGAAATCGTAAGGTCCCTGTGCAATATAATGTTGAATACAAGTGGGTAAACGAGAAAGATAAGGAAAGAAAAAGGTAAATGCATAATCATTCTCTTTATTTAGATCTAAAAGCGAACTATTGAAGAGAAATACATTCATAGATGATATATTCCTCCAGAATACTAAACAAAACTACCCCAAACCCGGACCAGGAAAGTATGATGAGAATAGATCCATTGAGAATCAAGCTAAAAAATGGAATGGCAAAACTAAAATTCAATATGGAGAAAAACCAGACTTCGTTTAAGACTATTAACACTTAGGAGCTGTCTTACCAGCAGGTCCAGGCAGCTATAATCCTCACGTATTCCTTCATTTTAATAATAAAGCCTATTCTACCCAAATTAAAACACAATAATACAAATCCAAAGGTTATGATTGCTAAACACAAAGATTTTGATAAGTTTAAGCTAGAAATGATTAAAAATTATCCTAAACCAGATTGTACTAAATATAAGCCATATCCTGTTGATTATAATACATTCGGTAGATCTTTAGAATTGCTTTATGATAAAAAAAAAATAGAGCCAGCCAAAATTAAATATTGGGTATGATAATATTATTAGTGTAGGGTAATCCTAATAAACCAGTGACCAGAAATAAGTCTGATGCAAAAATTCCTCCTTAATATAACTTAATTGCTTATTGGCCTGGAAAAGATGATGGAAGTGCTAAGAATAAAGAGCAGAAAAAATTTAATTGGATGAATAAAGTCACAAAAGGAATTTAATAATCAATATATTATTGATAGAAAAATATAATAGTCATTATTTATAAATAATTTTTATTGAATTAAACAAACCTATTAAGTCCTTGCGCTAGTGTTATTGTTTATCTCAATTATTTTACAACACAGAACAGTGAAATCCTTAAAAACTATATAATATTTTTCTCTTAGAAGGATTAGCATTTTATAACATTTACAAAAGAACTATAAGAATCAAAATACAATTACAATATAACAATTTATTGGTTAAAATATAGAAGAGAGCATAAAAATTATAAAAATATAGTGATTCTAACTAAAATATTATTGAAGAATTATTTAGATTTTGAGAAGTTGGATATAAATTGGAAAGTGCATTTGATATTCTCAGATAGGTTTATGGAAACAAAATCCATTCTAGTGATGGAGGATAATTTATATCAAAAATTAAATCTCAAATATGAATGATATCTTTCTTTTTGTATAGCAATAAGAAATTGCAAACTAAAAATTTAAAACACTTTTATTTTTTGAGAATACCTTAAAGTTATTATTTATTTTTTAGTTTTGACAGAGAATTTAAAGGAAGATGGTTGGACTAAAATGGCAATCAATATAATAGTTATAACTTATCAGTCAACTTCAGATGGTTGGCATTAGAAATAGAAAGTATTTTGTTTATTTAATGCTTTTGTTATGAATATAAATTATTTTATTAAAGATTTTTTAAAAATTTAAAATAATATGTAAATTTTTGTTAAGACCCTCACGGGCAAGACCATCACACTCGATGTCGAGCCATCTGATACTATCGATGCTGTTAAGGCTAAGATCTAAGACAAGGAAGGAATCCCTCCTGATTAATAAAGATTGATTTTTGCTGGAAAGCAATTGGAAGATGGAAGAACTCTTTCCGATTATAACATCTAAAAGGAATCAACTCTTCATTTAGTATTGAGACTCAGAGGAGGTGGTATGGAGCCAACCATTGCTGCTATTGCCAAAAAGTATAACGTTGAAAAAAAAATATGCAGAGTTTGCTATGCCAGGTATTGAATTGATTGATTATTGTTAGATTACCACCAAAAGCCCACAATTGCAGAAAGAGAAAGTGTGGACACTCAAACTAATTAAGAATCAAGAAGAAGCCCAAGGATTGATATAATTATGAATAGTACAATAATAAACAAATATGTTTTATCATTCGAATTCATTTATTTAATTAGTTATGAATCCCCCATAGTAAACTAATCCCGAATACTTCCCCCCTCCAACCTATTATTGCAACAAGAGCGGACATTAATTGACTTGGAAATCAAGTAGTGGTCATCCATGTGCAGAATGTAAGATTAAAAATTGCAGATCTCGCTATTGGTGCTAGTAATGCGCAGAAGCATTCTGTTTGCAATGCATGCCTCCCCCCTTGTTTGGAATTATGTGTGGAGCAGGACATCCGTAAACTCTTAATTACTATTATAAAGAATGAAATTGAGCATTGTACCTCATCACGTTTGCGATTACTGTAGTGAGACAATATAAAATCAAGCACATAGATGCTAAATCTGTGACTTCGACATATGTCCGAATTGTCTACTGCAAAAAGAGGATTGATTTTTTGTATTAAATAGTGCAAATATTTACTTATAAATGTCTCAATTAAGTGTCTTTATGATAATTAATATTCATAATTGATTTGATTGAGGGATAACATGCATTAAGCATCAATAAAAAGTTTTATATAATAATATATGAATAAGTTATATATTGAATCGATAAAGGCATCAGCAGAATTGATCCCTATTGACATTTATTTTCTCTTGAAGATCGGTGAACATTGCCAATTTTCGAACATTTTAAGTGTAAACACATCAATCGACATTTATATTCTAGTTGTAATAGCAATCTCAAACATGCAACATGTGCATTCAGTATTAGGCCAGGGAAAAGTAGCCGATTTCGATCGAATGTTGGGCATATGACCAGCATTTAGTACCTAAAGCATTCTTCGGCAAAGAAACTTTGACGAACACTACACGCAAGATCACACTGGATGGAATGGAGATTTAAATTCGGCAATCTCAATAGGAAAGGAGCAGAACCCCGGAGATCGCTATGAAAAGAGATGCTTCACCCTTCGGTAGAAGAGATTTAACTCCGAAAAGAGAGAAAAAATGATCTATACTCATCTTTTCAGGTGGGGTTGTAGAAGTTATTTCAATATCTTTTTTAATGTAAATATCAAATCGACAAAATTTGTGTTTTCTTCAATGTCTGTGTATCGAGATGAAAGCATATTGAAAGGACTTCTTCGGGGTAAAACCATAGAGCAAGGGGCAGAGTTACATTTATTCATATTGGTTGAATAGAATGTGAGGAAGATCATTCAAGTGAATATTAATATGATGTGTTAGGAGGCAATTAAATATCAAAGACACTTCAGAAAGAAGTAACTCAATTCCCAGGACATTGAATTGGCTATCAAGGATCAAAATTTGCTCAAGGTACTGTGACCCCAAATCATTTTAGTCTGAGATCTATGGATTTTAATATATGGATAGTATTAATTTATCCAAAAGAATGGATGAGTATGTGCTCAACGATCAAGTATAGAATCCCAATATTCAAGAGCTTGGATCTAAGAGATCTAATTTCGCATTAGATGAGGACAGTTAAAATCCCTCTCGGATTTCCCTCTCTTTCCATATTCAATGTCATGAAGGATTATTAGATGATCAATTCCCAGGAGACTCAATCCATAAGTAAATTCCCTCCCTATTGATTTAAGTGCAATACAAGGATATCATGTAAACAGAGTCATTCTAAAATGTGGAAAGCAAAAAGACTTTCAATATAATAAAGGACAACGTAATGAGTATCTTGACAGTTCATTAACAATCTATCGTGAAAAGCTTTAAGGATTTATTTGAAAAAGAAGTAATGAGTCTGAAATTCAATTTTTCTCAAGAGTTTGTTTAATGTAACTCAAATATTATATGGTTTTAGTGCTCTCTGATTTGGAAAGTTACAAGGACGTGGCTCAAATAGTTCCATTTATTGTTCAATATCTATATAGTTAGTAGGATTAAGTTTAGCTCTTTTATTACAAGCATAGATGCGTGATAATTGAATGTTTGAATAGATTGATAGTAAACAGTTAGATAAATCTGGAATTTTAGGTATCTCCTCTATATTTATATATAATAGTTGCATCAAATCCTCAAAATCTTAGTTAAATTTTTAACTGCTAAAATTATAGAAATCAACGTCAAGTCATAGATAGAACTTCAAATTAAGACAGCCAGATGCTTGAATTATTTGCTTGATAAATTTAATTTGAAATATTAAGCATTAAGGCATAATATTGATAAAGTGATTTTGGAAAAGTTCGAAAAAATCAAAAGCAAAATTGAATAGAAAAACTCTCACAAATCATTATTAAAGGCGTATTCAATAGTTCAATACTTTATTGAGTAAAATGTGAGTGTTCAACATCTGAAATTCATTGAACAAATGAGTGAATTGATACGAAAGATGGAGCAAGGAAGAAAATCAATAACATCATCGAATCCAGATTATGACCATATAGCTGGATTAATATGTTTATCCTTAGGAGTATTTATTCATTTGAAAATGATAGAGTGTTTTGATCAAAATAATTAATGGATTGGAATATCTGTAGCCCAATTATGAAAATCAAATTTTTCATATAATGAATAATACAAGAGAGTTGATGTAAGAAATGGGATTATATGAAATGCTTATCATGCAATAGAATGTTGTGAAGCATATGATTTTATGATTATTATATACCTTAATTTTATTTGAACACCAGTATATATTAATTTAAATTAAATTCAATGTCAAGGAGATACGACTAAAAGACTAATACCTTCACTCCAGATGGCAGATTAAAATAGGTGGAATATGCCATCGAGGCAATTAATTAAACGGGATCTGCACTTGGAGTCTTGACTAACGATGGAATGATTTTAGCTACTGAAAAATAAGAAGTATCACATTTACTAGAACATTCAAAACATTCTGAAAAAATCTATCCAATTGACAGACACATATTTTCAGTGGTCTCAGGTCATACTGCTGATGCAAATATTTTAATTAATTATGCCAGAGAAGCTGCTGCCAATCATAGGTAAATCATTAATCGAAACATAGATATTAGTTTTAAGATAACATTGGCTTAGAATAATTGATCATAAACATATGTGATTATAAACAGAATAAAACCTAAGTGGGAGGACAAAGACCATTTGGAACAGCATTCTTATTTGCAGGCTATGATAAGGAAAATGGTTTTCAATTATTTAGTACCGATCCATCAGGCAATTACGCTGGTTGGAAAGCAACTGCTATTGGAAAAAATAACTTGGCTGCCAATAGCTACTTAAAATAGGATTACAAAGATAATTTAACCTTAGAATAAGTAATATGATCTTATAATTTATTAGGGATTGGACATTGCTATTAAAGCACTCGTGAAAACTATGGATACATCCTCTCCTCAGCCTTCTAAGATAGAGATTGTCGTTATCAGCAAACTAGGAAAGGAAGTTAAGAGTAAAACCTATAATGAAAAAGAGGTTTTGAGTTTGCTTTAAAAAAATGGTTTTAGTAATGAATAAATGTAACAGGAATGATATATCCTTCGAAACATTAATTTGTTCATTAAATATTTATTATATTTTCATTATTTCAAATTTGCTACTAATTTGTGAACATTTTCATTCCAATTCATCTTTGTACCTGTTATTGGTAGGGGTCTTCTCATAGCTTTAAAGAAAATGTCAGGCATAGAATTATATAAATTATCCATTCCTGCTTAATGCTTGTTTTCTAATTTAGCGATTGTATGAACAATCTATTTAGCACTTTCACTAGCTGTTGACAAATCTACATTGATTCCCTCTGAGAAGGTATTTACATTTTTTAATTGCACATTACCATCTTCATAATAGTGTGCTTACACTTTCAAATCACCTTTCAATTATGTTTTTGTGAATTCCCAAGTTGAGATCCAACTTCCACAGCTAACATATTATGGATTAATTTTACAAAAAGTTTGGCAAATTGATTGTTTTTGCAGTAATTCCTAAGTAGAATGTGTAATCGGAAGCATCACCTTGATACATAACTAATTAAATGCATTTTAAGTGTACCGTAAGCTCCACAAACTTTCTCATTAAATTGTTAACTCAAGTAGAGATTTAATTGCTATTCAAGTGCATCTCTGAGTATGTTCAGTTCTGGATCTGATGGTAATTCCACTTAAGATCTGGATATTATTTCTAATTTTTCATGATCCACTTAAATTGTCTCATTGTTTTTCTAATCTACATAAAAGTCTTCCTAAGAATTCAGTACACTTGTAAGGATCTAAGTGATCAAAATAGACTATTACTTGAGTGTTTTAGCCTTTAATCAAAGCCAAATGCTCCTCATTGTGATCCCTCAATGCTTATAGCATAACAGGATTCTATGGATTAATATTCCCAATGATTTTGCACAAATCCTTAATCACTAAATTAGCTTATCCGAAAGGAGTATTTTTGACAATGTACTTCACCACTTTCTCGTATTGTTCAGCTTCTGTTACTTCTCCCTCCCCTTAATTCATTATATATCTTTTATAAATTAATATATAATCATCTTAATAGCATCATAAAAATATTCATTCTGTAAATAAGGTTGTTGTGTTGTATCTGTGTAGGTGTTCAATTCCTTCGAACAATCTACTAAGAGAAACACATTTACTATTAGAGATCAATGCTAACTGACTACTATAGAAATAGCCAATCATCGCTTTATCTCTCACTCACAATTAATAAAAAGTTAATATTAATATTTAATATTTAATAATTATTATCTTCTTAATTAGTAACTACTAAATATACTTTCACTTCTTCTGCTTTTGCTTTAGTTTTGAATACCAAGATGGTCCTTCTTATTCTTTTTATTGACTATTTTGAGCAACACCTAAGTTAAATCCAATATCTTACTCTTTTTCTACATCGCACTTTAAGGATCAATATATGTTTTTGTATTTAATGCTTCCGACATCTCATTTATGGCACTCCTCAAATTTTGTCTCATGTCATTTTAACTACCAGTGGCAATCCCTATTAAAATATTCTAAATATTTTGCAAATTCTATCTTTTAATCCTCAATCTTTACAGATCTTCCTCAGCCCTCATGAATCTCTATTCAATTTATAAATTACTAATACATTAGCAATGTCATCATTTTCAGCTTTTAAAATCTAATAATCCTAATCATATTTTTTTAGCAGTGACTTATATTTTAAGATCTCCCTGTCTTTCTCTTCAATATGGGCGACCAAATAGGAATGACTAGTCATTATATATAAACTATTTACGGTTGGTGTGTCTTATCAAGTACATCTCTCTATAATTTAGTCTCCTCTTATAATTTCTCAATTTCTTATTGCTTCTCTCTTAATTGTCTTTATAACTACTCTGATTCTCTTTACTTTGCTTGCAATCTTTAAGCTAAATTTAGAGCCTATTGAATTCTTCTTTTAGAAGATGTAGGGACAGTGCCCATGAATCCCAATAATGGATTCATTGCATCATATTCATTACCTGCTGATTTCATAATAGCATCATCAATTTCTCTTTCGATTCCTTCATAATTACTGAGTTGTTCTTTTGCAACTTGCAATTGAGCATTTATATTGCTCATCTGCTCCTTTGCCTCTACTTAACATTTATAATACTCTGCCTTTAAAACATTAATTTTCTCCCTTAACATCTCATTCTCATGTTTTGTAGCTTTGAGATTGGCCAATGTATCCTCATAGATATTCTAAACTCTATCCAACTCTTCAACCTTCAATCTCAATTGAATTCTCTATTCAGATAAATCTCCATCTAATTTTCTTTATAAATTTCTGTAATCAATTAACAAGTGATCATATAATGTTGATTTTTCCTTCACTTGCCCTTCTAGATTATCTTTTCTAAGTTAAATTTCCTCCTTTGCATCCTTCAAGAATTTGATCTGAGTTTCATAAATGTCAACTAAATTCTATTTGGCAATTTCCAATTCATGATGATGTTTTTCTTTAAGATCTGCAATTTCAGAGTAGATTCTCTTTTCATAAGCCTGAGTCTAATCAGTTTTAGAATTCAACAATTAAAACAAATATTCTTAAGCTTAATTCTTGGCTTCCAAATATTCTTTCTCTGTTCTATCCAATTTGTCCTCCAATCTCTTCACCTTCTCCAACAGCTATATGTTCTCCTTAGTTAAATACTCCTTGTCTTATTATAAAAGATCTCCCTTCCTCTTGGCATCATCCTATGCCTTATATTGATCTCCTGCCTTATCGCCAGCTTGATTATTTTGATAGAAGCCAGCCTTTTCTTCCAATAAAAATTTCTCTTGCTCCAATCTCTTATAATCCCTACTCAACTCATCAAATCTCGCTCCCTTCTCTCTTAACAAGGCCAACTCTTCTTAAGACTTAGTTAATTCTAACTCCAAAGCCTTCCTAGCATTATCATAATTTAATTTATGTCTTCTAATGTCCTCTTCTCTATCGACCATCATCTTTTAACCATGTTCCAAATCATTCAATAAGAATTAGTGCTTCTCTGTTATCTATCTAAGTTCTTCTCTCAAAGCCAATATCTCCTTCTTCTAAAATTCCCCCTCCTTTTTAAATGGATATACAATCTCCCAAACCTAAACCAACACCCAATCTTAAATGGGCATTTCCTTCTCATTCAAATCTCTCAATCTCAAATAGACAGCCTCTGGAACTAACCCAGCCAACATGTCTCTGACCTATGCCAAAGCCTCCCTTATTCCTGGTAACTGAGATTCTTGATATATCATCCTAGACTTTAGTTATTTGATTTCACTCAAAAGCTTATCAGTTTCTATTCTATGATTAGCAAAAATCCTTTGTCTATCAGCATCGTTGGCTGCTTGAATGCGCTTTATTTCAGCATTTAGAAATGCTATTTATTTCTCTTGCATGCCCACAACAGAAGAATAATTCTAATATTGAATCAATTATAATACATTTTTCATATTGACTGTGTCATGAGTATCCCCTCCTCTATTATGTCTATTCTATTAGTAATTCTCAATATCATCTATGGATACAGAATCTCTCATGCTATCTGACTCACTGTCGCTCATCATCACTTAGCCTTACTCGAATTGCCTAATATCTTCCTCAGAAAATGTAGTTGGGTCAATATTCATTGATTTCATCAGTTTTACGATATCTTTCCTCTTCGTGCTCATTTATCAGTTAATTATTTCAAATTTAGTTTCTAGTTATAATATTCATAGATTAATAATTTCAATCCAAACAAAAACTCTCCATTGATATGGTTCTAAAGACAATATCATTTAATAGTTATTTAATTAAGTTTATAACCTCCTTAATATCCAAAGAAATATTGATTTCTTATAAAAGATGAATTAAATTATTAATTTAATTTTATAAATTTGTTTTTGTAAATGAAAGTTGCCTATATATTTCAGAGATGAATTTTATTTTCCAATTCTCAGTCTATTTACACTATTGTAAATAGTTAGTAAGCCATCGTACAAACTTATATAAAGTTGAATAATGTAATTATTATAAGTAATATGAAAAATTCAAATATTAACAATATAATTAAAATAATGTCTTAAACAAGAACAAGTTCCAAACACAAAAGGAAAAGTGAAAATCGTTTTCAGTAACAAATTAATAGTCTTTTAAAAAATGTAAGTCATCCACCTTCCCCGCTCTCTAAACAATGGATTAAGGATCGAGAGGGAGAATAAAAAAGTTTGTTTGAGGAGGCCAAATAATGTGAATTTAATCATAAAAACCAAACACTAACATAGTTAACAGATATAGGGAAGAAATTATCCAGAATGAAAAAGAAGTTTAGAACTTTCATTACTGATGATAATCGAAAAACACCAGTTTCAGACCATAAAAGCAGAAAATCCACGAAGTCTAAGAAAAGTTAAAGTAAAAAGGGGAAGAGTTCACGCAGTCAATCAAAAACCTAATTAAAAAGTCTAGAACAAAGCAGAAGCAAATCTTCAAAAAAAGTTAAAAAGTCTTTAAAGTCCTCAAACATTTAAAACACTCCATAATTAATTCAAAAAACCTTTGAGACTAAACTTGGAAGTTTCTCTAAGGAAATGTAATAATAAAGAGATAGTTCAAGACCTAATGTGAGAATCCAAGACTCAAGAAATTCAAAGAATACTGTTGGTAGAACTTCAAGGTAATTTATGTTGTTTATTGAAGTTCTTCTCGTAAAGCTCGCTCTCCCAAAAAACAAGTCAAAAATCAAAGATTTGAGTCTCCTTATGAAGAATCAAGTTCTTTTTCAGATTCTAGTGATACAAAAGAAATTATGAAATTAAAAATGAATCCTTCGACTGCATAATCTAGATATGACGTATTAATGGACAATGACAAAAACATAAAAGAATTTGAAACTGGACAATTAAACAAAGAAGAGAACCTCATGCTAACAGCTAAACTAGAATCTGTCACAAAAGAAAAACTATTAAAAGAGTATAGGATTCTGTATTACAGAAGTAAGTAAGTCAAAAATTTACTTACAGAGTATTACGAACAAAATTTGCGTTTGACTTAAGAAATCAATGAATTACAATAAATTATTAATGAGAAATAACTTGAAAATAAATAAGTCAGAAAAGAAGTAAAATCTCTAACTAAAGAAATGAAAATTATGCAATCAGAATACAGCACTAAATTAGATCAATTGGGAAAATCATATTAATAGTAAGAAATTAATAGTGTTCCATTAAACAGTTTTGAAAGATTGAAATAAGAAAATGAAAAAGTTCTAATCGAAAATGAAATGTTAAAGAAAGATTATAAAGCTATATGTCTTAAAATTCAACAAATAGAAAATGGGGTCTATTAAAAGAGATAGTATGAAATCCCAGAGCAAGAAATTTCATAAAGATTTCAAAGAGAACTGGAATCAGTCAAAGATTAAACAGAGAGGATTAAAGAAGAAAATATGAAATTGAAATTACAATTAGATAGAGAATTGATTTCTAATAGAGAACTATCATAGTAAATCTAATAAAAGAAAAATGAGCTTGATGGAAATGCTGAATAAAAGTAAAATGAATTATAATCATTAAAATCTCATTTGTAAACTGCTAATACAAAAAATTAGAAACTAGAATAACAATTAACCTAAATGAAATATTAATTGATTTCAGAATAGGAATAATCATTTTAAATTCGTGAAAAAGTCATTCGATAAGAAGAGGAGTTAAGAATATCCAATCTGAAAGTAGAAAACAGAGAAAAAGAAATAAATGAATAAAGATCAAAAGAATTGATTTTAAAGAAAAAGATATTAGATTTAGAATCTAAAATTTAAAATCAAACATAATAGCCTTAATCTAACTTCGAACCAATCATTACTTTCAATAAACCAAAAAATTCTGACTCAAGTATATTAAATCGTAATTAAATTAGTTATTAATAAGGAATTATAAGTTGAACGATAGATATTAGCAAAGACTTAAGAGCAATTATTAAGTATTTAAGGAGAATATGATCAATTAAAACGAAATCTTAAATAAATTGAGTTCGAATTATAATTTGAAAGGCAATAGAATGAGTAAATCAAAATAAAATTCTCCTAATTGTAACAGGAAAAGGAATTCACATTTAAAAGAGCATAAAAACAATTTGATGAAACTGAAAACAATCGTTTAAAGGAATTCTATTTAACTGAATAACAATGTAAAAATCAAGAAAACTAAATATTATCTGCATAATAAAGAATAAGTGAATTAGAAAATGAACTTAGAACGTATTAAAATAAGGAGTAAGAATTTAAAGAATTAATAAATGATCAAACAATTTAAATCGAAAAATAATAATTAAAATTAGAGTAAAATTCAACAAATTTAAGTGAACTTTCAAATTAGCTTAAAACAATTGAAAATGCTAATAAAATATTAGATGAAAATAATAGACAACTAAAAATGCAAACATAATAATTAATAAAAGATTTAGAACAAACTGATAAGTTAAAGGATAATTATAAAAATAAATACCTTAATAATGTGTACGAAAACAAAAAGTTATTGGACTAATATCAGGAAGTAATTGTAATCTAATATTTAGAAAGAAAATAATTTGAAATAGAATTATACAAGTGAGTTGGAGAAGGTTAAATGTTAAAAGGAGTAATTAGAAAAAGTGAAGAATCAAGAGGAATCTTAGCGATAATAAAAAGATAAAAAGCTAAAAGTTATAAATGAACTATAGCAAATGATAAAAGGACATAAAATGGCTTTTGACAAATGAAAATTAAATTCACTATTAAATTAAGCATTAAAATCTTAATAAAATATATATAATGTGTCAAGGTTTATGCAAGCCTTTTTTACAACCAGGATTGCAATCTCTACATTAATTACAGCAGGTAAAGTATTCATCCCCTCCGCACGTTCTGCATGAAAAATATTTGAGTTTGCCTGGATGAAATATACATGTCTCAAATAAAATTTTTAATTACTTCTTCATTAAATCCTTCCTTTAAAGTGATGTTGCAACGAACACAGTTCCAAAAAGCACCAGATTGTCTAAGAAGCTTAGATGTTTCTTCAATTTCTTATAATTGTGCTTAGAGCTTAATTATTGACGTTTCATCGCTCTGAATGGTTTTTAGTAGGTCTTCACCCAATTGTTTTTTGTGAATGGGGTAAGTCTGGATTTCTTTATAGGCAGGATTGGTGGAAATATCTATTTCAAAGGATTGATCTTTGCCACTAATTAAATCAATTAATAATGTTAGTTATTTAAGAAGAGAAGTTTTTTCTTTCAAATAGAATTCCCATTCATCATTTTCCCTCCTCAATAGCCGTTCTTCCCTTTCGAAGGTGTAAATTTTTTAATTAACTTGATGCATTTTGTCAGAAACTATAGAAAACATTTTCTTTAATTCTTGCTATTCAAACTAAGTGATCTCTTTGATTAGTATAATAAATACCTAATGTCTATTGACATTTTTAGATTATCTTATTTACAGGTAGGATTTCCTCTCTCTAATCTTTTGGCTTGCTTTTACTTTTTTCCTACTTCATTTAATTTTTGTTTATGAAAAATGATGAATAATTAATCAATAAATTTATATAAAAAATACACAAATTGAATGAAATCCTCTGATCACTAACAATAAAATTCAGTTGGTTGGCTTTTAAACTTGGTTGGAAAATTTTCTCCAAAAGATTTAGAGAAATCAAATCTAAAGGAAATTGGAGAAGAATATATGAAAAAGATCTTACTCTATCCTCAACTGTAATCAGGGAATGTTTTTAGTTACAACTAATAAAAATAAGAATTCTCCGAAAAACTATTTCATATATATCCGAATATTCTAATATGTCAACAGGACAAAATTCATACTCATTTAATATTGAGTAATTGCAGTATTTAAAAAGAGTTAATCTAATACAAAGAAGCAAAAACCTATGGATTAATTATATCTAATAATTTAGGGAACACATATCTATTCTTTTCTTAATTCATTCAGTATCGAAACTGGTACAAATTGATGAAATAATATTGTAAATTGAATGACTTTTTTGGGAAATACAAATTGACAGATAGAATGTTGCCTGGAATTTATTAATGCTACAAAAAAACTGTAATTATTTGTTTTTAATTTAGAATAATGCATAATTCACAGTTCAAATATACAAGATGGAAGACTTTGAATAATGGCCTGAGATAGAGGAGGTTGTTCATAATGAAATCTAAATGCTGCGATCAATCAAGCATTCAAATTTGTTGCAATTAAGAAGAGTATACGAAGATGACTCATATTTATTCATCCTATATGAGCATTTCAAAGGAGAATCCCTTTATAATTTAATATTAACAAATCCGTTACACGAAGTTCAAATAGCTTCAGTAATTAGCTTATCTATTAAATTAGATCGTTTATCAAATCTTGCAACTGCTTAAATTTTTGGATAAACATTAATTTTATCATGGAAATCTCAACCCTCTAAACATAATTATTAACTCCAATAATTAACTCCTTCAGATCTTTTTGATTAACTTATCCTTCAAAGTATTGATTGTATTGGTATCTATAGCAATATAGAATAAATGACAAATTAGACTGGATTTTGAATAGATAGATCGAAGGATTTATAGCCCCTGAGTTTTATAATGGAGTACCCCCAAATATTACCTCTGATTTGTATAGTTTAGGAGTCTTGCTTTATTTCATGACATTTCCAACACAGTTGCCTAGTGAGAAGCATTTTGATAAATATGAAATCGATACAACTAAAATTTAGAAATTATTGTAGAAGAAATTGTCTTAGATTCCTAATGATGGAACCTCCCCACTTGATAAATCAATAGAGAAGAATATCAGTCTAAGCGAATTAGATTTATTATCAAAATTGCTAGAAACCAATCCTAGTATTTATTTCTTAAATAATAGAGCAAAGAATCACAATATCTGATAGTATGAAACATCATTGGTTTGTGAATATTAAGAGCAAAATTAAATAGCTGAATGTTATTAAAAAGAAAAAGGTAGAATTACCTTCATTAAGAACAATTATAGAATTAAGATCCTAAAGTGAACTAGATCTTAAGGTTTAATCTTAACTATCCAATAACAGACGACACTCAAGATTAGCTGCAAACTAGGTTGATGATTTTGATGTAGGTAATCTTTGAATATATTAAAGTTAGTTCCTGATGAAGGGCATCCTTTAGAGTAGGTTGCTGATCTAGATTTTTGTTAATTGCTAAGAAGCAGCACTTAATTAAGAAAATTATAAACCTTAAGCAACAAATCCATTGGTTGATTTAATTCGAATGTATGATTTATAAAAATATATATATCAGATCTCAAATTATCAGCTTTTCAAAATATGATTTTCTTATCATACATACATATTAATAAAGATGAGTTCATTATCTTTGCTGTCACAAAACAAACAAATAGAGCCTTATTTGGAACCAAAGAACTTCCAGGCTATGGTCTAAAGAGATTAAATTTATATTTACTTTTAGAAAAAAAAGTTATTTATTCTTAAATAATCCAGAATTATCCTAAAAGGTATTAAAATCTTCAAATCATTCAATAAATTTGAGAAGATAATATCCATTGGTTTATTTTCTAAGAAACCAGCAAATAGATAATAAGGAATTGGGGCTAGAGGACTAATAACCTTGTATATAAAATGTAGTACTAGTTTAAATTTGGGGGAGTATTGTCTCTGTCCTAAAAATTGATTTAATTTCACATGCAATATAGAATTGAAATTAGTTGACATAAATCCATATGTAAAATTTCTAAAATAATTGATTTTGAATGGATCAGATATCTTATTATGTAATTTTTTACATCGTATTCATCTTATATTTATTAAAATTGGTCTGAATACTTGCGTCTGTATGAATTATCAATGAATGATGTAATGTAATCCATTGAAATGAATCCTAATCCAACCAAAGAATATGATGCTATTCTCCCGGACATTGTGGGTTTTATTTTATACATAAATAAATTAAATATAATAATATGAATTGCATATTATTAGTAAAATTCATATAAATTAATTAATAAGTATCATTCATTTACGAATTTCTCCTCATCATCATAATCTAATTCAAGACAATGTAATTATTTTGAAGAGAAATGAGAAGTGTCTTTGTTTTCACTTATCTATATACTACTGATAATTTCTTCTAAATTCTTTAAAGTAATGGGCTTAATATATACTTCCTTCATTCCTGCATTCAATAAATTAATTAAATCATCTTCCCCAGAGAATCCTGTCAATCCGAAAATAGGTATCTAGAATTTCGGTTGCTCTCTAAACAAAAGTGAAAGTTATTTTGCTGCTTCTTACCCATTCATAATAGGCATTTAGTAATCCATAATTATGGCCTTATATCCTGAACATTTATGATCTTCAAATTATGAAATGCTTTTCTCAATCAGATCCAGACATTACTGACCATTATCTGTTTTTATAGATTGATACCCCAATTATTTCAATAAAGATTCCAAGACCAGTAAATTGTAGGGTTCGTCATCTACTATTACAATTTTTTAATCGCAGCTACAAGGTGCTGACTAGAATAATATCCTACTCCCACCACTATTTCGATGAAGGCTTGAAGGATTGCCCCCAGAATATAATTAGTTACTCCCCTTTTTAATATTACTTATGCTACTATTCTAATAATTAAGATTTAATTAAGGAGATCTCTTAACCTTATGAAAGATATTTGTACGACTACTGATTTCTGGATCAGTCCAAGCATTATATTTGTGACTAAAACTATCGAAATCTCCCACCTCTCCTTCCACTTATATTTAAGAACCTTCTTTATTATATAAATCGCTAGCCATAAAGTCTGTCAGTTATGCAATTCTACACTTTAAATGTATGCAAACTGTGGTTCCTTAATTAATGATTGAATCTATTGTAATGTAGTTTTCTTCCTCCTTTCCTCCTAAAAATTTAATTAATGTATTCGATGCTCTTAAACCAAGCATAATCCCTGAAGCTGCATCAGAATTCTATTCTTCATAAAATTCTTCTTCATTTTTCAATAGGTTTTAGATTGCTTCTAATTTTTATTAATTGATTCCAATCCCATTATCTTTAATTTCTATAAGATAATAATCATAATTATTGGTATTTGTTGCTTGATTATTGTTTGAAAACTAGCTGCTTGGATTTATGTATTATTTAAAAATAGTATTCTTTCTTAAGGGAAAATGGAAGGAGCTTTCATTTATATCTAAAGAGCTTTTAAAAAGTTAAGAAGGATTGGATGGTTAAATGAGTTTTTTTTCATATTCTTTAGAATTTTATAAATGCTTATCTTAACTATCTTTACTGAGAGTGATAAATATTTAACCATTTGACCTATTAAATTTCAAACTGTTGGATATGATATGTATCAAAATACTTTAAAATTTTTCATAATCAAGCATCTCATATTATGTTTAGTTAATTAATTTAAAGAATATGATTTTCACATCTTTTAGGTCAGCTTCTTCCTAAAATAAATCTATCGTTTCTTAAACGACTTAAATTAATTTACATTTTTATATTTTAGTAACTAACTTTTATTCTCGAATCAAGTTGTAATCTATTATGGAATTTATTATCAGGTTCTGTATTCTACAGTTATTGAAGGCTGCTCTTATCAATTTATTTGTTTCCTTATCAAATAGTTAACTTTTGTATTAGATTACTTCAAGAAAGCCTTATATAACATTCAACCTGGTTCTAAGTTCATGAGAAATTGATCTTATTACCTAACTTTTGAATCTATTAAGATTTTTATAGTAAGATGATTTGAAATTAGGTGAAATATCATAGAAGTTTAATAAAATTGCATTCTTATTCATTCCATATTGTAGCTTTGTTTTTATTCTGACTTCAATCATGACTGGATATTCTGATGTTTAATTGTTTTCATATTAGCATTGCAATTGATAAATGTTTCCATTTGATAAGCAATCGACATTGTTGATTATGTCGAGAGCCTAATTTAGGTTGATTTAATTTAAATAATTTGTTTCCTTTAATTCCTCAAATTTCTGCTGGCTTTCAATATTAAATTGCTCTTGCAATTGAGTTGAATTCAAATAAAGTCCTTAAAAAAACTATACAATCTCATTTAAGGAAAAAGTGATAAATGATTCTTAAGAAGACAAGTTCTAGTTTTAAAATACATTCAGTGATTTAGTTCCAGTCAAGCCTCCATTATTTAACTAATGCATCATTTTTTTTGTGAAGCTATTTGTAAAAAGGACGTCTTTGCTATATGAATCAAGGACACAAACTGCACTTGGTATGCTTCTCAATGTTTAATCGGCAAATTGAGAGACTTTACTCAGACTAATTAATTGTTAATCCCAGAAATACAATATCATTATTATGAATATTATTATGTTGAGAGATTGTAATGATTTGAAATGAAAAGTGATATTTCTGATTGCAAAATATGTGTAAAATTTCAGTAATAAAACAATTCTTAATTTTATCGTTCTTACTATTCCTAGAATCAATAACAAATTTATAAACATTTAACATATCGTTAGAATCTTACCATCAGATTCATTGGATAGGAAGATTTCTGTCAAAAATAATTAAAAAGATGTCTCAATCAGTATGAAAGTCAAATTGATCAGTGTTAAACGATGCTATTCCTTTAAATGTGCAATAATATTTCTAACTACATACACTAACAATAGCACCCCAACAAAACAAATGTAAAAATAATAGGTAGTTAGTTATCTGTTGAAACTTTAAAAGTACAAAGAATTGTAAATTATTATATATACCAGTCCAATTATCGCATAAATTTTGACTAGAGTAATAAACGCAGGCCATATTTTCTCGAGAATCATTTGATTGTGTTGAGCTATGTATCTCTGATTGGTATAATCATCAATTATAATCAGAAGGTACTCTTTTAATTTTTTTATTAACATATAAAAATTATTCATAAGACCTCATTTGACAAATATCTAGACGAATTAATTTTCCAAATCATCTCTTTTGAACAAGGATAAATTCAAAAAGATTTCCTATCAAAAAATAATAAAATTAATATGCACTTTATCCAGAAAATAAGATTTCTTAAAGAAACAAGGCAATTTATTTACAGTATATATTTAATTAAAAAATTAAGTTATTAGCAAAAATCAATAACAAATTTGCGCTTCATTTTTTTTAAATAATTAATAGTACTTAATTGATTTTCTAAAGATATTATTTATAAATTAATTAATTAATACTTTTAATAGCTTTAATATATTAGCACGATTATTTATTACAAAACAATACATAAAAAATATTCAAACCTTTTATTTCTAATTTATTAATTAAATATTACATTTTCTCTGTCGGTATCAAACTCTTAATTGTTAGCTTGCTTTCTCCTTCTCCTTGACATTTTAGTTTATTTAGTTTTATGATCAGAATTACTTGCTTCATATCCTTCTTCATCCCCTTCTTCATTCTATATATCCTTATCTTTCTTGCTTTTTTAATACTAAAATTGCCTTTATTTATACATACCTTATTCTTATTTTATTCATCTTCTTCGCTTTATTATGGAGTTCTCTCTTCATCACCATCATAATTGAAAATACTAAAAAATATAAATATTAAAACCTTTTCCTCTCTTTTGTTTAATACCCGCTTTAAAATTATTCCTTCAATATTTAAGTTTAATTGATCTAATTGAATTACTTATAAATTAAAATACTTCTTGAATGGTAGATATTTCAATGAACTCTTAAATCTAATCCAACCATTGATCTTGAGTTAAATTCTTAATATATGGATTATCTTTCAATTCACTCAAAAAGTTCAAATATTAGTAGTCATGTATTTGTTCTTAAAAGTAAGTTTTGAAGGAATCTTGAGTTTAAGAGATTAATTTCTTGTCATCGTGTTACTCGTTTAAACATAATAAAGTTTCGTAATTCTTTCTGAGGACTGTGACATATTGCTAAGATAACTTGGTGGAGCAAATTTATTCGGCATTAAGTAAGGCTATTGGCCCATAAACAATAATGTTTGCAAAATATGAAATTAAATTGCTTATGATTAATAGAAGATTACTTAATTGTTTATTGTTTTTGGATTAGGTATGCATCAATTATTTAATTGGACAAGGAATTGTCCTTCAATAATTACAAATATTAATCTTAAATCATTTTAATATAATTAATAATAAATAAATAATCATAAATCGATAAATATCTTCATTCACTGCTTGAAGATAGATTGATTTAAATTAACAATTTAGTCTTCCACAATTGTAAGCATTCTTGAAGTGGAATTTATTGTTTCCAACCACTAGTGATTGATTGAAGAGATTTCAATCTCAATGAAAAGGAACTGGGCTAATAGAATACAGTTTATGATTTGCAATCTTTCTTGATTTGCTCAACACTTCTGCTTTCATGGATAAATTAACATCTGGCTCCGTAAAAGCATACCTATTATATTAATAGATTTAACATATTCTTAATGGAAAGATCTACATAGTTTCGACTTATATTTCATATTAGATTACCGAGTAATCTTCTCGTTCTCACCATGAGCAAATTAGCATTTATTACTATAATTGCATCTGCCAAGAAGACTCCAATTCTTACACATTTCTGTTTTGAATTTTGTGTTGCTCTAAGATTCATCACTAGAGGAGGTCATTTCTTCGATGGGATCATCATCTTAAACATAGAAGTCAGTGCTGATCGTTGTTAAGGTAGCTACGGTGCTCATGGATCCTCTTTTGTCAGAATCCGATTAATCGTTGAATGAAATTCTCTTGGCATTTTTTAAACACTTCTGTGTCCATGTTGGTTAACTGGGAACATAATCATTCAAATCAGCGTTCAGTGATCGCCTACTATTATTCATATTTCAGAACCTTTCTGAATTTAACTTCTAACTTTTTGTTTGAACCGAGGTTCTTTATTTATAAGTTCTTAGCTTATTTACATCTGACATGAACAAGATGAGTTTATTTAGTAAACAGAAAGGAAAATGTTTATATAAATAATATATAGATTTTATATTAAAATTTATATCAATGATTGTCAGGATGCATTTAAACGCAATGAAGATGGCCTATGCCATTTCAAACAAATTGGCTGCAAACAAGATCAACAAACTCTCTTCAAGGATTAAATAAAAATAATCTGTAGAAGATGTTCATAATCTATAAGATTTCTTAACCACTCAAATCTAAGAGAGTATCTCTATCATTTATTTACATTAGACAAGCTCTATAACACTATTCATAGGACATCCAAATATGATGATGGATTTGATGAATTTTTGGCTGAATACAAAAAGAAGCATAAAAACATTTTAGATCTAACTCATTATGCAACATCTCCACTGAATAAAACCAATCAACTCAGAGAAGAGGAATTTAGATAATTGCAATCATTTCTTGATAAAAGAAAGAGATCATTAAAACGTGAAATTATTATCGATCAAAATTAAGTGACTGATGAATCAAATCCTGAAAAAAATAAAATTGTCGAAAAAAAAGGAGGATACAATTACCCAAAAAATGTTAATCGCTCAGGTTTCAAAATCAAGGATCAATTTTTTGTTGTCCTTATTGATAGAGACACTAATACTTAAGTAACTACCTTATAAAGAATCAATTCTTTCAGACAACTCATTTTTATTGGAAATGGCAATGGTGTTATAGGATATGGGTATCATATTAAATTTTGAAAATAGAAAAGGAAAGGGTAAAGATTTTGAAACTGCATTAAGAAGAGCAAAAGTAGATGCTAAAAGAAATCTAGTACCAATAAGTCTTGACTTATGGCATACCTGTCCAATCCCACTTACAGGAAGATTCAATGATGCTGAAATTGAAATTAATCCAAGACCATTAGGATTCAACGCCTATGGTAATCCCCAAATTGCATCCATGTTAATGTTGACTGGAATGCATCATTGCAGTTTCAAGGTCAGATCAAGGAATTAGGTTCCCTATTCTCTACTTTATGCATTCATGCAAGCTGTGACAAAGTAACAACAATCTTATTTTCTTTAGTAATGCTACAGCTGAAGAAGTCAGTGAAGCTAGCGGTATGAAAATATATAGACAGAATTGGGGTAAAAAAATTGGAAGAACAGCTCCATTAACATTCGACGGAATCTGAGTTGCTTTGTTTTTACAACATTCAATATATATATTTAATCCTATTTATTTATTTTTTTAATCAATTAATTATTAAACCATGTCCCTTGTTTCTTACATTTTCTTGAATTGAGTATGAGTTGAGATATCAGAACATTAGTACTCTTTTTAGATTAATAAATTTAAAATTAGTAATTTAATTTATTCTCACATTAAAAAAATATACATCCCTTTAACTAAATTTATTTTATTAACTTTTAAGCTCTAATCTATCAACAAAAAATCATGTTGTCTTTATTTTCAATTTCCCCTTAAAATCATTTCTAAATTCTTAATTATTATAATATTTTTGTTTTGGTTAGTAATTTCGGTAACAACAATAATTTTCTGGAATACAATTAAGTTACTTTTTTCTATTTTTCACTTGATTTCACTTTGCTGTTATAGTTACTCTATTATTCGTAGATTTCTTGGATGTTAATGAGTTTAAACACTTGGTTCTATGGACGTCTAATATTTTATATTCAAATTTGATATTATGTAATCTTTAATCCATTATTATTAATTGTGATGAACGAATAATTCAATTAGGCTCATTATGATATAAAACAATAGATTACACATTATGAGCATGACTTGGATCATTTTTGGACAACTCTAACAGGGTAACAAATACAACATTAAATTAAGGGCTGTTGTTCTAATTATGCAGTTGGGGTTTGCATTTCTAGAGGGTGGGTGTGTACGATATCGGAACATTCAAAGTATCATTATCAAAGTTTATGCTAACACAGCAATAAGCATAATTATGATGTGGATAGTATGAATAAGTTAAAAATTAGGTTGGCTATGGATTAATGATGGGTAAAACTAACGACTCATAATTTAATGGGATAAGTGGCTTTGCAGGTTTCAGATTTAAAGATCATCCTGAATCTTATGCCGATTTTGTATTTAACACGGCATTGGCTGCTGCAGCTAACAGTATCGTATCTGGAGGAGCAGCTGAAAGAATGTCAATACCTGGTTATATTGCTCTGAGTGCATTATTTTCTGGTTTTATTTATCCTATTTGTATTCATTGGGCATATAAAGGATGGTTATATGATTTGGGTTATCATGATTTTGCTGGAAGTGGAGCAATCCATTTAACAGCTGGAATTGGAGCTCTCGTTGTCACTTATATGCTTCGGCCAAGAACTAATAGATTTAATCCTTAGTTTGAATCGTAATTTAAGCCTTCAAATACTACTTTTATTTGTTTATCCTGTTTGACTTTATACATGGCTTGGATGTGCTTCAATTCAGGATCTACTTTAGCGTTGTCTGATGGTTCAGTCTTCACTGTTGGAAATTCAATTGCTAACACAATGGTAGGTGGTGCGAGTGGAGGATTATTTGTGTTCTTTTATCATTATTTTACTAACAGAAACACTGATAATCGTTTTAGTTTAGTGATGGTTTGTAATGGCAATTTGGCAGGCCTAGTAGCAGTAACAGGGTAAAAGTTAATTATGATTTTTAAGATCAAATGATGAAATAGAATAATGGGCAGCCTTTTTGATAGGGATTATTGGAGGAATCATATATATCTTGGTGGCTAAAATATTACATAAATTACAAATAGATGATCCTGTTGATGCCATTCCTATTCATGCTGGATGTGGTTTAGCAGGAGCCATGTGTCCAGGGTGGTTTGATAGAAGAAGAGGAATCTATTATGAATGGGGTGCATATTAATGGGGAGTTTAAGTGCTCGGTTGCGTATGTTTTATTGCATGGTAATTCCTTTATGGTAATTGATAGGTCTGTAGCTTGGCATTATGTGGCTTGCAAAATATTGGAAAGACTGAATTTGCTTAGAGTCCATAATAGCATAGAAATGGAAGGGTTAGATCCAACGATCTGTGGAGGACATGCTTTCTTTTATGAACCCGTAAGAGAATAAGAAATGAAAGAGCCCTATTCATTTTAAAGAGACATTCAACAATTAGAATAAGTGAAATTAAACGAAATGGAAATAGATGAGAGAAATCTATCTATTTTCAAATAAGCTGATAAATGAAAAATATTTTGGTGAATTTAATATTCATAAATCTATTTTTACTTTTCTTTCTCTTGCATTAACAACATAGGTACTATTTTAAATAAATGTGTAATCTGGTTAAAATGCATTAAAATCTATTGTTTGGTTTTTACCATATGATCTTAGTACCCAAAAATGATCACTATTGTTTGTGATTACTGTTTCAAAGATATCATCAAATGGTCTTCCTGGTAAATAGGTTTTAGATTCATCCTCGCAATTAACAGTTCTTATTCCCATAGAACCATCTCCGAAGTACACAGTTCCTTTATCTGACTTTTTGTTAGCCTTTAGAGGGTAAGTTCTTTTATATTAATGAACATGATTTTCAAAAGCCCCCACAAACTCATAGGTATCGAATAGAGGTACCCAAACAGCTCTAGCCTATAATAAATTATCCCAAGAGTTCATAAAAGAATTATTATTATAACAAGTAGGGTAAATAGGAACATGATAATGGGCGAATTTATTAAGTGAGGCGTAAGCTTCATTTTATAGAATTGAAATCATCCAATTTGATTGTGTTCCATAATGAGGATATAAATAGCCAGAATCTAATCCAAAGAGTAGGAGGTTTTGCATCTTTTAAATATTGAAGGTCACTCTATGTTTGATTGGTAGAACAGTATTATTTGTAGATTTTCTCTAAGGAAAGTAGGTGAAATATAGAGGTCCCCTTTCATCAGACACAGTTATATTGTATTTAGCATAATCATTGAATCCAACATCATGATTACCAACTGAGAAGATGAATGGAATCAATCTTCCAACCTTTGCAAATTGACTTTCAAAAACTGATAATAGCAAATCAAATGAATAATAACAATGTACGTTGCCATTATCATAAGCAATGTCCCCTCCGATCAAAATAGCATCAGGATTGACTTTGGTAATCTAATCAACAATCATCAATCCTTTTTTTTAATAACCCCAATCTCCTCCGAACAAAATCACAACGTCATCATCTGAATACTATTCTGCTATTGTTCTGTACTTTGTAGAATTCAAGACTTTCTCCTTGTAGATTAGATCCACATCATAAAGAGTATATGATTTAAGACCTGTAAATAAACAGGTGAATACATTCCTCTACCCTCGTTCTTCAACGGATGATGGAAAAGGTATTTTGTCACACTTTATATTAATTTTCGAATCTTAAAACCTGAATTAAGCATCCAATTCCTTAATGTCAGTTCCAGAATGCACATTGATAAAAACTTCTGATGATGTCTCTTCAGGTAAAGTTGCATATATATGACACAAAGTTCCCTTTGGGCATACTTCATCTGGCAACCAATTTGATCTAGTCCATTTAGATGAAAATTGTAAATCCAAAAATGTATCTACTCCATAGGCCTTATTATAAACACAGAGGCATCCTTTTTGAAAGGCTAATGGAAGGAAGATGGAGAAAAATACTACAGTGGTCAATTCAAACGCCAAAAGGTACTTGAAATATAAGGCTGCACTAGTGTATCTCTTTTTAAAAGATTTACCTAAAAATATATTATTATTTTATTTACTTTTCCAAAATTACGAATGTCTCCATATTTATACTAAAATTCCGAACATTCCAAGCAGAAATATTAATAGTCCGCAAACCCAAGATGGGATCAAATTAAAAACTGAGTAACTAACCAAGGCTAAAGCCAAAGGGCCTATAATAAACCAAAATAGAACAATGTTGATTGATTCCACTATAATGGCCGACATTGGTTTTTCTTAAATTCATTAAGATAAAATTTTCTTACATTCTTTTTTTACTTCAAAAAATGAATCAGTAATATTAATCTAACCCACTAACTTCTACTTTTTAGGCTTTAGTAAAAAGTACACTATAACACTTAATATCACATTAACTACGAAAATCCCCATTGAAACAAGCACAACTACCTAAACTTATAGGTTTTAACTACTTTAGCAACTTCCATTGCAAATGAGTGATCATATGTCATACCCTTACCATCCCAAAGCAAATCAAAGAACGTCATATTTTGTGATTAAATATGTATTATTATATATATATATTTTTAATACTTTAATTAATATGCATATGTAATTGATGTAAATTTTTGATTTTGAATTGTTACTTCAATTAAATGTTCTTAAGGAAGTGAAATTTTTTAATTTTTATTATTGCCTTACAATCATTCATTTTAGGGTTACTTTTTCTTAAAAATCCAATTTGCACATAAAATTACTCATTTCAATAAAAATGTCTTCTGCATCCTCAAAGTCTATATATTGGCTAAAACATAATCTGCAAACACAATATTAAGGGATTATAGAATTAAATGCTATTCAGAATAATTTTATAATTAAGAAATACAATTTACAATAATGAGTGAAAATTGTTTTTCTATTGAAGAGCAAGTTCGTATTTTGAACTTATATACATAAAGTTAGAAACTTTTGGCTTTTCAAATCCAATAACTATCAGATTAAATCCAAATGCACAAGGAATCATTTAAGTAATATACATAATTGGTTGGGAACTTTATGCAATAATTATAAAATATTATGCCTCTTGACAATGAAAAATTAAAAAAGAAAGCTATTAAGCATTAGTGGATAAAATTATATGTTAGCAAATTTAGAATGCAATGTTGGATTCATGAAGATTTCTGCACCTACCTAACTTGTAATAAAATTTCTATTACAAATTCAAAGATAAATAAACTAAATTTAGAGGATGAGAGTAGCAATTTTGAAGAGCTCGCAACTTCTAACATTATTTAAATAAATTCGTTTATTGCAGAAAAATTGTTAGAAGATAATCAAAATATTCATTAAAATATACAAAATGATATAAACAACCTTCAACTTTATCAAATAATAGAGAGATTGAGTGATTAAGTAGAAATTTTAACATAGGATTAGATTTAATAAATTTATCTCAATTTTAACAAATATAAGTTAGATATCATAGAAAAATTGTTTTAAAATGTCTTAGCTTTTATTTAAACACACTATAAAGATTTTTTAAAGCAATCTGTGCTGCAGCAACCCTAATTACCTAAAGAATTAAGGTATGAAAATTTCGGTAATAATATTGAGATATTAAAATAAATTGAAAAGTATATAAACATACAAGAAACAGATGAAACTAAACTGGATAATCTTCAAAGAGGACTCTACCATTTGCGCCTATAAAAGTAGAGGAAGATGTATATCATTCTTGAAGTTACACCAAAGAAAAAATAAAATGCCTATATTATTAATTACTTCCAACATTATAAAGAGGAATCTGCAATTATTAACATACTTAAAAATAACTTTAATTGTTACTATATAAGAACAATAAAATTGTAAAAGGTTTAAGAAGCTTATTTAATTTTTAAATACCTAAAATTGAAAAATGCATTTTAGTAAAAATAGAATTAAATCATAGAAATCTATCAAGCAGAGAGTTTTGAATTAATTAATATTTAAATAATGAATATAATCAACTATATGTTTTAAACTAAGGAGAAGATCAGAAGTTTTATGTCAAAAATAATTAACAATTAAAAAGATGTAAATTACATATATACATTCAATTTTGTAAAGAGTTTGCAAGAGAAAACAAATTTTGAGATTACACTCATCGAAAGAATTTAATTTAATTAAAACATTAAGTCCATTGAGTATTAGCGATCAATGTTAGGAGCCATTTTGGAGGACTAAAACAAAATTACATAAGGAGTAGTACTTTATTTAAATCGAAGAATAATGTTGGTCTTTCTCGACAATTTATAATATAATTATTAATAAGAGTTAAATACCAAATCTAATCAATTTTTAAAGATAATAAATACTAAGGTGAAAAATATTGAAGCAGAAGCTGCATAATTTTATATTTCAGTATTACTCAAATATTAAATAACAAATGTGGCAAGAGATATAAAGAGTTTTTTAGAATAAAAGACATCTGCTTGGGTTAACATTTTACAGATTGTTAACTAAAAAAAATGATATTATATTTTATCGTTAAATAATGCATAATAACAATTCTTTTTTCTAGAATGACATAAGTTAACAGTAAATTGATTAAGCACTCTTAAGATTGAATGCATTACTCAAGGATGAACCTCCAAAATAAGAAAAATAAAAGTTTAAAAAACCTCTACTTATTAATTAAGAAGATGCATCAAGTATAGTTTCATCATAACCTAACTATACATAGTAAACTAAAATGACATCTGAATAGATCAATCATTTTGTTGATAGAATGAATGATAAATTTAAACAGTAAATAGTATTTTAAAGTCATTCATAGAACTTAGAATAAAATAATTGAGCTGAGAAAAGATAAAATATATTCTCCAATTAAAGTGAATGAAAAGAGTTAATCAATTCTCAAATAAAAAATATAAAATGGTGAATATTAATCATTATATGAAAGAGCTAAAATCAGGTAAATTGAAAAATAAGAGAAGATCAAAGAAAATCAAAGATTAAAAATGTTAGAAGAAATGATGAGTATGAAAACCAAATGTAGTGAATCAAAATCAGTGGATAATTTCTTACAAAAAATGGATTATTGGTTAGAGAAGAAGACTCAATACATCTAAAATTAGTAATAAGAAAAAATAGAAAAAGAATTGGAAGGAGTTACATTTAAACCTAATCTTAATCCATTATCCACTAAGATAGCTAAACAATAAAATAAGGATAGTGATCTATTAGAACGCTTTTAGAAATCCAATCAAAATAAATAAATGAATGAGTAAAGATTATTAAAGGATGAACTAAAAAAAACCCCATTTACGCCTAAATTAAACAAAAATTCGATTCTAATAAACAACAAAGCATAAAAATAATAGTAATTCCGAAATCACAACTATTTCTTAAACTAGTAAGCATTGAACTAATCAAAAGACTCAAGTTTAATTAATTTTAATAGCACTATTCAGAAATAACTAGTATCAAATGAAGCATTTCATTCAAAATAATCTAAATCCTTGACTCCTGATAATAATCGATCTAGATATTCCACTGAAAAAATCAAAGATGATCACTCAATTAAAAAGAGATCGACCACTCCTTTGAAACAAAATAAAATAATCCCAAATGTTTAAGAGGTCAAATATAATCCAAATCTGAAGTTTTTGATGACATTAGCCTAAAAAGATTTGAATTATTCATCCTTATTTTGATTCTATAGATTGACCATCTCCAATTTATAACAATTCAATAGATACTATTATCCAATTTTATTTTATAATAATTCAATTCTTAATTAACCTTATTTCTTATACTATTTATATATACTTTTGCTTGCTTCCATTTAGATAGAAAATATAATACCAAAATAAAAAAATGCTGCAAAAGTTAAAATACTAATTAAATATACATCATTTTATAATAATATAACAAAATCCATCTGGGTTGATGAATGTTGACACTAATAATCTGACTGGGAAATCCAAATTTACCTATAAACCTAAGATATTGTATGTTAATTCATTATAATTCAAACTCTAAGATAATATGTAATACAATACATCCTCAAAAATTGGATTTAGAACATTTAAAAGGGTTTCTTTTACATCCTTTAAGACATGGGATCTTTAAATCATATTTCCATCAATAAATATCCTAATTGGAATACTGACTTATTATTCCTTTTTTAATATGCTTAAATCCCAGATTTTGTCAAAGAATTCATAAAATTACGGTCTATAATTATGGTCAGAATAGTTTTGGAACATTTTATACTATTATTCTATAGTAATAGTCTAGAAGATTTATCGTTCCCATTTATGACCATACCTAATCATGCATGCCTATTTTAGATTCCAAAAGTATCTATTTTTGATTTCAACTTAAATGTTCTCTGAAATAGGTAATACATTTTCTGGTCTTTTTTTAAAATGAACAATCATTTCTACTTCCTCATTAATTCTATCTATTTGTACAAAGAAAGGAAGATGCCACTAAATGGGTTAATCATTAAATGACAACCACATGGAGGATCTCACTTTATTTGAGTATCTTATAAAATGATTGTAAATTGATTCGAAATAGAATCCCGGATATTTATTGTTGTAAACTATGCAAACAAAAGGTATGATATCATCAACATCTTAAATGATAAATTTCCCAAGAAAAGATTATTCATTAATTTATTTGCGAATATCTTCTAAACTCATTTATTCTAAAGGTTAATTATCCATACTATAATAATAATATATTATTTATATAAATATTGTAATATAACTTATTTTATTGATCATTCATTTATATGTAATAAAATGCCTTATTCTATAATTGTTTAAGTGAACTAATAACAAGAGAGTTATAATGAAAGATAAATAATAATTTTACAATAGTAAGTTAAATAATAATTCATAAGCAGAGAATTTACAATTTTAAAAGAGGATATGAAAATAAATTAGAAATTTGTGAGCAATATATAAAATAAATATTATAATAATGTTATAGTATGAGGAATAATGAATTTGAAGAACATTTGAATATATTTAGTTTAATATAAGTTTGTATTCTATTGTTTATGTAAATTGGGTGAGAAATTAAATCTTTTTTTAAAATATAAAAAAATGGTTAAAAACTCAGCACAAGACCCATAAGATAATTCACTCTAAATGAAAGTAATTGATAAAAGTGCTATTGGCTTAGACTAGATAATATTTGGTTTCCGGAAGAAGACTTCCATCTAAGGAAGACCCAAATCCCAAAGTGATTAGTATGAGAATCTTTGCAAGAAACACAGTCGCTGCCAAAAGCAGATTCTGGTATAGCATGAGTTAATGGTTAGGTGGAATTTAAGAAGACTCAATAAACTCAGACCTTCACATGGATAGATCTTAGCAGTATAAGAATTATTTGAAAGAAGAGACACAAATGTCAAAACCTACGGAATCGTTCTTAAATACTAATCCAGAACAACCATTCATAATATGTACAAGGAATTCAGAGACACAACTTTAAATGGAGCAGTCTCTTAATTATGTAATTATATTTGATGAAGAATATTTTAGATCAAGAAATGGCTGGAAATCATAGAGCTCAACCATAAACAATTCATATTCTCAGAACATCAGTATTAACAAAGAGTGCTGATATCAAGAGAGGAAAGACTAATTAATACAGAGTACAATTGAAATATAGTTTTAGGGTGACTCAATCAAATTCCCAATTGTCAAAACAGTCCCAAGAGCTAGTCACAAAAAGTTCAGAACAGTGTTCAAAGCCAAAAGACCCAACCTCTACAGATCATGAGCATGTTATTTTAGTACAATAATCATCATATAATAATATTTAATATTAATTAATCATTCCCATTAAGCAACTATTCAAACATCATTTTAAAATTGGTTCTGAAAATATAATTTTAATATAATATAATATAATATAATATAATATAATATAATATAATATAATATAATATAATATAATATATATTATCATTATTTATTAATCAATTTTTTGAAATTAGGCAATTTTTAAACAGGTTCTTGATGATGATGTATCTAGATGGATAAAGATCCTGTAAAAGTCTGAATTTTCATCAAATTAAGATAATTTAAAGCCTCACTTGCACTTATCCTATTTTATGGATTTTCTTCTAACATTTAAGCTACAAGATTTTGGTAGTCATTTGATTTTATTTTTGAAAGTATCTAGTTAGTAACGGTGAAATTTTTGTTATTTTCCATAATTTCTTTTTAAGTGGTTCCTGTGATTAATTTTAGTCCAGTCAACCTAAATTGGTTTATTAATCTTACATTTGGTATAAAATAGCACCACATGCAAAGATATCTACTTTTTCAGATACTTTTTAAGAATTATCAAATATTTCGGGTGCCATGTATCCGGGAGTTCCAAATTTCATGTCTTTATCTTTATCTAAATCCTATAACTTTTTAGCACTTCCAAAATCAATTATATATAATTAGGAAAATTAACCCAAATCATAAAATAAAATATTTTCTGGTTTTATATCTCTGTGCACAAATTCCTTTTTATGAATAAAATTAATCCCCTCCAAAATTTGCTATTGAGCTTAACAATATATACTGTACTTGTATTATGATTATAACTTCCTAACTATTCAATTTGCAATATTTGAGACATTGACCGAGGGAACCCCCTTTTAGATATTATAGCACAATCTGATATGTGCAATCGGATTCGAAGATTTGAATAAGCTTAACTATATTTTTGTGATTCAGTTATCTCAAGCTTTCAACTTCGTTTTGAAATAACTACATATAATAGACATAGTACTTATTAACTATTTTTTTTCAGTTTTTTCAACTCTTTCAAAGCAAAAACCTATTCACCATCAATTCTTTTGATCAATTGAATCTTCTTTATAAATAGATTTAAATACAGAACTCTATTATTTAGAATCAGGCTTTTTTATTGCTTCAAAAAAGAGATCCATATTATTATAAATGACTTTTCCATCCATATACTCTTTAACTCGTAGCAACACATTCTAATCAGCATAAAAATGTCTCTTTTCTCCATTCCAAATTATCGCAAAGGCTACTAATTTCAGATTTTCCTCATTTACTTTCCAATCGATCACAGTTTGTGCATTCATTGGAATAACATACTTGATCTTTTAAGTAGACTTAACTATAAACTAAATTATTACTTCCCCAATATCAATACTGTCCTGTTTAAGTTAGATAATATAACTTCTATCGAACAATAAGTGCTTTCTTATGCAATACATCAATTTGAATATTAATGAATTTCGATTAAAAGATTCTATCCACTCTTAAATACCGGCTTCTAATTTCAGTAACTAACTAGTAGAGCATTTTATATAAATTGAAAAACTAATCATACAACTACCTAAAATATTGTAATATATTTATAAGATGTATCCAAATTTACATAAGCAATTACTAAGATTGCAGGAAGAATACCAAGCTATTTCGATTCCTTTTTGTCTGTATTCAAGAAAAAGCAAGCGAATATGGCAGAAACTATTTAAATTACATAAGAAGAAGCTTAAATTTTAATTTTCAAATGAGCTCATTTATATGTTTTTCATATAGAATCCAATAGAAATCAATGTAAGATCGATGAAGATTGCTGATATTCTCGTAGAAAGTGTCAACTATTTCATAAATTTTACTATTGAGTCATTATCATATAATTATTATCATATAATTAATTATAAATAACATAAAATCCTCGGAAATTGATTACAAATTTTATAAAACTCAAGGGAAGAATTCATCATTTAAAAACTTCTTCATAAAGACTTCGGACTCCTCTCTTTTGTCCAATGGCACCATATGCCCAGCATTCCTTATTGTCAATAATGTGAGACCATCCATATCCATAACATAACCAGCATTTTAGTCTGGATCAACATCTCTCTTTGGTGGAACAAACCAAGGTCTCCATGGTTTCAAAGTAGCCAATTCTTGAAATAATAAAATTAATAATACATAGTTCTTTCTATAACTTATCAACCCAAAACATTGTTCCTGTCAATGGGACAACTGCATCAACATCCCCGCTGAATTTCAGAATTCTAATTTAATTTTTAAGGATTTTTGGATATAAATAGTAAGACCCCTTAGGATTCACATTATATTAGCCCAAAGTTCTTGAACAAACAGCCCATTTGGCAGATTCTGTTCTGATTTTAAGGAGCTAAAGTTATAATTCATTATTACAGTTCTGACTTCAGCAGATCTTAAATGGTGATACAGTCCTTGGACATCAGCACAAGGAGGAATATCAGTATCCTCGTTTAGTGATCTCATACCACCAAATTTCTAACTCATCCTACTACCTTCAGGAGTATAGGTGAAGCAATAGCCATAGATGTTATAAGGATTGAATTTAATATTATCTTCCTCTGTTCCACTAACTTCAACTTCAACACTATCAGCTAATTCCTTGCACTTTCCATCTTTGACTCCATAACATTCATTTTAGACTGCCAATATTTTTTCGTACAATTCTTGACTAATAAAATTATGACGACCATAAAATTTATAAACATGAATTTAGAATGGATCGGCTTCATCTGTACATTCTGTAGGATCAGTACAACCATTTCCTATTGCCAAACCTTATAAATTAATGCGATTATCTGCTGCCTTTCCTGCATTGTAATCAATAATTTCATTTGCTAATGTTGGGATGTAGATTCCAGCATATGATTCACCTGAAATGAAGAATGGCAATTTTTTAAATTCTGTGAACCTGTTAAAAAAGTCAACCAAAGCATTGATGTTATACTTTGCTGTAGATTCGTCTGATTATTCACCTTGTGGACCATATGAAAATCCTACTGTTATTGGAGATTCAATATAGAGCATGTTAGCCTTAGATATAGATATTAATTATGATACAAAATTTGTCCAAGAATACTAGTTCATCTCAAATTCAGAGGTTCCAGCCTTAAATACGAATGGACCATTTTCATTAAATGCACCTTATAATGATGAGCATCCTGGACCACCATTTAACCAAAGGATTACAGGCTTTTTTAATGGGTCTTCTGGTGCTGGATAAAACATATAATGAAACTATGCTGTTCCTTCAGTATTTGCTTTAAGATAACCTGAATAGCTAAATATATTCATGTGGAATCTTACACTAATCCATCATAATTTATGTTGAATAATCTATTTAGCTCATTCTTATCGACTTTATCTGCATCATCGGCTAAAACTTAGAGAGCAAAAGATGTGGAAAGCAAACCCAAGAATAAAACAAAATTGTTCATTCTTTATTTTTAATATTTTGTTCTAAATGATGATTTAATTGCATATGTAATAATAATTATTAATATATTTTTAATGGGAAATGGTACTTTTTATTTTATATTTAATAAGATGCTTTGAGCTCTTGTACAAAAAAACAAAAATCCTCCTTAGTTTAAAGAGAATCTAATATTACAATAAGTAGATAGTTCAACTCAACTATGTGTTCGATATTGCAGGGAGATATATTTGTGAGTGGATTGAATATAGGTATTATATTTGTCTAGTATAGTAAATTGTTCATATGAACCTGCAGATTCTTTAATTGTTAAACAGTATTTTATTTAAATTGATAGTTTAGAGATCAGAATATTAAGAAGAGATAGAGGGATGAGATCAGAGCAAGTATATTCTATGTTCAATTTAGTGCATGTTGGAGATGTTATGTTAACAGAGAGATAGAATCTATTCCTACTTCATGCTAAATTACCGATGTATTCCGAAATTAAAGATTTATAAAAAGTATACTCAACATATGAAAAATGGTATCTAACTCTATGATTTTAAGTTTGGAGATTGCAGATGAAAACATTTTGTCTGAAATCACATTTACAGAATAAAATGCTTTAAATTTTGCTATTCCGAAATAGTATAACGCAGAATGTTTAATTAGATGTATCATAAATTATATTAGTTTGAATCCTTAAACTAATTTAAAGTAAATAAATTTTCTTAGCAATGATTATACGACAGTAAATTCAATCAAATATTATTTAAGATTAACATATTTAAACTTGAATTAGATAATATTTTAGAAGAAATGAAATTGCCTAATTTGGCAGAAAAAAACAGGAAAATTTTCTTTGAATTTTTAAACTCAACTAACTGTGAAGAAGCTCCATATTTTCTAAGTACAGGCTTGACAACAAGTTTTGCCCATCTAACTGAGAAAAGTGCTGAGTGATTTGAATTTATTTATACTCTTATATATTGAAATTTAATAGAAAGTTATGGAATCTAGTACTAATATTCATTATCAACAGTTTTTCATTTTATTTTTTCCATAAAATTGATAAAATGATCATAAGTAAACTAATAATATTAAATTATAAATACCCTCCATTTCAAACAATGTTTTTCGAATTCTTTATTTAATGATTACTAATCTGTTTACATAAGCCTCACTAAACTTTTTTTGCTTATATACTAACTCTTATTTGATAATATCTAGAATCCTTTTCTAAGATTTTCTATAGTAAGAACTCTACTTAAAGTGCTGTTCATTATTAAAAAATCTTGAAATGACACTTATTCGTTAGATTCTATCAATTGCTGATAATCAGTTCCTACATTTTAATCTTAAAATAAGTCTTGCAATAATTTGCATAGGCTAACCAGATTCAAATTGTTTTCTTCATTTTTATCTAAAATATCATAAAGCTTCTTCATTATTAAAAATTAATGAGGAACAAAAGATTAGATCAAATAAAAAGTAAAGCATTTTTATAAATAATTAATTTTTTTATGAAGATTTTATGGTATTAATTTTAGTTGATGCAATTTTAAGAATTCCTAATTTCCAGATTACACAAACTTGTTCTCTTTTATCTATTCAATTTTAATTCTCTATTGAGGTGCCAATTATAGCATTGCCAATATTAATGATCTTAAATTGATTCCAATTATATTTTATGGGAGTCTTAAATTAGCTTTTATTGACTCTAACCACATATCATTACCTTAATCCTTATAATTACTAATTTTAGTTGCATTTAACTTTGCAATCATAGTGTAAATTATCAAACCTAGTTACCATATATCTAATTCTTATGATTTATTCCTATCGATTATATCAAAATTTGTGCTGCTAAACTCACCTTTCTTAAGATGAAATATTCCATTTATATTACTTAATTTCAGATAATGATACTTCGAATTCACAAAAAAATGAAATGATTATAAATCTAAGTTGTTATGGTATAACTGTTTAGAATGTAGATGACTCACAATAGAAATAATCTATGACACAATTATTGAAATTTGTTCCAAATTTATATCTTCATGTTTATCTAAGTAATCCTATAAACTTTCCTAAGAACAATACTCAAAGTATAACTTGTCTTTTTGCTATGATTCCTCATTTTCTACTTCTAAAATTTCAATAATGTGTGGGTGAGTCTAGACTTAAAAAATAATTTACAAGTGCACTTTTATTCAATCTAATATTACTATATTGAATTGTTTCTTCACCTTAAGAGGAGGAACTTGTATAATAAATTCTTCCAGTAAATTTATTTACAAAGTATTTATAAATACATTTATCTGCTTTATTCAATTCTTCGGAAGGAATGAAATCACTTTCCTGCAATTTGTTCATATCAGCATTTCTTTTACTAATAAGTAGAGTTTAATGTGATCTTATGCTTCTGGGAGATGAGATAAGTTTCTCTTTTTACATTTGATAACTTTCTAAAATCACTGTCAGCTAATGTTAAGCACTATTAGGCTAGGACAAATTTCCAAATCTATTATTTCTTTTGAATTGAGAACCAGGAGATGATTGTTACTTTGAACTTACATTTTAAATTTTCTAGAATAATTGTTTTTTGTTTACATCGCTCTCACTTTATGATTTGTTATTTTTTGAGGAGTTTGTCTTACCACTGCATAATCCCATTTGTTAAATACTAAATTATAAAATGATTAAAATAGGATTTAAAACATAAAAATAAATTATGCTCACTTCTTGGATTATTATTAAATACAATAAAATAATCAAGATCTAATCGATATATAATAAAAATTAATACTGGAAGTAACTAAAGGATATCTTAGACTCATGATTATCTTCTTTTTTATGTATATAATTCTTAATTAAATTCATAACAAATCATTTATATACCTAATTTTAAATATTAAATTCACTAGACATCAATTATAACCAAATATTTTGATTGTTTAGAGTCCATTTAAGAAAATAGCCCTTGTTATAAATGAATAATTAATTATACAAATTAAATAATCGACACAATTTATTTTAATTAAATAAATAATTAATATTATGTGTAAATTTATCATTGAGGGATAGATATTAATATTTTATATGAATTAAATTACATAGTCTTAAATCTAATCGTTTCTTACTATTTTAAAGAAGAGATTATTTTTTATATGAAATTGAAATTTCAGAATTATATCAATATACATATTTATTATTTCAGGTCTGAATAAACAAAATAATTAAAGATTATTATCTACGTTATCATAAAATATATTGGGAACAGGCATCTAAAAATTATAAATCACATATATTTAATAAATGAACCTTCCGTTTTAGTAATTAGCAACTTTACTAAAATATTAAAGAGAAAATTGTACCTTAGATACTTAAATTTATCTTCCTTCCTCATATAATAATTCATTAAAGTAGTTGGTTATGTTTGAAAATAATTCAAAAACTTAATTGCTCACATATTAGATAAACTACTACCTTACCTTTATAAAATGCACGTATTTTAATAAGAAGCATTTCAATTATTCACAAAATAAATGAAGGCTTCAATGTTGAATTTAATTATTTTATTCGCATTATTAATTTGAACTAAAAAATTGAATTAAATTGCTTCAAAAAGTGAAAAATCCTAATAATTAATGATATAAATACACTAATATGGAAAATGCATCGATTCTTGTTATACATTATTATTTATAAAATATAATAATAAATATTCATAAATCTGATTCAATTATGCATTAGATTAAAATTTAAATCAAATAACAGAAAACTTTGCAATTTTCAAATGTTATATTTTGTAACACAAATTCATAGATCGATATTGAGGTTTTCTTTTGTAAGGGGGCACTTTGAAGTATGGAGCTAAAGAATCATGCGAGATTTAATCGTAATCTATTTGATGAGTATCACTAAATTCTTCAAACTCATTTTCATTTGCATTAACTAAAGCTTCGTATTCTGCTTTGCATCTTTTATAAAACCTTCTGTACTATCTCCAGCAATAGAGAATCAAGGTTTCATCAATATTTTAGTCTAAAGGTTCAACTTCATAGAGCATTTTATTTATTAAATTTGGCGCTAAGTATCGATGTTGTTTCGTTTAATGTATAACGAAACTATTTGTATCATTACTAGTGAAAAATTCAATATTTAAATTCTTTTTGCATTTTTCCTCAAGCTTCATGGTCTTTTTAAGTTATTTCATTCCACTCAAAATTTGTTAAATATTTTTGAAATCTGTGTTTTTATCATGGATGATATTGCATTAGTATATGTTGTATTTCTATTAAGGAGGCTTAAGATTATTCTCTAGAATTCATATTTTTAAGAATACTTTTGAGTGCTTCTTCCTCAAGGAGAAGTCCATTTTTATTACAATACTTCAGATAGTCATATATGTCTGTGAACCCTAGTGACTCAAGATGCTTGATGAATAGGAATTCATTTTAAACACAGCTTTTATATATAGGATCTTAGATTAATTGTTCATATAGTGTTTATTGAAAAGGGGCATTTTTTCGTTTTCTCAAGATTCTTTCAGTAAGTCCATCAAGCGGTTTATTCTACAATGAATCCTCTTCGTGTTCTTACTGGGAATCGGTCAAATCTATGATATTACCCGGAAAATTAAAATCTGTCTTAAAAACTTGTTCCATTTATTTGAGTATTAAAAAATAATTAATTCTATATATATATATATATGTTTAAAATTATACTTCACTTCTAGTTAGGTATTTATTAATTGATGTGAACAGGTTTAATTGTAACAGAATTATTATTGTTATTGTTATTATTATTATTATTATTATTGCTATTGCTATTGTTATTATTATTATTATTGTTGTTGTTATTATTATTGTTGTTATTATTATTGTTATTATTATTATTATTGTTATTCGATTATTATCTTTCAGATGTCATCTCATTTCCAGCATTCTTCAGATTTTCTGCTATGTCTTCTAAATTAGGTAATGGCTTCAAATCCTATGTTATTAGATTTGTTATTTTTAGTTCCTTTAACATAAATTTGGAGATGACCCTCACTGATTTCCATGCGTAATCTTTCATATTTTTACATCTTTCGTTGTCAGCTATTTTACGATTTTGATCTAATTAATAAAACACTTCATTTAAATAATAATTTAATCCAGGTTCAATAGGATTAGTTTCAATTTTATAAGGTCTTCCTTGATCTTGGAGAATGTATTAAAATGCATCTGTCTATTTATATTTGAGATCGTCATAAATTCTTTTTTGAATTTCTTATCTTTTTTTTTTGGCTTTCTCAGAAGCTTTTATGCTCAGTTTTTCATAGCCATCATCAAAGCATTGTTTTTCTGTCACCCAAAGTCGCTGAGATATAACAATAGAATACCCAAGTTCGTTCTGTATCAATTAAATGTTAAACCTTTTCTCCTAATTTATCTCCTAATTCATCTAATTATTTTTGAACTTCAATTTTCAAATTTTATATGAATTATTTCTAAAATATTAACAGGATTTCAATACTTCTTGGTTTTCGAGTTCAGCTACAAAAATAAACAATAAAACTTAATTTAAGAATAGCTTTCTAAAGTAAGGATCATTAAGTTAATTTTTGAATAAAGAGTATTTTGTTAGAAACTTAGGAAATCTTTTCACAGTGATGATCTCAGGTTCAATAGGATTCTCTTTAAAATATTGCAATGCTCTCATTAAAACTTTTATGACAGCTTATAGGTTTTTAGTTCTTTAGGGTTCAGACACATTCTACAGCACCTATCCAGCTTCCTCTCCAATATCATCGAATTCCACTTTGCCTCTAAAAATTAATTCAGAGTTATTAAGGTATTTTTGTAAGGTCCAAAAATTTTTATAGAAGGAATATGGCAAAGAAGCATTTACTTTTACTGCTTCCTCATCAAAACCTCTATCCCTTATGTTAATTGGTTTCTTCCTTAAAGAGGGATGTATAGTGGAGAATATTTGGGTCAAGAATATTTAAACTTATCCTCTTAAAAATGTGTCATGTGTTGTTGATAGTCTTTTGAGCATAGAATTACAAATTCTCAGCAAAACATATTTGTTCTCGTCTTAGAATTTTGATATTGTGGCTATTTAACTATACAAATTATGAAAGTAATCCTGAAGTTCTGAAAGAGACAAGCATTCATAAATGTCCTCACTAAAAGCTTAAATTAGTAATAGAATTTACTAAGTGGATATGATTTGAGATCTGGCACATCTTTGCAAATTTAATATGATAATTCAGCCAGAAAAATATTTACTTTCAGAAGTTCTAAGAGGTCCTCATCTAGAACTTTTTTAGTAGTCAATTTCTATAGATTAATTTATATTCTTACTAATTTTTGATGTAAATAGTCTCTACAGTTTTTTAGAAAAGCTTAGTAAAATGGCTACAATTAATCTGCGGATTCTTCCTCATGGAGCTTCTGTAATTTCTATTTTAAAATTTCTGTGTGTCTCACTTTGAAATTTAAAATGTACGACTATGAAATATTCAAACAATACTTCAATTTCCATTAGTTTAAATTCACTCATGTTAAAATGTTTATTTAAATAAAAATAATTTTTATATTCTAATATAAATCACCTACGACCATAATGGCCGTCTCCAGCATATCCAAATTCTTCTTATTAGGCTAAGATTTTCTAATTCTTTGGATGCGGATTATCGACACTTTATTACCTCTTATTCCATTCAGCTAAAGCTTTATGTTTAGTAATCGGATTTTCTCTATCATAATCAGTATCAAAGTTTGCACTTCCTTCAGCGTATGGTTTTATCTAGATTAGCAATTTTATATACTTCCTCATTGTTTTCTACTGGGAAAAGATATTCAGATATATCTTCCATGGGCAATTATTAATATAAAACTGCTAAAATAATAAGTAGAATATCTATTTTGCTAACTTCCTTGAAAAAAGTATATGTCATGATCATTTCTCCAAAAGCACACCATGCAATAATATATTCTAACATTTCAATCATTTCTAAAAGTCAATCAAAATCATACCTGTAGAAAGTTATATACTTATAGATTCCTTAACTGTTCTTCTTCTAAGAATGTTATAATAATCTACAAAATAATAGATCAGAATTCCGAATGCACTGAATAGGGTGCCTAATGGTATTGCGGTTCCGTACATAAATGTAAACCACATAGTTTTCATAACATCCGAATATCGCTTTGCAGAAAGATAGTCAGGTTCTTCCATTAATTTGTTGGCCTCTTATTAAGTTAAAAGTGCTTTGTCACCTTTCGACATGATATACTTTCTCCAAATATTCTTACATAAGCTCCATGGATCTACACACCAAATAAATGGAGGGAGTATTGCATTGAGTACAAAGATTTAGCTTTCATTTTAGATGAACCCTCCTGCTCCTTTGACATTCTTTAATATAACGATATCCACTAGAAAACTAATAATGGCTGCATTCAAAAACAGTGCTAATGCATACTTATAAACGAAAGATATTTAGAATTTTGTTTTGTTCGATATTTTTTCATCATCAACAATATAATGAACAATTTTAGCTACTCCAAATTTATTGAATAATACGATAGTCATTGAAATACTAAAAGACATTATATTTATTTTTCTTTTAGTATCTTAATCTAATTTTCCTTTCAATTCTTCTTCATGAGCTTCGTCACCCAATAAAGCTAATCGATGAGATATTAAATATATAATAAAAAAGGCGGCACTTTCGAATAAAATGTAATATACCCATGCCCTAACCCTTTTAAATATCTTCTCACTGGTAGTAATATGAATAAATTCCCAATCTACATCATTTGGTTCAGGTGCTTGTTCTAAGAATAGTTTCTATCCTTTCCATTATAGATCATTGTTTGTGAGACTCTTTAATTGGCCTCTATTTATGTGAGATTTCATTCTTTCCCATTAAGTATGAGGATTATCTTACAAAACTACTTGTTTCATAGATTCATCATCAAAAGATATGAAGGCTATTCCTGCAAAGTTTGTGTTATGAGTTTCATATTCCTCTTCGATCTTATGGATCTGATGTTCTAAGTGTTCAATTTCTTCATCTATCTTTTTAACGCTTTCATGATGAAAGTCAAAATTAGACTTATTTATGGCATCCTTTTTTGATTACACTAATTAATCTAGTTTCTTTTCGAGTTCAATGATTTCTTCTATATCATAAACTAAAACTACTTTTCTAACTATTATTTATTTAGTTGAATCCAAAATCGAATAATTTTCAAATATATTCTTTAGTTCATATTTATAATCCACATTCAATCCAGTGGGAATATTCTTAACACAAATTGTATAATCTGCAGGAGTTAACTGTTCTTCATCAATAGTAGTATCGATTTATCTTTGGCTTTTTCTGAAATATATTAGAACAAACATAATTATGAAAATGCTTATGAAGTTTAAGAGTTGCATCATTTCAAGTGCTTCTCGGTTACTACTTTAAGTGTTATTAATTACTCAAGTTTGTTTGCCAAAGATAATTGTAGAAAAATGCTGTTTGGACAATATGGTTCTTCTATAATATGTCCTTCCATCTTTTCTCTTTTTATGTGACTGCAATACGAACCATTAAAGTTAGTGTATAAATTGTGCAATTACTTAATTAAAAGCTAGATGAAGAGGATAATTATGCAATATTTCAAGTAATTATAAAATAACGTAAAACCTGATCCTAAGAAAGATAAAGACATCGGATCAGAAAAATATTGAATATCCTCTCTATCTACTTCGAATCCGCAACATGGACATGTATCAACTAAATATTAATAACCCTATTCTACTTTATAATGTTTTCAGAGGATCCTTCTTTTTTTCTTATGCCGTTCGTCTTGATAATGCATGTTTTCTTGCTATTTCCCAGTCACACGGCATTTACAAAGGGTTATAATGAGCCTCATGGTGATCAACGCCTGAATGATGAATTTCATGATCACCATCCAGATGACCATGATTTGAATGTTGGTGATGAGACTGATCATTGTGAGGATGTTAATGTTGAGAAGCCTTTATATTCAATTAAATATACTTACCTGTGATTGTTTTTGCATTCCAGGATGTGATTGTTATTGTTACTAATTTTAGTGTTAAAAACTTTTACTTTAGATTAAATGCCTTAACCCTGTATTTCCTAGTCGTTGCAATCATCCTAATTATTTGCATAAGGCTAATGCTAATTTTAAGATGATTAATTCATTCAATTTAGATTAATTTTAATGATGGATATATACGCATATATAAAAGTCTTTCAAAATCAATATGCCAAATTACCCAATCACATTCGTGCAAGTTCAATATACTTGCTTAGAAAAATATTTGACCATTTAAATTCATATCTCATTAGGATAATGAGTAGTTGTTATTGGTATTTAGAATCTCAATTCAATATGCTTATAATTATTGTGTTTTAAATATTATTTGAATTTAATAATTTCTAGGCAAACTTAATATCAAATTACATCAAGAAGTTTTATGATTTTTCTTTTGATAATTATTAATGCTACTGATAATTTTTATTTTGGTGATAATTATAATCAACAGGAAAATGTTCCTGGAAGTACAATTTTCAATTGTTTATATAAAATCAAATATATCAAAAATTTGTTAAATACAATAATAAAATTGAAATCGAATTGTCAATAATATTCAGATTTCAGATATTAATTTTAGAATGAAAAATGAAATTTCAAAAGAATTTTTTATAAAGTACCAATTTTTTTAAATACTGCCTTTTAACTTATTTCAATTTGCAGAATCCAAGTGTGATTCACAATAAAGTCTTGAACGATGTAATAATTAGTTTTTAAATTATTAATAAATAATTATATTAATATTTATATATATGTAATAAGAGTTCAAATTGCCATAAAAGATTATTCAACTTTATGCAAAATATTAGAATAAATCATAGAAAGTGAAAAAATTCCAACTTCAAGAACATACATTTATGTTAGAAGACAATTATTCACCAGTCGAAATCAGTAATAATTAATTTATAGTTCAAAGTCGGAAGCGGTGCATATGGATGTGTTATATAAGCTGATGATAAAAATGCAAAGGTCGAGAAGGATAGATAAGTTGCTATTAAGAAAATTGAAAGAGCGTTTGAACATAGATTGTATGCGAAAAGAACTCTAAGAGAATTAAAGATCCTAAGGTTGATGAAACACGAGAATGTATTACCATGAAAGTGATATAGATCGTTGAATTAAAAACCTTGCTTCTTCCTAAATCTAGAGAAGAATTTGAAGATGTTTATATGGTTACTGAATTATTGGAGACAGACCTTGCCCAAGTAATAAAAAGCGATTAGGTATTGACCGATGAACATATCCAATTATTCTTATATTAAATCCTAAGAGGACTCAAATATTTACATACTGCAGGAATATTGCATAGAGACTTAGTAATTATGTGTAAAATCAAATTAGAAACCTAGAAATTTATTGTTAAATAGGAATTGCGATTTAAAGATCTGCGATTTTGGATTGGGCAGAGCAATGGCTGATCCATCTTCATCAAACAATGCAAACATTATGACTTATTACGTCGAGACTAGATGGTATAGAGCACCAGAATTGTTAGTGAGTTTCAAGAATTATACTCCTGCAGTTGATATATGGTCTGTCGGATGCATCTTGGCAGAATTGCTATTGAGAAAACCTTTTTTAAGAGGAGATTCCAGTATTGTTATTTTAAATAAATAAAGCTAAGAGATAAGTAAAGTTAATATTTGAATTGTTGGGAACTCCAAATGAGGCTTACATTTAATCTTTTTAAGATGAAAAAGTTTAAAACAATCTGAGAAAAGTCATTAAAGAAACAGGACCGAAACAAGGTATTCCTTTGGAATAATTATTTAAAAATGCTTCTAAAAATGGTAATAATGTACAATCATTTCTGAAGCTTTGGATTTATTAAGAAAGCTGTTGACATTTGATTACAGATAAAGAATCACAGTTCAGCAAGCCTTAGAACATCCTTATTTAGCTCAATTGCACTTTGAAGCCGATGAACCTAGTGCTTAACTTGTTAATTAATTAGAATTCGAGTTTGAAAAGTATGAAATGACTAGGGAATAAATTAAAGGTGCATTTTATAGTTTTAAATTAGATCTTCTTTATGAGGAAATATTATTATATCATTTTCCTGAATTCTAAACATCTTATGAGGCTAAAAAGAAATCTGGATAGAGTTTGATATCACATGTAGTAAATAATGAGAACGCTAAAATTGTAAATAACTTATTTAATAAAAGTTTGATCCCACAGCTGATGATGATTTAGATAGGGATTGAATATAATATTATTACAAATTCAATAGTATTTTATTATCACATCTTGAAAAATATTCAATTTATAATTAAGTCTTTCATAATTTTATGAAATCTCTTATTATGAAAATATCTAGATTATCTATTATAATTAAAAGGCTCATATTTGACATCTCTTCAGCTCTTATTATTATTGCAAACTTTAGGTTGATATATTATTATCAAACTTAAAAAAGAATTATTAGTAAATCAAAATCTTTAAATTATATACCATTTCCAAAAAGGAATTCATATTTTTAGATCGTCATTTAGACGATAAGTTTAAGTTCGTATCATACTGGGTTATAAATGATGTAAATGGATCTATTTTCTGATTATTTAATTATACTCACATCAATAAAGGCAAAGAAAATTTACTAAGGATCGGTTCATTAATTTTTAATGATATATCAAGCAAGACAACATTTAGAATCAACTATAATAATGCCATCATCATTTTCATTTTATCATTTATAATTATTGTGTAACAGACCTTCTAATCTACTAGCAATTAATAAGTAATTCTTCTTCTACTATTTTTTATCTATACAATCTCATCTAAATTTCATCCAAGTATTAAAGTAATAACTCATATTATGTAAATTTAATGCTTCTAATATTTGTCCAAATATGTTCACACGCTCATGTCCATTTACTTCTAAATAGGTATGAAATCCACACCCTTTTATGTTTAGAGATGTATTCCAGTTATTTTTTTCAAATAATTTTAATTATTAATAATTTGTTTTTATGGAAGACTTTGTGCCCTCATTGAATAGTTTAGTCAAATATTCAACACCTGTTTTAGTATCTGTGGCTGGAAAAAACACTGGTAAATTGGAATAATAACATTTAGGAGAAAAAAAAGATGCCTAAGCTAAGCAATAAGTCAGAGTCAATAGTCCTGGAAGAGTACAAATTTTAACAAATTATGACAGCAAGAGAAGATGATAACTTAAGAGATTTTATAATAAAATCTACCACCTAAGGAATACAGATTGAAGAATGGTCAATTATGGGTGCAAACTGTTTTATCTACTCCTGCAACTAGAATTGAAGTTGTCTAATTATAACAAGAGTTAGACAAAAGGTTATTATCAAGAGGAGCCAGAGAAACTGGAATTTGCCCAATAAGAGAAGAGTTATACGAATAGTGCTTTGATGAATTGATTCGATAGATTACAATTGATTGCAGTTAAAGAGGATTACTATTGGTGAAGTATGAATTAACATTTAATGCTTTTTGAGTTCGAAACGAATTCCGAAATTAATTGAATTCCTACAAAACCTTATATGAAAGTTCCATTGCATATGGTATGAGAAAAATGATTGATGCTGAATAAAAAAGAACAGATAAATCGAATAAAATCATGTTTATGGACAGAGAGTGCTAAGAATTATAGAAGGCTGTTGAGGATTTGGAATAAAAAATTCAATATACAAAAAAAGTTGAAACTGAGAAATTATAAAAAGTAATTATTTTAAATGGTCTAACTAATAGGAATCTGAAAACCATAAAAATGAAATAGAAAAAATTAGAGCTTATAATAACTCTCTAAAAGATGAGTTAGGTAGATTGTTAGAAGGTAGAAGATGACTAACATATAATATATATAATAAATCGATATATAGATATTTAAATCACAATGAAATATAGAATTAATCAAATTACATCACATGAATTTAAGTTATTGTTTTGTGAGTTATTTTTAGAAAAGTAAATAATTTTCTCTTTTGAATACAAAAGTATATTTTATAGTTAAAGTATTCTATGGTATCACAAGATGATTTATATGAATTTCGATTTGAACAATGAGGAATAATGAAAAAGTATCTTAGTATCAATTAGAATTAAAAATGTTTACTTTATTAGGAACAGCTGTTATTTAAAATTGTGATTAGGGTATTTTGAAATATAGATAATATATATATCATCAAAGGAACTAAGGGCAAGGGATCTCCTAACATTTAGGACCTGCGATGAAATTACTCATTGCATAGGTCTCTTGGTCACTGAATTTTCGTGATTTCTTTCTGCTTTTAGTCTAAGAAATCACTTATATCAGGTCGCCATTTAGGATTACCTACAACTCACCACATGGTTCTTTTCCTTTTGGGCAGTAATATAAGGGACTTAGATTTTCTAATCGTTGACTGCTATCAGTCGAACAGTTAGAATCAATATTTAATTCCTCAGTATTAGTAAGTGGGTTCTAAAACGATGAAAAATAGAAATACCTTATATTTCGAAGGTGGAGTGATATAGTATTATGGTCGTTCCTTATTTTTGGGAACAAAGAGACACTTAGAGCTATTGTATGTCTAAGACTTTTTTAAAACTCGGATTTTGTTACTGCTCACTAGATTACTTTAGGTGTTTAACTTACTTTTTCGATTCTGGGGAAGTCTTTTGTATTTAAAAAGCTGGTAAGGGCTTTTTTTAAAATTTTTATTTTATTAATATTATAATATGGCCAACTGGTCTAATAAATATTCACTCGTCATCCCCCTATCTGGGCTAGGTATCCATTCCATTCAGTCGATCTTTGTACACCTCAAGCAAAAATTTGTAATCTATGCGACCGTTTTTCTTAGACCAGGAGATAAGTTGTGGCCACTGTTCATCTCTGACGACAATCCCTTAGGATCTCAACATTTTATCCATTTCTTATTTGATGCGCTATTGAAATTACTCACAAAACTTACATCCTCTGTTAATGGAATTTACCCATTTGATGTCAAATGTTTAAAGATTTCCAGAAGGTATTTTCTATTTTTGCCAATTGCATTTATAGTTTTATCAAACTCTTTTGAACTCTCCCAAATGCCATTTTCTATATTTTTAAGATACAAAAAGATACCAACATACTAAAGAGCACTTTATTTAACAGGAGGCTTTCTGAGAAATGTTTTGAATTTATTTGCCGCATTTATCAATCCATCGTCAGTCAACCCTTCAAATTATTATTGAGAAGGTGATCTTTATTTGGTTAACCAATTCTTATCAGTTTAGGCCATTAATGACTTCTGAGAGTTTTTCTTAACTTTTATATTAGCACTCAGGGGTCTAAAAAATGATTATAATCTAACCTTTTCTTTTCATTAGGATTGGAGAACTTTGAAAAAGCATCCATCCATTCAGTCAAATCCAGATGTCCATCCCTTCTCTTATCAATAAATTCAAATAGGTCTTTGATTATTGCAAATGGTGGGATGTCTTCAGTTGCTAATCTATATAACATTTCAATCATATCCTTAAATTTATCAAAGGTTAAAAACCCAGTGTGTTGAGCATCTATTTATCTGAATGCATCCTTAGGAGACAATAAGTAATGATAAATGTGATCGTTGACTTTTTGTAAATGAATACCAGCTCTCTCAAGAATCTTATTATCAGCTTATCTAAAATCTAATTTCTTGGAAAACTCCTTCCAGTTGACCATACTATTTCTATCAGTATGAAGCATAGCAGATAATATATCGACATCTTAGAAGGTTAACCCCATATTCAAACTTCGAATGACTTATCTGAATTCTAAATTTGTAATGAATCCAGTGTTATCTGAATCGTACTATTTGAATAAATCATTAATGTTTTTATTTGAATTTCTCAAAAATCTTCTAATTTTATCTAGTAAGCTAATATTAACCTAATTTCTTTCATCCAAAGGTAATTCAGATAGTCCACTAACATAATACACAATAATACCCTTATGTTGCTGGACGAATAGCTAATTGTTGTGATTGTCCTTCAGGTTGCTCATAGATTTTACCACCTTTTCCGAATATAAGTGCAAATGCTTGATTGCTCAATGACCCATTCTTTTAAATTCTATTCCATAAAATTTCGATATCTCCTTCAACGAATCTCTTTGGGAATAAAGCCTACAAGGCCTTATAAAAGCTATCTCTAGTAATGATGTGGCTGTGCTCCATTTAAAAATAGTGGATTGCATTTTAAATGCTAGAGAAATAGGTTGATAGTGCATCTTGGATCTCCTTAATCATCTAATCCTACCAATTGTATTGAGCAAATGCATTCAGCCAATCTGATTCTACTAAGTATCCTTTTTTATGAGAATCAAGATCTGAAAAAATCTCATAAACTAGTTTTTCTGTTAAATCAAATCCTGCCAATACATTTTTTTCATCCAACCACTTTTTAAATTTCTAGAATACCAATTTCTTACGATATCCTGATACAATATCAAAAGATTCCTTCACATTTGGATAATGTCTACTAATTATCAAGCCTATCTGTTATCTTGCATTCATCTTCCAATCAAATGATGATCTAGATTCTTGTTACTATTTTGCAGCTAAAGTAGCGTTTTATCCAAAGATTTATTTGTTTTTTCCATAAAAGAATCCCTCCTCTACAAATCTTCTAAAATCCATTAATGTTATTTTTCCTCTCTTATATTAATCCATTAATTTGAACAACCTATTAATTTTGGCTTCAGTAATCTCTTTCTCTTCTATTTTCAATATGTCCTTCAAAAATGTTCTTAAATCGGTTTTATTAATCTAACCGTCAAAATCTTTATCAAAAGTTCTGAAAGCATCCTCTATAGTAATATTCTCTCTTTGACACCAATTTCTGATCTTAAATAAGATTTCCAACTCCCAGTCCCAATCATCTTCTGATAATTACGGCATCTGCTATATTATAGATTTGCTCATAAACTTAGCAAAGGTATTTAAGTCAATCAAACCAATTCTCTGCTTATCCATAAAGGCAAAGAATCCATCCTTAGCAGGTTGACTCAAAGTCATTATTTTGTCAATATTCTAAAATTCACTTATTGAAAGGAATCCATTATGATCAGTGTCTAGAAATGTGAATAGTTCTTCATAAGACATTCCCTTCCTAGCTAATTTTATTCGCAAATCCTTTAGGATTTGATCAAATTTAGATTCTGGCAATTCTTCAATGGGGAAAAGACTTTTTTGTTAGTTCATTCCATCTACTAAGGACTGAAACATTTTCTTTTGCCCCATGGTAACTAAGTCAATAGATTTGGATTAAACACAGGTTTTCTCAATAGCTGATAGGGTATCACCAAATTAAGGTTTGATTTTCATACTTTCAGCAATTTAGTCGATTTGAGATAGATCTTTTCTAATGTTGAAATAAGAATATCGTTTAATGAAAATATTCATATCTTCATCACTGACGACTCCATTTCCATCAACATCCATTTCTCTACAATATTCTAAGCATTCCTCATGTGGCAATTGTGCAAAGATATTTTTTTCAAGATATTAAGCAGTGGATTCAATATTACATGATCCATATCCTGACTTTACTTATTATAAAAACTGTATGACACTAAACTTTTTTTGAGCCAGATACTTACTTATTTTCTAAGCAAAATCAATGAGGTCTTTGGCTGTATCTTTTTAATCCATTTGTTTATTCACATCCAAAATCATTTAAATAAAATCATAGTAATTTATCAGAGACTCCCTATTCTTTGGAAGGTATCGAACTAATCTATTGATGTCCTGCACATTCAAACCCAGTTAACTCTCCATTAATACGGTTTTAAAGTTGGCTGTATCAAGATTGCCTTCTTGATGCTCATCAAAATATTCAAATGATTATCTGAATATTTTCAACTTCTAAGGATTAATTAAATGATCTCTCATTTTATGAAGTGTGTCTTTGAACCACGAAAGGTCATACAATTTATCTTCTTCCTCTACAGTGTTAAATAGTATTAATATGTCATTCATACTGATGGTTTCCTTGCCATCCAAAATTTCCTTGGCTACTTTTAGAGCTTTGTGTTAATTTAAAGATTCATCCAAATGCATTAAAGCTAGTTTCAATTACTAAAGGTTAATTGGTGGATGATCTCTATTTAAATTCATTCTTTGCAATAAATCATCAGTGTGAATTTAGAATTTAAAGACCACATCTTTGATATAATTCACATGGGATTCTATTCAATTTAATTAAGCATTAATACATACTTTTATCTACTACTGCTTTGAGCCAATCGAATTTATCAATAAATCCATCATTATTTACGTCGAGTGTCTAAAATAATGTAATGAGTTGAGTTTCATTGAGAGGCAATTAAATCTATTGGACAGCTCTTTTGAAATCATCGAAATTCATGCGGACCTTCCTTTCACTAGTTTTCCCAAAGGCTTGTTAACAGATATCTAAAAACGACTATAAAAATAAGTAAATTAGTGTTACATCTTCAATATTTAAAGCATGATCTCGAATGTAGTATTTCAATCTTTCAAGCGCATATACTTTATCATTTACAGATCTGGAGAATCCAACTCTTGAGTTTTGCTGTGTAGATGGTCTAACATCAATCTAATGAACAATAAGGCTAAAATTTACAGTTTTGCTCATTAAAGGTCCTTTTTTGGATGAATATTAGGAGTGTTTGGCTGTTTTAGGTCTAGTTTCTGGCAATTCAATTCCTAATGAATTAGTGAGATAATTTTTTGCATTGTCGTCAATTATAAAATTATTTTCCTCTGGATGGGAACTTTTAGTTAATTGTTGCAAGTATTATTGAGTAAGTCTCATGTCTCCTTTGGATTTTCTTTCTGACAAAGGTCTTTTGGTTATTTCCTATGTTTAATTGAAATGGAGTTACTTTGCAGCCATCCATCAAAGATTCAAGGAACTGCACAGCTGCACAATGAGCTTTGACAAAGAAGGTTCCAACACATGGAATCTCTACTTCAACTACATCTCTCTATAATTAATTGATCGCCAAAATACGTTGCGCACAATATCAGATAATGATTTTAACACTCTTTCAACAGCCATCTTAGCAGAGTCCTTATTCTATGAGGCATAGAGTGCAATCTCAGCCCAATTGACAATTGCATGTTAAATTTTTCCAGATGTTTAAACTTTGTAAGGCCTCAATTATCGACCTATGGCTATGGCAGTTTTGAGATTAAAACCATTAACGAATTCCTTGGATTGTAAGTAAGTTAAATTACTTTAGCAACAAGGAATACTGGTTAACGAGGCTATTTATCTCTATCTACTGGATTTGTTACTCCATCCAAAACTACATCTGGAGCACTAAATGAAAAGGTTCCAAATTTATTGACTGCCACTCCTCTGCCCATACGCAATTACCTTGAAATGTGAAGACCTTCATAATAACGGGTGAGGAAATACCAAATGCATTCCAAGCAGCTGAAACAGTTTCTTCATCCAAAGCTGCAATCAAGGACGAATTACTATATATTCAAATTGAACTGCTTACTCAGCTTATCCATTCCGAGTGGCTATCTTGGAAATAATTGATTGTGCATTAAATGTAGCTTTGCTCTAATAACTATCAATGCTATTCATTAAATTAATATATTTATTATGAAGGCTTATTTGAGATATGAAGGCATATCAAAGTAATAGTATCCTCAGTCGCCCCTCCAAGTGGAACCAAAACCCTTATTCACAATGATGCCTCGTCGTAAAACTGCATAAGTGCCCTTCCGTAGAAGTTTGCATCAAAACAAATCCCCCACGAATTTCGACCGATAATTCGTTGTTGAGGAATTGAAACTCGCCAATGCATCCCTTCAAGAGGTGAACAAGGAGTTACAACAATTGAATGAAGCTTTATAGGAGTAGGTTCAAAAATTGCAGGAAACCAACAAGGTCTTGCAATTGTAGATCAATTAAATGACCATTCAAATCGATGACCTAAAAATAAACAACCGACACTTGAGATCACAAGATAGCAGCGTGCATTTTCAAACCAAAACATTTGATTAGAGGTTCAAAGTAATTGAGATTTAAGATTGCAAGATCAAAATAACCACATCGGGTATCTGCAGTTGCAATTAAAGAAGCTGAATGATTAGTTGGAGCAGAAGAGAGTGCTGGAAAGCAAACCAATGAAGTTGCAATAGCAAGCTCTCAGGGAATTGGATAGCATTTGCGTAATTTGATCATTATAAAGGATTAGTTGGACATCAAGGGTTTTATCATTTGTAAGTTGTGTCATTAGGAACTCAAGGACCCAGTAACTGTGATTCCATGTGCTCATTCGTATTGTCGTTCATGCAAGAAGGGTTACATGGGCAAATGCTTCATTTGTGGGCCTGAGGAATAAATAGAAGCCACCTATGCCAACATGCTGCTGATTCCCATGATAGAGCTCTTCAAGAAGAATTGTGAAATAAGGGAATTATTTAAATGATTTTGATATACTTTATATTTAGATATCAATATCTGAGGGCAAGGAAAGCTGCCACTCCTGCCTTAATCCAAATGTCTTCTTCTTGATCTGAAGCAAATTCTAACCACATAACAAAGTTTGTTGAATGTCCTGTCGTCGAGAGAGTACCTGCTCTTGATACTACTTTGTACCTAAAACCATAAGAATTAAATATTACAAAGGACAATTATAGATTCCAGTTTTGGGAATGACTCTATTCTTCTTGGGGATCAACTAGACAGCTGGTAAATCACTAAATAATTCTTTGGGAGTAGATTCAGATAACACATGTTTTAGTGAGTCCCATTTGCATCCTTCTAAATAGCAACCATAGACATAACACCCATCACTGGGTTTGTCCACTATTTTAGAGATTTCTAAATCGTCTCTGACTTAATATTCAAATGAAACAAGATCAACTGCAATTACATGTTTACGAGCATAGTTCTAGGTGATGCCTGCTATGAATGCTTGTGGGAAGAAGAATCCTGAGAACCAGAATGTTGCTGGTGTGCCTCCGTCAATCCATCTCTGTAGGAAGGCTACTCTGTCATTCAGGTCTTAGGTCCATGAAGCCAATGGTTTCAATGACAGGAATCCCTTTTCTGCCCACATCTTAGGCACTTGGTTATCGTAGAGAGAATTAGATAGTTTCTCCAAGTCTTCAGACATCACAACCAGTCCTTTCAATGCCTTTTTCACATTAACCAATGACTCAATCATGACTTCCAATAGTCGATTATATCTCAAGACTTCTTAAACCAACACAGTATTCATACTCTCCTGATAATCAGTAGGATATTTGATGAAAATGGCATCATAATCAAAAACTGGAGGTGTCTTTCCTTGGACGAAGTTAGCCAGATCCTCAATCTATTCTTCTCTGGTTTTTCCTGCAGATGAACTAGTTCTTGGTTGAACTGAGAGAATGGTTTCAAGAAGCATGATGGTTTGATTTTGGGCATTGGTGATATCCGCATTCTCATGTAATCCGAAGACTTCTGGAGCAGGATTTAGAGGGAGACTCTCAATGTAGTTCATGTAATCGGCCTACAATCCAGAAGGAGGTGAAAAGTAAGTGCCACTTTTGGAGAAGGAGAAGTTATCAAGTAATGCCTCTTTCTTAATGTAGGTTCTCAAAATGGTTTTGATCAATCGAACATCTTTGTCATCTGTCACTCTGCCTCCATAATTGATTTCGCTACCCAAATAGTTTAAGACTTTGTAGGGGACTTCTTCGTATTCGTCCAACAACATAACCAATTGTCTCTTGCACACATTCAAGTCTTCATTAGTAAACTCGTAGGCAATGTTCCAACCAATGGGACCAAATTTACGTCTATCTTGAATGATAGCATGGAAGAAACAGAATCCGAATATCAATTTCTTGAATATTTCAGGTTTCTTGCATCCACTTTACAATTCATTGTCATCTAATCTAGCATACGATCTCAACAAATTAGATCTCAATCCTGAAGGTGGTTCCAATGTCATCTTGACTCCGTTCTATAAGACTGAAATTGGGAAAGAATTAGTTGGCATACTGGTTAACCATAATCTATAGTCTTTGCTTGCACTCTCATCGATGTCTTCGCAAATACGTTCCAGTTCACTCATCCAAGATGCTGCCAAGTGACAATTCTATAAGAGAACCCACCCTCCTTTTTGTCTGGCTGCTCTGATCATCTTTTCAGCTTTGGGACCTTAACCTTATCCCAAAGAAATCTATTCATATCGTTTAAGCATTTCCTTCTCTTCTGCAAACTTCAAGAAATCTGCCACAGGATCTGATCCAGGAGACAACACAAAGATCAAAGGAGTCTACATTGTGGAGTCCTTGTAGCATTTGGCTAAATCGAATAGAGGAGGGACAATGAATTGCTTTCCAATTTTGTGGGATATGAAATTCTACACACATGGAATTACCTTATCGGGACGGAAAGACTTAATGAAGATCAGTTTTTGGAACTCGTCTAATTTGGAATTCCACTCTCCAGGTAGATCCATCACATGGGGTTCAGTTGAATCATAATGTGGTTTAAATAATTCAGTGTTGGTTATCCAAAACTCTTCGAATCCCTTAAAGGCTGGTAATGAGGACATTCCATAAATCTGTCTGTACATGTCTGGCCATGTGTTTTCAGCTATCCATTTGGTTGGATTCTACTTGATTTTGATATCACCCATAGGTCCTGTCAACAGGTATCTCCACTCCTCTTCATTCAATTACTTATATCCTTATAGAATCTTGATGGTTAACATCAAAGAGAAGAGCAACTTATGTTTCTCAAAGAGGGATCTGCACACATTCTCATACAAACTGAAAGTGAAATAGTCATTCAGATTTGTCAATCTAACTTCATGTTCTTTGGCTGCTGGAGCATTCTCAACTCCCATGGAGAATAAGTTCATAAACCATTGTAATGAGTATTGATACATTGGGTCGATTCCTGACAAATCCACTATGCAAAAGAACAATTACGATGCTCTGAATGCAACTGGTCTGTAACCCTCTCTTGCTTGATCGATTTATTCTTCGGTAATCTTGGAATCAGCCACTCTCTAATTGATTTCTGCTGCGAATTTCTTACTGTTTTACAATTTATTGATTAGAGTCTCATCCATCAATACTTCATTGATGTCGTTGGCACCTTCTGAAAGGGATTTGAGAATGTCATCTTCTATTAATAATAATTGTTTCTTGTCCTCAGCATTCTTCCTCACAATTTACACTTTGTTAGCTTCTAATTAAGGATTTTCGAGTGCCACGATCAATGCTAACATCTGATCTTCCAACCCACTTGGAGTAATAGCAAAGTTGATAATTGTAACCTTGACAAAGGTCTCAGGTGGATAATGAGGATTAGGTATGGTAGTGGTCAGGAAGAATTTAAACTTGTCATTAAACGACAATGTCTTCTCCCCCAAGGTAATAGTAAGAGATGATCCACTTTTAACAATTTGCTACAAGAGAATGGGATCGAAAGAAGGATCCAAGTCCTTTCCCACATTTTCAATCAGCACCTATTTACCAAATTGGACAGCCAATTCAAGAGTTCTCATAAGATTAGGGTCATTCACCTTCAACACTTCAATACCCTCAGCATGTTCCTTACCCATATTCTTAATGAACTTATTGGCCTGATTTTAAGGATCAATCATCAACGGATATCTTCTGCTCTTATCAATGATGATACCATTTTCAATAGAGGTATCATCCTTAGGCAATCCTGCAATATTCCAAGATTATATTTTAACAGGTACTCCCAAAAATTGAACCATAGAGATATGTTCAGTATGTTTGATAGCCAATTCGATTAGGTTCTTTCTCCACTTATTCTCTAACCCTTGTCTATAACTTGAGACAAATGGCCCCGCATAAGCAAGCATAGCTGCAGACAACAAGGAATTACCAGGTATAAGAGGTTCCTATAATTAGAGTTTATCAACATCAGCTGTCCATCTAGTTTTTTCATCAGATAATCCACTAGTCAACTTTTGGGCTCTGACCAATTTAATTTCACATTCTTAGATCTTTTTAGATAGATCTTCCTTAAGTTTGACTTTTTCATCGAATTCCTCTTGCAACCTTTTGATTTTAGCATTGACTGCATCTAATTACTCCTTCTTGACTTTAAGTAAGGCTTGTTTCTAATCCACAATCTTCTGAGCTTCTGCTAATTTATCTCTTAAAGGTTGAGTTTACAAGAAGATCTTATTGTAATCATACATGGCTTGACACCAACTGTACATATATTTGATGGCTAAACTGCAGATATTAGCTCTTTCTAGTTTGAAATCTGGATCACCAATGATCTTCTGTTCTAGTTTTCTGATGTAGGCTTGATTGATATTGTCTCTCTTGTAATCTAGCAACTAATCTAAGAGTGTTTTGGTATCGTTAAGCAAATACTTCTTGGCTGTGCTGAAATAATCTTCTACTTTCTTCATACCTGTTTCATCCTTCATCATTTGAATTTCACCACCTTATTCTTTGATGAAATCCTATAGTAGAATGACACATCCTCCGAGAGTGATGATAGCAGCTCTGGGAGGATTTGGTAATGATTTGACTTCCACTAAATGTTCCTTTTTCAATTTCTACACTTCAATCAAAGTAGTTTCTAGAATTCTATTGGCCTCAGCCACTGATTCCTCTGCTTCTCTCTTAATTTCATTGGCCTTCTTGGTTTCTATTTGAGCCTCTGCTTCTTCTACTGAGACAATCTTTTAAGTTTCATCAGCCTCTTTTTTATCCACTTCCAATCTGGCCATGACTTTTTCAGTTTCAATGGCAGCTTCTTCCAATTTAGGTTGCATATCTTTGAGTTGAATCTGCATTTCTGAGACTGCCTCATTTGCAGCAATCAGTTTATCCAGACCACTCTTGAGACGGTTGATTTAGAATTTGAGTTCGTTCTTCTTCTCATTATTGACCTACTTAAACATCGTGATTAATTCTAAGAAACTTGTTGGAGTAACATAATTATAACGACGCAATTACTGTTGATATTGAACTGAAACTTGTTCGACTGATTTGTGCATAATCTTACACATTTCAACGATCTTCTCCAACTGATCACTGAAGCCGAACTCAGTTGCATATTCAGTTAGCTATCCTCTTCCTACACCCACTAAGGCTTCTTCAGGCCATTCTGTGAACCAATCTATGGTACAGCAATTGACGAGTGAAGGGAACATACGTAGACGAGTTTGGAACTTATCACTCAATGGAGACATTGCTAAAATTAGATGGATGTTGTTCTTCACTCTGGCCAAATATTAAGCAAAGATATTGTTAGGAGTTGGTTGCAAGTTTCTCTTCAGACATTCTCCTTTACATGATGTAATAATTTCATCCATATCCTTGTCTTAATAGAGATTTGTAACATCTCCTGAATTCAATATCGAGTTCATGTCTTCCAACATCTATTCGTTGATGATCTACGTATCCACAAATATAAAGGACACTCCCTTGTTCT